TTATTTTACTTTGCTAATGAGTTTAAAAAAAGTCGAAATAGATCATTATAACAATACAATTGAAGTTAGATATTAGATGAAAAAGTCTTTGAATTGAGTATTTCAATCAAAATATTTCTTGAATTACGAAGCTTGATTTAGCGGGCTTAAAGAATTTATAGTTATATTAATAAAAAAAAAAAAACTTGAGATATTTCAAAAAATCATGTTTATTTAGCAATCATAATCAGCGTTTACATATTAGTCTATATACTTAAATAAGGCCTCTGTTTCATTTTTTTATAACTTTATTACTAATAATGAAATATTTTTTTTTTTCAAAGAAAGGAAAAAATGATGGATTTGTGAGAAAACATAATAAGTCATTTTGAATAATTATCTGAAAATGCCTTCCCATAAAAAATAATAATAATATATTTATATTTGGTTATAACCAAATGACGTTTTTCTTTTTGAAAACCCCCAAGACAATTTTTGGAATGAACTATCGAGAAAAAATTAAAAACAACAAGTATAGACGAGTGAATAGTGCAAAAATAAATTGCCCAGTATGTTGAAGGCGCTGGACATTCTGTTGTTAGTGTGATAATTTTTAGCATTTTTTTAAACGTCTATCATTTTTGGTTTCTCCAGGTTTTAAATGACCTAACAAGCTATTAAGGCTTTTGACATTCTATACAACTTCAGTAAATGTTATACTGCCATTTTTCTCATTATCCATTTCTTTACCATCATCACGAATATCACTCTGCTTTGAAAGTTTTTATTTTTCTTCAACCTATATACCTGAAACTGTTAATTAACTTACAAGTTAATTGGTTATTCCACTAAGGCGCTTTCACTTTTACTTACCATACTCTTTAGCATATCGTCTTAGCTATATAGTTAAGATATATGTAGTAATTTGCATATTAGTTTTTGGTGAGCCCGATTCTAGAATTGCAACATAGCAAGCATGTGCTCTAATTATTTTTTTATTTCTCTGTCATTACGTTCTTATTCTTCTTTGGCTTCTTCTTTTAAACCTAAAACCGGGTAATGCTGGGTTTTTTTCTTCTTTTTTTTTTTGTTTTTGGACTAAGTGATCCACTAGAATACCCACTTTTCTCTTTTGGAAGATCGTCAATTCTCTGAAGTGTAATATTATTATGGTTACTCCAAAGTTGTGGGCACAAAACCTCCCTATTACCAGTGGATCAATTTCTTCCTTTTTTAAGTAAAAGTCACAAACCTTTTTCTCACAACAGATTCCTTTTAGTAGATTCAGATGTTAGGAAATATTAGGGGTTATACATAGAATAGATGTTAAAGCGAAAGAGGGTTTCAACTAGAATGAAAGTGAATATGTGAACTAAGCAAATACACTGAAAAAAGAATAAGAAGTTGAGTGAGATCTAATGGTATCACTATTTTTAAGAACTCAGGTATTTTCGTAAATCACTCATTAGATACGGCATTTGATGCAAGATATATATTAAGTTAATTGACAATTAGGAAAAACAAACTAAATATTGTTTTTTTTTTGTCGTCAAGTTTTACGGAATGCTAAGCGTATCTCGGAAACCGTAGTCCCCCATATACTGAAAGGTTAGAGTACCGGTCTCTGTTACAAGGCTCCAGAACATTGGGGAGAAGCGACCGGTCCTTGCTATGCTCGTCTAGGTGCACTACTTCTTGACAACTACTACCTAGTTTTAGGTTCCCTTGTATTGGTAAAGATAGACGGCATGTTTTTTTTTTCCTTGAATTAAAACATAAATAAATAAACATCAATTTAAATCTTCAAAGTATATAAGTGATGAGTGATGATTTACATGTTAACATTGATTTCAGTGTTTCAGGATACTACAGTAGTTATGAACCTTTTTTTTGGTTAATTTGATGAACAATGTATAAGCTTATCATATTAAAGGAATTGGTAGCCAATATAGTATTATAATTAAGTCAATGGGTGATTGTTAAATAAAATAAAATGAATAAAAAATCATCAGTCATATAGAATAAAATATATTTTGCTTTCTTTTAGTCCAGTTAACTTCCCAAACCATCTAAATTGTGAAATTTGGGAACTCAATCTCCGCACAAAAATATACAGTATAGTGATATTATATATGTAAATTCCAAATTTGTTTCTTCCTTAAAAAATTAGTGCATTATAATTTTTGTTTCTTTTGTTTTGTTTAATTAATTTATTTATAAATAAATAAATTAAATTAAAAAAAAAAAAATTTTATTCAATGCTTGAAACATGTTATTATATATTTCTGCCATTTTTTTTGTACAGACTGCCCTTGTATTTTTAATTAATTTCGAGGGAAGAGGGCGTCGGTATTTGTTCCGACGAGAATCCGAAAGAAGTTTAGTGAAGTTATATAATTGCAACTGAAAATTTTGAGTTGTATGTACAATGTATATATAAATATATACAATCAATTCATATATACTTCCGTTTTAAGATCTTCAAAATATTGCAGGGACCTTGAAAAATTGTTTTTTTTTTTTTTTTTTTGAAATTCAATTGACACTTGCCCATCCCCAAAAGTCACTGAAGCAGACTTTCTAAGTTAGCCAGCTGCAGCAGTATCTCAGCTGGAGGTCCACTCTCAAATTGAGAGCAATATTTTATAATACTCCGGAAAAATTGGAATAAAAGCTAACAAAAGGTTCAACTCTCAAAATAAATCTACATCAGCATAGATTTTTTTCCCTAAAAGAATAATTATAAATATTTACGTCTTTTTGAAAATAATATGGTTAATATCTACTCAATTCAATCATTTGTTAGTATTATTTTTTTTCACTCGTAGCATCACGATATATTTATTTGAAAAAAAAAAAAAAAAAAAAAACACTGCTATTCTTGGCCTGCACTGCTAAACATTTGTTTACAGTTGTGGCAACCATTTCTTCTTGTGAAAAAATTTGTCTTTAATGATATCACAGTTAATAATTAAAAATCTCCAAATTTCCAGCAGTAATATCGTCAAGGCATTTGCTGGGTTTTGCTTTTATTTCTCCCGAATAACCGATTTTTTTTTCTATTCATTCATTCACATGCACTGATGAATTTTATAACCTTTGTTTTCTTTATTTTGTTCTTTTATTTAAACTGTATTTGCATTTCAGTTTTTAATTATATGTGAAAAGTGGTATGCTAACTTTTTTTTTTGTAGAAATGAGTTTTTTATTTTTTTATTTTGATTTTGATTTTGATTTTTTTTAATTATTTAAAAAAATTCCATTCTTAAGCAATTTTTTAACTAAATTATTCTTATTTTTTTAACTGCGTTCTTTTCTTTTCAAAATATAATAAATAAATATAATAAATATAAACAATACGCAATAAAAGCTTTTCATATTATCTATTTTATACAATCCTTTCCACTATTTACATTCTTTTTTTATTAATTATTTTTTTCCTTCTCAAGTCTAGTTATGGTCATCAATTAGTGTCGTAGTCCTAGTCGTCGTCATGGCTCCTAGTTCTTTGATCCAATGTATATTTATACCATTTTTTGGTATTAGATATATATTATATATTCTAATGTTACTCAATCTATATCTGGCTAGTGAATTTAATCAAACTTTTTAAATGTTAGTGATAGGGGATCTTCAGGAGAAAAAAAATGGGGTCCTATGTATTAGAAAGAAAAACTTTTTATTTTTTTATTTTTTTTGTAACTTGCACTAATCACTAACCACCCCCCTAAATTTGTTTTTTTTTTTTCAAATTTTTTGTCAAAAGCATAATACCTTTATTTTTTTTTTTCTCTTGTTATCCTATAGTATGGAATATAGCTGGATTCTTGTTCCCTCAACTTTTTTTTTTTTGATCTTGTTTGTTACTGTTTCCATTCCAAGCTTCAACTTTCCCTTATATAATTCCTCCTGCTTTTTTCTTCTTCTTTGGCCTTTTATTTTGCTTCTGTGGATCATCACATACTACATTTGTTGAAATTCTCCTGCCGACCTGCAATGTGCCTGTGAGTAGCCCATGTGAGTTAATCGTTATCCATCAAACCTCGCATCAACAACAACAACAACAACAACCAGTCAAATTCAACTCCTCCATATATTGTATAAATATATATATTACCAATCATACCCAGTTAGTCAATAGACTTTCTAGGCTTCAAGTGCATATCAAATCCTTAAATTTTAAATTTTTTTAACATGGTATCAAACCGTTGTGGACCCAGAAAAGAGCAAGAAAAGTTAAAATAAAATATACCTTTTTTTTATATTTATATATTCATATATGCATACCCGTTAACTGAAAAAGCTTCCCTAGTTAGCCTAAGTTTCTTTCTTACCCATCAATGTTACATCGATTTAGACAACTGTACCTGCGTGAAAAAACCCGCAAATGTATCAATATACTATGTATAACCAGCTTTGAATAAAAAAAAATTAGTTAGGCCGTTCTAGAGTTTTGACTATTTTAAATGAATTACTACATTGGTAGTTTTTTTGGGCAAGTATCCTTAATACAGATGTTAAAATTCATATATTTATACACTAATTCAAAAAACTGTTTCACCCAATAGCTATACGCTATTCCCTTGCAAACTTCTTGCATATCAATATATTCTATCCTACAGACTTAACTCAAGCATAAACGTTCCAAGCATATGTTCTAAGCATAGTCCAATGTATGATAAAAAAAAAAAGAAAAGAAAAGAACTTTACCAAATTTTAACTACCAGCTTAGTTCAAAATACCATCTCAAATACCGCCTTCGTGGAACTTTTGAAATGTTGCTTTTTCTCTAAATATGTCTTCCCTGTTCAGTGTCTTTTGAAATATTATCCATTAGTAGAAACATATCTATGCTATTAATAAAAGAGACTAAAAATTTAAGCTCAAATAAAAAAAAAAAGGCTCATGTAAATAATTTTTACGGAAAAAAAAAGAGCTTATAAGCTTGTTTAACTAATTAGTTAAAGTCAACCTTTTAGCTAAACGGTTAAGCTTCTTGTTTATCATGCTGATGATATATCCTAATAATACCCGAGATGCATACCGAGCAAGCGCTCTTCTTCCTCATCCATCTGCTTGCACACTTCAAGTGCAATCAGTGCAAGCTCTGTTGTTTCCAGTACCGTATCATGCCCATCGATGCTCAGCAGTCGCAGCGAACACCGAAACCCGGCCTCTGTGAGGCGGTCCTCAAACCGCAGCGACTGCTGGATTGGCACAATCAAGTCAAATTTGGAGTGCACCAGCGTAACATCCATCCGGTGTGTCCGCTTGTTTTCTCCACTTGTAGCTGTAGTCGTTCCTCTGTTTCTTGTAGTACTTCTTCCTCTAAAGTTGGCAGCGGCCACATGTGTATTCATCTCCATAATGGCTTCCTCTAAAGGTGACCGTATTGTAGATGACGATGAAGATGACGCATCAATCATTCCTTGAAATAAAGCCTGTTCACCCGTCAGCTCATGAACAGGCTCTTGATCCCGCTCATCATCCTGCTCGTCGCCATAAACTGACTCCCACTCAAAATTCTGCGGTGACAGTTCGTACCAATGCTCTTGGTCATTTCCATAGGCATCTGCAATAAACCGATGATAGTATGGGCTATCTTTGGCTAGCTCAGGTAAATCGTAAACACCACCAGATGTAATCACATGGCTGATCCAACTGCCCGTGCCCATGGCAAGCTCGCTGAAAATGTACTGGTATGCAATACACGCTCCAGCGCCATGTGCCATGATGACAGCCTTGGAAATGTCATACGCAGACTTTACAAATTTGAACGCCCGCTTCACATCATCCAAGTGTCCCGGGTGCGCAATTTCGGGTGATAACCGGTAGTCGATCGAGGCTCCGGCCCAGTGTGCAGGCAGCCGTGACAAAATCACAGATCCTACATCCTTACTTTGGGTTGCATCTTGCCAGTATCCTCCATGCAAGAAAAAAAACCAGGGCGTTGACGGCGCCAGTCCAGACGCAGGGAGGTAGAGATCCAGCGTGTGGAACGGGTTCGGCGACGACTTGTATGGTAATGTCAACGGCGCGGGCCGAGTCGGCCGTGGAAGAAAAGTTACAATCGAAAGAGACCGCGTCTCATCTAAACTATATGCTCGCGTGCTAGTGCTGCCGCTTCGGTGGATCCCATGGAATGTATGGTGGGGACTGGTGCCGCCACTACTGCTGCCACTGTTGCTACCACTGCTGCTGGTACCAGTACTAGTGCCATGATTATTGCTATTGCTGCCATTATTCCCATGATTTTCCTCCTCCTCTCCTTCATCTTCTATTAGTACCTCCTCCTCTTCAGCCCGCCTTCTCCTAAAAACATTTACTCTGTCGTCGGTCTCCTCCTCATCCACCTTGTCATCCTCTAACGGTTGCCTCCGTTGTCTGTACTGCTGCTGCTGCTGCTGCTGCTGTTGTTGTTCTTCAGATATGTGGCTTGACGAGCTTACAGTGACCGTTGAACTCGGTGTGTAGGCCCCACTTGGCGTGTGGCTTCCTAATCCTCCAGTTGCTGTTGTTGCTGGTGCTGTTCCTAATCCTCCATCGCCAAAAATTCGGCCTCCCCCGGTTGCCACCATGTTTGATGTGTCCCGAATAGACATTAATGCTGTTGCAGAACTCAGAGCTTCTGCGGCAGACGAGGCTGGACTAGACGGCCGTGAAGACAAAACTGAAGCCCCACTGCTATTGTCTGGTACACTGCGAAGGGATGACAACGAAGAAGATGATGACAGCGTATGAACATCCTGCTCGTCTGGAAGAAATATCAAAGGCATCGGTATATTATACTAGATCTCAGTAATTTTTTTTTTTTTTTATTAATAAATTTTGTGTGTGGTGTGGGAATCTTCTGGATGACGAAAATTTTTTATAGATGGCGGACATATATATATACGATCATATATTGCTATGTGTGTGTATGCGGGGAGATAGATGCGGCTTTCCCTTTTGCCATTGTGATTAAACATGGACCATCAAAATAGCTTTCATAAATATACACAATCTTGTGATACTTCCTGGTTACTGTATCTGTTAATCTGGAAGCCTTTTGTGAAAAGATCAAAATTTTTTTCATTCAAATAAAACGATTATTCATTATTACAAAAACAACATACATAATGGCCTAAAACCTATCTCCAAAACCCCACAAAATCTTATTAAAATTTCCTGCTTAAATCCATATTATTAAAAAAATTAAAAAAAAATTAAAAATCCCTCCTAGTACTCTCTGTACTCATTATATATACTATCCAACTCGCCGTACATGGGTTGCGGTGCCTGTGTTCCTTGTCCCGAAGCCTGTGAAACGTACTGTGCTTGATCATTGCCGTCATCCAGCGATGGCGGCAAAGCCATCCCGGCGTCCTGCGCCTGTTGCATGTCACTTTCATCATCTTCTTCGTATTGGGTAGCATATACCTCTCCGCTTGACTGTTGTTGTTGCTGCTGCTGCTGCTGCTGTTGTTGTTGTTGTTGTTGTTGTTGTTGCTGCTGCTGAACCTGAGCTTGAGCCTGAGCTTCAGCTTGAGCAGCCGCCGCCGCAGCAGCAGCAGCCTGAGCCTGGGCTTTTCTTGATGCGGCCGATGATGACCCAATGGCTTCTTCACGAGGCACAATATCAATTAAAAAATCAAACATATCCGACTTTTGCAGAGCACTGGCAATATCAGATCGCTGTAATGTCCGTCGCTTATTTTCCTCTGCGTGAATCCATGCCCGCATTGTTAGTTCCGTAATGAAAATGTCGCACCCTTTGGCAAACAGAATCGGTGCCTCTGCAGAAATCATCTTGACGTCTTCATCCGCCTTCATAACTTTCTTGATCCGCGCAAGCGGTAAATGATGCTGCTTAAACTCGTGGTCATTGTTTTCAATCGAGTCAATCGTATCTTGCCAATATTGCATCATGATATTCCGGTATCCTCCAGTCAGACCTTGAGCCACATTGTTGAAGGTTCCTGAAATGAAGTTCGGGTCCTGCATATGTTGTTCGTATAACAGCTGTTCCTGGTCGTAAGCTTCCTGGTCCACCACATCGCTTTCCACCTGCATCTCTGGGTCCTGATGATTCATGGTATTATTTTTATTATTAATATTATTATTTCTGCTGCTATTGTTCTTGTTGTTGTTATGTAAATGTATATTCGGCTATTGTTTTGCCAAATTTTCTGTGAAATATATACGACGCGCCTTCCTGCACGTGATGATGATTTCTATGTTCTGGAAAACGAGATCCCAAATAAAAAACAAAAAAAAAAGATTTCAAACTGCTTATTTGCACAGTTTCTGTTCGAGTTTAAAAAAAGGAATGACGGTGGGTTCTAAATCGAAATGGTTCGCGTCGGGTTGTTGACGAAATAATAATAATAATAACAAAAAGCACCCCAAAAAACGTGCGGAAAGGAACGGGGCAGATGCAACTTGTGAATTTTTAGAAGAAAAAAAAAAAAAAAGAAGCAAGAAGAAAATTCAAACCCTAACCTATTAACACGGCTGGGGTTAGGTTTAATTTTTTTTTAATTTTTATTTTAATTTTTTTTTTTTTTTTTGGGTCTTGGGGTCAAAATTTTTTTTTTTTTGCACTAGCGTATTTTAGACAGTCTCGAAAATATCATCAACAGCATAAATATACCAGGAAATACAATGATCTCTCTAGCTGCTTCTGCATCCCCTATAGAATCTGTGACTTCCAGTGCAAGCGTAGATAGCTTTGGCGTTTCAGATGCGTCCACCATGTCTCAGGAGCCAGTCGCCAATCTGGAGGACCTGGACTTGGACGCTCTGCTAGCTTCGGCAAAGTTCAAGCTTCAGCAGAGACAACGCAACAAAACACATGGCTCCACGAATGAAAACACACTGAAAGAAATCAAAAATACCATTTCAGAGATTCCCAAACTGGCAGACGCTGAAGGAGTTTTAAACTTGGACAAAAACAAGGCAGAAGATAAGCCACTAATCAACCACGACGCGGCAGCAGCCGCGCTGGTACAGGATGCTTCCAAACAAACTAAAAAACAAGGCTCTCTGGAGTTTCGCACTATTTCTGACCCCGTTATTCTTAAGCGAGAAGCAAAGGCTAAGCGTGAAAGCACGGCCGGTGACCGGTGGTTTGGTATGCCCAAGGCTGAACTGACTCCGGAGCTGAAACGCGACTTGCAACTGCTACAGATGCGTAGTGTTCTGGATCCCAAGCGTCACTACAAGAAAAATACATTTGGTGTAGGTGCCGATGGAGAAACTGCATTCCCCAAGTATGTCCAGCAAGGCACTATCGTGGAGGATTCGTCTGAGTTCTTTTCGGCCCGTCTCACCCGCAAGGAGCGTAAGAAGACTTTTGCTGACGAACTTCTTTCTGATAACCAAACTCGCCAATACTTCAAGCGCAAGTATGATGAGATTCTTGAACAAAAGAACAAGGTCCGAAAGGATAGAAGAAGGAAATATTAAATCATTTAAAAAATTTTTTTTGCATATATTATTCTGGGGCATTTTATAAATCATTTTCATGTATAAAAACTTATATATTTAATTCAAATTCATGTTTTTGGAATCTCAGGCGGTCCGGCCGCCATAAAATCAATTACACGCTCAATAGTCCATCCACCGTCTTCGTAGGTCCGTTGTGACGGCGGCCCCAAGCTTCCTAATCGTGGCTGTCCAGGTCCGTTATTGGCTGTAGGTAATCCACGGAATGGAGCACCACTAGCTGTACGATTTTGCTGCTGAGGGGTCTGTTTGAGTTTGATTCCTGGATCTCGTTCACCTCGCTCAACCTGCTCACGGGTTAGAAACCCGTTCCATCTATGTTTCTTGAGCTCTTCCTCTACAGTCGCGGCAGCAAACGCTGAAAACTCCTCGTCTGCAGTAACTTGAACACCGCTCTCTTGTGCAAGCGTACGTGCATTAGCAATCCATTCTTCAACTTCAGGTGTGGCCTTTTTCCGCAGTAAAGAGCGTAACGATGCGCCCTGTGTTATTAAAGGAAACGAAGGTAAGGGGTATACAACTGTGCGAGCCAGAATATCACGGTAGTGTGCCAGCGTCTCACTTAAAGACATAAGTTGTTTCAAAATCACATTAAACTGGGCATGCAGATTGGGCCATGGCGGTAGTACGGGTTTGAGTAGAAGTGCGTGCATCATGTTGAGACTGTGGGTTAACTGGGTCAGCTTCAATCGCAAAAACTCCAGAGCGTTGATGGGAATCGCAGACATGTCCGCATGGTATTCTTCAGCCATGAGTACCATATTCCCTTGAGAATCTAGGTGCATTGGCTTCTGAGGGCCAACCTGGGGCGGGCCTCCAGAGACAACGTGTTCTTGAACGTTGAGTTGCATGTTTGGTAGTGAAGAGTGGTGAAGGGTGGTGGGGATAGGAAATTTTTTTTTTTTTTTAAACCAAAAATATAAAATTCACACACATACAAACACATACAATACACACTAACTGACATTAAAACTAATGAAGAACGACATTAACCCAGCACTTGCTGAGCGTAAGTATTTTATTGAAGAAGTATTTCAAGGATTCAAATTAATAGATTAAAGACAAAAAGGGCAAGGCGAGAGAGCAGCGCAAAGCCAAACAAGCGCGCGAAAAGTCCAAGACTGAACGTCTCGGGAAGCTCAGCTACTGGCGCGTCAAGGAACGTGTTGAACAGCTCGAGCAAAAGAAAAGAGCCGGGCCTAACGGTCGTGGTCTAACACCTCAAGAATCACAGGCTTTGCGGCGACTGACAGAAGATCTTGAGGCTCTCAAACAGCAACGCCACCAAGGAACTAATAACGGTAGCCAAAGCGAAAATAAGGACGGCGTTATTCGGCCGCGTTGGCGTGTCGTACGTAAAGGCGATGGCAAAGGTCGAGAAAGTATTTACTGGGATCCCATATTAAACCCGCATGGCATTGCACCACCTGGTATGCCAGATCTCACACAGACTGAAGTCACAGAGCAATGGCATGCACGACGGCGGGATGCGCGTGCACAACAGGGTAAATCACATAAACACAACGGAAGAGATAATGGAGACGACAGCGAGGGCGAGACTGACGAAGAAACACGCAAGATTCCAATGCCTCGCGGATCGGTGCCAGGCGTGGATGTGGATAGTGATGAGGAGGGACCTACTGTGACAATCGATCCGACCAAAAAGGCAGCTGAAGAGGCAGCGGCACAGCGCGTTGAGTACAGTTCTAAGCCCATGCTTCGTGACATGGTACACGAAGTTACTGCTGGCAGTGGATTGATACCTGCAACACTTTTGCGTCGTAAGCTGGCAAAACAAGGTGCGATAGAAGCAAAACAAATACCAGGAACACAAATACCTACAGAAAAAGAAGAACAACAAGAAGAAATAAAAAGATCAAACCATTCTGGCTCTCAAAACCGGTCTACCGGACCACAGTTACCTTCAGGCCCTCAGCGTCCTGGTCCACAACTGCCAGCAGGTCCACAACTGCCAGCAGGTCCACAACTTCCAGCAGGCCCCCAACTGCCAGCAGGCCCGCAGCGTCCAGGTCCTGAAGGCCCGCCTTTGGAAGGATATGAAGGCTATGACAACTATGAGGATTACTACTCTGACTATGACAGTGATTACAAAGAAACCAATGAGGCCCAAGATCATGAGGAATCACGACGACCGATGATGGAGGATGTTGAGGATGAAGAGGATTACCGTTATGCGTCGAACTTTGCACCTGAAGAAGAAGAATACAGGAAGCGCAAAAGAGAAGACTAGATTGATGAAGCATACTCTCAAAAGGGTTCCATTTGGAATAATTCTATTTAGGCATTGATATTAATGATGAATTCTTTGAGATGTATATGTTAATAAATTTTTTAACCAGTACAGATATCTGTTTCAATAGAGAGGTTTTCTGATGTTTTTTCTGAAATTTTCAACATAAGAAAGAATAAGTTAGTAGTAACTTTCAAGGACTTGTATTGAAAAGCCTGATGATTTTGACCAAAATCTTTATTTCAATCACAAAGGAAAAAAAAAAATCTTTTTTTTAGAAGCATATAATATATAAAAACATCATTATCACTTCAACGTGATGAAAATAAGGGAACAGTATCCCACTCTTAATCAAACAAAATACTGATTAGGCTTGATAATATCAGAGCAAAAATTTGACAGAATGTATAATTAAAAAGCAATATTTAATCGTTTCTATTTACAACGGATACAGTGTCCAAACCTATCGCATCAAAACAAGCAAAGTGATGGGTCTTAATCCACTTCCAAAAATCGAAATAGTTTTGATGTCGGTGAATAATAGCCAATAGCCAATAGCCTAAGCTTTCCGATAACGAGAAACTATTACGAGTAGAAAATTTACCTTTTGATTGCCTAGTAATTTTCCGTAACGTTTTTTTTTTTTTTTTAAAGTCAAACCTCATATTATTTCAACTTACTCCGTTAACGCAATGATCATTAAAATTGCAAAAATTTTTGGGTGTTTGTGTTTATTTGTTGACCCTTTCACTCTTGCGTGAAGCAGTTGACATTTATGAAAAAGAACCCGATTCACCAAGTAAAAAGTTTTTAAATGAAAGTTGAACAGTTATTGATTTAAATTCATAACCAAGATATTTTACTCTTGGAATTGCTATTCAAATATGGAACAAATATATGAAACAGGTTTTAATATAATAAATCATGAAATTCTTTTGAGCCTCACTCACTTATTAAAGTAAATTGACACTTTCTTTAAATAAACGTTAAATGGTTCAAATAAATTTAGACTACCTCATGCCAATTTAAGTCTTTTTATCAGGAAAATTATCCATTTTAATTTAAATTTTTGTTTCCGTATTGGAGTTGAGAGCAAGGATACTAGGGTGGTCAGGTGTAATTGAAAATCTTTTTGACAATAAAAAGGAATCGACCAAAAGCTTGTACCACTTAGCGATTTAAACATACCTGTTGATGTAGGATATCTTTATAATGAGACCAAACAAGATGCAATAAGGAGCGATTTTGCTAGATATTAAAGTTGAAAAAAAAAAACACTATCATACAAATTTAATGTCAAACTTATTTGTATCCCAGCTCTCGTTGCTAGGCACAGTGATAGTAATTTGAAATCAGGTTTTAATTATAGCTGTTGGAGAGAATTACCTGTGACACTTGATGATTTCTTTTGTAAAACACACATTTCACAAATAAAAAATTGACCCTATTTCTTTGCACAATCATTTCTTCAATATATTTTGCGACCAACTCAATTTTTCCAAAGTGAATTACATTTTTAAAATTACAAACTATATTGACTTTTGTCAAAAAAAATAGCTATTGCATGTTTTATAATAATAATAATGATATATTATCACATTTTCAAAAACAAAAGACATTAATGCAATTTATTTGCAAAAAAAAAAAAAGAATATGGATATGATGGTTGCGATTTATTTGAAGGAAAGCGAATTGTGTTCAATAAGTATAAATTTTTTTAGGATTATCTTTTCTCTATCAATCAATTTCTTAAATTTGTTAGCTTCTCAAAAATCAGTGAATGTATTAATATCGAAAACAAAAATGAAAGTCAGGGACTATCAAATGTACACGCTGTGCTTCATAACCTATATACATTTATTGGAGAAGATTCTTGCAGCAGGATACTACTGGAGATAGATCTGATTGCAAAGCTGCTTCTGCCTTAATAGACAAAAAAGAAAATTAGTTTTACATGAACCTATACTCGAAAAATCTTAAATGAGAAACAACAAAACGGTTTCTTTTTTTAAATTAATTAATTAATTAATATAAATGCCTTAGTTAACATTTGAACGATACCTGATTTAGAAAGGAGATTAAGGGTTAGTTCCAGATTTGTGAGCAAAGTACAACGAGAAAATGGTTCGAAGCAATCATATTGAAAGCTTCAATCCACTTTCTTCCTTTTTTTGTCTCAAGAAAAGAAAAGCCGTTTAAAGAGTAACTCGATTAGGAATAAATAGAAAAATTTGAAAAAAAAAAATATTGTACATTATTTTAATATTTGTAATTTAATATAATTCCAGTAAATTATTTTTGGAATTTGTAAACGCCTTGGTATAATAGCAGATATATATTCACTGGGCTAGTTACAACTAGTCATATTTAACTAGTTATCTAGTTATAATCGCGGGATATATATACATTTTCAAATTTTTTAAAAAAATCTTATTTTTTGACGTTGTAATTTCCCGGCATTTGGTTCGAAAGAATGGAGAAAAAAAAATTATTTGGAATTGACTTTTTAAACCATTTATTATGATACTAGTAACGACTAGTAATAACTATAGTAATTGATAGCAACATTGAATCCGATTGAATGGCATATTGAATTATTTAACACTTAGTTCAATTACATATGTAAGTTGGAAGTGAACTAAATAAGTTGTATTACATTTATAGAATCCAGTTGGAACGCTCATTGGAAATTACCAACTTGCTTTATAAAGCAATTTGTTTATATTTTTACCAAATTTCCATCGTCAGAAAAATATCCCATGTTTCTCCAAAAAAAAATTTAAACAATTAAAGTATAAAAAACAACAAAAAGTACAAACTAAAGCTTAGGCTTGGGAGTTTCAAGGAACTTTTGAGCTACAATTCTGCGCTGGATCTTGCCAGTGGCAGTCTTGGGCATAATCTTGGTAAAGAAAATACGCTCGGGAATCTTAAACTTGGCAAGCTTTGTCGACAAGAATTGTTGGATATCCTTTTCAAGGGCCTTGTGATCCTTGTTCTCAGCACTAGGCTTAAGCACAATTGCAGCATTCACGACCTGGCCATATAGCTCATTAGGAGCAGCAAAGGCAACTGCCTCGGAAACATCAGGATGACGGAGCATAACGCCATCAAGCTCAATGGGACTAATCTTCTCACCACCTCTATTAATAAGTTCCTTGATGCGACCAGTGATAATGACAAAGCCATCCTCATCCTTCTTTCCCTGGTCACCAGTTCTAAAGTATCCATTCTTGGTGAAAGATTCTGCGTTGGCCTTAGGGTTGTTGATGTAACCAGGAGTGACGTTAGGACCCTTGATGGAAATCTCACCTTCTTGGCCAGCGGGCAGAATATTGTCATTAGCATCGAGAATAACAACCTCAACACCTTGACCAACACCAACAGTACCAGGCTTTCTCTTGCCAGGAGGAAGGTTGTTCGAAGTCATTTGGTGGCAGGCCTCAGTCATGGCATAAGCTTCAAGAACTGGAGCCTTGAAGGTCTCCTCGAGAGCTTCGAATGTAGCAGGAGCTAGAGATGAAGAGCAAGAGCGAATGAAACGGATCTTGGGGAGAGGTGAGGGAATCTTGCCCTTGAGGAGAATCTGATGGATAGTGGGTACGGCAGTGTACCAATTGGCCTTATAGGTGATAAAATCTGACCAGAAGGACTGGGCAGAGAAGCGTGGGGGAATAACAACGGCACCACCGGAAGCTAAAGGAGCAAGGAAACCGGCAAGAAGACCGTGGACATGAAAAAGAGGCATCACGAGGTAAGAGGTATCAGCGGGGGTAAGCTTATAAGTGTTAATAATGTTAAAGACGGTGGTAGCCATGTTTTTCTGGGTCAAAGGAACGGCCTTGGGACGACCGGTTGTACCCGAGGTATGGAGAACAAGGGCAACATGAGAAGAAGCTGGAGCTGGAGGGACTGAGGTAGAAGCAACGGTAGCACCAGGGGTAACTTTGATGATAGAGCCTGTTTCCTTGAGATCGAGAACAAGCTTGCGAGAGGAATCATCCCAGTAGATTTCAGCAATTCCTGCGCCAAAATCTCTGGCAGCCTGGACGGCTGGAGAGTTATTCTTGACGTGGTCTTTGGGGACAAGAACAAGAGCAGACTTAAGATCGTCAATGTAGAAGGCAAACTCTGATTTTTTGTAGGCTGGGTTCAGAGGAGCAGCAATGTAGGAAGAGAATGCCACGCCAAGGAAAGAAATCGCGAATTCGAGGTTGTTGGGAATGGCAATAGAAATGGCAGCTTGCTGAGGGATGTTGAGCAGAGCAAGTTCACGCTGAAAGTCCTTGATGGCCTGAACATATTGTGAGTGAGAAAGTTGGGGGCCGTCGGGAATGGTAACCGCAATCTTAGAGGGGTTGGCCTTTGCGGCCAGAGTGACAGCCTCGTAGAGAGTAGCGTGAGCAGGCATGATTCTGAGAGGGTATATGATATTTGGTTTGAAAACAAAAAAAAAAAAAGGACTCAGGGATACAAGGGAGTCTTTGAAAAGGAATTGTGTAGTGAATAAAAAAAAGAAACAAGAAAGAGAGAGTGTGTGGAATTTTAGGAAAATGTGGTGGTTTATATGTGATTGGAGTTTTTTTTTTTTTTTTTACATAATTAGGTCTGGGGCAATAGGACCAACCTGTGAGCCGCAGCAGCCACCTCCACGCGACCCCTCAAACCGTGTAGGTAGGTCGGGCCGGACTGGTGATTCCGAGCAGACGGGCGGCGCTGCGTAATATATATAGAAAGAGTAGATTGATTTCAGAAGATATGCAAAGAGTCAAAGTCTTCAGAGGCCCTTTGGCTGGGAGGTCAAGCCACAATTTGAAGTGCGTTGACACATTACAAGGCACAAAGTCATTCTCAAAGCCGCAGGAAGGTTCGGCAGAATAAAAGGGACTTTGTTTGCATAAAGGCTGAACCCAGCATGAGCTACGGTATTTTAGCAGCAGCAGCAGTAGCAGCAGCAGTAGCAGTTTCTCTTAGCAATTTAATTGTATACGGGAAAATGAAAGCCCGTGGCAGGCCTGATTGACTCATTTCACGGGACTTTGGGGAAGTTATGAGGTGTGGCGAGGCGGTGGAGAGGGATTTGTGAGAGACGTGCGGATGACAAAATGACAGGCAGACAGACAAGCAGCAAAGGCGCAAAGCCCAGGAGGTGCCGTTAGAAGATTCTGCAAGCGCATGTATTTTTCCGAAAAACCCTAAGTTACAAATATCTTTTGTTAACTATAGTTGTTACAATTTTATTTACCCGGACATTTAAATAATTACCCTGATCAGGGCTAGGGCCACTTTTTTTTTTTTTTTTTTTTTTTTGGCTTAGAACATTGAGATATAAAATGCCCCAAGCACACAACACTTCTTTTCCTCTCTTTTTCTTTTTTTCCTTTTTTTTTCTTCAGATCCTTCCAGCGTTTTCAAACGTTGAAATGATGAAGACTATGCGTTTTTAACACCTGGAACAGCCCCCGGGGTAGGGCCTCTTTGGCTTTGCTACTGGTTGACCCTTGACGGGGTATCGGGTTCAGATGGGTGATGGCGTTCAGCGCACCCTTCTTGTTACATTATGAACGCCCCTTTTTTAGTACATTCTGACCCACATATTTGATAAATACTGTGAGGGATCCAAAATTAAATAATTATAGATTTTTAATATATTTTTTTTTTGCTTAACTTTTTTAATTGCATTTCGCGGGTTTCTAGGTGGAAGCTGAGAGCTAAAACCATGTCCCTACTCTCAATCTTCTGTATTACCATACGCGAGAGATTAATACTTAAAAGACTTGTTCTTATTTTGAAAAGGCCTATAGCCTTATTGACCTTTTAAAAGAACTTCTATGTGTATTTTCATTTGAAAAGATCATTTTTTTCGTCTTACATTTTCCAGCCATTTGTTGTTCAGTCACAGATGAATGGCACACGAGATACTACATTAAAAAAAACACAAGAGAAGAACTTCATTTAATTAATGTCTTATTTTTATTTTTATTTTTTTTTATTACTTTTATTTTATAATTCCTATTCCTAATCTTTTTATTCGTATTCTTACTATTTTCAATTCAATTGATTGTAGATTTTTCACTTAGCCTTTGCGCTTTCTTGCTCCGCAGCCAGGCGGCGCTCCTCAACGTCAGTTTCTGCAAGCATCAAAGCGGCACGGTACATCTGAATAACATTGATAATCTGCTTACCCAGCCACAGAGGGAAAGTAATGATCAAAATAATGGTAGCATAGGACAAGGGCACGCCGTAAATATATCCGAGGTTAGGTGGACTCTTGAGCGGGAAAGAAAACAAGTAGAGACCGACGAAAAAGAGCTCATTAAATGCACAAAATGTAAAGAGAACCTTATTATTGGTGTAGTAAAGGTTCAAAATCCAACTCTCTTTCCCCACCTTTTTGTGCGAGGACGAACCTGAAGTCAGCATCGCATACATGTGCATATAGTGAGATGCCAGATCCAGTGACACGAGCATTTGGAAAACAATAGCGTAGCGCGGGTATGCCACACAGAGATAGCAAATCAAACAAGACGTGGTGCAGCGGTCAGTCACCATGTCCAGAACAGCACCAAAGCGCGAGGTTTGGCCGTAACGACGAGCAGCAACGCCGTCCAGCGCATCCAACAGACACGACAGACAGTAGAGAACGGTACAGTACTTGGGGTGCCATTGCATGAAAAAAAGGGACGCGAGCGCGAACAACACTCGTGAGTAGCCAATCAGATTGGGAATGAAGATAAAAATATCACCGGATGTGATGACCGAGCCGTGCGGTGCTTCGGTCCATGACCGACGGTGATTGATTGGCTTAGTAGTAGTAGTAGTGGTTTCCGGTGCAGTCATAATGGTGAATCGGTAAAATTTGGCAATATATATGCTAGGGTGTATATTATTTTTATGGTATCAATCAAACGCGGCTCGCGATAATCTCTTTACTAAAAAAGAAAACCAAAAAAAAAAAAAAAATCAAAATCCCAACCGAATTTGTTTTTTGTTTAAAGTTCCAAGGCAGTCTTGTGATGTGTCTGATAAGCAATGTAAGACCAGAAATAAAGATCAATCTCCGTTCTTTATGCCGGTAAAGCGTGCGAGTGTTTAACTGAACTACTATTAATGGTTGGCAGCAGAGGCAATAGTGGTAAAGAAGGTTGTGGTGATGATGATAACGAAAGGAAAGGACAGGTGGATGGATGAGTGGAAAAAAAATAAAAAAAAAAAAAAAAACAACCGAAAAAATTCAAAATTTTTTTTTGTGAGTGACCAACAACAACGACGAAAATTACACGCAACAAAAGTAACACTGAAAAAATACTAAAATCAAACTAACAAAAATAATAACAAAAAAAAAAAAACTACAGGTTTTTAAAAAAAAAATAGATCGTGATGTTTGATATAGAACAATCAAGACATATCTACTAAATACCGGAAAAATTAAATAAATTTTGGAGGGGAGATCATTGACGTTAAGCCTTGACATTTTGATAGAGCAAGTCGTAAATCCTTTTCAAACCACTAAAACTAATCATTGACTAATCATTGGTTATACTTAGCCGCACATAAATCAACCACTTGAAAATTTTCCCAGAAGGGACAAAAAAAAAAAAAACTCGTAGCGATCACAAACATACTTCCATCTACAACCATCAACAAAACTGCTTGACATTTAAAACCATGGCCACTCTGCAATCCCTTTTGGCCACAGCATTGGCTCCATCACAAGAGGGTGCCATTGCATCTAATGCAATGCACACACTTAGCCTTTTGCAATCTGGTGCTGTTCTTGCTCAGGCTGACGAAAATACTCTCCACAAGTTTATGGTCCGTGTCTCGGCATTACTCAAGGCCAAAGCCCCCATTGCCAAATGGTTTGCTGCTTATCTTGCTCATACCGCATGTGAAACTAACTGGAAAGTGCTTAAATCTCATGGTGGAACTTGGGCTGGTTTGTTGTTGCATCTACTTGAGATCAATGAGCAGCCTGTTGTCAAGGAAGCTGCAATTCGCGCCCTTAGAACAATTTTTGCAAAGACACATGGCAAGCAAGAGTTTACTCGTGACATTACTACCCCTAGACTTCCCCAGTATCTCAAGTTACTTTTCAAGCATGCTCAAATTTCAGAAGAAACTGTCTCGGTTAATCAAAATGGTGCTAGCAGCAAAAAAAATAATGATGCACCCGCAGATGAGTTTATCGAACTTGGATACGACGAACATAGCAGTGATGAAGAAAATGATAAGGAAGATAATGAACAAAACTTTTTTCACGATACCACCAAAGTTGAAACCGATATAAAGGATATGACCCGACTTTTACCTGCCATCATTCCTGCCATTAATACCGTTCTAAAACTCCAATCAACTACATTCAGACCATTTACTAAAAGATATTTGGCTCTTATTTCTACCCTGATTTCTATCTCATACACAGATCCTACATCTATTTCTCCGGCTCTTCTTCGTGATGTGTGCACAGGATACGCCCTTCTTCATCATTCCGCACCAAAAGACACTGAAGCCCTTACATGGCGTCTAAGCATTAAACACGTTGTCGGTCAAATCAATACAACCATTACAGACATTTCCTTTGCTTTTGTGGACGAAGACTTTAACGGGAAAATTGAAACTGGGTCGCTCCAGGCAAATTTTACTGCTGATAACGGCAAAACTATCACAGTCGATACCCCTGTTCTCAAACTTAAGCCTTTAAGTGGCACTACAAACGGAATCCCTAGCGCACAGACCCTGACACAGGCTTCTGATAAAATTAAATCTTTAATGAATCTTTTGGCTGCGCATTTGCGAGTCTCTACAAAAAGCCCTGTTAAGCTTCCCATTGGCGCACTCATTACTCTTGCAGATCGCATCCTTTCTTTTTCTGCATACACCACGACCAAAACTGTTGGTGGTGTCAATGAAGGCCCTCGCCGTGCCGCCTTTTTAAATTTTATTAGTGAGATTCAGTTTTTTGTGTTTGATTTACTACTACTTCGTCTTATCCCTCTTGCACAAACAATGCTCTTGTGCCATGTTGATACTCTTACACACCATGTCAATATCCATGTGCAACCTCCTGCGGGTCCTGCAATTGACAATATTATTTCTAACAGAAGACTTCAGCTCAAGGCATTACAGTTTGCTACATCTCTTTTGCGTCTCCAAGGGTCTATCCCTAAAACTGGTGCGCCTGCGGTTGCTGCCATGGTCTCGGCAGCGGTTGCACTCTCTTCTCCTTATAAGGATCCCTCTGCTGAAGGTTTGGCTGATGCTGTACCTGCACCTCATCTATTTTTCATTGATCCTACACCAGCACAACTTGCTATTGTAGCCCGGTTTTTCGAGACTGTGGTTTCTACTGTTCCAGATCTGAGCCTTCCATCTCGCGCGAGCATTGACCGTTGGTTCATTGTATCTGCTGCTACAGCCAAAAACCGTACATATGGAGTGACCTCTACAAACACCGTTGTGACCAACAAACAAATCCAACTTTGGGACAATGTGCTTTCTACATCTGCTGCATTCCCAGGACGCGCTTCCAAATACAGCATTTTGCCCATGGCAGCACGTCTTGCTCCTGGGTCACGAGTCCTTGACGCTCTCATCAAGCCCCGACTGCCACCTTCTGTTAATGTGGTTCAAAGAATTATACCCACCGCATCATTTCAGCCGACTACTTCAGATGAAGTTATTCAAGAAACTGATTCTCAATCCAAAAAGAGAAAAATTGACGAGACTGATAAACAAGACGCGTTGTTTTCATCTAAAGCACAGAGTACTGTTGACATTGAGATGGAATACAATGAAGGTGGCTTTTTTAAGGAAACCAATGAAGAGAAGGTCAATGCACCTAATCGTGAAGTTTCTGTCGAACTGACAGAGGAAAGTGTTGTTGTCCAACCCCCAAGAAATGTTCGGGAGTCAATTTTTGCCAAAACTAATTCTGAACCCTCGGCCGAAGTGGATTCTGATGCTAGTTCTACTTCTCGCGTCCGTAGACGTACCAAGAAGCAAATGACTGAACATATGAGACAGAAGCAATTAAAAGAAGCAACTGCCACACCCTCAGAAGATTTGGAAGAAACAGACCAAGTTGTTTCGGTTGGACCAGAAATTGTTCAAATTTCAGATGATAGTGAAGATGATAATGATGATGATGATAAGAGCCCTTCGACAGCTGATACTAGCAGCAATAACGGACAAGATCGCAGTGGCCGTAATTTCCGGTCGAGCACTCGTAATAACCGGAAAGAAAATACATCAGTTGAAGTTAATTTAACAGATGATAAAGATGGAGAAGATTTTGAGGAAGATGATGATGAAGCTGAGGAAGATGATGAAGTTATTAAAATTAACAACATAAGCTTAGATCTTGATAGTTCAAGTGATGAAGAGTCATAAAATAAGAATTAATAGATTTGAATACATATATGTATAGATGATAGAACTAAGACATTAAAATACACAAAAAAATTATTTTGGATTTTTTAGACTAGGGAATATTTCGATAAAAGGGATTTACCGCCATTAATATAACAACACATATCAAAGAAGCAAAAGTTCAAAGCACTGAATTACTATGAAAAGATAATAACATTAAACTGCATGAGACCAAGTTTATTTTTTGGCTTTTATTGATAAGCCCTTGACTCATTAGAATTATCCTAATAAACTAGCGGGGCTTCTAAATTTGCTTGCTCATACAACGTCCCTTCGATTAATAACAATGATGGAAAAGTATTTTTTTAGAGTTTATATTTTGAGAATATCTCTTTTCAATGGTGTCATTTATTTACCTGGTTAATTTTAGGAAAAACTACTCAGCCATAATTGCTGTTTTGAAAGATTGGCTAACTCAGAAAATTCAAAATATATTCAAAAAATACGATATATATAAAACAAAATTTTTTTCTCTTGTAAAATCACTTTTAGTGGGCAAATCTAAAGTCCAATCTCTTGTTACCCTTATCGGTAGTATTTTGGCGGTACTCATGCTGCTGCTCCAAAGTCATGGCATTCCAAATTTTATCACGGCTCTTGTTTCTCCAAACATAGTAAATCTTGGTTCCAATGAGAATGGCGAGCGAAACAAAGCCGATGCCGAAAAGCACACGGTTACCTCTTCTATACTTGGGAGAGTCATCCTTGCGGTAGATATTGGCAGCAATGATACTACCAGCTTGCACAAACATGTTATACACAGCAGCAGACACAGTACGGGTGCGGACAGTATTGGAATTACGAGAGCACCAGCCAACAAGAATTGCGTGAATATAAGGGCCTGAAAGAAGAACAACTAAGAGTGCATAAGTACCCCAGACATCAGAGAGTGATTTAGACCAAAAGGCAAGGGTACCAATACAAGGAATAATCCAAAGTGGCTGGAGAGTACTGGTAAGGGTTCTTTCATTAATTCGTTCAGTTAACCATGTTTGGGCAAGCAAAAGAACAATGTGGACAGCGTTAGGAGGAATGGTAAGCAAGTTAGTGTTGAAAGTAGAGAAACCAAGCTGTTTAAGCGTAAGGGTCAAATATGCAGACACTGTTGAAGTAGGGATATAGGACACGAGACCAATAAAATAAAGGGGCCAAAGATCGTAATCACAAAGAGATTCCCAAAGCTGCTTCACAGTGACAGCTTGACGATTGTGCATATCTCCCTTGGAAGGATCATCTCTAAGTACACGATTAACAATAAGCTTTTCCTCAAATTCAGTAAACCAGCCCTTAGGTCTGAACCAAGTTTTAGTTTGAACAGGTGAGGGAGGAAGTTGAATGAAGGAAAGAAGACCAATAATGAGGGTAAAGATACCTTCCAAAAGAAAAAGCCATCTCCAACCGGCCCAACCAAGAATACCACGCATGCGGAGGACACCAAAGGCAAGAAGTGAGGCGCAGATATCGGTCAAAGTTAAAGTGGTCCAGAAAAAACTGAGGCGAATGGGAAGTTCATAGCCGGTATAAAAATAAGACAACCAAGAAACAGTATCAGCAATAAAACCACCTTCGAGAAGACCAAGAAGAGCACGAGTGGCGTAAAAGGAACCCTTACCGGAAAGTCGGGACTGACACATGGCGACAATGGACCAAATGGTGATTTGAGTAGGAATCCAGCGATCAGGACCAATTTTTTTAGAAACAAGTTGTGAAGGGAGTTCAGCAGCCAAGAAACAAACACGGAAAATAGTTTGACCAGTATTATAGTCGTTGGTGGTTAGATTGAGATCCTTAAGCATGTTATCGGACAATGCCTGGCCAATGTTACCACGGTCTAGCTGCAGAGCCATAAACATGGCACAAGCCCATAAACAAGCACGGAGTTCAATTTTCCACAAGAGTTTTGTTTCTTGCTTTGGAGTCCATTCAAAGTCAGGATCAAAATGGAAGCGGCCTTCGTAGGTGGCTTTGTCGTATATCTGGCGGTAGTGGTCGGCAACTTCAGGGTCACGGAAAACGTGATCTTTACCTCCGTAGAAAGGCTTGCGTCCTTTGAGTTTTTGTTCACCCTCAGTATCGTAAACATCCTCATTGTTGGAGAAAGCGGTAGTGATTAAAGTTTTGTCTTTGGTCGAGTCGTCGTCAGACTTTGTGTGGACCACAGTATTGTTTTTCTCAGTGATTTCAGAAGACATGGTGAGAATGGAAAAGATGAGATAAAAGAAGTGATTGATGAGAAAAAGAATGAAGATGATAAAGAAGAAGAGAAAAAAGAAGAGATAAAAAAATCAGAAGAAAAGTCCATCTTTATATACTTTAGTTGTAGAATCAAATGAAGCGAAATATATTTTAAAGACGAGATATTGATTGTTCGTAATTGTTGAAACGAATTTTCAATCGAGAAAAAAGATGTTTCTAAATTTTTTTTTTTGTTCAAGGACTCCGAAAGGATGAATGATACTAAAAAGCAAAATACGTCTTTATGAAGACAAAATGGTTGACGGAAAAAAAGCCGCTGATTGATATATTCATTATGTTAAGTTTGATGTTTTTTTTTTTTTTTTTTTTATGTTTTTTTTTTTCATGGGTACGGATGCAAGTACCAAATAGCCTCACCGATACCCTTATTTTTTTACTGGACTTATTCACGAGCTTAAATTGATCTTTAAACATTGACCTTAACAATCTTTAAACTTGCAAACAAATTTGTATATGACATGAAAAAAAATTAACAAAGCTTGATAAAATATTATCTACGCTTAAAACATAGATAATGGCCCATTTTTTTTATAAAATTATTATTTTATTTAATTTTTCCTATTGAAGAGTCGAAAGCGATGGAAGAGATCCGTTATGATTCTCTTGACTTTTCATGTATTTCTTGGCTCTTGAACTAATAATATTCTTTTTCATTCTTTCTTTATGAAGCGGCGACATAAGAAAAAAAAAAAGTTTTTCAAACTACTTTTTGAATAATAGTAATAATAATAATAATAATGATAATAACAACATACGCTGACAAAACAGAAGTTTGCCACAAGGCTTTTTCTTTTTTTTTTTTTTTTTTTTTTTTTTTTCCTTGCGGCCACGGCATCAGTTGGTGGTGGTGTTGGTGATATTGTTTGGGTGGGCCACAAAGAAAGGCCAACTAATACTTGCAACTTTCCACACAGTGGACCACCTTGTGGCTTGAGGTTAACAATTTCACAACATAATCACGACATTTCAAGGTTTGATTTTTTGCACTTTTTTTTTTTTTTTTTTTAAAAAAAGGTTTGTCTAATAAAAAAAATTGTGGCTAATCTTGGCATTTTTTATAAAAGACTTTCAACTTAAAATATTCTTATAAAAATTTTTTTAAAAAAAAAAAAAAAACTTTAAAGGAATGTCTTTTTTTTTTTTTAATTTTTTAATAATTTTTTTTTTTCGTCTTATACTGGGCATCTCTTAACCACCTGGAAAATTCCAAGAAATTTCAGACAACTATCGTTAAACAGACTTGGTCAGCTTGGCCATATGATAGCTAAGAAAGTCAAGATAATCCAAGCCCATCATTAATCGACTTTGATATGATGATAGGCAGGGGAAAGTTGTGTAATGGTTAAAAACAACTTTAACCAATTTTAAGTTGGTTAACTAAGCTAAGGCTGATAAGCATGTAAAATTGTGGGGATGAAAAGATGTGTATCCAATTATCGTGACCATAACAACTTTAATTACTAAACTTAGTAACTAGAATTTAAAAAATTACATAAGCATATATACATAGGTTGTGTGTGTACAACAATTTCATTTGAAAATGACTCGCTATTTAATTTTTTTTATATTTTAGTTTTCATAGAAGGTAAAGTATCCGCTTATTTTATTTTTTTTTCTGAATCCCGAGTAAAATCATTTTTCCGCTTTTATCTATTTGTTCTAAACTATTAATGTAGATCTACATGTTAAAACTAATTAGTTAGAACGAGTTCATAGATACTTAAAGTATCTAATTGGGATAAAATAATATACGATAAAATACTGTCAAAAATTTATATGGTCCAAATACAAAACTTTAGGTCATCCCCATGGGTTTGGGTTAAATGTTTCCGACACACCTTAAACAGACTTAAAGAAATCATAAAGATTTTAAAATTCCGTTAGGGTTTGGGTTAACATTTTTGACACATCTTAAAAAGACTTAAAAAAATTATAAAAATTTTAAAATTCCATTAGGGTTTGGGCTAATTATTTTCGACACACCTTAAACAGATTTAAAAAAATTATAAAAATTTTAAGAATACGCTAGGGTTTGGGTTAAATAAAATTACATTGGGCGAATAGTTTAATGAATTGATTTCTGTATTTAATAAAATAATAAGGATACAATGAATCTCCCAATTTTCGAATAAAATTTTTTTTTTATTTGATATTACTGCCATTTTCTTTTACATTTCCACAAATTTACTGAAATAATTTATATTTTGAATAAATATTTATTTAAGTCTAGAAGATGCCTAGACTCATTTTCTAAATTGTGATTTCTTTTTATACAAAGCCGAATTACTCATGATTTTATATCTCTTTTTTAAAATTAAAAAAAAAAAAAATATTCACATTTTTTATATAAAAATTGAAGTATTTATTTTTATTGAATCACTTTTTTTTTCTTAAAAAAAAGCTATATATATAGCAAATATATATTTGATGATAAAGAATCGGTTATAACTGGTTCTTGAATTAGTAGTTTTATTTGAACTTTGATAATTATCAAAATCCTTATAAGGATTTTTTATTTTCATATTAAACTAGAAGACGTAAAAATAAAAATAAAAAGTTTTGAATTCATTTAGGATTAAAAAAAAGAGAGCTGCTTCTACATTTCGGTAATAACTCCAAAATTAAGAATCAATCACCTAGCCAGCATTAGTAATGTTTTATATGACACCTCTTTTGAGTGACTACTTGATACATCGTAATCATGAAATGACGTATTTTAATAAGTAAATTAATATTCTTTCAAAAAAAAAAAAAAAAACCTTGGCATTTTAAATTTCAAGAAAAATAAAATATTGATCTCAAGACGAATTCTATTTGGCTTAACTTTAAAGTAGTACCAGCCGTGCATAAACCATGGCTGAAAAATTGTTGCTTTAAATATCCAAATTGGGAAATTTTCACAAACAATATTGAGAATAAATATATCCAATAGAAATGCCTAATTAAAATTTTTTAATCATTTCTACCTTTAAAACTTCACCAATTTTCGAGGAGAAAATAACAAAAAGGATTTTCAAAAAAAATATCAAATTACTCAGCAATTATCATAAGACCTATTTTAATACTTTTTTTTAATATTTATTAAATATTTAAAATACAATAAAATTTTTTTTAATGAGTAAAAAAGATATTGTTACTATAAATCTTGCATAGAAAAATTAACTTCAAAAAAAATACCAATTCTGTAACTACTTTAACTTAATGAACAAATCTGAAATCCAATCTTTTGTTACCCTTGTCTTTGGTGTTCTTACGGTAATCATTTTGCTCCTCTATAGTCATGGCGCTCCAAATCTTTTCACGGCTCTTGTTTCTCCAAACATAATAAACCTTTGTTGCAAGAAGACTAGCCAATGATACAAATGCAATAGCAAATAACACCCGGTTACCACGGCGGTACTTGGGAGAATCGTCTTTGCGATAAATGTTGGCAGCAATGATACTTCCTGCTTGGACAAACATATTGTAAACAGCAGCTGAAACAGTACGAGAGCGAACAGTGTTTGAATTGCGAGAACACCATCCAACCAGAATAGCATGAATATAGGGACTGGAAAGAAGAACAACTAAAACAGCATAAGTACCCCAAACATTTGTAAGTGAATCAGACCAAAAGGCAAGAGTACCAATACAAGGGATGATCCAAAGTGGCTGGAGAGTGCTGGTGAGTGTACGTTCGTTGATATTTTCTGTAAGCCAGGTTTGGGCAAGTAACAAAATAAGATGGGCAAAGTTAGCTGGGATAGTTAACAAGTTAGTGTTAAAAGTAGAAAAGCCAAGCTGTTTAAGCGTAAGGGTCAAATATGCAGACACTGTTGAAGTTGGAATATAGGACACGAGACCAATAAAATAAAGGGGCCAAAGATCGTAATCACAAAGAGATTCCCAAAGCTGCTTCACAGTGACAGCTTGACGATTGTGCATATCTCCCTTGGAAGGATCATCTCTAAGTACACGATTAACAATAAGCTTTTCCTCAAATTCAGTGAACCAGCCCTTAGGTCTGAACCAAGCTTTAGTTTGAACAGGTGAGGGAGGAAGTTGAATAAAGGAAAGAAGACCAATAATGAGGGTGAAAATACCTTCCAAAAGGAAAAGCCATCTCCAACCGGCCCAACCAAGAATACCACGCATACGAAGAATTCCAAAAGCCAAAAGAGAAGCACAAATGCTTGTCACTGTCAAAGCAGACCAAAAAAAAACTGAGACGAATTGGAAGCTCTGTACCTGTGTAAAAGTAAGACAACCAAGAAACAGTATCAGCAATGAAACCACCTTCAAGAAGACCAAGAAGTGCACGGGTTGCATAAAAGGATCCTTTTCCTGTAAGCTTACATTGGCAAATAGCCACAATAGACCAGAGTGTAATTTGGGTGGGAATCCAACGATCGGGACCAATTTTTTTAGAAACAAGTTGTGAAGGAAGTTCAGCAGCTAAAAAACAGACACGGAAAATAGTTTGGCCTGTATTATAATCATTGGTGGTTAGACCGAGATCCTTAAGCATGCTATCGGACAATGCCTGACTAATATTACCGCGATCAAGTTGAAGACCAATAAACATGATACAAGCCCAAAGACAAGCGCGAAATTCAATTTTCCACAACAGTTTCCGCTCTTGCTTTGGGGTCCATTGAAAATCAGGATCAAAATGAAAGCGGCCTTCGTAGGTGGCATTCTCGTACATTTGACGGTAGTACTCTGTTACCTCAGGGTCTCTAAAGATATGATCTTTCCCACCATAAAATGGCTTGCGTCGTTTAAGTATATTGTGACGGTCAGGTTCGAGAAATTCATTTTCCTCATTTTTAGCTAAAACAGTTGAAACAAATGTTTTATCATGAGGAACTTTCTCATCATTTGACTTGGTTTCATGGACAGTTTTGTCTTTTTCAGTATTTCCATGAGTCATTGTAAATATGAATAGAGTAGAGAATAGAAGTGAATATAAAAATTCAAAAGTTCAAAACAAAAGAATCAATTATACGAGAGAAATGTTCGTCCTTTTATACTTTAATTATTTATACCAATTTAAATAAACTTAAGAATGAAATCTAATTAAAAAAGAACCTGGTTCGTAATTTTTTCAACAAATTTTCAATTATAATCTAAAAAATGATCAAAATCAAGTAGGACTCCGATTTATTTGAGAGTTGCAAAATCTTCAATTGGTGATCATTCCTATTTTTCTTTAATAAAAAACTAGCCGATTGTGTGGTAATTTTCATATTTTAGAAATATAATCACCGAGTAACGTATATACGTATAAAAGTTGAATAGAACAATAGGAGATATATGGTTCACGGATTGTAGTGGACGGGATCTTAATGAAGTATTTCCGGTGGTATCTATTTGTCCCATACATTTTAACTCAAAAAAAAAAAAAACTCAAATGCACTCAAGATTTTAGTTAAATACATGCTTACACTTATTTCGAAGTTTAAATTTACGCTTAAAATATGAGTTGAAATTTTTTGAGAAACAACTAAACAAAGTATTTAAACACCTATCATGATAAATATTTCCAAGACCGTTAATTATATATATATATATATATATATATATGATTTGGCATAGAAGACATCCTTTCAACAGTTGAGATGCCAAGTTATACTTTAATTCCTAATTTCTGGTTTTTGAATTGTTTATTTTTTTTTAATCATCTACTTGTAAATTCAAATTTGATTCCATGACGTAGTCTAAAATTAATTTAAAAATATTTTTTTTAAACGTTCTGAACTTCTTAGATTGGAACAAAAACGGTTTCTTAAACTTAAGTTTCTTTTTCAATTACTTTTATTGAAATGTAACAAAAATTATAATACAATGGTTCAATAGCTTTTCATTGGTGGATTACACTACGTTTTTGAAAAATATTAATCTTGTGGCTTGTCCTTGTTAATTTTGAGTTACAATTACGACATTTCAGCGGCGCAGTCGAAGCCCACTCCCTTCTATGAAAAAAAAGACAGGAGATAGTAAGATCATTTGAAAATTTTTACAGAGCAAAAAATTTAAAAAAGTTGGAATTTTTTTTTAATGTATTCATTTTGTTTATCATCCCTCTGAACTACTAAGATTTATCAAATATTTTAATAATTGTGACAATCAAGGTCATTTCATTATATCTTAAATTGTCAACCGTCATTTTAAAACCAAGATTAAAGAGATTTGTATATCATTATGATTTATCATAATCATACATAGAACAGGTATTGCAAGAAAAAAATTTTTTTTTCAAAAAAAGCATGGGCGTAATCACATTTATGGGCGTATTGACAAAATTCGATAATATCCTAGGTATTCTTTGCAAGGTTTTTGACTTAATCAAAAAGTTACTGTACAGTAACATGTTAAAAACAAAATACCATAATTTATTGGCGAACTTTGTCCCCATGTTCGGCTGTACTTTGAATTCTTTTACTCGGGAATCATGGAATACACAATTGCTATTTTTTCCTTATTGGGAAAAAACAAACTGATGAAATGCCTTTTTTTTTTTTGAGTGAATTCATTTTTTGAAAGCTCATTTAAAACGACATTAAATTAAAAAATTTCCACAATTTTCAATTGTTACCAACTTTCCTTTTTTTACATTAACGATAAAACTCCAGATTAATATATTTATATTTTTTTTACACTTAATGAGCAAATCTAAAATCCAAGCGTTTGTTTCCTTTATCTTTTGTTGTTTTGCGATATTCTATACGTTCTTCCTCTGTCATGGCATTGAAAATTGCCTCACGTCTCTTGTTTCGCCACATGTAATATGCCTTTGTTCCAAGAATCAAAAACAGAGAAATAACAGAAAGCACAAAGATTACCCGGTTTCCACGCTTATAATATGGGGCATCATCTTTTCGGTACACGTTGGAAGCAATCACACTACCACCTTGCACAAACATATTATACACTGCTGCAGAAACAGTACGTGTCCGCACAGCGTTGGAATTGCGCGAGCACCAGCCAACAAGAATGGCATGAATATATGGTCCAGAAAGCAATATTACCAGCACTGCATATGTGCCCCAGACATTGTGCAATGTGCCACTCCAAAATGCTAATACCGCACCGCACGGAATTACCCATAGAGGCTGAAGTGACGAAATGAGAGAACGCTCATTTAAATGCTCAGTAAGCCACGTTTGAGATATCAAAAGGATAATGTGTACAAAATTTGGAGGAATAGTCAACAAATTAGTATAAAAAGTATTGAACCCGAGTTGCCGGAGATTGAGCGTAAAGTATGACGACACAGCGTTCGTAGGAATATAAGATATCAAACCAATAAGATACAATGGCCAGAGGTCATAATCCAAGAGAGATTCCCCAAGCTGCTTAAACGAAACAGCTTGGCGGTTATGCATATCTCCTTTAGACGGATCATCTCGGAGCACTCTATTGACAATAAGCTTTTCTTCAAATTCAGTAAACCAACCATTTGGGCGGAACCAGGTTTTTGTTTGAACAGGTGAAGCTGGCATTTTAAAAAACGACGCAATACCAATAACGAGTGTGACAAGCCCTTCAATGAAGAAAAGCCACCGCCAGCCTTCCCAGCCACCAACATTGCGTAAGCGCAAAATGACAAATGCAATAAGAGAAGAACCAATTGTCGTAAGCGTGCCCGATGTCCAAAAGAAGCTTAGGCGAAGAGGGAGCTCCGAACTGGTGTAAAAATATGAGAGCCATGACACAATTTCCGCAATAAAGCCGCCTTCTAAAAATCCAAGAAGCCCACGTGTGATAAAAAATGATGCTTTCCCAGAGATAAAGCTTTGGCTAATTGCCACCAGAGACCAAAGTGTCATTTGTGCCGGAATCCAGCGGTCTGGCCCCATTTTCTTTGCAATTAACTGGGAGGGGAGTTCGGAAAGAAGGAAGACAGTTAGGAAAATGGTTTGTCCGGTGTTGTAGTCATTTGTGGTCAAGTTGAGGTCTGTTAGCATATTGTCGGAAAGTGCTTGACTAATATTGCCGCGGTCAAGTTGAAGGGCAAAAAACATAAAGCAAGCCCAGAAACATGCCTTATATTCAATTTTCCAAAGTAATTTTTTTTCTTGCTCACGAGTCCATTGAAAAGTTGGATCGAAATGGAAGCGACCTTCATACCCAGCATTGCTGTAAACTTGTCTATAATGCTCTGCCACCTCAGGATCTTCAAAAACATGGTTTTTACCGCCGTAAAACAAATCCTTTGATTTTTCAAATGAGGGCTCACTTATTGAAAGACTTCGCACTACTGGATCTTTTTTGTTGTTAAACAGTTGTTCCCTTTCTGAAAAAGTCTCATAATTGTGATAATATAGGATTCCTCCATCGACCTCCTCATCATCGGAAGTGCCGTCAGCAGTTCTGAAAGAAACGACGTTAGCGTCATCCTTTTTTTTGGAAAACGAAGACATTTTTGGTGATTATGTCAATATGCAAATGCTAAAATAAATAAATCAATAGATCAATAAATAAACAGATAGAATGAAAAAAATGAATGAATGAATGAATGAATAAATAATTATAAAAATATGAAAATAAGTCCAAACAGCAGCAATTTAAAGAGGAGCGTCTTATTTATATCCCTCCTTTCTTATCTTTTAGACATATCATTCTTGCTTGGTATTACAAACCTTGAGAGAATATTGGGAGGAGGCGGAGAATTTCTAAAATAATTTCCAAGGACTCCGAGAAATTTGTCATGAATAAAATCACGGTGTAGCACGTTGTGTGGGGTGAAATTGTTTTAGTTGTTGCGTGGCTAAATAACTTGATGACGACATTTTTTTGGCATTGCATCATTATAGAGGCAAAACAAACTGAAGAGAAAAGGGGAGGTAAAAGGTGCTATCTTTTTATAGAATGTATGAATACCGCCAAAATGTAGTAATTGATAAATAATATAACAAGAATGTTGAAAAAAAATATTACGCGAAAAAAGATAACTACATTCTTAAGTTAAGTTAAGTTAAGTTAAATATTAACTTAAATTAATAAACAAATTTGGTTGTTTTTATGCAAGGTAATTTTAAGATTTTTTTCTAAAAAAAAGTAACACTCTTCATTTTTTTGTTTTTTTTTGTTTTCATTAAAGAATTTTCCTTGTTTTTGGCGTTAATGTGGTTTGGTGATTTTAAAATCATATGAGTAGATCTTTCATTAAATTTCATTTTTAAATTGAATTGCGTTAGTGGTTTAGCGGTAAAATTCGTCGTTGCCATCGACGAGCCCCCGGTTCGACTCCGGGCTGACGCATTAAATTTTTATTTTATTTTTTGTATCAACTTTTGAACTTATTTTGAAATTTTTATCTTGATTTGCATTAATATATGAGTTTAAAAAAAATTCCAATTTCTGATTACTGGTTTTAAAGTTATTTTGCTATTATGCCAAGTTTGATTTACTTTTTTTTTTTTTTTTTTTCAAAAATAATTCATTTCATTGAGCAATATTATTCGTAAGATTATCATATATTCCCCGCAAATCCCTCCCTTGAAAAAATGGTTAGTTGCCACAAATTCCAACGGCTCATCCGCCACCAACCACCATCTCGACACCTGATCACGTTGATTTGAGGGTTTTCAATGTTCCCAATCTTCTTCTATCTCTTCCTTTACTTTTCCTTCTTCATACTAACTCAAGCAGTAACAGAAAAAACTATAATGACAGTTCCAGAAACCAGTACTAAAATCCCTCTTTGGATCGACTGTGATCCAGGCCACGATGATGCCATAGCCATGTTGTTGGGATCAAACCTCCCAGAATATTTTTTCCTGGTGGGAATCTCAACGGTTCATGGTAACGCACCGTTAAAACGAACAACAAACAACGCCTTAGCACTACTAGATGCCTTTCTTGTGGATGAAGCGCATGGTACTGTGAATGTATATGCTGGTGCCGAACGACCACTTGAGCGACCACCTATGGGCCACGCTCCATCGATCCATGGCGAATCTGGACTGGATGGGACCAGCTTGCTCCCTAGTCCGACAAAACAAGCACAATGGCCTTCAGCAAACCATTCCAATCCTGCTGTAGATGCACTGGCTGAAGCTGTGAAACAATATCCAGACACTTTGGCTGTGGTTGCTACTGGTGCGCTTACCAATATTGCAGCGTTTGTACAAAAATACCCAGAGCTAATTGCGCCGATCCGGGTGCTAAGTGTCATGGGAGGTGCATTTGCAGCGGGCGGAAACATTACACCCAATGCGGAGTTTAACATTTGGTGCGATCCTGAGGCGGCGCGGATCGTTCTTGGGAGCAAGTATGGGAGCAATGCGCTGGCATCGAAGACAATCTTGCTGACTCTTGATATGACACACCAAGCAATTGCGACGCGCGAGATTTGCGAAAAGGTGCGCGGAAAAAATACAAGCGTGTCTGAAAAACAGTATTATGTGCGCCAGATGCTTTACGAATTGCTGGTGTTTTTCGGCAAAACATATACACGTGAGTTTGGAGCAGAGTTTGCGCGTGGGCCACCAGTTCATGATCCACTGGCAGTAGCTTGTGTTTTGCCTTTATACCACGTGCTGGGTGAGAGCGCTCCTGAAGAGAATACATTGCCTTCTCTTGATGTAAAATATACACGATACGCGTTAGACATTGAGACCAAGGATCCGAAGCTTGTAGGACAAACCATCAAATTGGGCAAAGATGCTGCAGAGGGTGTATATGTGATTGAAAGCATGGACATTGAAGCATTTTGGAGATTGGTTTTGCGCAGTTTGGACCACCTAGATGCGCGGGCGCACTCTCTACTAAAATTGTAGTATATTGAACAAATTTCAAATTTACCTTTTTTTTATTATTTAAAACTTTTCGCGACATGTTGGACAATTTGCTTTCACCTTATTCAGCCATGCTACTACGCAATCAGCGTGGAAGGCATGTTTACATGAAAGAACACGCATGGGAATCTGGTTTGCAGGCATATTGCGATCATCATCTACACCGACAGTGCATAGACAAATAGGACATGTGATGTTTTCTTCACCATGGCCTTGTCGGCTCGGGTGATCTTCATCAGAATTAAGTTCTTGTAGAACTTCTCCATACGGTCTTTTGGGGAACCGACGGTCAATTTCTTTCATTGTGAGTGTATTGTTAGCGGATAACCGAATTTCCAGAACACGTTGTGACCGTGGAACGGCTTTGACAGTGTATAATAGTTGAACGACAATGTTAAAACCGAAAAACATTAGCATGGCAATGCCGACAAATATGATAGCTTCTGGCATTTTGTGCAATTGAATATCGTCAGTTGCAGATTATAAGTTTGTTGTTTAGTTAGATATTAAGTTTTTTAGTTAAAAAAAAAAGTAGGATATTGAAACAATTTATAATGAAAGTATCGATATTTTAGAGACTTGACCATATTTATGGAATTTACAAAGAAAAAAAAAAGGCTGAGCATATTTTGCTAAAGAAACCTTAGAATTTTTTTGAATTTTTTTTTCTTGCTTCTAAACCGTGTAACAACAAAATATCGAACATTTCAGGTCTTGTTTGGAGCCTATATCGAGAACAACCCCAGAACGTGCCATAATTTGCAACGGTGATGGTGGTAAAGCTATTTTTATTATTATTATTATTATTATTATTATTATTATTATTATTATTATTATTATTATTATTATTATTATTATTATTATTATTATTATTATTATTATTATTATTATTATTATTATTATTATTATTATTATTATTATTATTATTATTATTATTATTATTAATATATATCTGTTACATTACAAGTACAGTTCTTATGTCTACTCTACTAATTATAGTTGTTTTTATTGGGATCCTCGTTGTATTCCCAGTTTGGAGTCTTGGCTTGGAAGGTTTTGTTTAGTGTAGTTTACAGGCGTTTGGAGGCACAGCTGTAGTATTTGTATGTATCAAGGAAAACGCAACAACGACCGAGAACATTCAGCAACTAACAATCAAAACTTGCTTCAGCCTACAAGAAAATGAATCAAAAAAAAAAATTAAAATTGCTAGCCAATACTTCATGATCTTTACCATAATTTTTAACATAAAATAGTGGCTACTGGACAAACATCAGTTTTCCTTCAGGTGGTGGTGGTGGTGGTAAGGCATTAAGGGTGTACTCCAGACCCTGACCAAACTGCTCAATTATGTCACGTGACGCGCCGCACTATTCACGTGAATGCCTCTAGGAATTTTCCCTTCTTTGAATTCTTCATATTCTTTTCTCCTCCCTGCCCTTAAAACTTCTTTGTATCATCACTACCACCAATCACTTTACTCATCTCTTCCAAACTAAACCTTTATACAAGGTCTTTTGTCTACTAGTCCCGACTGATCTCCCATTCGAGAACTCTCAGATCAACTGTAGCATTGCCAAGTTAATATGTCTGATCATCCAGAGCCGCCTGCTGCTGGCCCCCCTACTTCTACTGATATCAATCATAACGATGACCCCCAACATGAAGAACATACACAAGAACAATTAGAGCAGCAAAAACACCAACAAGATCCGCTTCCAGTTTCTAAAAAATTCCATCAGGGATTTGAAGATTGCTTTTGGTCGTCAGATTATGCTACCGGTCTCAATGTGCTTTTTGATAAGCTTGATCAAGGAGTTGTTGAAAACTCTCAGATCCTCGACTTTATCTCTCGCCGCATTTCTCTCGAATCTGCATATGCTGCTAATCTAAAATCCGCTTCTGAAAATGTCATGACGTCCCGCCAGGCTTCTGCTGGATTCGACAGAGACGAGGGAGCTTCGGCCAAGCAGGCTTTTGTAGCTTTCTTGGACGAATCATCGACTCAGGGTGAACTCCATTCACGTATTGCCGCAGGGCTTGAGCGCCAAGTTCGTGAACCCTTTAGCCAATATGCTGAAGCCCACAAGTCTAGAGTTTCTAAGGCCCGCAGTACTCTGTTGTCCAGGCTCAAGTCTTACAACAAATCAACAGCCAATGTCCACAAGGCCCAGCAAACATACTATGCTAAAGCCCGCCAGCTTGAAGAACTCACAAACTCCAGCGTCCCGGTTATGGTGGCATCTGGAGGAGCCGTTAACAATAACACTTCTGCCCGCTCTCTTTCCATGGCAATTTCATCCTCTGCTTCAGCCATCAACAAGCGCCTTTCTCTTGCTCAGTTTTCGAAAGGTGCTGAGCCTACCATCCCTGAAGCGGCTGAGTCTTCTTCTTCAGCTACTAAGGAGGATGAAAAAGGAAAATCTGTCACAAAACAGTCTACAATTTCGGAGGACCATATCGTTACACCACCAACCGCTTCCGCCGACGTAACTGCAGCCACGACTACCACAGCAGGTACTACTGCGCCCACGCCTCAAGACCCTCCCACCAGAACTGCTTCGCTCCCTCGTCAAAACTCGCTTTCTGGTGAAGTGGTCATTTTTGGTGGCCAGCAATACACTCCAAAGACTCTCCAGGAGTTACTTCAAGACTTTTTAACCAGTGTCCCCCAGGAAACTTTCAAAATCCCAATCATTGGCTCTTATCCCAATGTATCTACTGGCGAAGGAATTCTTCACTATATTCGTATCAATGTTGGTATCAACAATATTGGCATTGCTGAAAAATATGGCCAAGATATGGTTGATCAAGGATTTTTGCGACTTGTTGGTGCTGTAGGCAGCCGCTTCTCCGGAACTTCTAATTCACGCTACCAGTGGTTACCTAGAGCCACTGAGTTTGCTAAAAATGGCGTTTATCACCAGTCTTCGACTAGCGAAAAACTTAGTGAAATTCAATCCACCATTATTGCTGAAGAGCAAACTGCTACTGATGCAGCTTCAACTTTTGCGAAAAAGACTTCCAATATAGTCTCGGGATATTTTTCATCATTGCTTGCAAATACTGAAGATGAATCCAAGCCCGAGGGGAATATAGATGCTCCTCCTTCTTCTGTTCATAAAAGACACGAATCCATGTCTATTTTATCGAGTCTTAGCCGCGCAGGCACTTTGAATGGTAAGTCCCACTCACGTACGGCGTCATCTGCCGATTTTGGTACTACTCAACAACCTCTGCCTCGCCGCGAGTCTCAAATTAGCAAGCTTCAGCGCGAAATCACTGAGCTTGATGAAAAGTACCAGATTGCAGTTCGCAACCTTGATGATGAGCGTTGCGGTCTTGAGTTGGAAATTTTTGAGCTTTATCCATTTATGCAGCAATGCGAGCGTGACCGTCTGCGTGCCGTCAAGAAGGTTCTCCTTGATTTTACAGCTGGAATTGGCCGTACCCTTAACAATCTTCATCAATCTGTTCAACGCATGGCATTCCATGAGTCTTTGCTGGACCCAATCAAGGATCTTGATTACTTGATTGAACGATACAAGACTGGTCCTTTTGCACCAAAACCTGTTGTATACATGGGGTTTTTCAAATCTCACCGTATCCAGTCGTTCGGTGTTGATCTCAAGTTTGTACCCTTTGTGGTTGAGGACTTTGTTGGCTACATCTCTGACGAAAAGAATGTCACTGGCAAGGACGAGGAAATCACTTCTGGAATTACCGAGTTCCCGTCTATATCCACTGGCGGTAATTCGTACAAGTCCCGCCTTACTTCTGATACCTCGCGTAATATTCTTATTGGCTTGTGGACCCAAGCCCAAGCACCTATTGATGAGATTCAAGCTTTGCGGCGCAAAATCAACACTTCCAAGAAGTTTAATCCTGAAGAGGCATTCAAAGGCTACACTTTACCGACGGTTATTTCGACCTTGCGCGAGTTTTTGCTTGAGCTTCCAGACTCTATTATTTCGTCTACAGTTTATGACGTTATCAAAAGTGCTTATTCAAAATCTGGGCCAGGAGCCAATGTTTCTTTGGAAATGGCACTAGAGGAAAGAAAGGATGCTGAAGCTAGTAATGCTGAACAGCGTGTAGAGCGCTTGGTGGGACTTTTAACCCATTTGGAGCGTGAAAATCTTTCTAATTTGAAGGTTTTGATTAGCCATTTTGCTGATATTTGCAAAGTTTCTAGTGAATCAACTCCATTTAAAGCAGTTTTGCCTGAGGATATACCAGACAATGTTAAGGATTTGTCACGCAGCATCGCACCATACTTGCTAAAGCCTCGAGCTACGACCTCACTTACTTTGACAGAAAAGCACCCCATGCAGTTGACCCAAGACTTGATTATTTACCGTGACGTAGTTTTTTCTCAAGTTGAAGCGCGGCTAGAAAAGGCCCAGAAAAATCGACGACGATCACGGTCTGCGTCCGGGTCTGAGGCCAACCGGCGGTTTCACATTGAAGAACGCAATAAGGCTATCGCAGCAGCTCACGGAGTAAACAATGCAGGGACCATTACACCTTCGCACTCGTCATCATCAATTGCAGCTATTGTTTCTGGAGGCAGCGCTAATGGTTCACCTCCATCTAAAATCTCAGGCCCACTTCCTTTAACACTCTCTTCAAGTGTGCGTTCACGCCACTCGGTGACCAATAGCGACGCATCGGACGAGGGTCGTACCGAGGAAGGCTCTACGGATGGACCTTACGGTGAGCTGACTTCAGGGTCAAACTTACGACTTGCAAGGCCTTTATCGCATCGCCGAACACCATCGGGGAACAAGCTGTCGATTCGGTCATTCCTTGAACCTGGTGGAGGGATTTCGCGCAGTTCTACGCCTACACCAGGTTCTCAAGGGTCTGGTGATAGCTCATCATCTGTACCCACTGAGGCTCCATCGTTAGTTCCACCTACAATTTCAGTGATGGATGCTTCTGAGGTTGAGAGTAGTTTACATGATTCAGCGAATATCAATTAAAAGGTGGAGGGAAATTTTTACGCAATTATTTGACTTTGGTTTTTCATGGAAGGTTTATTATGATTATTATTTTTTTTTTTAATTTTATATTATATTTTTATTATACATATGATAAATAGAATTTATTTTTATTAAACTATCGGATAAAGAATTATTTTTTATACAATGCTTGTTTGATGAAATAAAAAAAGACGAAACATGGGTCGCATTAATAAAAAAAATAGCCTCGTGATATTCAGGCACAACTTATGTTCCTGGATCTAGTTTTGATAAAAAGAAAAAAAAAAATTTAGAATATGTATGTTTGGAAATACCGACATTGTTAATATATGAGAGTTTTATATAAAAACAAAACTACAACATGGGATGTAAAGGAAAGAAATAATGCAAGGACTGGAAATAATTTGAGGGAAATGGCCGTACACCACGCGGATACAAAAGAGACATGTGAAAATTTTTAATTTTTTTTTATCTTGTACCTTACATGGAAAAATAAATGGTGGAAACATATTTAATAGAATTTTTATCATGGGTTGATTGCGGAAATGGATATTTCAAGGGAAAAAAAGGCGGGCAGGGATTTATTTTGTCAAAATTCCAAAACAAGGTTTGCAATGTTTTGACAGCACAGCCGCACATGTTGGTGAAACGTTTTTTATTTATTTATTTATTTTTTTTTTTTTTGGCATCTGACAGAAAGAAAAGCAGATTTGAGGATAAAAATTTGTCCCAAAAGATCAATACAAATTTGGTATTAAAAAAAAAAATGCTGCGACTGACGGTGTGTTGAGTATATAAAAAAAATGAGTTTATATATAAAGAAAGCCTGCCTTGTTATGAAAAGATGAAGAATAAAAAAAAAAGGAATATTTTTAAAAATCTCATCAAGAAAAATATACCAATTCTCTATTAAATCATGCACAATATAAATTCCAGAGTTACGCCTAATATCAAACGTCTCTCATCTGTGGTGTCCTCGGCGGTTAACAGAATTTTAAACGGCTGGGAAGAACCAGTCACAGTACCCACAGAGCCTGCTCGAATCTACAACTATGGTCCGCAACAATCATCATCAACACAAAGCAAAAACAACGGATTACGACACCTTGTACTGGCAGCCAAAGCCATGGGCCAAAATAATACACAGAATAACCAGGGTTCTGAAAAACCTTCATCATCTTCCCCACCCTCGCCAACAGTATCACAACAGCCACCAATCCCTCCACGACAAATTGTAATCACTAGTACACCTTATATCGGTCTACGTGCACGGTTATCACAAGTGTGGATCAACCCATACACTCTATTTTTAGTTCTTATAATCATCAAAATTTTTTCTTTCAACAGTAACCTGCAACAAGCGCTGAGCGCTGCGTCAAGGGCAACTACAAACAACTGTGGGGCAGCTGAGAAACTCGCATCCAAAGCGCTTTCTGCGCCGCACGACATTGCTGCTGGAGCCGGGATTGCGCTTGCAAAGATGGTTGAGTATGGAATTCAAGGGTTGATTTTAATTCTTGTCATTCTCATGTCGGTTTTCGAGGAGCTTGTGTTTTTCATTATTAACACGCTTGTGGGGACCTTTATGTGTTTGATTACAACTGCAGTGGAAACGGTTGCAAATGTTGGGTTGGATGCGGCTGAGGAAGTGATTGGGTTTGCAAACAGTACCATAACCACAGTACTTGAAGGTGTCGACAGCGGTCTTGACAGTATCGAAAGTGCAATTAACAGTGTGAGCAGTGTGCTCAACTCGGTGTCAAGCATATTTTCAGACGACTCTGATCCCATCAAGAATGTGACATTGAGCCTGGGGGCGCTGCGTAACATTTCAATCCCGGACTCTGTCACCAGCAAAATTGAGGAGATCCGGTCATTGGTTCCAAACTACGACATGGTGAAAAATGCAACCAAAGAAGTAATTGCAGTTCCTTTCGACCTCATCAAGCAAGAGCTCAACGACACCATCATGAACCAAAAGATTGCATACAACTCTTCAGCAGCGACATTACCACCAAAGGACCCTGTGGTTGAATTCTGTTCAGTCAACAGTGACACGGGACTGACGGGGACACAAGAGTTTTACAATGCACTTGCAGATGGGACTGGGTTTTTAGCGCGAGTGTTTATGATTGTCGTTGCAGTGGTTGCCCTTCTTGTATGTGTGCCAGTAGTATATCGTGAGATCAGACACTGGGTATGGTTACGAACATGTGCAGAGTCAAGTGTTGAGCAGGAAGTTTTAAGTGATTTATACACTTACGATGAAACACGTGAGACACATGTTTCAAGATTCATTGGAGTGATTCAGCGGGCTCAGAGTCATTGGATGGCTCGGGGTCAAGATTTTGCAGCCAGACAGTTTCAAGGCGATGCACATAAGCAAGTTCTTGCGAGGTGGTGGGTCGAGTATGTTATGTATCCTCCTGTTGTTGGAGCTTTGTTACTTGGTCTTGCAGGTGTTGCAATTGTTGCGATTCAGTTTATTATTTTCTCCCAAGTGACCAAGGCCTACGAGACTGTTTCGGCACCAGGCTATTTTTCATCTGGAAGCAGTAACGACGGTTCTTTAGCAATTGCCGGGTTTGATGGTCAAGCCCTTATGACACAGATGGAAGATGGCATTGATGGGTGGGTTGACGGCACTAATCTTGAGATGCATCGGGTTCAAGAGGACATCAACGACAAGCTGCTTGGATGGGTGAATACTGCTGCTGGAGCAGTAAACACAACTCTTTCTGTATTTTCAAACAAGATGAACCAGGAGTTGAATGAGACGTTTGGCGGGACCATTTTCTACAGTGGAATTGTTGGGGTAGTGTATTGTACGATTGGGTCCAAAATTGAGGCAATTCAAGAAGGTGCTGCTTGGATATACAGTCATAGCAGCATCAGCTTGCCGAATGTGACAGCTGCGTATATCACAAATGCGACCGAAACGAGCGAAAGCAGCCTTAATAGCAGCAATGGTTCATTGGAAGAATCCAAGTTAGATGAACTGTTGGATTCTACAAAAGACTTGCTGACTTCTGGTATCAAGTTTATTGTTGAATTTTATAAATCATCACTGTACCAGGAGTTAACCATTTCACTGGTGCTTGTTGGAGCTTGGATTGTTGTTGCATTGGCTGGGGGTTGTTACTGTGTTTGGGAATTTCACATGGCTCGTCGCAGGGCTTTGAGGGGTAGTAGTGGTAGTGGTAGTAGTGGTATTGGTGGTGGTGTTGGTGGTGGCGAGAAGGGTTTTGGAGATTCCGGAGGCCCGGTGCCGAGATTGCCGCAGTGGCAAACGCCGTCGGACGGCCGGGCGTGGTGGCGGACCGGAGCCCAATCCGAATCGCCGAGAGACCGTTGTTTGTCTGGTGAAAGGAAGGTTGGGGGAAACTGCCCCAAACAGGAAGGTGGGGGTACTGAGGACAGACAGCCGTACAAAGGTGAAAAGGCTTTCATGGAGATAGGAGAAGCAGTGGCTGGAGATGCAACAAGAACAAGAACAAAAACAAAAACAATAGCAGCATCAGAATCACAAACTCGAAACAGTCCAACAAGTCCATTGAGTCCAGTGACTCCAACTACACGCAGTCGACGAGCCAAGTATGCTGCATTGATTCGTGGTGCAACTTTAGGGGGATCTTCCAGATTGCCTGTGGTTGTGCCTCCGCCCATGTTTCCACCACCAAGGCCGTTGCGCCACGCCAAGGTGAATCAGTTCACGGTTCCATTCAATGTTGGAGCACAGCATCCAATAGTTTCATCTCCAATTGAGCTTCCTCGGGTCCCGGCCAGATTGGTGTCGTTTGGTCGAGATAGAGATAGTGTTGAGTTTCCTCCTGAGTTTCGGAGCTTCCCATATCCTGGCAATACGTATCGGTTGGCGCAGTTGCAACAACAACAACAACTACAACGGCAGAGGACTATGGAAGAAAAGAATAAAAAAGAAGAGGAAAAAGAAGAAAGAAAGAGGAAAGATAAGATGGAACAGGATACCATGGTGAAGGATTGGCATGGAGTAAGTTGTAGCGAAAACCCGGAAGCTTGTGCGGCAAAGGGATCGTCAGCATGTAGTTGCGGTCGGCATGCTCCTGCACTTCTTGCAACACCGACATCAAATGGGACAACAAGTGTATCTACCAAGTCTACATTTACAAATGGCAACCAGAGGATGAGTGAGGATGGGGTTGTAAAAAACGATGAGGACCATAGTGGACACAGCGATAGTGAAGCATCCTTTCAATATGGAGATGAGACTAAGGGTCTTCAAACAACCACGGTACTACAGTTGGGATCATTTCATCATCCGCTTCCTCAGACTTTGGCCAACAATAGCAGCAGCAGCAGTCTCAGCACTTTTGGTGGGGTTTCTGCAGCTCATGAGAGGTTGCTTTCGTTAGGAAGTCGCAAGTATGGAATGTACCGCCCCCCAGTTGATTCGCCCATTCTGCCGTCTCCTGCAGGTCGTGGGACGCAGATGGGTAGTAAACCAAAGAAAATGGAAGAGAATGAGAAGGAAGGGGACTTTAGACAACTGAGTCCGCCTAATAGTCCGGAGCCTAGAGATGTGCAAGCCAAAGCTGTTACGGGGTCTCGAAGAGCGCGAGTTGAAATGGGAGGTGGTCGCAAGAGTGCGCATGTGTCAGTGTACTACAGTTGAGCAGGGTTTGAATATTGGTATTCATTTGAAGAGTCCGTTGCTTTATTGTAAGCTTATAGTTATAGTCGTTATATTTATTTATTATTTATTTATTTATTATTTATTATAATTATGAATCTAAATCTAAGTTTGAATAATATTTCAACTCTTACAAATAAATGGGATTGATTTTGAAAATATTTTGTAAAGTTACAACAATCGGGTAGAGCGGCTGGTGGCGGAGTGCGCATGAAAGAAGTCCGCAATGGAAGAGGCGGTTGGCCAAAAAAAAAAAATAAAATAAAATAAAATAAAATAAAAAAAATTAAATTAAATTAAATTAAATTAAATTAAATCAAATCAAATTAAATCAAATTAAATCAAATCAAATCAAATCAAATTAAAGTAAATTAAATCAGAGACAAACAAAAAAACAAACAAAACGATAAAGTGGGGGGGGGTGAGGGGGGGCTCAATTGTGGCCTTGAAATTTATTAGAGAAAGAAAGGCCTTGTAGTTGTTAATAGATGAGAAGGGTAAGGGTATTTATGACCTATTGTTTTTTTTTTTAATTTATTATTCGTTTAGTATATTATATACAACATATATATATATATATATATGTGTGTGTGTGTGTGTGTGTGAGTGTGAGTGTGAGCGAGAGAAGGCGCGGGGTACCTCAGTGGGTATTTTTTTTTTTTTTATTGAAATAGGACGGCCTGAATTGTGATTTCTGGGCATTGAAAGAGTGATAAATTGTCAGTGTTAACACGCGGGTTGATTCATCCGAATATAGTACTGAAACTAATGAAGATTACATAAGAAGTCACCAGACAAAGCTAAGTATTAGCAAGTATTAGTCATTTGATTATATAATATTTGTTCCCACAGCTGGTTGGGTTCTTTATTGAGCAAAATCAGACCGATTGAAAAAAAAGGTATTGTCATATTTATTTCCTCCATTTTTGTTTTTATTTGTTTTTTTTTTTTGAAATGATTTTTAAATATTCTTATAATTGATATATAACAAATTATTTATAAAATTTTAAAATAAGCATATCTAGTTTAATTCAACTTTTGCTACATTTCAGCTAATTTTTTTTTTTTTTTTTTTTTCAAAGGCTCGTTGACCAACTCTGTGTGACGGGAAAGGCGGGTGGTGGGATGAAGATTACATAACATGCTGAGTAATCAGCAGACCACTATTGCCTAAAGAAAGAGACTTTTTTTTCTTATAGGTGTAGGCGCGTGTTTATGTTCTTAAAATAAATAAAAAAAAAAAAAAAAATTAATACGGTTTCCGGCACATCATCTTTTAATTGATTATAAGAATTTGATTCATCAATTTTATAAAAATGCGTTGGATCACGGAAAAACTGTTTTTGCCGATAAGTTTAATGATATTGTTGTGATGTTGGGTAGTCTTGGTGGTGGGGGATTTATTGGCGGGCAGGCTGTAATTTTTCCACCATCTATTAAATGGCAGACAGATGCGGAAATCAACAAGTTTTTTTTTTTTTTTTTTTGTGTGTGTGTATGTGTCTGGGCAAAAATAAAAATAAAAATAAAAATAAAAGGACACAGGGTGTTTTTTAGATTTAATATAGGGGAAAAAAAAATTATAAAAGTGATTGAATCCCCCCCCCCCCCCCCAAAAAAAAAAAGCTTTTTTTGTTCCACCATACAGTATTTATATATATATTTATATTTATATTTATCTATCCATCAGGTACCGCGTTATCAAAGGACTTTTATTGTCATCTTTAAAATTATTATTTTCATCATTTAGAAATGCTAGGCTCCCAGAAATAATTGTACGTCTTTTTTTTTTCAATACTCTTAAATACCCATATAATTAACGCGTTTTTTTTTTTTTTTTTTTTTTAATTTAATCATAGAAACAAAAATCACTTTACAATATTTAATATATATATATATATATTTACGATATGGTCTTAACAGATTCAAAATCTTCTCTCGCGTCTTCGCAATCTTCCGACCAATTGATTCATAAAGAACAATCTTCTACTCCTCAATCTCAGCACCAACAACTGCAAGAGCAACAGTCAGAAGAACAACAACAACAACCAGAAATTCAAGAAGAAGAATTAAAAACTCAGGCAGTAAATATACAACCAACTCAAGACCAGGACCAGAACCAGGACCAGGGCCAAGTTCAAGTTCAAGTTCAAGTTCAAGTTCAAGTTCAAGATTCGGCTCAAAGCCAAGCTTCAGATCAGGTTCAAGACCAAGTTCAAGATCAAGACCAACAGCAGCAGCAACAAGAAGAATCAGTCCAAGAATCAGTTCAAGAATCAGTTCAAGAACAACCACAAGGCGAATCACAAGAAGAATCACAGCAAGAACCAGCGACTTCAACTCAACAACCGCAAGAACAAACAGAATCTACTGCAGCTCTTGAAGTGGAACTCAACGATAATGACGATGATGCAAATCTATACATTAATCTTCCTTCAGCAGACGCACCTTCTCCAGCCCCGTCTACTTCCACTCAGTTTTTAGATCAAAAACAAGCTGTATCCGCAACAGTAGTAGTACCAACCTCATCTGTCGCAAATACTTCTACCCCAGAAGATGATGCAGCCACAACACTTAACAATGCAGTTGCTGCTGCTGCTTTAGCTGCTGCACAAGCTGCAGCCGAAGCCGTGGATGAAGAAGACGATGAAGAGCAATCAAAAACTGTAGAGGCCATGGAACAATCTCTTAACAGACATCACGAAAATCACCGGATTCAAGTCACAGAAGAGGAACAGCCAGGATCAGCAGATCCAATAACAACAACAACTTCGACCAAAGAAGATGACGTTGATGTCGATATGACTGTAGAAGACGACAACGATCAAGAATTACCTGACCAACAACAAGAGGCAAATTCTGAAGTGGTCACGGCAGCGGCAGTGGCAGCAGCTCGAGCAGCAGCCGAAGCTGCTGCAGATTCTTTTGAATCTGACCAAGAAGAAGAAAAACCTAAGGAACCGAAACCAAATGGCGTTCCTTCCAAAAAGCAAAAGGAAAATTTACCTTCTTCGACCTCCATTTCCATTTCCACCTCTACCTCGTCTTCCGCTTCTTCCCCTCCATCTGAACCTAATGCCCGCCCATGGCCTATTGACAAACCAGTCAATGCCCAGGAATTTCAACATCTCCCACGAATTCTCCGCGAGTCTCTTGTGGAGTCTTCTGAGTATGCAAATGGTCTTACGTATATCCCCCAAATCCAATCTAAGGCATTTGACAGCAAAGATTCAGCAGTGTCTTACCTTAACCGTTTTGCAAGTCATGAGGGGTTCGAAGTTGAATTGTCTTCTTCATCGGATAAGTTAATCTACCACTGTACACACGCACAAACATGGCCTAAACGCTCCCACGCAGAAATGGAGCTTGACCACGAAAATGTTTATGAGCCGTGCCCCTTTAAGGTGGCCGTTTCTTATAACCCCTCTAACGATATTTGGTACCTTGAATCTCTTTTCCCAGACCACAATCATGGTCCCACAGGTCCCGCGGCTTCAGCAAAACGCCGCCGCCTGACTTACTTTCAAAAAACAATTAAAGACGAAATAGAGTTGCCATCCAAGTTCTTTAAACCAGTATCTCATGCTCACTATGGTACCTCCACGCCTCCAGTTTTCCAAGCCCCTCCTTCCATTACAAACGCCTATTCATCTCCCGGCGAACCTGAAGACTTAAAAAAACCCGACATGCTACGCGGGCTTGTGGGCGCATTACGCTTTGACAATGCCTACGTTGCTGATCGACTCGACAAGAACGGTGCAGTGACACATCTCTTTTGGACTACGCAAGGATGTATGGACATGCTGCGCATGTTTCCCGAGGTGCTTTTTATCAACATTGTGCGCAGCCCAAATGTGCCTCCATTAGTACACATTGTTGGTATTACGTGCTTTGACACAACATTTGAGGTCGGGTACGGGTTTATTAAAACTCATGTTGTTGACGGTCTGGCATGGGTACTCAGCAGTTTAAAGGAAATTGCAACAAAGGCACTGCAAAAGGAGTATCGACCAACTGCCGTGATTATGCACCATGATTTGCAGCTCATGGGCGCTGTCGAGCTACAGTTTGAAAATACATCTCAATTTTGTGTATCTCAGTTGATGCGTGATGTCAATGAAAAGGCAAGCGATTTCTTTAGTGCGCCAACTGAACGTCGCCGATTCATTGAAAAGTTTCAAAAACTGGTGGACTCTGAGACTGCTGACATTTATTCTTTCAATGAGGCTGATTTCCGTAAAGAGTATCAGGGTACTAAGATTTTCGAGTACGTGACATACCAATGGCTTCAGCAAAAGACGCGCTTTGTGCGTGCCTATGTTGATCAGCACTTACACTTTAACAACTATACCATGGGTAAGGCTGAGCTAGCGCAAGCAACTATCACCAATTATGTGCTGGAATGCAATGGCGATGTATTGAAGATGTATTATCGGATATCTGATATGCTTAAGCGCAATAAGGTGATTTATGATAATCGGCTCAAGAGTGAACAAGAACGATGTCCAATGAAGTTTTTTGTGCCATTTTTCGATGACGTTCGGTTTAAGGTGTCAACACATGCCTTAGAGCTTATCAAGGAACAACATGAGTTATATCTGGAAGCACAATCAATTCATGAACCTCTTTCAAGGTGTACGTCAATGTTTACAAATACTACTGGACTGCCTTGTAAACATACATTGGCACGACCAGCTACAATGGACGACATCCATCCGCACTGGTGGCTTAACAAACAAAAAACGCATTTGGTTCCACTTTCCGACCACGATAAGCGGGACATTGAGCTCATGTCCAAGTTTGATCATATGCAGTCGCTAGTCAAGCAGCACTTTTTGAACTACTCGCAGCTGGACCTGCGCGAGTACATGCTGCACGAAATGATGAAGTTTTTTTGCCGACTGGGTGTACCAGGAATTGATGCACGGGCTGCTGGGATTATTTCATCTGGAGGAAATGCTCCGGGGACTCCAGGCACACCTGCATCGCCCAGTTTAAATCCGCGCGTGACACCTCCGCCACAGTCATCTGCTATTATGAGCCCAAATATTTTGTCAGGTTCTGCATCGCCAGTACACCATGGACCAGGAACGAGCTTAGGTGGATTAAGAGTATCTACACCGACAACAACTTCCCATAAACATTCCTTGAATAATGTGTCATCACCACACCCGGAGGGATCTGGAAACGTTAGTGTGGCAGCTGCTGCAGCGGCAGCGGCGGCGGCAGCAGCAGCAGTAGGCGGGTCGCTGGACGGGTCGCCAGACATTCCGCTTGTGTTGTCACAAATGTATTCTTCTGGTGCTTTGCGATCTCCGTCTGCAAGTGTCGATGGAACAAACACGCCAGGAGCGACGTCATCTGCACAGGGACAAAACCATGGTTCTGTTTCTACTAGTAATAATGCTGGAGGTAATCATAATATACCGGCTAGCTCGGTGGCAGTAACAAGTTCAGTAGCGACAACAGGCACGAGTATTCCTGCAACAAGGTCGTATACGAGTACAGGAAGTACAGCTGAGTTTAACGAACTTGCGGCAGCGGCCGCAGCAGCAGCAGAGTTGGAGACTGGAGGTTATAGTGGGGGATCATCTGGGTCTAGTGGAGCTGCAGCAAATGGAGGTACAAATGTGTCGTCATCTGGGATATCTCATGGGGTATCAATGTCAGGCGCGTCGACGGGTGCGGGTCATCATCTTTCTCACCATGGTGCAGTTCATTCGTCATCATCATCTTATGGTGGCTCAAGTGGAGTAGGGGTAGGAGCAAGTGGGTATACTGCAAGTCCTGGGTCGTATGAATATGGACATGGTCGTGGTGGAAGCGCAAGTGGTGGAGGAGAGTTTTCGCCTGCGCCGCGCAAGTGTGGTAAATGCAATCAAATTGGACATAATTCGCGGACTTGTGGCCAGCGATTGTCTTTGGATGGATTGTAGATTGATATTTAAAAAATGATGAAGTAGATTTGTGTTTTTTTATTTTTTTTTAATTTTTAATGGGAAAAGTGACGAATATTAATAGTTTATGAGCTAAAGAGTTGAAAAGTTGAAAAGTTGTTGTTCGATTGAAAGTTAAGTTAAAAGTTGAGGCATACAGGAATTTGAATAATTTTTTTTTTGAATGATTTCATTTTAAGTATTTAGTATGAGAGGTCGCTTTAAAAAAAAAAAGGAGTGAAAGATTGAAGCTTATTAGGTACATAAAGAGAGGGCCCAGCTGATATTTATAGCGTTTTTCTTGAAAAGTTTTTTTTTTTTTTTTTTGACAACAGCGAGAAAATGGCGGAAAGAAAAAAAACGATGTGAGTATAGACAGTGAAGTTTCTCCGGGTGGTTTCCCCCCCTCCTCCCCCTTTTTTTTTTTCTCGGGGAAAAAAGATGAAGAAAATGGACGTCTTTTTATATAAACCTACATATTTGTCTACACACCAATTTTTTTTTTTTTTTTTTACTTTCCGACACCCCACCTTTTGATACGAAAAAAAAAAAAGAAAGATTCTCTTGATTGATAAAGAACAGGAAGTTTCTTTGATCTAAATAGAGTGGGGGAAATGGAACTTTTCGGAGGGCCGGAAGAAGGGGGGATGGGTTGGTTGATTTTGAAAATTTTCGTTTGATTGGGGAACAAAAAGTTGAGGGAAAGATAGAAGGTGTAGTTTTTGAATATATAAGTTACATAATCAGGAAAAATGACATAAGGAAAGTCAAAATTAGGTAAGATTAGTCAGAAAGTTTGGTGAAAATACAAACAAAAAGGAGAATAAATCTGTGACAAGTGTGTGACATATTCTTTTTGACATATATTTGTGACAGTTGTAAGCCAGTTACACATTTTCAAAATGTAATAAGTAACAAAAATAAAAATAGGTTGGAAGAGTAAAAAAAACATTTGTCATACATACAAGTAACAGTCAAGAAAAGGAAATAAATTCAAATGCCGATCGGTCCGATATGCCACAAAAATATTGGGGCAGTCGGGGAGCGAGAAGCCGTTTGGATGTAGGGTGAAGAAAAAAAAAAAAAAAAAAAAAAGGAAAGAAGAAGAAGAAGAAGAAGAAGCAGCTGTGTGTAAGAGTCAACATCATAATTTAGTTTAGTCATTAAAAGAAGAAATGAAGAGAAATGAAATTTTTACTTAAAGGCTAAGATGAATAAATTGCCAAAGATTTCTTTTTTTTCTTTTTTTCTTTTTTTTTTTTTTGAGGTTAATACCCGACTTTTATTTTTTTTTTGATATTTCTCTATTCAATTTGCTTTCTCTTTCCAATGATCGTCATGCAAATTTTAGATAGAAAAGCGGAAAGGCAAAAGAAAGGAAAAAAAAGAAAAAAGAAAAAAGAAAAAAGGGGTGTAATGGGACTTAATTTGTTTTCAAGAAGAAAAGCCTTCAAAAAAATGAATTGGTATATATAAAAAAAAAATTAAAAGAGACCGTCGGAGGAATTCAAAGATTTTCAACCAGAGAGCTTGTTTAAAAGTTAAACAGTTTAAACAGAGAAGTGAAAAAGTTAAAAAAAAAAAAAAAAAAAACCAAAAATCAAAATTCAATAATAATTTAAGCTCTCGTATTTTGATAACCGGTTCATTTTACAAGTATTATACATACTTGATGGGTTCCTTCATAATGAAAGCAAACCTTCTTCGCTTGGTTCTTTTTTTTTTTTTTTTTTTTTTTTTGGAGTAGTTCTCTGATCAAAACTTCATAATTATGTCTGCACCCAAAGTGAAATTCAAAAAACGTCCAAAAAGCCGACCGACATGTGTAGTCACTAAAAAAAAAAATTTATAATTTGTAGCAACTTATGGGAACCTATAACAAAAAACAATATTATGCCACAAGAAAGACTCATACACACATACTTGCCACACTAATTATTATAATAAGAGGCAAGTATACGGCAACAGCCATTATCCTTCAGGGTTGTATATTTAAAAAGAATTCAATTAACACTTAACTTGATTGATTTATATAAATTTACTTATTATTATTAAAAATTTTAAAAAAAAAAGTCATTTTAATTTGTTTCTTTTTTTTTTTTTTTTTTGAAAAGAAAACAAGCTTAACAACTACTATCTTTTTATTTTTATTTTTCTTTTTATTTTTATTTTGTCTGTGGCTATTAACAAAAATGCTCTTAATTTTAACCACCTCCGAGAGCCGTACGCGTAACATTGACATATAATATAACGTAATCTAATAACTAGTGATTACCTAATTTGATGGCGCCTTTTTGGCGCCGTTTGTTTTTTGGCTTTTTTTTTTTTTTTTTTTTGTATTTCCTCCTAAAGACGTATTTTTTTTTTTTTTTTATAAATGACAAAGTGTGTCTGCCTTAGATTTTTTTTTTTTTTTTTAAAAAAAAAAAAAAGAAAAAAAAAACAGCAAATCTTTAATTCTTTTCTTCTTTTTCTTCTTTTTCTTCTTTAGAAATTTATTCATAATAATGTCTGTCTTGTTCATTTTGTCTTATTAACATATATCAAAAAGACCCTTTTCCTCGAAACAAAAGACTGAATCATCTTTTTATTATATAATATATCTACAAATACAATTATTATTATTATAATCATCTACCAAAATGGCACCTTCAAATCCTCACAATCAAGCCTCTTCAGCGGCTTCTTTCAACTCAAATGCCTCATCTTCTCTCTTCTCGTCAAATACCTCTCGTTCAACTGTCCCGTCATCTCTCCCAAGTTCTTCTTCTTCTCAATCAAAACCCCTACAAACAACTGTAGAGCCTCCCCCTCGAGGCGGCAACATTATGCGAATTGCAGAAGAGAACCAATATGACGCAGCTCCGACTAATAGCCAAAATTTACTTGGCCCTTCAAGTAGTAGTAGTAATATTAATGTGGATAGTATTAGTAGTACTAGTAGTACTAGTACTACTAGTAGTACTAATCCTACTACTAATACTAAACTACCATCTCAAAATACAACCCACCATTTTTTAAATACTCCATCCCCAACATCATCAGCATTCTCTTCTTCGGTTCCAGGTCTTTTCCCCGAGTTCCAAGCATCTTCTTCCCTCCATTCCACAAGTTCAGATAACTCTACTTTTCCATCTTTTCCTAATCAAGCACAAGCACAAGCACAACCAGAACAACTTCAACAGCCTTTACAACAGCCTTTACAACAGCCTTTACAACAACCTCTGCAACAACCTCTGCAACAACCTCTGCAACAACCTCCGCAACAGCCTCCACTACAGCCTCCACAACAACCTCTAAACCAAGGGCAAATTTCTCCTGCTCTCCCATTAGTCAATCTGCTAGAGCGTCTTGCTGAAAACCTGACTTTTCATAAATATCAACTCTATTCTGCCCAAGGTGCAAACGTCTTCGTCTATGTGCAAACAATTCACACACTCATGGGTGCTGTTCTTTCCGCTCCAGCACTTGAAACAGTCCATCCTGGCTCTGTTTCTATGTTTAATCCCCCAGCTATCTCCGTCATCTTTTCTTCAATTCTCCATTTTGTCGACTTTTACCTTGGCGCTCATGTTTTTCAAATCCGCCGTATTGAGCTTCTTTCTCAACTCTACTCACTCGGCGTTAAACTCCACCTAGTAGACCCTTCAGATTCCAACTTACAGCAACAACATCCACAATACAAACTTTACGGTTCACCTAAACCTTCCCCCCAACTACGTATTTTTGCAATAGGTCAGCTCATAAACGACCCTCATGCAAAAAATTATGTGGCTCTCATGGAAAGAACATTAGAACTCTTGACAACATACCCTTCCACAGACATGCTAGATCAAGAAGGTGCTTTTATTGCTCCTGTTCTTAGAGGCTTTTCTCCAACCTTTTCTTGCCCAGTTTATTACTTTGGATTCCCAAAGTTTCCCCCCGATATCATTAACGCTCTCCTTGAATTAAGTTTGGGGTCGCGCGAAGTGGGAATTTTCCACAAAATTAACCGCATCTGTTCGGCAGTAAGCAGCACGGCTGAGCCAGGTGCTGCTTCTGTTGCCGTAAATCCTCCCATGCAATTTAACCATCATCCAACAAACGACTTTAATGGATTTATTGCACCTTTCCGAGTTCCAAGCGACCCAAAGGCCCCTCCAATCTCGCTTTCTCTTTCAAATATTTCCCAATCAAATGTCTCGGGTACTCTTGGAGGTTATATTTTCCCCATTGTCGACGCATCCACCGATAAACGTCTTGCAGCTTATGCCAAATCAACGTACGCTATGACCTGTGGTCATGTGTGTCTCAAGAAGAATACCGATCCCAATGCTCCGAAACCCAAGGTTGTAGTCCCTTCAGTTTTCATGGTCAACTATTTTCAAGCTGGATTATTAGACCAACGATCCTCACTTCCTCAAGGGTCTATTGAATGGGCCGCATATTCAAAGGCAATTGAAGAGGTTCAAGAAAAATTCAATTATGCATCCAACTTAAAAGGAAAAGGCAAAGGCAAAGAAGAAAAACCTTTAAATGATCCTTCATTTGGACAAGTGGCTTGGGGAGAACGTACAGTTAGCAACAGAATGCTCTCAGACATTGCAATCATCCGATGCAACGACGACCTCAAGTGTCGCAACTATCTGGGTGACGATGTCAATTTTACCCAATATGACCCAGCCCTACGCTTTGGAAACCTTCACGTCAAGTCTGTGCTTCAAGAACCGTTTGCCGCAGGATTACAAGTTTTCAAGTACGGCTCCACCACCCACTACACAACAGGTACATTGAATGGTCCGCGCATGGTGTACTGGTCTGAAGGGACACACAAAACAAATGAGTTTGTGGTGCATTCTCAAGGCCCGTTTGCAAGTGGCGGAGACTCAGGTGCTTGGATTTTGACCAAGACACCAGTTCCTATAAATAACACAGCGACAGTGCCTGGGGCAGGGCCTCCGACACCTAGTCTTGCTGTTGTTGGAATGCTGCATTCGTATGATGGTGAACGACAAGAATTGGGATTATACACACCAATGCCTCGCATTCTTAACCGACTACACGAAGTGACTAAAGTCAAATGGGGAATTGTGGGGATCCCAACAAAGGATGGAACCGATTCAGCATATAGCGATAGTAGCGATGACGATTTAAGCTTTAATAACCGGGCTCGCGTGTGAATCAAGAAAAAAAAAAAAAGCATATGAACAATAAAAATAAATAGCTTGAATTTTCTTTTGTTTTCTTATAATATATAATAACGAATGTAATGACCTTTTTTTCTTCTATTTCTTTACGCACCCAGACCCTTAGCCACCTGGCTCTGCAGATTTTTTTCGTACGATGTTTCTGTTGCCGACGCAATGCTTCTCAAGTCACCAACAATATCTCGGGTCTTGCCGAAATAAACCTCGTTAAGCACGTTCCTTAACTTAGATTCCATCTCTTCAACCATGGTGCCAATGTTTGTAATGTGCGAGGACCCAGACTCATCTACCACGGGCAGAGTTTGTTCAGCCTGACGCGTCAGATTTCCACCCAAGTCCAAGCTGCCCAGAATCTTGTTCTTTCCACCAATGTCCAAAATGACAGTAGATGTGAGCTTGTAATTTGCTGCCTTTCTGCTGACTTTTTCGACCTCAAACACGTGGATGCTATCCCACACTCCAGTCTCGCCAATCTTGCGCTCCGCAGCTGATTTTTTAAATAGTGCAACACCGGCAAACCCACCATCGAGTTCCCATAGATATGCACTAGAAACACCGCCCTCGTAGTACAAATCACGGTAAATATCAAACGCGTCATTGAATGCAACCTCAAGTGTGCGCAGCTCTGGTCCAGGAACAGCGCCGTCTGCTAGTGCTGGCTGGTACTCTCCACTCCATGGTGACCGGTAGCTGTCACCATCACGGTTGTAATCGCATGTCAGGAACTGCCTTTTGGTCTCGGCACAGGTCTTCACGCCAAGGGGCTGGTCGACCGATGAAAGAAGATCCTCGGCAAGCGACGGGGCTACTTGGCACAGAGTGTTAAGGTTGCGTGCAATGCTACGCGGATTCAATCGTCGCAAGAGATCCAAAGAAGCATCATAAGAGTCGTCAGCCATTGTGTCTGGGTATTTGGCAATTGAAATAAATTAAACTAGGGTTGGTAATTGGGGAGGGGAGGTAAAAGGGAAAATGGTGTTGGTGGTTGTGATAGTGGATGGATTGGAGGTTTGAAAGCCAGTGCCAAAGCGCGATATTTTAAAAGGCCAGCACAGAGTCACGTGAAAGTTTTTTGATCACGTGATAACGCCGCACATACTAATCAAGTAATTAGTCGTCCGCACAGAGACATACACAAAAGTTGCTCGTTCCGCTCCGCTGCTAAGAAAGCAAAGCAACCTTCTCTTTAGGCTTCTTTCTTTTCTTCAAACCAACTCTTTCAAAAACTTTTTTGTTCAATCATTTTGACCGCCAAAATCTTTAAAATATATATATATTTTTTTGAAGAACTTTTAATATACAATCTCTCATGCTAGCTCTTGTCAGCTTCGTGCACCTACTGCGGCTTTCTGCAGTGGCCGCACTTGCCCCCGCTGACCCTGCTGCTGCTGTTGCTGCTGCTTCTTTATCTTCAAGCTCAGACACTCCCCAGCCACAACCACCCACGCCTATCCACGCACCAGGATACTGTGCAATCTTCTCGTCCTGTGGAAAACAATCTTTCTTTGGTCCGGAATTGCCGTGCCCAACAAACATTCCGGCTACTGACCCGGACGACGAAACTCGCGCGGCCCTCGTCGATATCTGTGGAACCGAAGGGTGGTCCGAAGGTCCCATTTGTTGTGACCTTGGTCAAGTAAGTTTATATATAATCTTTCTCCTTTTTTTCAAAAAAAAACAAAAAATTCTAACCATAATCTCAGTTAAAAACCCTCCGTGAAAATCTTAAAAAGGCTGAAAATATCATCTCTTCATGTCCGGCTTGCAAGGAAAATTTCTTTCAACTTTTTTGTCGTTTCACATGCTCTCCAAACCAATCCCAGTTTGTCAATGTCACATCCACAGAACTCTCGCGTACAGGTCTGCCTGTTGTCGCAGAACTCGACCAATATGTCGACCCCGTTTTTGCCGCAGGCTTTTACGATTCCTGCAAAGACGTCAAGTTTGGCGCTACCAATGGTTACGCAATGGACCTCATTGGTGGTGGTGCGAAAAATTATACCCAATTCCTTAAGTTTCTCGGTGATAAAAAACCCTTGCTTGGTGGCTCTCCATTTCAAATGAATTTTGTTTGGGATGAAGAACACGATCCAAGTGTCATTAAACGTAGCACAGGTCCTATCCGTAACTGTTCAGATCCTGATGAACGATACCGTTGTGCTTGTAATGACTGCCCCAACTCATGTCCCATCCTCCCAGATCTTGACGAAGAACGCGTTTGTCGCGTCGGCATACTTCCTTGCTTCTCATTTGCCGTCATTATGATCTACTCAGGCACTCTCTTTATCATTCTTGTTGCTTACAGTTCCTATAAGGCTTATAAGTTCAATAAGCAGCGTACCACAGAAGCCATGCGGCTGCTACACGATGTCCCAGGATTCAACGACGATGACGAAGACGACGATTACTTTGGCACCCGTCGCCGCAACAGACTTTCCTGGATTAAACTCCCTGCCATTCTTCGCTTCAAAAGTGCTGACTCTGTTTCTGGCGAATACCCTGTCAACTCTTTTTTTCAGCACTGGTTTTCTCAGTGCGCGTTTGTCTTTGCCACGTTCCCAGTAATTGTAATTGGCATTTCTACCATCATTGTTTTTGCACTTTCGCTTGGATCTCTGCGTCTTCAGCTTGAACAAAATCCTATTAATCTTTGGGTCAGCTCAAACTCTGTTGAATACCAGGAAAAAGCCTATTACGATGAAAACTTTGGACCCTTTTACAGATCAGAACAAGTTTACCTGGTCAATGAGACGGGTCCTATTCTCTCATGGGATACCCTTCAATGGTGGTTTGACGTCAATTCACGTATTAATACCCTTGTCTCTCCAGCTGGTACTACTCTCGGGGATCTTTGCGTCAGTCCTTTTGGCGACGCTTGTGTGGTCCAATCCATGACTCAATATTTTGGCGGTGACATTTCCCAACTATCTAATACTTCATGGCCCCGACAAGTGGCTGCTTGTGCTACTACACCTGTCAACTGTCTGCCACCATTTAAACAGCCATTGAAAAAGAATCTGCTGTTTGGCGGATACGAAGATAACGACGTGCTGACGTCGCACGCACTTGTTGCCACTTGGGTTTTGGAAAACTCGGGACAGGACACTGAGCGAACTCAGCGTGCCGCTGAATGGGAAGCAGCTCTTGAAGATTTGTTGTTTCAAGTCCAAGCCGAGGCGGAATCGCGTGGCCTACGCGTCAGTTTCAACACGGAAATTTCGCTTGAGCAAGAACTCAACAAATCTTCTAACACAGACGCCCGTATCATTATCATTTCCTATTTTTTCATGTTTGTTTACGCATCACTTGCCCTTGGCGGTGTTGTGCCTGGGTTTGGTCGTAACTCTTTGGTCAAGTCAAAGTTTTTGCTTGGTTTCTCTGGTATTATCATCGTTCTCATGTCAGTCGCAGCCTCAGTCGGGTTCTTTGCTCTCATTGGCATCAAAGCAACTCTCATCATTGCAGAGGCCATTCCATTTTTGGTTTTGGCTATTGGTGTAGACAATATCTTTTTACTCTCGCACGAGCTGGAAAATGTAAATGCGTCGCATCCAAACGATACTGTGGAAGAACGAGTGTCCCGCGCAGTCGGAAACATCGGTCCCAGTATTCTCTTTTCAGCATTTAGTGAAACCCTCACGTTTGCTCTTGCTGCCTCAGTTGCTATGCCTGCAGTTCGCAATTTTGCAATCTACTCTGCGGGTGCTGTTTTTATTAACTTTGTTCTTCAGCTTACCATGTTTGTTTCCGTGTTGACTTTAGATCAAAAGCGCATTGAAGATAACCGATTTGACATTTTCCCTTGCTTCACTGCTCCTGATCCTCAGGAAGTTTTTTTGAGCCAAGAATCGTCTTTTTCCACGTCTGTCCGTGCTTTAGCTTCTCCTGGTGTTTTTGAAAAATTCAGTGAACCAACATTTTCCAAACTCATTCGTCAAAACTATGCTCCATATATTCTCAGTGAAAGTGTCAAGCCCATCGTTATTGGTCTCTTTTTCGCCTTTTTTACTCTCGGCCTTGCTCTTCTTCCTCATATCTCTCTTGGTCTCGACCAGCGTCTTGCCATACCCTCCGATTCATATCTTGTACAATACTTTGACGATTTCTACGATTACTTCAACTCTGGGCCTCCAGTATATTTCGTTGTGCGCAACCTTAACGTAACAGACCGCGCATCCCAGCAAACTCTTTGTGGAAGATTTACCACCTGTGACGAGTACTCGCTTGCGAATATTGTCGAGCAAGAACGCAAACGCCCAGCCTTGTCCTATATTCAAGACCCTCCAGCTGTATGGATTGACGACTTTTTTGAGTGGCTTAACCCTAGTCTTGACGAGTGCTGTCTTGTGAAACCTTCACCTTCTGGCAACAATACTGACTTTTGCGGACCCTACGACAGTCCATACATGTGCGAACCATGTTTTCAAAACCACGACCCCAAGTGGGACCCCCAGATGCATGGCCTTCCTCAGGGCGCTGAGTTCATGACTTACTTTAATGCGTGGATCGATGCACCTTCCGATCCTTGTCCGCTTGGTGGTAAAGCTCCCTACTCATCTGAAATTGCGGTTGATCCGCAGACCGGTGCTATTGTTGCGTCCAAGTTCCGGTCGATGCACGTACCGTTGCGGTCGCAGGACGACTTTATCGATTCGTACGCCGCTGCGCGTCGCATCGCAACTTCTATACACGAGTCTACAGGGATTGATGTGTATCCTTACAGTAACTTTTACATCTTTTTCGCTCAGTATAAAACTATTATAGGTGATACTTTGGCCCTTGTCGGAATGGCACTTGCACTCATATTTGTGGTGGCTGTTGTTCTTTTGGGCTCACTACGCACTGCGTTTGCACTCATCCTGACAGTCGCCATGGGCATCACTGACATTGCTGGCATTATGTCACTTTGGGGGATCAGTCTCAATGCCGTCAGTCTTGTCAATCTTGTTATTTGTGTGGGAATATGTGTTGAGTTTTGTGCACACATTGTACGCGCTTTCACCTTTGTACAAAAGTCACAGCTGAGCCAGCAACAACTACCACCAAGCAACCCTAACACGCAGTCGCGGTCACGCCAAGCGCGGGCATTCAATGCATTGGTCGGGGTCGGCGGGTCCGTCTTTGGCGGCATTGCACTTACTAAGCTCATTGGCGTGTCGGTTCTTGCCTTTACGCGTTCGCAAATCTTTAACGTTTACTATTTCCGTATGTGGCTTGCGCTGGTCCTCGTTGCCACGGCCCACGGGCTTATATTTTTGCCAGTGCTCCTCACGTATATAGGTGGAGCCGGGTACGTGCTTGATGAACAAGATGAGGGCCTAGTAGGCGACCTGGCGTCGCGGCTCTACCTCAATCCTGGCGAGGATGACGATGTGGATGATGATTCTGCTGATATTGTGGATTACAGCAACATTTCTCAGCCTTCAACTGGGTTTCAACCATGATTAATGAAATATATATAGATGATTGGGTTGATGTATAATTTTTTATTTACAAATCTATTTTTAATACTAATAGTAATATTTACAAGAAAGTGAGGGCACGTTCAAGACGGGCCAGAGACTGAGATTTACCCAAAATGTACACGTTAGTGGGAATATCAATACCCGGAGCACTACCTGTGAGAGCGTAACGAAGAGCTTGTAAAATAAGAGGTTTCTTTGCAGTGCTTTGTTTAGTCAAGGTATCAATAAAAGCCTTAGCATCGGCAAGTTGCTCGATGTTAGATTCGTTGAGAAAAGAAATCGCAGCTTTTAGAATCTCCTTTGTGGTATCTGATTTGCGAGCCTCGACGAGGTACTTTGCAGCGGGTGAATCGCTAGTTGAACCCAAATTTGGGATATAGTGAAGATGACGAGCCTTGATAAGGTATTCATCTACACTAGTGATGTTATTTTTGAGTAAACTCAAGTTGTTTTCAATGTAAGAGATATCCAATGGGTTTTGAATATCAGATTCGCCGGATTCTTCTCTCAGCTGCTCGTGTATCTTGCGAGCAATTGTATTTAAAGAATCTGGGTTCTCAAGTTCAAGCTTGAAAAAGTGCTTGTTCAAAAACTCAAGCTTCTTCTCATCCACCTTTGCGTTACCCTTGGTAAGTCCGTCCAGCGAAAAGGCCTTCTCAAGCTCGCTCAACGTAAACACCTCAGAACCTTCGCGGTGCGGTGACCATCCGTAAAGTGCCACATAATTGAGCATGGCTTCGGGGAATACGCCACGCTTTGCCAGCGACAACACGCCAATATCACCTGAACGCTTGCTCAGTTTCTTATTACCAGCAGATGTCAGTAGAGGAATGTGCACAAATGAAGGCGGGGTCCAGCCAAACGCATTATACATGGCCACATGTTTGGGTGTGGATGGGAGCCACTCTTCGCCGCGCACAACGTGCGTGATGAGCATCAAGTGGTCATCAACAACGTTGGCAAGATGGTAGGTTGGCAGCCCGTCTGACTTGACCAGCACCGGATCGTCAAACCGTACATCTGCCGGGTTCACTTGCACCTGCAAATTCAGGTGTCCGTGTAACAGGTCACGGAACTCAGGGTAACGTGTAGGGGCCTTGAATCGGATAGTATGGGACTCTCCTGCGGCTGCACGTTTCGAACTTTCTTCCGGAGAAAGATGTGAGCATTTACGGTCGTATGAGGCCATGGATGGGGGGTGGAGTGTGCGTGCGGATTCGCGTAAGCTATCGAGTCGTTCCTTGGAGCAAAAACAGCGGTATGCGTGGCCAGTCTGAAAACAGTATTAATGTAAATATAATATTAAAATAAAAAGAACGAAAACTCACTTCAATCAACTGGTTGGCGTACTTGGTATAGGTTGCAGCACGTTCCGACTGACGATAAGGGCCATGGGGGCCGCCGACAATTGGACCTTCATCCCAATTCAGACCAGCCCACTTGAGAGACTCATAGATGTTTTCTTCAGCGCCCTGCACCAGACGATTCTTATAAAAGAGAAAAAAAAATACGTTAGTTTTTATTTCATTGTATCAAAACGAGTGCATAACATTTTGGTTTAAAACTGACTTACTTGATCAGTGTCTTCAAGTCGAAGCAAGAACTGGCCCCCAGTGCTCTTGGCCAGCAAGTAGTTGTAAAGTGCAGTGCGTAGAGACCCTAAATGAATCAAGCCAGTGGGCGACGGCGCAAACCGGGTGCGTGCGGGAAATGTGGGCTGTACAGATTCATTGTGACCGTGGCCATGAGCGTGACCATGATCGTGACCGGAACATTCTGAAGCTGCTGCTGTGATAGTCTCCTTGTAGATAGATTTTTTCGAGGTCAGAGAGAATTTTGAGTATGCGCGGAACGCATGTGTCGGAGACAGGTTCGGGATTTTTCGGTGGACTCGCAGCATTATGTGATGTAGATTATAGAGAGGGGTTTTTGGATTGGTGATTTGGTGAATGGAGTATTTTTTTAAAATCCACAAAAAACCTGTCAACAAATTTTTTGTTACAGATACATGTTCACGTGATCTGTAAAATCTATTTTACATGTTCAGAAAAAAAATTTCACGGTCCTTGAAACGTTTCCTCCTGTCATCCCAGCCCATCACCATCCATCCTCCCTTTGTTTTTTTTACTCTTTCAAAAAGTGAAACTTATTCAATATCTAATCCTTGGGTTTAGATCTTTTCGAGACTTCTTTTCTTTGATCTTTTATCTATAATGACACTTGGGATGCCCTATTACGCCCAGAATCATCTCCATACTCAAAACCCTCCCCAACAACAACAGCACATTTACCAACAGCAACACCAACAGCATCAGCACCAGCAACAGCACCAGCAGCACCAGCACTTTCAGCAGCATCAACAGATTACTTCATCGCCTCGTCTGGTTAACTCTAACGCAAACGCTCCTACTGTTCAAAACAACAATCCAGCCATGTACTCTTCTCCAGCAATGTATCCCCAGCAGCTTGCCATCAACAACGTTGGCAACGGAGGTCCTGCAGGAATCCCAGCGGGTGCGATCCTCAATAACCGCTCAGCAGCGCCAGCATGGTCATCTCAACAAAATGAGTGTATGTGAATTTTTATTTTTTGTTTTTTTTGTTTACATGTCGTGTGGCAAATATCCAAATTTGGTAACTAACGCTGGCATTAAAGTCTTACGCACTTCTGCCCGATTCAACGCCTCAAGATCTTTTGATATTGAAGATGATATTGAGTTTTGTCCTTTAATGACTGATGATGATGTGAGTTTATTTATGATATTAGGGTATTTTATTGACCTTGACTAACTTATTTTTTTACAGATCAAAAGAAGACGTATTGCAAATAGCCATGCTGAACTTTCATACCTTGCAAACTCGCCATACTCAACACCATATACTTTGTCAAATGGTCTGCTAGTAAGCAACGGTGGAGGAAGTGGATCTCCGCTTTTGCAACACCAACAGATTCCAGATTACATGACACTTAACGGAGCCTCTGGGCCTGGCGTTCCTCCTGCATCTTACCTTGGTTCTCCTGTCCCTCGTCAATCTGGGTTGGTTAACGGTAACCGACGACAACAACAACAGCAGCAGCAACAGCAGCAACAGCAACCTCCTATGATGATTATGATGGAAAATGGAGGAATGAATATGGGTATGGGTGGCCTGCCAAACGGAATCAACATGATGACTGGAGGCATGGACCCTAGTATGAAGCGTGTGATGAATATGAACAATAGCAATGGAAACAATACCATGAATATGAATAACGGTGGACTTATGAACAGATCTACTACTCCAAGTGGTGGCATGCGCTCCGTTAGCGGCTACAATAATTACTATACACAGCGATGATTTTTTTTTTGTTTGTTTGTTTGTCTTTAAAACTTGATAATAACTTACGATAATGTTCCTTCGTATACAACCACTACTTACTATTACTACTGCATAGAATACCAAAAACGACTTTTTATTATTATTTACTTTACGAAATTATGGGGAAAAAACGAAAAGGAATTTTTTTTTAGATTTGACTATTTTGACGATATTTTTTTTTTTATAATTTTTGTTTGTTTGTGCATTTTATTCTAATAAAAACTTGATGACTTAAAAAATAACAAATATATATAAAAAAGTACATTCTCATTTTAAAACAATGAGCAGGATTATGAATATTATAAATAGAATTGCAATGGTTAGGATGGAACCATTTTCGCGTGCCTTTTTAGAGAACTTTGTGAGACGCTTCTTTGCCGTGGCCAGACGGTTGTGAGAGCGATCTGCAAACTCATGAACCTCGTCAAGCAGATCTAAGTGGGTTTCTAGCTCATCTCCAATGTGGAGACTCAGCATGTGTTGGCGCGATACACTTGCTGCTAATCTGTCCAAGTGTTGGTCTTGTTCATCGAGCACTAGCTGCTGTTGTCGCAAGTGTTGGTGGTTGTTTGTGTCAACGCGTGGCAGCAGTGGACCACTTCCATCACTGTCATCACTGTCATCACTATCATGGTACGACTGTGTGCTTGGGTCATCACTATATGGTTGCTGGCTAAAAAGCATGGATCTTACCCCTTGAGAGCCTCCATTACTATTATCAGAAGCTGAAGCGCCAGCGGTTGTTGCTGCGGGCTCAGCAGAACCAGCAGCTGATGAAGAATGCGCAGGGTTATAGTTTTTAATGTCCACAAGGTTGTCTCGAAATCGGACATGTTTTGGTTTGGCTTGTGGCCGTCTGAAAAAAAAAAAAAAAAAAAAAAAAAAAAAAAGTTAGCCTTTATCGCGGGGTTCACTAAAAAAAAATTCCTACACCAAAAAACTTACTCTAGAGTTAACTCTTTAAAACTAGTTTTTAAATTAGGATCGTGTTTGTACTGCTGTAAAATCTCATTGTAGTTTGCTGTGAAACGTTCTAGTAACTCGTTTCTATATTCGGTGAATGGGCCCACGCCCTCTCGTGTTAGTACGAATTATGTTTCTTTTGGACATATATAAGAGCAAATAAAACAACAAGTTCTTACCGTCTCTTGGAGTCTGCAGGTTTGTTATTGTCCAGCACCACATCGCGCAGCTCCGCAATAGATTCGACTGTTGCAGTCAGTGTCTTTTCTAAGTCGCGCTCTGAAGATGGAATGGGTTTGATATCTAGCCGCAGCGTCCGGTTGCGTTCGTCCACAGACATCCGTGCCTGGTCCACCAGGTCTTCCAGCTTATACTCTAGACGACTGAGTTCAGGTAAAACCATGACTATTTAAAAAAAATATATAAAATATGAAAATAAAAAGTCTATAGGTTTGATGGGGTATTAGGTTATATATCCTTTGTGGTTTCCAGAAGTTTTGACTGAGTTTTTGCTGTTATTTCTGGTGGCTTAAGGCAGAAGGTTATGTGAGATGTGCGTGAGAAGGCGGCTGGTAGTTTTTTTTTTTTTTTTTTTTTTGATGGCTGGCGCGATGCGCGCGGTTTTCCGATTCAAATCACCTACGTATGAAGGCAAAAGGGATTATTGCTTATTTAAGAATTTCGAACCTGGTTCGGTCACATGATTATTTGTTTGATTTTAGGATTTCCCCACCATTTGGATTTTAATTTGCCATCAACTTTGGGCTTTCATCTTGACACTCTAAGCAAACAAAAATGGCCGAACCAACTTTTCCAGCTTCACTACTAGGACTTACGTCCTCTTCAAAATTTTCTTCTTCTACAAGTCTCGATGAGTCTTCAAAACCTATTTCTTCAACAAGTTCACTTTGGCCTAAACTGGAATACGTAGACGCTCCTCTTGATCTCTGGGCACTAGAGTACTTAGAAAGCACACTGGCCGACCAGCTAACCTGTTCCATCTGTCAGTGTATATTCGTGGAGCCTTACTCTACCAAATGTGGGTATGTGTATTTAATCTTTGTCATTTTTTTTTTGTTTCGTCTAACTTGTTTCTTTTTTTTCACTCTAGACATACCTTTTGCAAAAAATGTCTGACCCAGGCACTGACCCCCACTGAATCATCTGATTCAACCACAAAATGTCCCTTTGACAGAAGCCCACTGAAAAATATCCCAGAAGATATAGGTCCAGCTCCAGTAATCATTTCAAATCTTGCAAACGAGCTTGTGGCATATTGTCCAAACAAATCGCGTGGGTGCACGCACACTTGCCAGCGGTGGCTTCTCGATGCGCATCTCCAGCAGGACTGTTTGCATGCGAAGTTTAAATGTCAAGGAACCAAAGACGATGGCGAGCAGTGTCATGAGCCATTAGAAAAACGGTTTATTTATAACGCGCGAGAAATTTCTGTACAGGACTATATTGACACTAAAGGTGCTTTAGCAACTCAAGAAGACTCCACAGATACCCACGAAAAAATCGAGAAATTTGATATCAGCAAACTCACAGTGTACTGTCCTCACGAACCTATGGATTGTCCAAACGGTTGTGGACGCACATTCCCACGGTACTCCTTTGAAGAGCATTCCCAATCCGAATGCTACAATACCGAAGCATCATGTCCTATATGTAACGCCAGACTCCTACGGAAAGACATACCACAACACCTCAAGCTATGTCCAGATTATGTTGTTCCATGTGATGCAGCTGACATCGGGTGTGTGTGGGTGGGTAAACGCCACTTGTACATGTCAGAACACCAACGACAATGCAAGTTTATGGCGTTTTCTCCCGCCCTAACAAAGCAAAACAAACGGATTGATCGACTGGAGCAAGAAAACAGAGTTCTTCGGTACAAGCTTGATAAGGTTTTGTCCAGCCTGCCTGAAAATATCTCATCAACTGTAGGTTTTGCTTTAACTTCTCGAGCAGGACAAACTTCTTCATCAACTACATCAACAACATCAACACGGCGAACTGGTGTGCGAAGAAACTCAGAAAATGGAAGCATTTTTGACAACTTTAGATTTACCGACTCGGATTTAATGCACATGCTTATGGAGGGTGAGCGGTTACGAGAAGATGTTGACCGATTAACTAGTCTTGTCGGTGATATGGAAATGCGTCATGGTGTGGCCATTATGCAAGAGAGTTTTAGAACAGGTGAAGAAATTTCAGCTCTCCGTGGACTCGTGAATAGTTTACGACATCAAATTCATTTTTTACAATCGGAACGAAGGTCACTTGCCTTTAGTATGCAGCAGTTTCAGCATCAACAAATGTTTCATCAACATCAACATCAACCCCACGCGACAACAAGTCCTGTCGATTTTTCAACACACTCTTTGGCCTCTAGTAGCAGTTCTGAAAGCTTGCTACAAGACTCGCCCAGACGATTAAGTGGTTAGTAATAATAGATTTAATTGGTAGTAGATTAGCAGTCTGGACTAACTTTTTTTTATTGCTTTAGATACAATATCCCGACAAGACATAAAGTTATAAATTTTAAATGTGCGGCTTGCTTTTTTATTGAATAAATTAAAATGGGATGCTAATTAAACTTGAATTGTACTAGAAATAAAATTTCATGCTGGTTTTTCACTGTGAAAAATAAAAGAATATCTTATCTTCAAGTTTCTCCGACGGCAAAAGGATTCCAAATTTCAAGGAAGCTGGAACAGAACCCGCATTGTGGAAGAAACCCAACATGGGAACTCATTGAATCAATTAAAGTGAAATAAAAACCAACTTACGACTCCACTCGTGGAGAAGTGAGAGACTATCGTGTAAAATTAAGATATAAATAGTTCAATTTTACTCTGTTAATAATTCATTATTCTTCCCTAATTTTTTTTCTCCTTTTCTTCTTTTCATCATTCTTTTGGTTTTTTAATCTAATAATTACACACAAAAATGGGTCAAAGATTTTCAACAGTCTACCTGTGGGCGGTGATTCTTGTGGCTACACTCACTCAAGCAATACCAATGCCTCAAGCACTGCCTATCCCTGAAAATCGATTAGCACCTATACAGCATCGATTAGCTTTGGCAGGTTCAGGAGGGATGGCAGTATCATGGAACACTTATACAAAACTAGACAAAGCAGAGGTATTCTATGGAACAAAACCAGATCAGTTAACAAATGTTGCTGGGTCATACGATTCAAGCACTTATCCTTCATCCACTACATTTAGCAATCATGTTAAACTCTCAGGACTTGCACCAAATACAGTTTACTATTACCGGGTATCGCACACACTAAGCAACGCACCGGTAATGAATTTTACAACTCCACCAGAAACAGGAAAAAGCCCATTGGTATTTGCAGTTGCTATAGACTTGGGGACCATGGGACCTCTGGGACTTAGTGAAACTACTGGTGAGGGTGATGGTGGAGCACTGCTTCCTGGTGAGCGTAATACTATTGACGCTTTAGCTGCCAATCTGGGAAAGTATAGTTTTGTGTGGCACCCTGGAGATATTGGATACGCAGATTATTGGCTCAAAGAACAAGTCCATGGGTATCTCCCGGAAGTTCCTGTTGAAGAAGGATTCAAGGTATATGAATCAATTCTTAATACCTTTTATGAACAAATTTCGAAAGTAAGTGCTTATGTTCCATACATGGTAGGTCCTGGAAACCATGAGGCCAACTGTGATAATGGTGGGGTCAAAGACAAAAAAAAAGGGATTGCATATACGGTTGATATTTGTATTCCTGGGCAAACAAATTTCAGTGGATATCAAAGTCATTGGCGCATGCCCAATGAGGAATCTGGTGGGTTCAAAAATATGTGGTATTCCTTTGACTATGGCCCTGTGCATTTTGTACAAATCAATACTGAGACTGATTTTGGTCGAGGTATCATTGCTCCAGGAGAACCAGGAGGAAATGGTAAAGAGTATGCAGGTCCCTTTGCAAGGTATGCAGACGAGCAACAAGACTGGCTTGAACGTGATCTTAAAAACGTGGATCGGTGTAAAACACCTTGGGTCATTGTTGCTGGCCACCGTCCGTGGTATGCTGCGGGAAAAGACGGGTGTAGTGAATGCCAAGATGCATTTGAAGCGGTGCTTGTAAACCATGGTGTAGATGTGGTAGTCTTTGGCCATGTTCATAATTACCAACGTTTTGATCCCATGAAGTTTGGTGAGGTGGATCCCCGAGGACTCAACAACCCGTCGGCACCATGGTATTTGCTGAATGGAGTAGCTGGGCATTATGATGGCATGGATAAGTTTGAAGGCAAAAAGGGTAAGCAATTGGAAAAGCCGACCGGGTTCAAGGTTGGCTTTGACGATACGTATGGGTGGTCGCGATTCATTGTGCACAATTCAACTCACCTGACGCATGAGTTTGTGGCTAGTCGGAATGACAGTGTATTAGACAAAGCTACGCTTTTTAAGCATCGGAGCATGCCCACAGAATGTTCTTCTAGGGCTGCTACGGGGCTGTCGGCAATGGGGGCCGAAAACGAGAGTGAGAGCGACTTTACAAGCATTGTTGACGCTGTGAGAAACCCCGACGTGTCAGACGGCATAGATGGTTTTGATAGTGCACACAATGTTGTTGTAGCCAAGATGGCCAAGACTGCTCAGAGCGGAGGTACCGGGCGTGCAAGTCGCCAAAGTAGCCCGTTGGGGATGATTGTTGCCATAGCTGCAATTCTTATGCTGCTGTAAGAAAAAAAAGGCCTTTGACCAATGTAATGGAGCGTATTTATCAGCTTTTTTTATTCAATAGAAACCTGGAAGAGTGTGGGAGGGAAAATACAAAAGAGTCTCCGAATTGATGTCATTCATTCTGCTGATGCTGCAGCATGGCCATCGTGGTTGGGATTAGCCATGCCATTGGGTCGGATGAAACGCAGCCTTGAACAAAATATGTCACGACGCCGCACAAATTTACTTAATGAAGAAATTTTCAGCTCAGGTACTGGTGTTGTTGGTATATCAATAGATATGCGGCTGTGCGCCATGCCAAGTCGATGTTGAGTAGACAAGCAAATGCAAAGTGCATTTTTGCACCATTTTGGGAAATTTCAAGTTGTATTTTTTTCGTTTTATAATAGACTTCATCGTCTTTTTCTTCTTCTTATTTTTCTTCTACTCATAATAACATTTTATCTGACGAAGTTGACCTTGAGCCGACGGTTATTTAAAGCTACCATGTGTTTTTTTTTCTTCGTTCCGTTATTGCATGCTGGAGATGGTTGCTGCCATTTGCCAAAGTTGAGGGAGGGCCTTGTTTTAGGAATAACTTTAATTCTAACTTTGATTGACATTCTTCTCCGCTTACAAACCGCTTTTTTTTTACAGTATTTTCAACGATAATAAATGGAATCACATTTATTAATAAAAATTTAATATAAATATCGAAATGATTCCTTCACTAGCCACAGTTGTATATCATTTTTTTTTTAATTTTTAAAATATTTGATCTATAACCATCACCCAATCGCTCGCTTATATCCTCAATATATTTAGAACATAGACATAATGGCTAACCAGTCAAAGCCCATGAAAACATCTACTGCTGCTATTGCCGCCCTCCTCCTGGCTGCATGCACTGTCCCCGTTACTGCAATTCCTATGCCTTCTGCTCTCCCTATCCCCGAGAACCAGCTTGCTCCTGTTCAGCACCGTGTCGCTCTTGCTGGCGAGAATGGCATCGCTGTTTCCTGGAACACTTTCACCCAAATCTTTGGACCACAGGTATTTTACGGAACTAACCCCGATCAACTTACCCTGACTGCTTCTTCCAATATCTCCCAGACCTATCCTTCCTCAAGCACTTATTCCAATCATGTCAAGCTCTCAGGCCTCAAGCCAAACACCACATACTACTACAAAGTTTCCAACTCCCCTGATAACTACCCTGTTTATAACTTTACTACTCCTCCTACCTCTAAGAGCAACTCGTATGGCTCTTTCAGGTTTGCCATGGCAATTGACCTTGGTACCATGGGTCCTCTCGGTCTTTCTGAAACCACCGGCAGTGGTGATGGTGGTGTTTTGCTTCCAGGTGAGCGCAACACCATTGATGCTCTGGCCGCCAACAAGGATGAGTACGAGCTTGTTTGGCACCCTGGTGACATTGCTTACGCCGATTACTGGCTCAAAGAAGAAATTCACGGTTACCTCCCTGAAGACATTTCCAAAGGTTACGAAGTTTATGAATCTATTCTCAACGAATTCTACGACCAAATTTCCAACATCTCAGCCTACAAGCCTTACATGGTGGGTCCTGGTAACCATGAGGCTAACTGCAACAACGGTGGTACCACCGATAAAAAGAAGGGCATTTCTTACACTGTTGACATGTGTATCCCTGGTCAGACCAACTTCACTGGTTATCAAAGCCACTGGCGTATGCCCAACGAAGAGTCTGGTGGCTTGAAGAACATGTGGTACTCCTACAACTGGGGTCCTGTTCACTTTGTTCAAATCAATACTGAAACCGATTTCGGTAATGGCAACATTGGCCCTGATGAACCTGCTGGATCTGCCGGCGAAGACGCAGGTCCTTTTGGCTCTTACCTCAACCAGCAGTATGACTGGCTTATCAAGGATCTTTCCACTGTTGACCGCTGCAAGACCCCTTGGGTCATTGTTGCTGGCCACCGACCTTGGTATACAGCTGGTACAGATGCTGGCTGTACTTCTTGTCAGAAAGCTTTCGAAGCCGCTCTTGTTAAGTATGATGTTGACGTTGCCGTCTTTGGCCACGTTCATAACTATCAGCGCTGGAGCCCCATGAAGTTCAATGCTACTGACCCCAATGGTCTTAACAACCCTTCGTCTCCTTGGTATTTAGTCAATGGTGCAGCTGGTCACTACGATGGTATGGATGACCTTAACAAGACTAAGCCTGCTGGTTTCAAGTTCGGCTTTGACAATACGTACGGCTGGTCTCGTTTCACCGTCCATAATGAGACCCACATTACCCACGAGTTTGTTGCATCTCGCAATGACTCAGTCATGGACACTGCTACCCTTTTTAAGAAGCATAACTTTGGCACTTGCGTTGCTTCTAACAGCACCTCTAATAGCACCTCCACCGGCACCCTTCCCCAAGAAACAACTTCTTCAGCCGCCGTTGAGGAGGCCAATGCTGCCGCTAGTGTCACCGTTGTTCACACTAGCATGATTGGTGCAATTGCTCTTGTTCTTTTCCTCTTTGCCTTTTAAAGTTTTTGAATGATTTATAATTGTGTTGTTTTTCTGTTAAATTAAATTGTATGAATAAAAATTTGTGAGTTTGATACTTTTTTCGTAATTAGACCTGACTTGTTTTTATTAGTGTTATTTAGTTTCTACCGATAAAAATAGTAGGTGTGATAGCGATGATATTAAAAAAATCTTTCTATTTTTGAAGAGATTTATAAATTTATTATATATCTGTATTTCGCAACTGAAATTTTTACCAGTATTTTGTGACATAAGCCAAACAAAAAAATAGTTTCAAAATGCTTCTCATAATATCATCCCTAGCCCTTATGAATTAGTCATTTTTGAAAATTAAATTTTCATCTTAATTTAAGTTGTATGGTTAACAATTTCACATAGCACATTTTGAAACTATTTTTTTGTTTGGCTCATGTCACAAAATACTGGTGAAAATTTCAGTTGCGAAATACAGTTGAAGGTCGACCAAAGACTTTTTTTTATTTTTTCAATTAGCAAATTGATTTTTTTTTTTTGACAATTGTATAAAAATGTATATCTTTTTAAAAAACCTTTTTTTACTTTAGACTTAAGTCTCCTATTCAAGCTTGGTTAAATAATAAAACTATAGCACCTTAACACATTTCTTTCAGCAATGAATAGTATTTAAATGTTCGTCAATTAAAATATCAGCCCTAGCCCTTATGGATTATACCTTTATTTATACGCGTTCTAAATTCCAGTTTTAAATTTATTGTAAAAGATTTTCAAATAATGCATTTTGAAATTAACTTTTCCTACAAATGTGTCGTCGCAATGTATGTTTGCATCAAAACGCGGAATCAAAATATGTTTCAAAATACGTTTGAGTCAAAACCCAAAACAAAAAAAACTCAAGGATTTACATTTCATTCTCAAATTACAACCTTTCAGAAATAATTCATTTTATTAACAGGGAAAAGAAAGGTATTTTTTAACCAAGATTTGTCCCCCCAACCCTTGCATATTGGTAATGGCGAAAAAACATTATTGGTATGTGTTTTCAAAAAATCACCTTTTAATGTAAAAACAAACAAAGAATTGTCAATCTAAAATGTTGATTAAATACCCTAGCCCTTTTGGATTGTTAAATTTTTATTTAAGCTTTTGATATTAATTTTCAAAATTATAATTTGATTAATTTCTTTACTATATTTTGAAAAGACGATTGCATGATCATGAGGTGCCAATATTCAACGTTTTCCATTTTTTGATATTTCAAAAAATATGTACCCAAAACCAAATTTACCCTTGCTCTTGTGAGTGAGCATATATTGATATATATTTTTAAAAAAATCTGGCTAATTATATCGAAATTAACAAGCTAAGTGCTCCCATGTTATTCAAAAGTTATAAATTAAAAAAAAATGTCATTTTCAATAAACATCTATATATCAAATACTATACAAAAAATACAAAACAAGAAAGCAGAATTAAAAAAATTAAAAAAAATTATAAAATTATAAAATTAAAAGTTAAAAGGCAAGGTAAAAGAGAGCAATGGCAATTGCACCCATAATACTGCTGTGCAGCATAGTGGTTTTGCTAGCAGCATCGTTGGTCTGCTCAAGAGTGGCAGAAGGTGCCACCTGAACAGGGATGCTGATTGAAGAAGTGTGGTTGAAAGTAGAAAGAGTGCTAGGGTGAGCACCAGTAGTAATGTTAGTAGCGGGAGATGTTGTATGGGGACCAGCAGAAGCACTAGGCTGAGCGCTGGAAGAGAAAGAAACTGTTGATCCGATAGAAACAGTAAGGATCTTGGTCTCAGTTTGGATTTCGATGGAGTTGGAAGCAGTACCAGAAGGCTTAACAGATTGAACTGAGGAGACACCAGAAGAAGTGTGAAGAGCCGAGCCAGCAGAGCTGCCACTGGCAGTGCAAGTGTGGCACGAAACAGTAACAGTCTCAGTACCAGCGGGACCAGTGGCGACACCAGACGATGAGTGAGCAACTGAACCAGCAGAGCTAGTAGAGTTCTCCTTGCAAGTATGGCAAGAAACGGTGACAGTTTCAGTGCCTGCAGAGGCTCCTGGGGCACCGGTAGATGTTGAGCAGGAAGCGGTAACAGTATCAATAACTTCACTGCCAGAAATGGTAGTAACATGGCCAGATCCTGAAACGGTGGCAGTTTTAGTACCGGTTGAAACTTCGGAAGAGCCAGTGGATGTTGAGCAAGAAGCAGTAACAGTGTCAATAACTTCGCTGCCAGAAACAATAGTAGCATGGCCAGAAACAGAACCAGAACCAGCTGCAGAACCGGAGGCCTTGCATGAGGGGCAGGGAATAGTTGAGATGCTAGTAACGACATCAGTAAGAGTTCCGGTAACAAGGTCAGTGACAACAGCGGTGGAATCACCAGAAGAAGCACTTGAACCCTTGCAAGAGTGGCAAGAAACAGTCTCAGTACTAGTCAAAATGCTTGTGAGAGTACCAGAAACAACAGTCGAACCAGCTTCAGAGGACTTGACACTTGAAGCACCTTCAGATGATTTGGCAGTTGTAGCACCTGAAGAAGGCTTGATGGTTGAAGCCAAAGTTGTAGCGGCAGCGGAAGAAGTAGCACCAGAAGAAGAAATAGCAGTAGAAATAACGGTAGTGTTAGAAACATAACCAGAGGTAGTGGCAACTCTGCTGGAAGCACTACCGGTGGTAGCACCGGAAGATGTAGAAACAGAAGAAGTGGTGGCAGCGCTACCAGTGGTGGTAGCAAAAGTGGAAGTAGCGGAGCTGCTAGCGACATTGCTGGATGTAGCAGAAGAAGTTGATGGGAGAACAGATGAGCTGGTGTCAGGAACAGCACAAGAGCTGAGATCATGCTTTTTGAAAAGAGTGGCAGTATCCATGACAGAGTCGTTACGAGAAGCAACAAACTCGTGGGTAATGTGGGTCTCATTATGAACGGTGAAACGAGACCAACCATAAGTGTTATCAAAACCAAACTTGAAGCCAGCAGGGCTGTTGTCGTTATTAAGTGAATCCATACCATCGTAGTGGCCTGCAGCACCATTTACGAAATACCAAGGAGACGAAGGGTTGTTAAGACCATTGGGATCGACCTCGTTGTTTTTAATGGGATCCCAACGTTGGTAATTGTGGACGTGGCCAAAAACGGCAACGTCAACATTGTACTTGATGAGAGTTTCTTCAAAAGCACTCTGGCAGGTGCTGCAAACGGAAGAACTATCGACAGTGTACCAAGGACGGTGGCCAGCAACAATAACCCAAGGGGTCTTGCAACGATCAACCGAAGCCAAATCCTTGTTGAGCCAATCAAATTGTTCATTAGTATAAGAGCCGAAAGGACCGCCACGCATATTACTGCCCTCATCAGGGCCTGTAATTCCATTACCTAAATCGGTCTCAGTATCAATTTGAACAAAATGGACAGGGCCCCAATTATAAGAGTACCACATGTTTGTGTTACCGCCAGACTCTTCACTGGGCATGCGCCAGTGGCTTTGGTAACCAGTGAAGTTGGTTTGGCCTGGCATACACAAGCTGACAGTATAAGAAATGTTGTTAGCCTTGTCCTTAGTGCCACCATTGTCGCAATTGGCTTCGTGGTTACCAGGACCAACCATATAAGGCTTGTAAGAAGCAATTGAAGAAATATCATCGTAAAATTGGTTGAGAATAGACTCGTAAACCTGGTATCCGGTAGAGATATTTTTAGCAAGGTAACCGTGGAGCTCTTCCTTGAGCCAGTAGTCGGCATAGGCAATGTCACCAGGGTGCCACATGAATTCAAATTCGTCCTTGTTGTCAGCAAGAGCCTTAATGGTATTGCGTTCACCTGGGAGCAAAACACCACCGTCACCCTTACCAGTGGTCTCAGAAAGACCAAGAGGGCCCATGGTTCCAAGGTCAACAGCAACAGCAAACTTGAAAGGTTCAAAGCTATTTGTCTTTGAAAGAGGAGGAGTAGTGAAGCTGTAGACAGGGAATCCATCAGGAGAATTAGAGACCTGGTAGTAGTAAGTGGTGTTGGGCTCAAGACCAGAGAGCTTTACGTGGTTAGAGTAAGTAGTAGAAGTGAGGTATGTTTGAGAAATTTGGGAGGAAGCGACCTGGGAAAGTTGATCAGGGCTGGTGCCATAAAAAACTTGGGGCTCACCCAGCTGAGCGAAAGTGTTCCATGACACAGAAATTCCATCTTCACCAGCAAAAGCAATACGGTGTTGGACCGGTGCAAGTTTGTTTTCAGGGATGGGAAGAGCATCAGGCATTGGGGTAGCAGCGGCAGGGATAGCACACACGGCAAGAAGTGCAGCGATAGCGAAGACCGAAGCCCTCACGAGCTTAGATTGGTTAGCCATTATAATTTATTATTTAGTGAATATTAAAGTTAAACGAGTGAATAAAAGTGGGTTTGCTTGGCTTTTTCTTAAAAAAAAAATTAAATAAAAAGCTTGGCCAAGTATCATAGTATTTATACCAATTGAAAGGGAACTGTCTCAATTTTAGGGAGACATATTAAGTTCAATTCTTCGGCTGTAGAATATATACAATTAAATTTTGAAAATGGCAGGTAATTAATTGAAAACTAATGTTTTTAAAGGTGAAGTAACAAATAAAATCTACTTGCTCTAGCATGTGTTAAAGCACAGTTTCCTTCGAGAAACATTTCCATGGTTTGGTGGGTGTTGTACCCCGACGGTGAAAAAAGCTGAATTGAGAATATATATTTTGTTTTTTTTTTTTTTTTTCAAGTCATTTTGGTGAAAAACAATTTTGCGTGTTTGCTGAAAAAAATGTTATTAAAGCTGCAGGTACAAACACTTTGGTATAACATTAAAATTTCCAAAAGTAGCTGGAAAGCAACATAAATTCAAATATTTAGGAGATATACAAATTTATTTAAACTAATTGCTAAGTCTAAACACTACATAGAGGTTACATTTTTATGTATATTTACTCTTTAAATATATTTGCTTAATTTAGTAGGTGGTTATGGCTTTTGCTATTTTAAAATTAAATTAGAATTGTTTGTTTGGTTTAAGCTGAATTGAAGCAATTTGAAAACATGGACAAATATTAGTAGTATATATAATAATTTAAATTGATCATTCAATTGATTAATGAGAAAAAAGTGATTTGTTAAGAGATAATTGTGATTTGTTAAGAGATAATTGTGATGATTAACGCAGCATGGGAAACCAAGTTAGCAACCATTGAAGCAAGAGGCGGTTTTGAAATCTAGCTGCTGCTATTGAGTTAATTTGTTTTGTTTTCAAAAATCACTTTTATTCTTATATAGAATATCAGAGCCAGGAGGTATTATGTCCTTAACTAGCTGTGTCGCAACGTTTTTTTCCTCATTTCGGGAATGTTTGCCAGGTCCTTGTGTCTTATCGGTGTGAAAAACCTTCGACTGAAAATCAACACCAGGCGTGTTTTCGGTATATTTTAAGTAGTTTAATCATAAATAAAAGTTATTAAATTATGGTAACAGCCGAAATATATAGTTCCCAGTTAGATAAGCTCAGCTCATTTCTTTTCTAAACATTGATCTTAAGACAAACTTGGCTTTTTCTTGTTATATCTTAACAAGTTTTCCAGATAGATAGGGATACTTCTTAGGTAAAGTTTCCACCAAGCAGACTAAGGGTCCTGTGGCACCCCGCTACAATACCCTGTTTTTCTCATAATCACTACAATCATCACTTATTTCACAACTAGTGTGGATAGTGTGGAGTCAAGATAATTTTCTTTTGTTTAACTTTGGCATGGAATAGACTTTTCAAAAGTGGTACTACTCTTATCAGAAGGAACGAATTCGGAACATACTTTTAGCGCTAAGCCATTAAGTTCTACATGTATATTAATACTTTTCTTTAATAGTATAGTAAGTGAAAAAATAATAACAAAATGCACAGCCCGATCATTAAAATTCTAGTCTACATATATAAAAAAATGACTGGTAAAATGTTTTTCAGGCTTAATCGAGAACAATCGAGACCTTCGGCGGTGTTGTGAAAGCTTGATGACGATAGTTTTTTATTCTTTTAGCCCAATAGAAGGTCCGAAGTTAGTCACGATGCCCGGCTGAGTTTGCTTGCAGGAAACCCTTGAGGGGGTCATCGTGAAAAAAAATGTAACTACCCCCCACCCACCCCTTTTTGAAATGAAGACGCAGTTTAATTTGGGTCAACTTACCACCAATCCTGGTAGAGTCAATAGTAATGCACATATATGAAATAAATTATGAAAATGCTTAAAAATTAAAAATTTCAAGCTTTTCGAATATACAGCTATTTTTACTTTATCTGTGCTTACTCCTCAAGGCTTCTGGCTCTCACCAATGTAGACCAATTCCATTGAATGGCAAAAGTATTTTTTGAATCAAGGAATTGAATCTAATGAATTGAAGGCTTAATTGAGGTAAAAAAAATTCCATAAATTTGAGCAAACCTTCATGCTTTGCCATTTGTTTTTTAAAAAAATAGATTGCTAAAGAAAATAATAAAAGTCATTTTAAGAATTCTGGGGTTTTCCCCCCCACACTTTCTTTTAATAGAGATCAATTGCTAAAGTCAAACAATCACATATATCGAAAAAATAACTCCATTGTGTATACGTACAATTGAGTAATGTAGAAAGACAGGATGATGTTTGGAAAGAAGAATCAACATTTACTCACGGCACTCGGGCAATTTTGGACAATATGAAACTAAATTTTTTTTATAATCTCAATTGAAAAGAAATTCCTGGGGCACTAGAACCTCATTATTAAATTAGTCAAAACAAAATGATTTGTCTTTTGTTAAATTATTGTATTCAATTGTTGACATTTGAATAGCTTTTTATTCAAACAAACAAGAAGACGAATATTGGATTTGCTTCAAATTAATGATTATATGGTTGATACTATTTAAATAACAAAAAAATATAATAAATACAATTGACTTGTATTTGATTCAATTTACCAAATAGATTTTGATTTCTTTTTTTCTTCTTAACTCAGCTGAAAACATACTTTTATTTCCTATAATATTTCAAACATAAAACAGAACTGAAAAAGAGCCACTCATTAAAATTCTAGTCAAGCCGAATGAGTGTGTAAGCATTCCTAGTTAATTATAAATTATAAATTAATATCAAAAAAATATTTTATTTATCTGCAAGTGTTCACTTATAATTTTTTGAGAAAAAAAAGATATTCAACAGAGCTTGAATACTTATTTTTATATTAACTTCTTGGTATTCAAAAAAAAAAGAAACGTAATAGGATTTCAAATCATATTATTTTTTTTTCTTTGGTATCAAAAACATGTTTAAATAGGTCTCCATTATTATTTAAATAAGTACATTTGATTATAACCGGTTATTAAAAGAAATAGTGGGGTTTTTAGATAAAGCTTTTCAGGTCATCAAACATAATTAATGGTATGTCGTTCTAGGGTTTATATTTGGAGTGTAAAATCTCTGACATTTATTTTGTCAAATTCAAATTCCAGGCAAAGATTATTTTACACATATATGATAACAAAGTTGACTATCTCTTTCCAGCAACCTGTAGTTCATGATAACCGTTTCATTTCAATAATATATACAAGTACAGCCGTTATTTATATTCTGTTTTTTTTTTCTTCCTATTTACTTTTTTTCTTGTTCATGCAAAAGAGTCTCTTCCTCTTTCAGTCGCTCTTCCTGCTGATGGATCACTTCCTGTCTATGCTTAATACGGTCCAAGGCCTCAGGTTTTAAGTGCAGAGGCTTCATTTCCTGGAAGGATACGCGAAACTTGGACTTAATTGGATTTCCGTTTTCGTCATATTCTATCCGTGGAGGTTCCTTCTTGATCTGGTATATTTGTGTTAGGAACTAGGGAATCTCTTTTTTTTTTATTTGTTTCTAGGTGATGATGGTTTTAAAAGGTATACATACAAGCTGGTAATCTGAAAAAAGATAGTAAACTAAGACTGAGCTTAGTGAAAAGCCAACAATACCGGCAATAGCTCTACCACCGGGTGTTGGGCCTTTTGGAGGAAGTGGGTTCATGGTAATAGTATCTGGTGACGATAGATGGCAATCTTAAGATTGGAACTGGTAGTAGAGTAAAAAAAAAAAAAAAAATAAACGAAACAAAACAAAACAAAAAAAAAAAAAAGCCTGCGAGGTTCTCACGGGGCCCCGGCAATTTACCTTGTTACAACTTGTGTTACACAACTTTTTTGTTCCATACTATGATAGTGCTCCCATTTTAGTCGTTTTGCCTCCCTCGCAAAAAAAAAAAAAAAAAAAAACCCTCCACCACCCCTCCATCACCAACAATTCTGGTGTACTGCTAAACTATCACACAACTTTTACTACTCAAAGATCTTCTTTATAATAATGGCTAATCTGCTATCGAAACGTATTATTAGAGTATGTAGTTTGTTTGAAATGTCTTTTTTTTTCTTTCTTTCTATTTCTTATATCTTTTTTTTTTTTGATGTCTTTTTTTGATCTTTTGTAACAGCCTTTCTTTGATCCTAACACGCTTGATCCACATAGGAAACCGAGCGCTTAGTCTCGGACCCGGTCCCAGGAATCGCTGCAGTTCCTCACGAAGATAACCTCCGCTACTTTGATGTCACCATTGACGGTCCAGCTCAGAGCCCTTATGAGGGTGGTGTGTTCAAACTCGAACTGTTTCTTCCTGAAGACTACCCCAGTGAGTATTTTTTTTGATTTTTTTTTTTTTGTGTTTTTTGTATTTTTGGAAATCCCGGGCACGGCATTCGTATTACACCTTCAGAAAAAAAAAAAAAAAGTCCTGTGACAAGCTAACAATGAAGTCCAGTGGTTGCTCCTAAGGTCCGTTTCATCACTAAGATCTACCACCCCAATATTGACCGTCTTGGCCGTATATGTCTCGATGTTCTTAAGAGTAAGTATAGAAGATGAATTGCGTTTTTTCATGTCATTCTAACTATTTTTTTTTCTCTTTTAGATAACTGGTCACCTGCCCAACAGATTGGTACTATTCTTCTTTCTATACAGGCTCTTCTTGGAGCCCCCAATCCTGTAAGATTTCTTGATTTGTTTCTTTTGTTTGATGTTTTTTTGCTAACTTTGATTATTCTTTTTTTTTAGAATGATCCGCTCGCCAATGACGTTGCTGAGCACTGGAAAAAAGATGAGCAAGGTGCCATCAATACCGCTAAGGAATGGACGCAAAAGTATGCTGTCCCCAGCAGTTGATTTTCTCAGCATGCACCTTAGCCTACTATTCTATAGTTTAATGCCATTACGTTTTATTTTTATTAATGCAATGAAAGATGATTTGTTTGTTTTTTAAAAAAAATATTCAATTTTTTATTTTTATATATATTTTTATTTTTTTTTTAAAAAAGCCTGTCCATTTAGGCAGTCAAGGTGACAATGGTGTTAATGACATCCTTGTTGTTCTCCTTGAAAGCCTTGAGGATGGCACCGTTAGAAGCAGTAGTCTGGGACTTGATAGCCTCAATGTCATCCTTGGTCAAACCAGCCTCAACAAGCTCCTCCTCAGAGGCCTCAGGAATATCCTCATCAGCCTTCTGAAGACCGCCAGCAGCAGCGGCAGCCTCAAGATCAGCGTGGATCGAGGCAGGGTCCTTAGAGATGGCCTCAAGGTCCTCAGCAGAGAGACCGGAAGCCTTGGCAGCAGCAGCAAGGTCAGCAGGGTTGGCGTTAGCAGCACCGGCCTGGAGAGCAGAAGCCTGGCGGGCGAGGGCACCAAAGTCCTCAATCTTGGCCTCGCCAAAGACAATGTAAGAAGAGTTAGAGGCACGGTAAACCTCAGGGTTAGCAATGACAAAGTTGATGGATTGGCCACGACGGAGGACAACACGGGAAATGCCCTCGACCTTCTTCAGACCAAGCTTGATGAGAGCCTTGCGGGCCTTCTTCTCGGCACGCGAGTAGACAGTGACGGTGGAACCATCAGCGATTTCTTCGGATTCGGACTCAACGCCGGCGTCCTGAACTTCTTCGGGAACGGACTCAGTGGGGATTTCTTCGATCTTAGACATTTTTGATGGATGGATTGGGTTGAGGGGGAGGTGAGGGATAGGAATTGACTAATTACAAGGAGTGGGGTTGAAAAAAAAAAGAGAAGAGAGAAAAGAAGAAAAAAAAAATTCAGACAGTGAAATTTTTTTTTTTTTTTTTGGTGGTGAGTACACAAAAAAAAATTGAGTGGGCGGGTTGCGATTCGACATAACTTGTGACATTACACTTTTATATATAGATTTAAATTATGGGTTAGGGCTAAAAATAATTGAATATATTCAATGTGAATAAGCCAAAACAGGTATTTAAACGATTAAATTAAGATACTATTACAAATAAAAAAAAACTAAACAATGTATATATATATAAAAATATTAATTAATATTAAACAATTTACTCCTTCTTCTTGTTCCACTTCTTCGGCATTCTGAAGAACCAGTAGAGAAACATGGCAGCAATAAAGTTAAAGATAATGAAAGCAATAATGATACCAAAATTGCGCCATGCTTCGCTGAGTGGGGCACTCAGATAAGTCAAATAAGAGTCTGTAGTGGACATGGTACAGTACTTGCAATCGGAAGTTGCTTCAGGATTATGGATCCTGCCGAGAGTAGCCTCGGAATAAGGTCCCAGGAATGTCTCGCAAGTGTGGTTTGCAGGAATGACAGGGAACGTGAGCAATTCTCGATCAGAGCACTTGACTTCGGCGTTAGCAATTCCTGATGACAACATACCGCCAATGACATATGTAAATGGAGAGACACGGTACATAAAGATCCAGAACCCAGGCAAGGCATCCTTGGGACAAAGCACGCCTGACATACCAAGGGAAATGTTGAAAAGAACGTTAGACACGTTACCGGCAGTTTCTGGAAGTGGGATAGCAGCAACAACCATATGGGAGTATGTCAAAATGTAAATATAATATACCAGCGTCAGCATAAAGAAAAGCGCACCACGTTCGTGAACAGAATCCGTGGCAAAGGCATTGCGGTAAAGGCCAACAGGATAATAAAAGGTGAAAAAGGTGGTGAGTGCGGTAAAGACTTGCCAAGGCAATTCCGAGGCAGTCATGGAGAACATAAAAGCGACCCATGAATAAGTTTTTGACGGGCGCTCACGGGTTTCATAGAGTGTACGCTGCTCGGCAAAGGGATTGACAAGTTGTTCCACCAAGGGAATGAAAATGACGACAATCATGAAGATAGCATACATTTGATCTTGCAAACCTTGAATTGTATTTTTAGCTTTCCAAAAGCACACACCAAGGAAAAACGGAATACCTGTACACAAAATGATTTTGGACCAAATGTACTGTGGGTCACGGTAATTATGTAAAACAGCACGTTTAGAGACAATCAAGATTTGCTTCCAGATAGGAATGGCATAAGTGAGAGCCATGTGCTTTTCATGATCCTTAGAGAGCGAGCGCACCAATTCGAAATTGTTGAGCAAGTTATCAATTTCGTTCCTCATGGAAACGTATTCTGGCGAGTTACGCCAAACCTGGAACCAGTCTTTATCCGTGTGAGAGCCTGGTGCGGCACCAATTACATGCAGCATCCACTCGGCAGGGTTAGCAGTAGGCGGACATGGGTCAGCGCCGTTACTTTCAAAGTAGTTGATAAGGGTTTGAGAGTTGGGTCCAATTTCGCCATAGTAGACCGTCTGGCCGCCATGCTGCAAAAACAAAAGACGGTCAAACTGCTGGAACAAAACAGCCGAGGGCTGATGGATTGTACAAAGAATGGCTTGGCCTGAGTTTGTGAGTTTTTTCATCAACATCATGATGGACCAAGCGGTTTGCGAGTCAAGACCAGAGGTGGGTTCATCCAAAAACAAAAGAAGTTCAGGCTTGGCAGCTAGTTCGACACCAATTGTAAGGCGTTTTCGCTGTTCAACGTTGAGGCCTTCACCAGGGACACCAACAACGGCATCTGCATAGTGTTCCATTTCGAGAATCTTAATAACCTCTTCGACATATTCAATTTTTTCCTTGCGTGGAATGTGGTCAGGTTGGCGTAAAAGAGCAGAAAACTCGAGAGCCTCGCGGACAGTGGAAGACGCCAAATGGATATCTTGTTGTTGGACATAGCCAGTTTTGCGCTGGAACGACTTGTCGCGTTGAAGACCATTAACAAGCATATTACCGGTAACGACACCCATGGTTACACGGTCAGCAAGAACATCCAAGAGAGTAGTTTTACCAGCACCAGAGGCACCCATGAGAGCTGTAAGAGTGCCTGGTTTGACCCAGCCATCGACTTGGTCTAAAAGACGGCGGGGTTCTCCTTTAATTTTGATATCGTAACACACATCCTGCCACTGGAAAATACCTTCTTGGTGTTGGAGCTTAATGGAGCTTGCTACGCGCTCCATGGGAGTATCCATATCGTTGTCATTTCTAAGGTTATTTTTATGGCTTTCAATATCAGATGGGTGGATAAGACCTCTGATAGTTTTATGGCCACGAGGATAAATCAAAATTTCACCCTTGGATCGGACACCTTTAATGTATTCGACAAGGAAAAGATAGGCAATGTAAAAGGCGATGCAAAATATCCAAAGAATGCCAAAGTTACGCCAAAGATGAGAGGGGTAATACTTAAATGCCTCAATGACATAGTCGGAACCCTGAACAGTAAAAGATCCGGCGACAGCACCTACAACATTGCAGGTTTTATAAATGGAAGGAAGACTATTGTAAGTTCCTCCGGAAGGGACAATACTTGAGCACTCAAACGCGACATTTCGGAACTCGTTAACCATCATTGACTCAAAAGTATATGCGAGAGGGTTAAGGTAGTTCATCCAGCGAATCCAAGGGTGCATATCGAGAACCGGAATCACAAATCCGGTGGTGATAACAATTGCGAAAACAACCAAAGCAGCTGGGGTCAAAGCTTCTGAGACGGAGCGAGTGACAGAGGCAATGGCGCGGAAAAGACCAGACATGAGGATACAAGAGAAGAAGGAGAAGAGCAAATAAATAAAGAAGGCACCAGGTTCACGCTTGAGATTGACCATAAAGTAAAGCACAAGATTGAAACCGAGAGAAGTGAGAATCTTTCCCGGCATGTCGACAATTAGAGAGCTGATTGCTTCAGCAGATGGGCGGTAAAAGGCATAGCGGTGGTGTTTTTCGACAATTGGTCTGAGGGTGTAAAGGGCAAAGACCTCGAGCAAAGAAGAAAGGGCATTAAAGAGGACGGAGAAAAAGAGAGCGGCAGAGCGGTAATAAAAGGAAGCGGTTGTTTTTGGTTGGTTATAAAAGATGGAAGACATGATGATGGCTGCAATTGTGTTACCAATGATGGAAGTGGCAGTCATTGCGTAATCACCACGCAAACGCTGAAAGCCTCTGACAATGCAAATTTTGATTTGCATGGTGAATGAAATGACATAGGGTGACTTTGGAGGAACGTGATTAGCTTGTTGGGCATTTTTGACGACCTGGAACTGGTGAGCGCTTTCACCATCAGTGGGGTTTTGGGCATTCCATTCGTCAATTTCCTTCAAAAGTGCAGTATATTCTGGGCTATCTTTCCAGTATTGTTCAAATTCATCTGGGGTGCGTGGGACGCGGTCTTCGTAGCCGGGCTTGACGACTCGTTCAGTGGGGGAGGTCAAGGAGGTAAGGTAGTCTCCGGTAGTTTGGCGGTCAATGCAGACGTAACCCATATTTTCAAAAAATCTTTTTGCATTTTGTGCGGGGCCAAAAAAGATTTGGCGGCCCTGGTACATGACAAGGACCTTATCAAAGAGATCGTAAGCATCTTGAGAGGCTTGGTAGAGAGAGACAAAGATGGAAGCACCAGAAATGTCAGATGCGATTTTGAGTGTTTTGATAAACTCTAGGGCAGTAGCTGAGTCGAGACCACGGGTTGAATTGTCCCAACATTGGATGGTAGCACCTGCAAGAACAACCTCTGCAATGGAGACACGTTTTCGCTCACCACCGGAAACACCACGCACAAAGTCGTTACCGAGAATGGTGTTCATTGTGTGGAGCAGGCCAAAGGATGCCATTGTGACATCGCGCTTGTGGATGGCATATTGGTCGCGGGTGACACCTGGGAAACGGTTATGTGGTGTTCTTGCGAGGGCTGCAAATTTGAGCGTGTCACCGACAGTAAGATGTGGGAAATGGATTTCATTTTCGGCATTGTAGATGACCTCGCCGCGGTAATTGTGTCGGACTTGTTTAGGGGTGATACCTAGAAGAAAGAAGAAAAAAAAAAAAAAAAAGAGGAGAGGAGAGGAGAGGAGAGGAGAGGTTAGAGGGAGAGAGAGAGGGAAAGGGTGGCTTTGAAGGGATAAAGAGATTCTAATGTTGAGAAAAAGACATACCTTGATAATTCAAAATGGTATCTTGAGTTAAATGGAACCCATAAGTATCGCAAGCAATGGATTTTAAAAAGGTTGAGCAACCACTATAACAAGTTAGAAGACAAAGTAAAAAGTTAAAAAGTTAAAAAAAACAAAAAAAAACTTACGCGCCGGGACGGCCAAGAACGACGCATGTTTCGCCACTCTTAACAAGGCCATTGAATTCCTTTAAGATAGTAATTTGGGGGTCTTTTTTCTTTAACAGGATTCGGAACCATTCTTTGTAAGACAGAATGGTATTAAAGACTGTTTTTTGGTAATCAGAGCCTGTGGAGTAGCCAAATGCACCAAGGTTGCGGAAAGAGACACCTGCGTTTAAAAGAGGATATCGTTCTGGGTCTCTGTGTTGGATATGAAGAACGTGTTGTGCCCAAATACGGGAATCAAATTGGTCACTATGGGGGTCTAGGAGTGGGTTTGAAGCATCAAGAAATGGGTTAAAGGCGGTGGGGAATCTGTGAAGGGACTTTGAAGAAGATGCAATGGAATCTGCATCACTGCGAAGTTTTTCCGAAGTGTCTGGGGAAACACCTAGGGGGTCTTTGTTAGAGCCATGAGTAATTGTTGTTGTTGCGTTTGCATTTGCATTTGTGTTTGTGTTTGCTTCTGTATTTGCAGACGAGTCTATTTTGTATTGAGAAGAGTTTGTGAGTTGACGGGCAAGCTCGAGAATTTGTTGAGATTTCTGGACGGGGTTGCCCTCGGTGTTATTATAGTCAAAGAAAGCAGGGTGAGTTGAAGGATTCTTTGTATTCATATTAAGTGGTTGGAATGCTTCAGGTGGAGGGGTTGGAGAGAGATTATTGTCGAGGCCTGTGGATGAATCTGTTGGAGAGTCTGAAGAGGAGTTTAAGGAAGGTGGGAGGGTTGGGTCCTCGGCGTTTGGAGGTTTTTCTGGGTCCGTCATTATTTAATAAAAATAGGTGAGGAAAGAGAAAAAAAAAAAAAGAAGAAGAAGAAGAAGAAGAAGAAGAAAAATGAAAAATGAAAAAATGAAAAAGTTTTGGATATTTTAAAAAAGAGTTGGGAATCTTAAAAAGGCAGGAACTAAAGATGATTTTATAAAAAAAAAATTAAAAAATTAAAAATTAAAAAAAGAAAAAAAAAAAAAAAAAAAAAGGTCTTTTAAATATATTGGAGGTTTTGTAGGATGCGGCATTCTCAAATGTTTATGTCCATATAAAATTATCTTTATTTATTTTTATTTATTTATTTATATATATATTTAAATATAATATACGTCGTATTTAATAATGAGCCGTGCAGATAGCCCTAATGGTACCAGGTTTCTTTTGTCGGCACACGGTAGTGCGAGGTCAGCCGGGACCGGTCGTGGTTCGGGTTTTTGAATTGTGCGACAGTTACCGTAGAAGATTAATTGATGAAGTGAAGGAAGGATCTTCATAATAATCATGAAGAAGATGAAGATTTATTCATATGAAAAAAAAAAAAAAAAAAAAAAAAGGAGTGGAATCGGACAGTTTACGACTCCGCGGTGTTTTTTTTTTTTTTTTTTTTTTTTGAATATTTATATTTAAATTTAAATTTTTAAAATATATTTTCAATATATATAAATAATAATAATAATAAAAATATAAATTGGGAGGGGATTTTAGTTTTTTTTTGTTTTTGGTCGGCAGTTGAATTTTTTTTTGAATATTGAAATGTGGATTTTTCATCAAGCCGAATGAATTATTCTTTCAATTACAGTGCAGAAAAGAAGCCCATGGAAATACGTTTTTTTTTTTTTGATAGAAGGATGGATGTATATAGATGGATATGACAATTGGTGTAAATATATGTGTATTACATAAACTAAGTTTAACTGAGTATTTAAGATATTTAAGATATTTAAGATATTTAAGATATTTAAGTATTGGAGATTTGCTCTACCCGTTAAACTTATTTTTAAAACTTTACAAAAAAAAACCCAATCAAAGACTTGGCCCATGCCAACAATTAATCTAATTCAATTCGTCTTTTTGAAAAATTAAAAAATGGAATAAAAAAGATTTTAATTTGTTTTGTTTTGTTTTGTTCTTTGTTTTATTAAAGCAACCACCACCCAGTGTAGAAAAAAAAAAAAATAGAAAGAGGCAGGCCTAAAGCAACTTTTTAAAGACTTTTATTTTACTAAAAAAAAAAAAAAAAAAACGTACCACCTTAACCACCATAACTACCACTACTATTACTATCACCATAACCTCGGTAAATAAAAGAAGCGGTGAAGGTAATGACTACATTAATTACTGTTATGCTCTTATAAATATTTAAATAAAAATAAATAAAATAAAAAAAAAGGGGAGAAAGAGAATCCGCTCACCGTGTATGGTTGTTACTACAATGACGCTCATATTGATTCTATATATACAACTTAGTTTGTAACCGTTACCAATAATTGAGTATATTTTATGTCTTGAAAAATAAAAAATAAATACAAAAATAAATAAAAAAAATAAAAAAAAATAAAAAAGCCCGTGATTTTGGCTGTTTACATACAAAAAAAAAAGAAATTCAAAATCAAAAAATTAAAAAAATTAAAATCAAAATTTAAAATCAAAAATCAAAATTTAAAATCAAAATTTAAAATCAAAAATTAAAAAATCAATTAAAAAATCAATTAAAAACAAAAAAATAAATAAATAAATAACAAAAAAAATTTAAATTTGAAATTAATTAAAATCAAAAAAAACAAAAAAAACAAAAAAAAATTTAAATTTAAAATTAATTAAAATCAAAAAAAACAAAAAAAAATTTAAATTTGAAATTAATTAAAATCAAAAAAAAAACAAAAAAAAAATATAAAATTTAAATTAATTAGAATCAAAAAAAAAAAAAAAAAAAAAAAAAAAAGACAAAAAGCCTAAACAAGGCTGATAATGCAGCCGTCCAATTTTAAAGCCGTGCCTTTTTAAGTTTTAAGTTTACAAAGTGTGGGTATGACAAATAGTTTCTAATATATATGTAATACATTTGTAATACAAAAAGCAATTAGTTTCTTGTTTTCAATAACATATATATTATTGCATTATTATGTAACATAGTTGTAACAGAGTTGTAACACCGTTGTAACACCTTATCAGGTCCTCTCGCTTATCTTGCTATGTCGCCTTTTCGTCTCTCTCTGATAACAACACAATTTTTGCTCCTTCCATTTCTACCTTCCATTTCTTCTTCTTCTTCTTCTCTTTCTTCACCTACCTAACCAACCACTAACCAGAAAAAACTTACTCGATATAACATTACAAACACTTTCTTTTTTATTTATTTTTTTTTTTTTTCCATAATCATTATCATTATCATCACCATCAATTTCTATCATCATGACTGCTTCTCTGAAAAATAACCCATTCTCTACTCAAAAGGAACTGCCACCATATATTGGTGCAAACTGGTCAACCTTAGACTACGCTTACGACTTTCTATCATTTATCAACAAAAATCCCACCGAGTTCCACGCCACCCAATACGTAGCAAAGGTCCTCGAAACACATGGCTTTGTATATCTCCCTGAACGTTCCTCCTGGACCGATGTCCCAGAGTTTGTTGCCGTAACAGCCAAGGGCTCTGGTGGCCGCTTCTACACCACCCGAAATGGTACATCGCTTGCGGCATTTGTCGTGGGTCCAGACTGGGTCCCAGGTAATAGCATTGGTCTTGTAGGTGCTCACATTGATGCTGTCACTGCTAAACTAAAACCTGTGTCTCGCGTGGAAACAAGTGACGAGAATGGTGCATATATCCGATTAGGGGTTGCACCATATGGTGGGGGTCTTAGTCCCGTGTGGCTTGACCGAGATTTGGGTCTTGCTGGTAGATTAATTGTAAAAGAAGAACCTGAAGAAAATGAAAAAGAAGAAGCAGCATTAGGATTAGGATTAGGAGTGAAAAAGACTACTACCATCAAGTCGAAATTAATCAATCTGGACTACCCTATTGCACGAATCCCAACACTTGCACCTCATTTCGGTGACGTTTCACGAGAAGCTTATAATCTTGAGACCCAAATGGTGCCTCTAATTGGGCTCGAATCAAGCTATGGGTCTGACTATGACTTAGAGCCCAGTGATGAAGAAAAAAAGAGTCCAATTGTGCATGACCATGATATCCGGTTACTACGGGCAGTTGCAGAGGCGGCAGATGGTATTTCAGTGGGATCCATTTTACGTGCAGAACTTCAATTGTATAACTTTCAACCAGGACAGCTTGGTGGACTTGAAAGGGAATTTATTTTTGCGCCAAGATTGGATGACAAGTTATGTGTGTATGCGTCACTTCATGGACTTTTGGCGAGTTTAGATGAGACCCCAGCAGATGTGGTTAGCATGGTTGCTTATTATGATGATGAGGAAGTGGGTAGTTTGACACGACAGGGAGCTCGTGGAACTTTATTCCAAACTGCAGTAGAACGACTTGCAGCTCATTATCCTGAGGGCACTGATGAAGGGTTGAGAGCGACTTATGCGAATTCATTTTTCGTTTCTGCAGATACCACACATGCTGTGAATCCTAATGTGAGTTGAGAAAGAATTTTGAATGAAGAAGGAGTATTTCTAACTAATTTTTTTTTTTTTTTTTTTAGTTTGCTGAGGTATATTTGGAGCACCACAAGCCCAAGCTTAACACGGGTATTACTATCAAGTATAATGTCAATATGGCCAACACTACAGACAGCGTGAGTGCATCATTGATTGAGGAAGTATGTCGTCGGACTGGGAACAAGTGGCAGCGGTTCCATATTCGCAATGATTCACGAAGTGGAGGAACAATTGGGCCTGCATTGTCAGCTGCCACAGGGATCAAGTCGCTTGATGTTGGAATTCCACAATTGGCAATGCATTCAATCCGAGCAACAACGGGGACACAAGATCCTGGACTTGGAGTGAAGTTTTTTAAGGGCTTTTTCGGGACATGGGCTACAGTTGATGAGGAATACAAGGCAGGTGGATTGTAGAGGTGGGGGAAAAAAAAAAAAGAAGAAGAATAGAAGGGGGATGATATATATATATTTATTATAAAATGAATAGATAGTTAGAGGAAGTTAGATTAATATATACATTTATTTAATAATTAATTGAAGATTTAGACATTGTATTGAAGAAGAAGAAGAAGAAGAAGAAGAAGAAGAAGAAGAAGAAGAAGAAAAAAAAAAAAAACATTTATTATTTATGATTTTTGATTTATTATATGTATATGAGGATTTTTAGTTAATAAAGGGAAGATTTCTTAAAGGGGAATTTTTTTGGTTTTGTAGAAAGAAAAGGTACGAAATCTGGGGTAACAAAGATGAGTCATCTTTGAAATGTTATGTAATAACTACATACTACATATATATATATATATAATTTTTTTTTCCGGGTAGAGAATATGAAGGGGATTTTTTTTTTTTTTTCAATATGAGAGTTAAATGGGAATTCCATCCGAGGAATGATGAAAAAATATAAAAACTAGGAGAGGTTCTATGAGCAAAAAAAAAAAAAAAAAAAAAAAAAAAAAAAAAAATTTAAATCAGTAGCTGATATTACAAAAATAAATTGCTAGGAGACTTTTTAATTTTTTATTTATTCATTTATTTATTATTTCGGGGTTTTTACGGGAGAACTAAATGGAATTAAAAAAAAGAAAAAAGAAAAAAGAAAAAGAAGGATTTTTTTTTCATTTTTCATTTTATTTTTTATTTTTTCTTCTTTTATGCGTGATTCTATACAGATAAGACTTGTACCTAATGAAAATCTGGGGAAGTTGAAATATTCCTAAGTTTTATTTCAAAAAAAAAAAATATAAAAATAAAAAAAAGATATTAAAGAAAGAAAAAATATAAATAAATATAAATATAAAAATAAAAATAACCCTTATAACAAAGTATTTTGTCGATATATATAGAAATCAATTTAATTCAATTATAGATTTTTAATTTTTTTTTAACATTAAATTAAATTGAATTGAATTGAATTGAATTGAATTGAAAATCTTAAGATTCTGAGTGGTTTTTTCTTAAAATTAAAACAAACAAACAATTTGGTCTTTACATTTTTAAAAGAAATTTCAAGAATAAAAAACTGAATGTGAAAAAATATACAATTTATTTAAAAAGCAAAAAAAGGAGCCAAGGAATTAAACAAAACAACAAAAAAAAGGAAAAAAAAAAAAAAAACGAAAGAGAGAAATTTAAATTATCAGGAGCTTTTAAGGACTCCTGATCAATTTTTTATTTTTGTTTATTTTGTATATTTAAGACAAAAAAAAAAAGGTTATTTAGCAATTGAGTATTATCCAATTAAATAACACTCATATTATATATATATATATTTGGTTTTTTTTTTTTTTTTTTTTCACAAGACCTAATAAAGATTAGTCTTTCCCAAGCTTTAAAGAGAATAAAGAATGAAATAAAGAAAAATAAAAAAAAATCATGGCCACAGATTTAATGGCATGCAGGAAGAAGAATTATTCAAAATAATAATAATAAAAAAAAAAAAAAAAGAAGCCTATTGTTAATTGATCAATTATATCAGGTGCTCAAAAAAAGGATTTTAGAACCAGTTATTTGTAGTAGTAGCATATTTTTTGGTTTAAAAAAAAAAAAAAAAAAAAAAAAAAAATTATTACCCCACAAAATCTTTTTCCCGCCCCCCCTTCTAATTCCATAAAAAGATATGGAGGGCAAATAGATTAAACGGGAATGATAAAGAAAAAAAAAAGAAGAAGAAGAAGAAGAAGAAGAAGAAGAAGAAGAAGAAGAAGAAGATTAAAGATTAAAAAAAAAAAATTTAAATTTAAATTTAAATTTAAATTTAAAGAATAAAAACCAATTATTTTTTTTTTTTTTGTTCTGGAAATATATATAGTAAACATATTTGGATTAACAAAGAAGAAATATAAAAGAGGCCATGCAGTGGTTTTCAAATAAAAACTATTAAAAATAAAAAAAAAAACAATAAAGAGCCTTTAAAATTCTTGTCAAAAGACCTTTTTAAATAAAATTCTATTGGATCTTTCTTATTTTTTTTATTTTTTTTTTTTAAAAAAAATATATATATATATTTGAATGATTGATGCATTGTATGATAATGATGATGATGATCATTGATGATCATCAACATCACCCAAAGGCCTATATAGAATTCACCTAAAATAAAAAAATATTATAAAAATAAAAATATTTCAAGATTTTATTAAGATTTTCATTTATTTAAAACAAAAAAATAAAATAAAATAAAATAAAATAAAAACTCCCGAAATACCTCCATGTTTATTGCGAGAAGCTCCGCGGCAGGATGCGGGATGTGGCACACGAAAAGTGAGCGGAATAGGGCAAATTTATAATTTATAATTTATTTTGTATGTGGTATGAGGTTATAATAACCATGAATATATTTTATTTTTATTTTTATTATTTTTGTTATAATTATGTGTGTGTGTATGTTTATATGCTTGTGGCAATATTTCTCCTTATAATTTTCTTAACCAATAAAAATCTCTTCCTGATACTTTTCGTGGCGGGTGCACGCAGTTCTTTAACAAAACATAAAAAAAAAAATAGTTGGAGGAATTCAAAATTTAATTTTTTTCTTTTTTTTTTTTTGAGTGTGTCGGCACCGACCGGCTCAATTTTTTATTTATTTTTATTTTATTTTATTTTATTTAATTTTTATTTAATTTTCTTTTAAAAGAAGGGGAGAAAATAGGAAGTACTTTGATATCAGTACAATTTTTGACTTTATATTAATTATTGATATTGATATTGAACTTGAACTTTGAATTGATATTAAATATAGATACCCTTTGCCCCGGATCACGTGAATACATTTTTTTTTTTTCATACAATGCCGATAAAATCCGGGGTTAATTGAGTGGTTTCCTACATTTCATCAATTATCAATCATCATCATTATGACAAAAAGATTTATATATTGTTTCAAGAAAAAAAAAAAAAAACCAATTTGATAGATATGAAGGTAATGAAAAAGAAGAAGAAGAAGAAGAAGAAGAAGAAGAAGAAGAAGAAGAAGAAGAAGAAGAAGAAGAAGAAGAAGAAGAAGAAATTTCGGCAAATTGAACAATTAAAAAGAAAAAAATAAATAAATAAATAGAATAGAATAGAATAGAATAAATGAAAAAAAAAAAAAAAAACAATTCAAATAGAAACTTTTTTTTAAAATGAGTAGTAAATTTTTATTATTTTTTTATGTTTGAAACAATTTGAGTACGAAATTTTTCTTTCTTCTTTACATTTCAACAAATTCAACAAAAATGTATGCACATGTAATGACTAAGCAATGCGGCTGTGCGGTCCTTTTTTTATTTTTTATTTTTTATTTTTTATTTTTTATATCTTTATATGGTGGCTGACTGACTGACTGACTGATTTATTGATTTTTATTGAATGGCTGCTACTGCTGTTGTTGTTGCTGCTGCTGCCAATTAATTAGTGGCTGGCTGGCTAGCTAGCTGGGGGGGTTTTTTTTTTAAAGGCTACGGAAAATCCCGACCCCACAAAAATGAAAAAAAAAAAAAAAAAATTAGGACTTTGAAACATCGTGAAGAAATAAAATAAAAAAAAAAAAAAAAAAGAATCAATCAATTAATCAATTAATATCAATCAAAGTGGCAAAGATAATAATAATAAAATAATAAATATCTATATAGATTGATTTAGTATCATTTTTAAAGCCTCTAAAATAAATTACAAGTAAGACTTATTTGTTGAAAAACCTTTTTTTTTTTTTATTTTATTTTATTATTTTATTATTTTTTTTTTATTTTTAATAAGGTATTTAAAAACTATTAAAAACAACCAATCACAGCCCTTCTTTCAAAATAATCACACGAGCATTATCATTACTATTATCATCACCATTATCATTCCAAACTCATTTTTTTTTTCTATTTTATTTTATTTTATTTTATTTTATTTTACTTTCTATACTTAAAATTATTATATCTGAATATATATTTTAGGGCTCTTGTTTATCATGACAATTCAATTCAATTCAATTCAATTTAATTCAATTGATATTCAATTGATATTCAACAACAAAATAAAATAAAATAAAAAAGAAAAAAGAAAAAAGAAAAAAGAAAAAAGAAAAAAGAAAAAAGAAAATTTAAGCCCTTTTTTTTATTTTTATTTTTTTTTTTTTCAATATATCGCATGGCGGGGGAAAGGCGAGAATTTCTCGGAAACTTTCGCCTTTTCAAAAATATTGATTGACATTTTTTTTTTTTTTTTTTTTTTTTCTGTGGGGATATATCCCAGATTGTTACTACTACTATTATTATTATTATTATGTCCATTAAGAGTATCTCCAACATCTTTTCATATCATCCATCCCTTTCATTATCCTAAACTCTCTTTTTTTTTTTTTTTTTTGTTCTTCTTCTCAGCTATATAAACCCTCTTAATTCCCCCCTCTTTTATTAGAAATTTTTTTTTTTCTTTCTCTTTCTTTTTTTTTTTCTTTAATATTCTTATTCTTCATCCTTTCCATCCACCCACCCCACCCCCTTATTCTCATCAACCCACATTTAAAAATGGTTCCATCTGTTAATCAAACCCGCCTTCACCCCTCCGGTGTCGAGGCTATCCCCAGCCACACCGAAATCGAGGAGGAACTTTACGAAACCGCCCACATTGACTACAACAAGGTCACCATCTCTCACAACCCCCCCGTTGCCGTTCTTTACGAAGATGCCCTTGTCTACGAATCCGGCTCCGCCATCACCTCTACCGGTGCTCTCTTTGCCACCTCTGGCAGCAAGACTGGTCGCTCCCCCAAGGACAAGCGTGTCGTTGATGAACCCTCCTCTGTCGAACACGTTTGGTGGGGACCTGTCAACAAGAAGCTTTCTGAGAACTCTTGGTTGATTAACAGAGAGCGTGCCATTGACTACCTCAACACCAGAAGCCGTATCTACGTCATTGATGCCTTTGCCGGCTGGGACCCCAAGTACAGACTTAAGGTCAGAATTGTCTGCGCCCGTGCTTACCATGCTCTCTTTATGAGAAATATGCTTATTAGACCCACCGAGCAGGAGCTCGCTGAGTTTGGCAAGCCCGACTTTGTCATTTACAATGCCGGTGCTTTCCCCGCTAACAGATTTACTGACGGTATGACCTCCTCCACCTCTGTTGACATCAACTTTAAGGATATGGAAATGGTTATCCTCGGTACCGAGTATGCTGGTGAGATGAAGAAGGGTATCTTCACTGTCATGTTCTTCCTCCAGCCCATCAAGTACAACAACTTGACTCTCCACTCCTCTGCTAACCAGGACAAGAATGACAATGTCACTCTCTTCTTTGGTCTCTCTGGTACTGGTAAGACCACCCTTTCTGCTGACCCCAACCGTTACCTTATTGGTGATGACGAGCACGTCTGGACTGATACTGGTGTCTTCAACATTGAGGGTGGCTGCTACGCCAAGTGCGTCGGTCTCTCTGCTGAGAAGGAACCTGATATTTTCAATGCTGTCAAGTTTGGCTCTGTTCTTGAGAATGTTGTTTTTGACTCTCAGTCTCGTATTGTCGACTATGACGATGTCACTCTTACTGAGAATACTCGTTGCTCTTACCCCATTGAGTACATTCCCAATGCTCTCATTCCCTGCGTCACTCCCCACCACCCCAACAATATTATTCTCCTCACATGTGATGCTCGTGGTGTCATTCCTCCTATCTCCAAGCTCACTAACGAGCAGGTTATGTACCACTTTATCTCTGGTTACACCTCCAAGATGGCTGGTACCGAGGAGGGTGTCACTGAGCCTGAGGCTACCTTCTCTTCCTGCTTTGGTCAGCCCTTCCTTGTCCTTCACCCCATGAAGTACGCCAAGATGCTTTCCGACAAGATGACTGAGCACAAGGCCAATGCCTGGCTCCTTAACACCGGCTGGGTCGGTGCTTCTGTCGCCAAGGGTGGTAAGAGATGTCCTCTTAAGTACACTCGTGCTATTCTTGATGCCATTCACTCTGGTGAGCTTGCCAAGGTTGAGTACGAGACTTTCCCCGTCTTTAACCTTTCTGTTCCCAAGACTGCTCCTGGTGTTCCCACTGAGCTCCTCAACCCCAAGAACTCTTGGACTGGTTCTTCTGATGAGTTTGACGATGAGGTTAAGAAGCTTGGTGCTCTTTTCACTGAGAACTTTACCAAGTACGAGTCTGAGGCTCTTCCTGAGGTTAAGGCTGCTGGCCCTGCTCTTTAAATTTTTTTTAAAAAAAAACTATTCTTGCATGTAAAAAATAATAAAAATTTGATTTTGAAAAAAAAAATATTTTTTTGTAAATTCCAATGTATTTTAGGGGGGGGGGATCTTTTAAGAATGTTTACAGTGGCGATTGAAAATGAAAGCAATCTGTTTGTTTAACATTTGGTGTAGTTTAATTTAAAAATTTATTAATTTTAAACAATTAACTCAATTAATTTAATAAATTGATTAAGATAATTAATGGAATAGTGATTAATTTAATTAATTTAATTGATTAATTTAATTAAATAAATAATTAATCTAATCAATCGTTTGATTTGAGTTGTTACATTGTCAGACCAAATCTAGAAGCAACAACAACAATATTAAAAATTTTTTTTTTAAAATGTGTAGTCAGCACTCACATATATCTGACGTAATATAATATAATTTTAACCCACCACTACTATTATTTCTTACCCAAAAAAAAAAAAAAAAATAAAAAAATAAAATTAAATAAATAAATAAAACAGCAACAGCAACAACAACAACAACAACAACAACAACAATTTAAAAAAAAAAAAAACATCAATCAATCAATAACAGCCACCACCATAAAAATTAAATAAAAAAAACAACAACCTTTCTTCTTCTTCCTACTCCTCTGTACAACATACAATAACAACAACATCCCCTTTTTTTATTTTTTTATTTTTTTATTTTTATTTTATTAGTATTAATAAATAAAATAAAATAAAATAAAAATAATATCCCAAAAAAAAAATAAAAAAAAATAAAAAAAATTTCCCAACATTAAAAATTTCTTTCCTTCTCCAAGCAGCCTTCTGCTAATAAAATTTTTTTTTTTTTTGTTTTAACCCAGCTAATCAACTAACTAACTAATTAACTAACAAACCCTCCTTTAATCTAATCTATTTATCTATTTATTTATCTATCTATCTATCTTCATCAATCTACACAATGTTGAAGTGGGTTCAAGGAAGGTAAGTTTAAATATCTTTCCTTCTCTCTCTCTTGCTCTCATAAACAATTTCCACACCCATACATATCTTATCTCCGATGATCTTTCATACTTTAATACTTTCTCTCTCTCTTTCATTCTTTGATCTCTCCATTTAAAAATGCCTTCTAACCCTCTCATCTCTTAAGCGTCTCTGCTCTCACTGGCGTCATGGAGCCTATCTACGGAAAAGACGCATTCCACTCTATCGCCGAAACTGTTTTCCACAAAAACCCTTACTCACCTCTCACTCGCAAGGATCTCGAATGGATTGCACCTTGGTCCTCTAACGTTGAGACACAAACTTTTTACTTTACTGCACCCTCGGGCCACTACGGATTTGTCCAAGTCATCCATTCAAACCCTATTGGTCTTCACTTTACTGCCCAATTTACCTGCCGTGTAGTCCACGATGACAAGCCTGAAGAATCAGTCTGGACTTCTACCAACCTAGAAGATATTGAAGCTCGCGGAACAGAGTTTAACGCACACAACATGTACATCACTCTTAACGAAGATGCCACAGAGTATACCATTTCATCTTCGGTCAATGAAGACTCGATTGTTGAACTTACAGCCACCCGTACTGCTCCTGGATTCAAGATTGGCAAGACGGGTACCTCACTCTACGGTGATGATATAGAAAACCCTTGGGGTTCCATGCGCCACGTGTTTTGGCCTCGTGCTGAAATCTCAGGTACCATCAAGGTTAAAGGTAAAGATATTGTCTTGGAAAGGGCCCATTCTCTCTATGTCATGGCCATGCAAGGCATGAAGCCTCATCATGCTGCTTCGCGTTGGAACTTTGTAAACTTCCAAGGCCCCACTTCATCTCTCGTGGTTATGGAGTTCACCACTCCACCCTCGTATGGATCATGCACCGTCGGTGTCGCTGCTGTCACGCGCGACGATAAGCTGATATACACTTCTACTGATGTTAAGGTCGACCACATTGATGCTGTGGAGGACGAGGTGGGCTGGCCGGCCCCTAAAAAGATTGCCTTTACCACCAAGGGTCCTGGTGTGGATGAGACTGACGAGGCTGTTGCTGCTGCAGAAGAAGCACCTGAGGCCGATAAGTCTGTTTTGTACAAGAGCAAGCTTACAGGTGATTTAGAGGGCCACCTTGTTGAACGGGTTGATGTGATGGCTGAATTGCCAATGTTTGTGAAGAGGGTGGCGTCTGGACTTTCTGGCACCAAGCCTTACATTTACCAGTTTAGTGATCGTGGTATGAAGTTTTTGCTGACGAATCCTGATGGTTCGACTTTTGAAGAAGTTGGCCATGGATTCTGTGAGACAACGTTTATCTCGTGAAGAAGGAGAAGAAGAAGATAATGATGATGATGATGATGATGATAGGAGAAAGAGCAAGACTAAAATGAAATTGCAAAAAAAAAAAAAAAAAAAAACCAATAATTATAAACCAACAAAAAAAAAATACTACAGAGAGAAACCTTTACAAATTTTAATTATTAATTTATTTTCATTTATTATTTAAAAAGAAAAAAAAAGTAAAAAAAAAAAAAAAAACTTTTTCAAAAGATGATGAATATTTGAGAGACTTTAGAGATCAACGGGTTCTGGATATTTTGTGTTTCTCCGATTCCCTCTGACAATTTTTTTTTTTTTTTGGTTAATTGAGAATAACCACTAATTTTTTTATTTATTATGTTTAAATTGTAAATTGTAAATTGTAAAATATATAAAAAAAAATAAATAATTTAATTTTTTTTTTAGATAGAATGAAAATGAAGAATTATTTATTAATTTATTAAAAGTCATTATTATTAGTTAATATTGTTAAATACAAACATGCAAAGATAAAAAAAAAAAAACGCCAGTAAAATAGAAAAAATTGTAAATATTTAAAGAAAAATCCCACAAAAAAAACAAAAAAAAAAAAATTGAAAAGTCCAGTTAAATGTATTTTTTTTGTTTTTTTTTTGTTAGTTCCCATCACAGCAGAGTCGACATCATACTATAAGACCCAATGACTTGAAACAAAATCTGCGTGGCCCCCCATACAAACGGAACCCAAGTGGTCATACCAAATGTGCCTGCACGATACAACCCAGACACAAATAACCCTACAATGCTACCTGAGATAAAAGCCTGGATACCTCCAAAACACACATAAACAAGCAAGATCCATATAAAGCCTGCTGGACGTCGGTGCATAAGACAAGCCCACAATGCAGCAGCTCCATGGAATGCAGCAAAGAAAATAAGGGTCCAATAGACTGTAAAACGCCAAACATCATAATGGTAAAATAATAAAGCACCATTGTAACGGACACTGTTGACAGGTAAATAGAGCGAAGGAAAAGGAGGAGGAGCGTAATCAATAGGGATTGTGTTTAGTGAGACTTCAAACGTGCTGTAGGTCATGATGGTGAAGAAAAAGAGAAATGAGAAAAGAGAAGGGGATTTTTTTTTTTTTTTTTGGTCTTCCGCGGGGTTTGTTGAAAGATTTAAAGAGGGGTGAATCAGAATAGTATTTATTATGATAGTTTTATAGTTAAAATGCAGAGATAAATGGAGAAAAGTCTTTGGCTGGCTGGTTGTCTGAATGACTGGCTGTCGTGAAATTAAGACTTTTATTTTATTTTTATTTTATTTTATTTTTTATTTTTATTTTATTTATTTTAATAATTTTTTAATTTTTTGATTTTCCTTTAGTTGGTGATTTCATTTTTTTTTGGGAGGTTTGGTGGAGAAACGGCTTTTGATAGAATTTTTTTTTGTTTATTTTAATAATTGTTACAACAATAATATAAAAAAATGTAACACAATATATAAAAAAAAAACACACACACACATACACACAAAAATTTATCTTCTCCTCTGTACAGATCAAAAAAAAAAAAAAAAAAAAAAAAATTGGCATCGTCCATTCATTTTGTGCGGCGTTATTGTACGGCAACATCTGCTAGTCTGCTAGGCATTTCCTAACTTCCCTGAAATCAATTGATTAGCCCTACATTTCCTTCTATATAGAAATCTTTGAGGCTGGCTTTGGTCCAGGAATTCTCTACTACCTCTCATAATTTTTCTTCGTAGCTCCTTCTCTCGCTGCGTCCCCTTTGCAAGCGCCCTGGTTTACGGAATCACAAAACACACTGAAAACTTCTCACTTGCTTCCTGGCATTTGTTCTTTCTGATCAAAGACCTCCCCACAATTGTCCTTGGAATCCTCCCCCCCATTTGGTGTCTTCCAGACTCTGCTTCTTCTTCTGAAAGACCATTGACCCCCCGAAAAACGTGATGTTGCCGCTACCTGTACCCTCGAACCACTCTGCTGCAGCTACCCAGGGTCTCACCACGCCTCCCTATTTCGTAGCAGCAGCTGGGTTTCTGGTCTAAAATGAAAAGACAGATTAACATAGTCCTGAGTATGAGTCAGTCGGGGCGGAGGTTTTTGGGACTGAGCTAGAGGACAATGCTGAGTTCAGGTATATATTGTAAATTAAGAAAAGTATGGGGTGAAAAAAAAAAAAGACCTCAACTCTCTGCGCGGCTAAGGGGTAATTTTGTGGGCAATTTTCAGGGTAGTTAAAACTTTTTATATTCAATATTGTTTGTTTTATATACAATTTTGCATGTCACAATGAAATTAATAATGTCTTTTCAATCAAACCAATTATTGTTCAAATTCTTGGCTTTGAATATTCTTTTGCTTCTCTATTGCAGAATTCATGCAATCCAGTAAGCCATTTTTTTTTTTTTTTCTTTTAAAAAAAAGGAAAGCCTTAACAATTCTTCTTTTGTTGTACACCAATCCCTCTCCCCCCTCATTTCACAATGAAGCTTTCAATCGAAGAATCGGCTCGCTTAAAAGATCCAGTTTATCTTCTCAATATCAAGTACTCTTTAGCAGAAGAGTCGCGTCTTGTACGCAAGTTTGATCTCCATCTCATGACATTTCTCTGCGCCCTTTACCTTGTATCCTATCTTGACCGTAGTAACATTGGCAACGCAAACGTGGCTGGCTTGTCCCGGTCTCTTGACATGTCCGACCATCAATACCAATGGCTTCTAACTGTCTTTTACCTTGGCTATATATTGTTCCAATGGCTTACCCTTTTTTGGAAACGTTTCCCGCCAAAGTACTACGTCTGCATCGTCGTCGTGGCCTGGGGGCTCGTGTCTACCGGTCAAGCCATCGCAAATACATGGGTCCAAATGATGGCCCTACGGTTGCTACTTGGAATCTTTGAAGCTGGGTTTGGTCCTGGAGTCCCATATTACCTATCCTTTTTTTACTACCGTCACGAAATCGCCTTCCGCACAGGGCTGTTTCTTGTCGTCCCACCTGTTTCATCTGCATTTTCAGGTGCTTTGGCTTACTTTATAACCAAGCACATGCAAACAGATCCATGGCGTTTGCTCTACCTCGTCGAGGGACTCCCAACTATTTTCCTCGGTGTCTTGTGTTACTGGTGCATTCCTAATGATAGCAAATCTGCGCGCGGTTTGACCCCGCACGAACGCGAGATTGCCGCCGCTAGAAGCCTGCGACAAATCGGCACAATTGAACGGGTACACAAAATTGATTGGAATGAGGGACTTGCTTCACTCGTAGACGTTAAAAACCTTTGTTGCATGGCCATGTTTTTCTGCATCAACGTCTCGTTCGCCTCGCTCCCCATCTACCTCCCCACCATCATCCGCGACATGAAGCACTCCAACGCCAGTGCTCAAGGTCTTACTGCTCCGCCTTATCTTGTCGCTGCAATTGCAACTCTCACAGTCACATACCTTTCCGACAAGCTCCAGCAGCGCGGGTACTTTGTAGCTGGAGCATATCTTGTGGCAGCCACCGGGTACATGGTTTTGGCAACCGTAGATATCGAGCATACGGGTATTCGTTACGCTGCCACGTTTCTCTGCTGTGCAGGGGTGTACCCATGCGTCGGCGTGTTGCTCAGCTGGCTCGGCAACATGCACGGCGACGACAACAAGCGCAGCTTTGCGTATGTTCTGCTACAGCTAGTGGGCCAATGTGGGCCACTTGTAGGCACCCGAGTATATCCAGCCACAGACACTCCACGTTACACTCGCGGGTTTTGGACTTGTGCAGGGTGTTTGGCTGCATCTGCTGCCCTTGCGCTATGGCTGCGTGCTCACCTGGCCAAACTCAACAGGATCCGCGACAACGTGTATGGCCCACTAGTTGAAAATGCAATTGAGATGGTAGATAGCGGGGAGGAGGACGACGATAATGGGTTTGAGGAAGACTACAACGGGACGTGCGGCGCGGGTCTTGAGCAGGAGAGCCATCGGAGCTTTCGGTACATTTTATAGCGGGGGAGGGGTCTTGCCCAATGTCGGCAATACCGTATAGCGTGTGTGTGTGTATGTGTGTGTGTAACTGTAACAATCCACACCCAGCAGGTCCAACATCTCTTCTTCCTCCTCCTCCTCCTCTAAAAGGCTTCTTTTGGGCGTAATTTCTGATGAGCCCCCACCCCGCAACCGTTGAAAATTTTTTTAATACTTAAAGACTCTCAAAAGACTTTCTTTTTTTTTTTTTTTTTTAAGACTTAAAAATCCATCTTCTAAGGGTCTCATCCATCGTCATTCCCCCCCTTTTTTTTTTTTTTTTTTTTTTTTTTTTCTTGCAAATGCAGCGATCTCTTGCCCGTATTGTCCCAAAGACTCCCGGATCCGGGTGCTGTCGTCGCCCGGCTTTGGCCCGTACACAACCCCGAGGCTCCTTTTCTTCTTCCCACTCACAAATCCATACCTGCACCGCGCAACAGCCGCTGCTGCGATCCTCAAGACCAGCTGCTCGTCATAACGGAGAGTCTTTTGTGCCATGGCGAAACTCTCGCGCAGAATCCGTCCGGTGGTCTCACTACAATGCAACCCCAGCAGATGGATCTGTGCCAGCGGTACGTCCGCGCGTCACGGTGCTGGACATTAAAAAGATGCACAAAAACAACGTCCCAATATCGGTAAGTTTTTTTTTTTTTCTTTTATATTTATTTCAAAAAAAAACAAAAAAACAAAATAAAAAGCCCATAAATGAGTCAGGCTGAAGTCGGTTATTTCTCGGTTACTCAACAAATCTTGCAACAATGCGGGGAGACTGAAAAAACAAAATTCAAAGCAATTTGGACCCCACACAAATGTCTATCTACCCTCAACTTGACCTTGCTAACAACTTGAATCCTTATTTTATAGGTCATCACTGCTCATGATTACATTTCGGCAGTCATTGCGGATCGTGCACAAGTCGACGTTATTCTTGTCGGCGACTCCTTGTCCATGGTTTCTCTTGGCTACGAAAACACAAACGAGATCGAACTCGATGTATGTTAAACATCAAAATCAAATTCAAAATCAACCTTTCTCTTTCTTTTTCTAACATCCTCAGGAAATGATTTATCATGCTAAAGCCGTATCCCGTGGAAGCAAGTCATGTCTTCTCGTTGCAGACCTCCCCTTTGGCTCTTACGAAGTTTCCCCCGAGCAAGCTGCGGCATCAGCCATCCAAATGATCAAGCGCGGTGACATGCAGGCCATCAAGATTGAGGGTGGTGTTGAGAACTCGGCCACCATTAAGAAGCTCACCTCTATGGGTATTTCCATCATGGGACACATTGGACTTACCCCACAACGTCAAGCATCTCTCGGAGGTTTCAAGGTCCAAGGGAAAACTGCAGAAAGCGCAGAGTCCATTCTCCAAGATGCTCTTGCTCTCCAAGACGCTGGGTGCTTTGCAATTGTCCTGGAGGCGGTCCCAGCACCAATGGCCGATCTCATCACTCAGAAACTCTCCATTCCTACCATTGGAATTGGTGCAGGCCCACATACCTCTGGCCAAGTTCTTGTCCAGCTTGATATGCTAGGTGGCTTCGATGGCTTCACCCCCAAGTTTTTGAAAAAGTACTCCAATTACCTCGACATCAATACAGAGGCAATCAAGCAGTACAATTCGGAAGTCAAGGAGCGTCAGTTCCCAGAACCCCAACACTGCTACAATGTCAAGCAAGAAAACGTCGACAAGTTCAAGCAACTGTTGCAAGAAAAGTACAGTCATTTATAGTATATTAGAGGCAAAAAAAAAAAAAAAAAAAGAATAAAAGAAAAATCTAGTTATTTAATCAAAGAGAAGAGACTTGCCCTCGCGAATACTCTTCATCTCATGTTCTTGTTTATCTGCAATGTCCTTGGTATCATGAAGTCTAAAAACTAACGTACGTCCAAAGTCTGGCGCAATAATGTCCTTAGCTCTGTTTTCCTTCTTTGCCAGCTCGTGCAGCAGCTCGCGAGGCTCTAAGAAATGTTCTTCCGAAAGCACAAACGTGCCCCAGTGCACCCCCACAAGTTTCTGCGCACCCAAGTCCTTCATAATCTGGATCGCTTCCTGCGGATTCGTATGTTGTGATCGCAGGTGCCATCGTGGTGTATACGCGCCACACGGAACCATGGCCACCTGACACCCGCCCCCATACATGTGCTTGATCCCATCAAACAGAGGTTGCGAGTACCCTGTGTCACCTGCATGGAAAAACACAGGCTTCCCATCTCGCAGCACAACAAACGAACACCACAGAGTTGTGTTGGCATCCAACATGTTTCGTCCCGACCAGTGCATCGCCGGCGTGCACGCAATCTCCCACTTTTCTGCAGGATCCGTTCCAGGAAGATCTGTTTTTTCCCACCAGCTCAGCTCCTTGTAGTTATCAATTCCAAGCTTCTTCAAGTGCTTCGACATGCCCACGGGTACAATCCACGTCGCAGAGTTACCAATTTGCTCTGCAGTCTCCAGCTCGAAATGGTCCGGGTGGTCGTGAGATACTAAAACAAGATCAATCTTGGGGAGCTCTGAAAAATGGCACGGAGGTGGACTGATCCGCTTGGGACCAACGTAAGGGTGTACCAAATGCTCACCAAAACACGGGTCTGTCAAAACATTAACTCCAGCACACTGCACAAACGCACAGCTCTGGCCTAGCCATGTAAGAGTCAAGCGGTCACGGATAGAAGGTAAAAGAATATCATCAGGGTCTTGCGACGAGCTAGTTGGTGTCAAGGTCGGTGTAGAAGCAGAAGAAACATGGTGGGTATAGTCATTAGAGGTCGAAAAAAGCAAATCAAAATCAGGACGATGGGCTGGCAAAAGACGTCGAACCTCTTCAGCGTTGGCAGGAACACCACCACGAGGCTTCGTATGAAACATCTCAATCACACGGCAGTAAAGAAATTCATAAATAGTTTGTGGACGATACTCGGGGAACGGGTTGGCATAACGGCCGCCCACAACAAGTGTGCCGTACTGCGTAATAGGCCAAGGTTTACTCTTAAGGCTACAGACATGGTTAATATATAAAAGACCAAAAAGGTAAAAAAAAAAAAAAAATAATAATAATAATAATTCACATACTGTTCAACATCAAGATCATATTGTTCTTTCCGGGCTCGCTCCGAAATCTCATACTTGGTCTTGAGCTGGATATAACCCGCGTAGGACGTGTATGCGGCCAGAATCCCAACGCCGATTCGTAGCTTACTCACATTCCAGGACGAAAAAATGAGCTTCATCAAAGAGGATATAGAGATCTTCAGCTTGGACTCGGAGAGATGGAAAAAAACGAGAAGGGCTCGTTTTTTAAAGCACGCGAAAATGCGGATAGGGGGTTGATTTTTTTTTTGTTGGGAAAGAGGGAAAGAAAGCCCAAGGGAAAAGATTCTAACTTGAAAATGGTGCAATGAGGTATAATATAAAAGAAGAAAAAAAAAAGGGAAAAATAATAATTAAAGCCTTTATGCAATTTAAGACTCTTAATATTGAAGGGTTTGTATATATTCCTTTTTTTTTTTTCCCTATCGCATAACTTATAAAAATAAATTTCTTTGGAGGGTTTTCTCGAACAGGACGGCAGAAAAAAGTTCACGATCTAAAATGGTTGGTTCGTATTTGGTGGTGGGATCAACAAATCACTGACTAACGCATTTGTCAGCTTTCACATCAATGAATTTCCCGGTACGCGTCCCGACATGAGTGAATCAATCAGAATAATCATAATTTATACATCTTTTTATTCAATATACTTTTTTTTTTAAAGGTTCCAAAAAATAAAAATAAATTTCAACTAATCTTCATCCTCAATCTCTTCAATTTTCACAGTTCTGTTACCAGCAGGACGGGCTGAAGCAGCAGCAGGAGCACCTCTTTGGGCACCACCCGGCGCAGCAGCACCCCCAGATTGTAGGGGACCCATGTATTCAGCAATAAGAGCCTGACCAAGCTTCTGGACCTCCTCTTGAGCCATGGGTTTGCCTGCCTTTTCACGCTCAGCCGAGATCGCCTGGATCCTGGCATTGAGCTTTTGCAACTGAGCAAGTAATTGCGGGTTAACACCTGGCATGCCACCAGCAGGTGCTCCAGCTGCAGGGGCACCTGTTGCACCAGCACCACCAGTTTCTTTAGCCCTTTGCTTCTCCAGCTTCCGGGCCTTTTGCTGTTTGCTTTTCTTCTTCTTCTTGGCCAAGCGGTGGATCCTCATGGCATCAGCGCCGTGCCATGACCACAGAGGAACAAAACTGTCCAAAACACCCAAGTCTTCAAACAAATTCGGGAAAATCCAAATACCGGGCTTCACAACAACATAGGTAATCATAAACAAAATCAACCGCACAATGGCAAGACCGAAAAAGGCAGCAATCAGCCCAAGAAGACCCATCGACAGATACCACACACCTCGGCGTAGGGCCAAGGGCCACAGAGGGAACAAAACAACTGCAAAAATACCAGCAACGGCAAGAACCGCGTACAAGTGGCTCAGCAGCGAAACGGGCTCGTAGAACCAAACCACATACTGATCTTCCAAAAACTGCTGCTGAGGACTAATCTGCAAAACAGGAACCCCAGGCCGGGGCTTCAGACCTTTGGAAATAGCGTCATCAGTATCCAGCTTAACAGCCTGGAATGCAAGCTTTTGCAATGGCAGCTGGCGAAGCAACTGTAGTGCCTGGTCTTGGGACGCCACCGGGGGAAGTCGGCTATTCACCTTGCCCTGTCTTTTCTTGTAGCTATCGGATTCAAGGGCACGAACTGCTCGCTTAACTATACAGATTATAATCATGTTAGACTCACTCAATTGAAATAATTCGCCCTTTTCTCTCAAACTTACCCTTGAAAAACATATATCGGCGACCGTTGAGAATACCCTCGCGCTGCTTGAGAATAGAATTGCCATGTAGAAACTTGGCCACGGCCAGCATGGTCGGATCAACTGTCTTAAGGTCGGGAGGCCCGATCGTAATTGAAGTCATCGCGCTGGATTTACTATGAAATGGATGGAAAAAAAACGGTTTTTAGATCTTGATGTTTTTTTATGTACCAGCGGTTGGGTCGTGTGGTGGTTGTGAAGGAAAAATTAGCAAATTTTAAAATTTCAGGGTGATGATGTGTCCGATTTATTACGAGCACCCTTAAGTTGCAACAAATTAAGTTACCATCTAGTTACATGTTACCATTTATTCTAAGTTACTGTATTAAGTTACACAAAGGTAATTTTAACTGCTGTAGTGGTTCAGTCTCCACAATCTCGCCTTGCCTGCCTGATTGCCCACCGAAAGCATCTCACCACCAGGTGTGAATGCTACCGCTGAGACCTTTCCAAGTGGAGTATTAGATGTTGGCCAGTTTCGGAACACTGTAAAGGTTGGAATATGAACAAGCTTCAAAGCATTCTGTTTCTGGTCACTAGCCATGGCAAGAACTTGTCCATCAGGGGAAAACTCCAAACTTGTAATCGCAGTAATCAGTTGCTTCAGAACTGCCCGTGGCTTATATACAAGTGGCTCGCCATTGGGTCCGGTCTCTGATCCACCGTTTTGCAGAGTCTTGCGATCGTAAATATTCACAATACCATTGTTACTGCCCACGGCAAGCCATCGGTCACCTTTACCGCCCATGGAAAGAGTTGTAATGCCTATGCCACCTTCGTCTTTCCATCTCTTGGTAAATGCTCTTGATTCAACATCCCACTCCCAAATATCACCATGCTTGTTGCACAAAACTACGCCGCTGCCATCACCGTACCAGCAAATATCCACAATCTCCTCGTCAATCTTAGCGCCGGAAATCCACTGGCCGGTTTGAGCAGAAAGAACATTCATCCATCCCTGTTTTCCTATCAGAGCAATATACTTGCCGCATGGAGACAACTTGAATTTCTCAAATGTTGGTTGCTGCTCGTCATTGCCATATAGGTTTGTCACCTTAACCACATCACCAGTATCAATGTTCCAAATGCGGAACGTCTTCCTTGCACCACCTGCCATGACTCTAGTACCGTCAGGGTGGAACAGAGCGGTCTTGAAAGGAAGTCTGCGAATATGTAATGAAGACACCAGGGGGTTCTTCTTGCCATCAATATGGTATATACGCAGAGTCTGGTCAAAACCAGAAGTTAAAAGTAATGGATGTGTGGGGTGGAAGTGCATCGACTGTAAGACTGCAAGAGAAGGAGCAGCCTGGTTTGCATCACTAAGCCGCTCAATATCAAGCATAGTTGGAGGTAGCAGCTTGGTCTTCTTGTTTGAAACATATCTTGCTGAAGTCTGGAGCAGTTGGCTTAATGGATCTGCACCAACTCTTCCACCCTTTCCGTCTTCCTCGTCATCACTATAAATATCCCCATCGCTATCTTCATTACCGCTCTCAGGCTCTTTGGCCCACTCAGGCACGGGGTAAACCTTTTCAAATCTCGCACGAAGACGTCTTGCATACTCTTTACCAGAAACATAATCTTCAGATATAGTTTTCCGCAACTTTTTCAGCCGGCTATTGTCAACAAGAGAGATTTGTAATCGCTCGTCATCGCTGTCAATCCAAGCGGCCTGTCCACCATTAACGTCCAGGATATCATTAAGGTCCTCGGATTCTTCACTGATACTGCTATCATTATCAGAGTCATCATCGTCATCAGAATCGCTGTTTTCAGAGCCAGTCTTGCTGTCATCAGCATTGGGATCATCCATAACAAAAAGATCGGTATCGTCCAGAGCTCCAAGGTCTTCTTCATCCTCCTCTTCATCTTCATCTTCATCATCGCCGTCACTTTCATCGTCTCCACCAAGCTCGTTAATCATGTTATGCTGGTTCATCTCTTCTAAATAACTGTCGAGATCGAGATGTCTAAGAGAAGATTCGAATCCATCAATATCACCAAAAACAAGCTTTTCCAAAGCAAGTTCTTCTTCATCCTTTTCAAGCGAAGGACGCGACTTGCTGCTTCCTCGACTTTTCTTTTTAGAATTAGAGCCCTTATCTACCGTTTTTCGGGCTCGCTTTTTATCTGACTTGGCTGCCATTATTAATTTTTTCTTTTGTTAAAAAGTTGTATATTTTGAAATATTTTGGTGTTGATTAACAGTGACAAAAAAAAAAAAAAAAATTCCACCAAAAAATTTTTTTTGGAGGTTTGAAATTCACGTGAACACACCCAAAAAAATTTTCAAACAAGCCGTCCCAAAAATCTTCTTCATCTTTAGAAAAAAACCCTTCCCAACGCAAGTCGTCAAAGAGTAATATCATAAAAAATTACGATGTCTGACTTAAAGGTATGCTGAATTTTAACTTCTGAGTTATTCAGTTACTAACTTATTATAGACTGAGTTAGATACGTCTGAAAAAGTCACGAGATTCCTTCGTAATAAGTCTTCAAAGACCGAAGACCTTGTTATCGTCGTAAAGGATCTTATTGACGGGAATCTCAATGTCTTTCTTCCCCAGAAAGAAGTTGTCATTCTTCAATGGATTTTTGACTACTTGGGTGAACGCAAGAATACTGAGGCCAAAATTTCGGTTGGGTTTTGGAATGTTCTTTCATCCGTTTGGGTGAGCTTAGCAGACGATCATGATACACTCTCTCGTACATACCTTAGCCACAATTTCGCCGGTATTCTTACAGAAACTTTTAATCAAGCAACTACTAAAATTTCCAGCAAAGATAATGTTAAGATCCAGTCTCTAGTTGATGAAATTAGTACGGCAATGGAAGCTATCAGCAAGTCAAATTTGTGGTTCAAGCTTCCCCTTGACAGTACAATATCTTTAATTTTATCATATACAAAGCTCTACATACACGCCAACAGAAACACCACTATACAATTATCATTTGAAAAATCAAGTCTTTTAATTAAAAAGTTTTTAAAGTCTACGCTTACAGGATCCGACTTGAAAAAATTTTCAGCGGCTTTTAACGAAAAAATTCTTAGTCACGTCTTTGTTTTAATAGGAATGGACCTTGACACTTATTCAAAAGATCTTTACAACTTTCTGGTATCAACTCTGATAGCAACGCCGGACAAAAAAGCTACTGAAATCGATCTGGCTCCAGCTCAATCTGCAGTTAACGAGTACAAACTTACCGACGAGGAAAAACACAAATCGTCGATTGCTCTTTACGAAATTCTCGTGGTTACTCTTCCAACGCGCTCCGATTCTGCATTTTCACAGCTCCGCAAAATTGCTCCCTCAGCACTTAAAACCCTTGTCTCTATTTCTTCATCTAAAAAAATCAAGCTTGATTCTGATTTTTTAAAATCAACAATGTCACAAATTTTTGACAAGAAAAAGGAATCAGTTGACTGGCAGCTTTTATCATTTATCCACAATATTGATGAATCTTTTTTAACAGAGCGCTCTCATCTTTCAGTAATTCTTGCTACTACAACATCTAATAAAGAAAACAGTAAAGAATTTCATGCTTTTGCCAAATCTTTTATCGATTACTTTACAAACTCTCGCGAGCTTCCACAGTTTATTCTTTCCTGGAAAAAACATTTAGTACCAAACTCTTGCTGGTACAATGATTTTATTTCAGAATACTTATCTATCCAAGTTAGAACGTTATCTAATATTCAACTCAAGAGTTTACTGAATACCCTTGTTCACCCTCTTACACTAGAAAATCCAAATGAGACTCCAGATCAGCTTTATCAACCTTTAATAGTGTGCGTTCTGAGTTTTTTCCAGCAACGAACTCTTCCTCATTCTATGCTTTTTGATCCACTATTCACTGCTCTCCAATCAAAGGTTAACATTACTTCATCTGAGTTTTGGACTCTTAAATACCTCATTCTTTCAATCAGTTCTGGATTCGTCCAAAAATTCCATGCTCTCATTGTTTCCCAAGCTCAGAGCATTGACTATGGCTTGGATAAGAAAAACGTCAATGACAGCCTTGCTATTGGTGTCATGCAGTCTCTTTTTCGAATTGCAGAATATATTGAGTTTTCTGAGTTTGAAAACTACGTTTCTAAGCTTATCAAGTATATTGGCAAAAAGTCTAAGTCTCCTGAAATATTTTTCGAAACCATGTGCGATCGTTGGCTGATTCTCATCAACATTCGTCTGCGCAAAAAATACAAAGAGCGTCTTATCGGCTTGTTTGCCACAAACAAGAATGCTTTTAATAAGCTTTGTTCTACTGAACTTTTCTTTGAACAGGGGAGTCTTTCACCTTTGGCCTTGCAAACCTTGGCCGACAAAAAGGAACTCAAAAATGAGCTTTTGCGCATTAAAATTATTTCATCAATGCCGCTGCAAGTTATCCGCGGTTCTAGCAGAAAGGAACTTCTCAACAATCTTTCTGATCTTGCTCTTTCTGAAAAAAATTTGAAGGCCAGTGATGAAACTCTTGAATTCCAACTTACAGCGAGGGCTGCCATAGATCACCTTCTTTCCCACCCTTCTTCTACAGTCACACTTGTTTCTGATTCTGCAGCACTTCAGAAGTATTTTTACTCTGCATTTTCTTTTGGAAACCACGAACTCGAAACTCTAACCCGTGCTTCATGCGAAAAAATTATCAATTATAACATAAAGACACAAAAGGAGCGCGAGGAAGGTGCAAAATTCATTTTTGCTTTGGTTAATGAGGCAGTCAGCTCGCTCAAGAAGACGAAAAAACATTCCAACAATTTTGAACAACTTGAATTTGCTACTCTTATTGTCTCTCTTGTTCATTCAGAGAACCTTCAAGAAAGCGGCCTGGATAATGTTATCCTCAAGTCACTTACCAAAATTTTACAGACTACCAAGGGTGCTGACAAGTCGTTAAACGATGCGCTCCACGCAATCCAAAACCTTGCCATTCTTTCTACCACCAAAACAAACGAACTTTCGAAATCTCCTGAAATTTTCGCAGTCACGGGTACTTATGCGACACTTGCATTGAAAAAACTTGTTGAGCCACAGGATGGAAAAGAACGCGCAATCTTCAAAAACCTTGCAGCCTCATGTTTTACGGTTTTGACGCATCTGAGCAGTACCAAGGACCAGGTAGAAGCCTGTCTGGCATATTATATCAGTCTTCTAGAACAAGAGGTTGGTGTTTCTAACAATGACGTTGTGGCTTGCCTTCAACAACTCGAAGAAGCTGACTTTAACTTCTTGTTTAATGAAACTATTGGTAGTTTGTTTGATCCTGAGTCTGCAAAACCCTTTGCTTATATCACTGCAGTCACTGCATTCCCAAGAGCATTAAAAGACGAAGAGAATGTTGCTGCTTCTACCAATGTCACCGAACTTTTAACTAATGTCATCAAGAACTGTGATAAACTTTCTGAAGGTGATTTACTGTCTTATCTTAGCTTTGTCGAGTACATGGTTAAGGATCGACCTAGACTTTTGACACAGTTTTGTCTGGATATTATTATTTCCACATTTGTGCGCATCTGCACCAGCGACTTCGGACCTAGTTTTACTCCGAAATCTGATATTGACAGTATCTATGCACAACTTGCAAGTGTGGCTTCGTCGGTTGTTGTTTTTAATAGAAGCAGGCTTAACGGACGGTACCACCTGCTTACTCAACTGTTGACGTCGCTTCTTGGCTGTCTTACCAATACTGATTCGAATTGTACTAGTAACTTCCAGCCCAGATGGGTAGTTAACTCATCCAAGCCACTTGGTGAGAAGGCGGCAGATGCATATACCCGGTTGATTTCCAATCTCTCGTCGACTGTTATTTCTTATCGCGAAACGAGCGAAAGGTACAAACTTTCTTCGTATGCTCAGATGCTCAAGAAACACTTGTCTATTTACATTGGTGTGGTGCTTATTAACTATGTGAGGTTTTCTCTCCAAGAAGGGTTCACGCCTAGTGTGCGCCGTGGCTTGGTTCCTGGATTTTACATGGTGTTTAACACTATTGGTAGCGAGCAGCTTAAGAATGTAAATCTGTTATTGGACTCAAATTCTCGACCATACTTTAAGACTCTTTATGAGGATTACATGACATATGGTAAATGGAAGAGTGAATAGATAGAATTAATAAATAAATTAATAAATAAATAAATCAATAAATAAATAGAAGCTTGAAATGAAATGATTTTTTTTAAAACAGAACCGTCAAATTTTTACAAAATATATATAAACAAAAAACAAACAAACTTTTTTTAATGGGCAAATCTAAAGTCCAATCTCTTGTTACCCTGGTCCTTGGTGGTACGGCGGTACTCAAGTTGCTCTTCACGCGTCATGGCATTCCAAATTTTATCACGAGAAGAGTTTCTCCAGACATAATAAACCTTAGTACAAAGCAAGATTACTAAAGAAACAATTGCCAATGCAAATAGAACTCTGTTACCCTTGCGGTAGTAAGGAGCATCACTCTTTCTATAAATGTTGGACGAGATAATACTACCTGCTTGCACAAACATATTGTAAATAGCAGCAGAAACAGTTCTGGTTCTAACAGTATTTGAGTTTCTAGAGCACCAACCGACTAAAATAGCGTGAATGTAAGGACCACAGAGGTAAACAACCAATACCGCATAAGTACCCCAAACGTTCTTCAAAGAATCTTTCCAAAAAGCTAAGACACCGGCACAAGGAATAATCCAAAGGGGTTGAAGAGTTGCAATAAGCGATCTTTCGTTAAAGTACTCAGTAGCCCAAGTTTGAAGAAGAAGAAGAACAATGTGGGCAACATTAGGAGGAATGGTTAACAAGTTAGTGTTGAAGGTACTGAAACCAAGTTGTTTGAGGGTAAGTGTCAAATATGCGCTGACGGTACCAGTAGAGATATAAGCGACCAAGCCAATAAGATAAAGAGGCCAAAGATCGTAATCCAAGATAGATCTCAAAAGTTGCTTAGGAGTGACAGCCTGGCGGTTATGCATATCGCCCTTGGAGGGATCATCACGGAGAACACGATTGACAATAAGCTTTTCTTCAAACTCAGTGAACCAGCCTTTGGGTCTGAACCAAGCTTTAGTCTGAACAGGGGAAGGAGGAAGTTGAATATAAGAAAGGAGACCAATAATGAGAGTGACGAGACCTTCTAAAAGGAACATCCATCTCCAGCCGGCCCAGCCGCCAATGCCTCTCATACGAAGGATAGCAAATGCCAAAAGGGAAGAACCAATTTGGGTAAGGGTTAAAGTAGTCCAGAAGAAACTCAATCTAACGGGAAGCTCTGAACCAGTGTAGAAGTAGGACAACCAAGAGACAGTATCAGCAATAAAACCACCTTGAAGAAGACCAAGAAGAGCACGAGTAGCATAGAAAGAACTTTTACCAGAGATTTTACATTGACAGATAGAGACAATTGACCAGATAGTGATTTGAGTAGGAATCCAGCGATCAGGACCAATCTTTTTAGAAATCAGCTGAGACGGAAGTTCAGCAGCAAGGAAAGTAACGTAGAAGATAGTCATACCAGTGTTATAATGGTTTGTTGTAAGCTTAAGATCCTTAAGCATACCATCAGAAAGAGCTTGACCAATGTTACCACGATCCAACTGAAGACCAAAAAACATTACACAGGCCCAAAAGCAGGCTCTGAGTTCAATTTTCCAAAGAAGTTTGCGCTCCTGCTCAGGGGTCCAAGTGAAGTCGGGATCAAAGTGGTTGCGACCTTCATAAGTAGCTTTTTCGTAAATTTGTTTGTAGTGTGCGACGACTTCAGGGTCTCTAAAGACGTGATCTTTTCCACCGTAGAATGTGTGTCTGCCTTTCTTTTTACCGTTTTCAGGATCGTTTTCGTCGCTCTGGACATAGGGATCGAAGTCCTGGTTCTTGAGATCATTTCCGAAATCGTCGTCGGAAATAGCATCGCTGACTTGGAGAGTGGTGACATTTTCGTCCTCCTTTTTCTTGCCAAAGAGGGCCATTTTGAAAAGATTTAAAAGTAAAAGTTTATGAGAAAAAGAGAGGTGAAAAGAGAAGTGAAGATGATTTTTTTGATAGAAAAAAAGAGAGAAAAAAGGAAAAAAAAAATTAAAGTAGAGCTGATAAAGCTCACTTTATATTAAAAGAATATCTAGATATAAAATCCTAGACATGGTTTTTAAACAGGGGAGACTCCGGATAGGATTTGTGCGTGGCTAAAATTTTTTTGAAATAGGAAACAAAGCCTATTGAAGGGAATATTGTTATTAAAAAAATATTTCGTGGCTATATAGGAGGCTACTGAGAAGAAGAAAAAGGCAATTTTCAATTATTTGGATAGTCGGGAAACCGGTTTGAGTATATGGTGGTGCCGATTAAAAAAAAAAAAAAAAAGGCTGCGATAAAGGTTTGCATGAAAGAATTAAAAGTGGCCCTGCCCAAGTTAAAAAAAATAAATAAATAAATAAATAAAAATAGTGTGGCTTGACCACCCCTAATGACGACATTTTAAAGACTATTTTCGATATCGGCATTTTTATTTTATATATTTTTTATTTTATTTTATTTTTTTGCACTTCTTACTATGCCACTTAAAAATCCTGGAGGTCAGTTTAAAAAATGATCCTCAATGTGCAACAAAGCTCTACTATATCTCACAACTGTCACTAGCCTTCCAAGTCTCTTGGAAAATTCTTAGCTTTTTCTTGGGAGCATCTCTTGGCTTTTTTAAACTAGGCTTACTTGACTATCTCCCACCAGTCGTCGTCGTCATCATTTCAAACAGCCAAGATTCTACGAGCCACTTTTGAAAGTATGCTCTTCTCCAGCCTCCCTTAAATGAATAACCGAAATTTTTATGCGTTTTCTAGATGGTCACTTGAAGTTTCTAGTACTAGTTGCTACAAATTTTGATGAGCATCCTTTCCTTGTTACTGCTGGTTGTGGTGGAGAACCGTTAAAAATTCATGCTAAACATTACGCCATTTGAGCTCACTGCACATGACAAGTCGAGATCAAAGAAAAGGTGCACACTAGTTAGCCATCTGCTAGTTTGTTAATGGTACACAGTACTTTTAAAGCAGAAAAGAGTTAAGTTCAGGTTTAGTAGAATATTTGAAAGCCAGCAATCAAGAAGGCTATTTACCTCCCGTATTCTCAATCTAGAAAACCATCAGCTTTACTTGGTCTGCCACAGACCTAATCAAATTTTTTAGTGGCCAATATTTGTGGCTTTTTTTTTCGGACTACGAATGCCTCAACTATTGAAATCATTTACAGCCACGAATTACTTTTTTTTTTTTTTTTACATTGTATTCTTGGGCTTTAAAGAAAAAAAAAATCAAAATTTTGGGAATATTAATATTAATATCAAAATCTTTGGATTATCACCATATCATGAAAAAAAAAAATTTTTTTTTTTCTAAGACATTATGAGAAACCTTGTTTTTAAGATAATAATTAAATCCATCAGTTATAACTGATTAGAAATTGTGCTTCGGTTGATTTATTATTATAAAATTTATAAGAATAAAAACAAACAAACAAATTTGTTTATAAACATAAATTTTATTAGTAAAAAAAAAACTAAAAACATTTATCACTCATTAGATAAACTACAATCAAATAATAAAAATAGAGGGGAAAAAAAAGAAGAATGAATTATAATGGGCTTTCGATATACGCAATTTTCAAGCATCGCATGCCATGGAAGCATGGCCCAACAAATCGCCACTAGCCATACAAAACCATCAAATGTATCCACACTTCCCGTGGCTGTAATTATTGACCTCTTTTACTTAAATTCATTAATCTAAGTGGCTTCTTAGACAACACATTGAATTTTGCTTTTGACACTTTCTTCTAGCCCATGAAAGTCTACAAAGGTAGTTTCTAACAATTCTTGTAGATTATTCATATGACTGCTTAATACTGGGTAATATGGGTAGTATAGGTAGTATAGGTAGAGTACGCAATTTAAAAAAAAATGCGTCAAATACCCCCCCTCATTTCGTGATTATTCCATCGGACCCCTAAGATATGCCTTGTATGAGACATTTGCCTCCAAGCTTAATTTGTCTCCATATTAATTTTTATTTCTTAAAAAAATCTTAACTGCAAGCCTCAATTTTTTTTTCTTTACTCAGGAGCAATTCATTTTTTTTTAACAATTCTCGGAAATAAGCCCATAAATATCATGGAATTCTTTTATTAAAAGGTTATATGAATCATATTGACCAATAAGAAAGTGGATTAATATAATGAAATAGTAAATATAACCGCCCTAAATGGCTAAAGAAATCTTCAGAAATGATTTCTTGGCGTTTAAACGGTCTTTACTTTCTTAGACCCAAGCGCGAACAGCTACAGTCTGGCATGTAATCATTTTAAATTTTCTTTTTCTTTTCTTTTCCCTTTTTGACATGGCATAATGAATACTCTTTGTTGAATATAATTTTTTCGAATAGAAGAATATGTCAAACATAATCAGAAGCCAAGTTACAAAAAAAAAAAAAAAAGAAAATAAAATATCAATGTGGCAAGGTAAATATCGGTTTTAGTTTCCTTAAAATTATGATTTTAAAAATAATAATGGTATCTTTAACTCAAATCTGGTAGTGATCACAAAATATCAAAGTGGGCTTATTATTCCGTAGTAACTGTTTATTTCAAGTTTTTGCTAAATTTTTGCCAAAATTTTTCCGGGATTTGAATTTTTTTTAAAAAAGAATTAAACCACATTAAAGAAATCAGGAATTTTTTTTTAAGGTATCAAAGATTTTACTATGAAGTAAATTTCTAAATTCCAATATAATTCATGTCCAATTTATTTTCGTTATTATTAAGCATTTTTCGTTTTACAAATTCAAGCCACCTTCATATTTAGAATTCATAATCAACACTTTTTGATAAAAAATCTTTGCATAGAAAACGCCATTCACTTCATTCACAAAATCTTAATACTTTTAGAGGTATTTTAAGAAACCATTAGTCAAAATATAAATAGAAACAAAAAAAAAAAAAAAGAAAAAAAGCGCCACGAAAAAAAAAAAAAAATCCCATGAGGTTCGTTTTATTTTTATTCTTTATTTATATTTTTCATTTAAAATAAAGAAAAAAAATTTAGTAGTCTGAATGGGTAAAAGTGGAAATGATTTTTAAAGTTAGTATCTCAGGAGCGCAAAATCAATTTATAAACCATTTGAAATATCTGGTAAAAATATAACTAAGCAAATTTTATGTATAAATCAATAATTTAAAAAAATTCCATTATGATAATTTAGATAGGCCTTTTTTCATTTTTTTTTAAAATAATGAAAAATTCTGAGCTCTGACATTCGCGGGTGATCTTGACAAAGTACTAATAAGGATTCCTGAAAAAATTTTTGCGTCTAAAGCTATATTAATTAATCAATATTGATTATAAATTTTTTGTCGATAGAGTGAATGAAATAAGCCACCTTAGGAGAATAAAGCTGCCAAGATGTGCTTTTGCAACAAAACATAAGATTTAGTCATTTTGACGAGAAAAGAAATAAAAAGTAATGATTTGGTTTATTAAAAATCACCATTTTAAAAAGAAAATAGATTAATTTCAAAATTCAATGAATTCATTAAACTTGAGGCATACAATCATTAAAAAAAATTGTATACCCAATAAGTTAGATGCTAATCTATTGTTTTAGTGAATCATTTTCGTAAAGCTTTATCATTTCACAAAAAAGGTATCATTTTCATGTGCGGCTTTTTTCACCTTCAAACAACTTTAAGCCAACCCATCTAATTTTTGTAGTTCAGCCTCACATTTACTAAAATCATATTTAAGAGGGCTTATGATAATTATAAATATAAATATCTAGTCATAGATTATCTATAAAAAGGTAACCTTTTTGGGAATTAAATTTTTTAGGGAATTTTCAAATTAATAAATTTTATTAATCACAAAAGAACCCTAAATATTATAAGATAATCATTAGTTTTAATTTGTTTTTTTTTTTAAAAAAAAAAGAGGTATTATTTTATATTAGTTTGTAAAGTTAAGTATTTAGGCTTTGCTATGATGATGACGAGAATAAAAGTAAAAGAACAGGTTAAAGGGATGGAGATGTTGGTGGTGCTAACTGATATTGTTGTTACATTTGTGTTAACTATATGCTACATCTTTATTTTAATTTGTGTTACAAAGATGCTACAAATTTTGTTACATTTTATATAAAGTTGTTACAAAACTAAGCATCGTCATTAAGTTGCGTGATGTGGTAGACAACAGCCGCACTCACCAAAAACAGCCTTTTCGTTTATTAACACCGTTTTTAAATTAACAAAACTTGACTTTAAATTTGCTCGTTAGATAAACTTAATTTCATTAAAATCTAATTTATTGATTAATACTTAAGCGGATACAATCGATCTTGTTATATTTATCAGATTGAGATCCTTGTTGATTTTGTGGGAAAAAAAAATGGGTTTTTTGAAGACCCCAATTTTGCCAAGTTTTGAATTTGAAAAACCAGAATTTTAAATGCCTGTTTACGAATTTAACGACATGCAAATTAGAAATTGAAAAAAACAAAAAATAGTAGACGGCTCTTACTTATTTTGGCTGGATCCAGATGTATAGCGCCTGCTGATGATCTTTACCTAATAAGATAATCAAAAAAATTTAAAGTCTCAGCAAATCAGAGAAAGTCGGGCCTACGGACTGAATGTCAGGCACTATTACAAATTATTTTTTTGGTTGAAAAAAAAAAAAAAAAAAAAAAAAAAAACAATAGAAAAATCGGTACACAACCGGGCCATCATGAGAAATAAACAACACCAAAAAAAAACACCATTAAGCAAAATACTAGAACCCGGTACCTTTAGAAAAAAAAACAGCAGTAACAATAACTATAATTGTAAAATAAATAAACACCTCATGAAATCTATTAAATCATAAATGAATAATGCTTCATTTGAAGAAAAATACTTTTTATTTTATTTTATTTTATTTTTTTGTGGTGGCAGCTCTCGTGTAATGTCGTTCGACGTTTTTTTTTTTTTTTTTTTTTTTTTAGTAAGATGACGCACAAAAAGATTTCTGCAAATTTGTAAATTTATGTATAAAATTTATAATTCTGACTTTCTGAACTATTTTCTTTACCCTTTCCTTTTTCTTTCCTTTAATTTTTTCTCCCCAGTTTTATAATTCTCTATTCTTCACATATCACATAATTGCTAGACCAGCGGCCACAAGCAAACTGCATGCCAAATGAGTCTTGAAAAGAAGCTGCTCAGTCAGGAGTACTCCCAGTTACCTTTCGGTAATAGCGGGATTAAACATTCCCCCGCCGGATCTTCTCAAACACCACCAGCACCAAAATCTTCCGCCACTTTTTCTATAGGAGGCATGACCTGCGGTGCCTGTGTCTCCGCAATCACTTCTAGCTTAGAGTCTCTTAACGGCGTTTCATCAGCTTCTGTCTCTCTTGTCACCGAGCGCGGTCAGATCGAATTTGACAACTCTATCGTCACTGTTCCGGAAATTAAAGAACGCATAGAAGACTGTGGTTTTGATGCCAAGTTGCTTTCGGAAATCCATCCACAACCTGCCGAATCTTCATCTTCTTCTTCAAATCAAGCTCCAGCTTCAGAATTATCTTTACAAAAAACCGGCGTCAAAAAATCAGATACATTTTCGATTGAAGGCATGACGTGTGGTGCCTGTGTCGCTGCCATCACTTCCGGCCTAGAGTCTTTGGCTGGAGTCTCTTCAGTCGCCATTTCTCTAGTCACAGAACGCGGTCAGATTGAATTCGACAGCTCTATTATTAACTCAGATGAAATAAAGGAGAGAATAGAAGACTGCGGCTTTGACGCTCGTCTTTTATCCGAAACTGTTGTTGATGAGCCAACACTAGTCCAGCAAACAGCAATATTTGCTATTGCTGGCATGACATGTGGTGCCTGTGTATCGTCAATTACAAACAATCTTGAGGCGCTGAAGGGTGTTTCTTCCGTTTCTATTTCTTTAGTCACAGAACGCGGCTCTGTGGAGTTTGATCCTAACACAGTCTCAGAAGATCAAATAAAAGAGTGTATCGAGGATTCTGGGTTTGATGCCACACTTATTTCTTCCACAACTACTAACCCTATCCCAGTTATTTCTTCATCAGATGAACAACCAAAACTTTTACGACTAAAAGTCTACGGAATTACAAATACAGAGTCTAGTGAACAAGTTGAGAATGTTTTGCGACAAGTTAATGGTGTTAAGGACGCTGTTGTTAATCTCATGTCTGATGAAGCTCAAATCTATTACTTTCCATCTATTATTGGACCCAGAAGAATTGTCGAGGTCATTCACAATACAGGCTATGACGCTATTTTAGCTTCTACTGCTGATAATGCTCTGCAACTTGCATCTCTATCAAAAATCAAACAAATTGCAAAAAGCAAACGCGAGTTTTTCATCAGCGCACTTCTGGGCATACCTGTATTTATAATATCCCGATTTGTCCCTAAAGTCATTCCATTTTTGGGATTTTTAAAGCAAATAACTTTGATTAAGGGATTTTACCTTGACGATGCTATTTGTCTGTTATTAACAATACCCATTCAGTTTTTCATTGGTGGCAAGTTTTACACATCTGCCGCTAAAGCCATCCGTCACAAAGCACCTACTATGGACGTTCTTGTTTGCTTATCTACATCCTCTGCCTTTTTCTTTTCTTGCTTGTCCATCCTATATGCTGTCTTTACACAATCCCCTAAACACCCGCATACATTGTGGGAAACCCCAGCTATGATTGTGACATTTATTGTTGGAGGTAAGTACTTAGAAAACAAAGCTAAGGGTCAAACGTCTGTTGCTCTATCTAGACTTATCTCTCTAAGTCCATCTACTGCTACCATTTATTCAAACCCTGAAAGCTACACTAAAGCCATGAAAGAGGACAACTCTGGAGACTCTACTAGCCATCTCGAAACCCGAGTCATTCCTACAGAACTTATTGAAGCTGGTGATATAGTTGTTGTTCTTCCAGGTGAAAAAATCCCTGCCGACGGTACAATTATTCGCGGTGAAACCTACGTGGATGAGTCAATGATCACTGGTGAATCTATTTCGGTGTCTAAGATCACGGGCGACGATGTGATTTGCGGTAGCATTAATGGCTTTGGTCGCATTGATGTTAAGGTCAACTTTTGTGGTAGCGAGACTCGTCTTTCTCACATTGTTCAGCTTGTTCAAGATGCGCAAACTACAAAAACAAACATTCAGCGTTATGCAGATTATATCTCTGGATATTTTGTTCCTGTCGTTATTTTCCTTGGTTTTCTTACGTTTTTTGTTTGGATGATTTTGTCCCATGTTTTATGCACTCCTCCACCCATTTTTGAAAGTGATGAAGGCAAGTTTATGGTGTGCTTACGATTATGCATTTCTGTAATTGTCGTTGCTTGTCCTTGTGCACTTGGCTTGGCAACTCCCACTGCAGTCATGGTCGGCACTGGTGTTGGAGCTAGAAATGGTATTCTCATTAAAGGTGGGGCTGTTTTGGAGACTGCCAAAAAGGTGACAACCGTACTTTTTGATAAAACTGGTACTCTCACCACTGGTGATATGAATGTTCATTCTTTCCACATTGATAAAACTGCTGCACAAAAGTTTAATCTTGATTCTGTTTCCTGGTGGAAGTATGTGGGTTGCATTGAACAAAGCAGTGAACATCCTATTGCTCGTGGCACCATGAAGAAGGTTCGGGAGGTTTGCGGGCTTGATGAAAATCTTCAAGTTGACGGTACTGTTACCGACTTTGTTGTTAAAGTTGGTTTTGGTGTCTCTGCAAATGTCAAGATTGGTCCAGTTACCAGAGCTGTTAATGTGGGAAATATTAGAATGATGGATGATGAAGAAGTTTCAGGAGTTCCCCAAAGTGTAAGAGAATTGGAGAAACACACTCAAGGCGAGACATTGATTATTATGAGTATAGATGGCGTTTACGCTGGATACATTTGCATTGCCGATACTATTCGGAAAAATGCTCGAGAAACTGTTTACGCACTTAAGAAACTTGGTCTTTCCGTTGGTATGGTTAGCGGTGATCATCCCTCGGTTGCCAGAAAAGTGGCAAAAGAGGTTGGCATTCCTTCTCAGTTGGTTTGGGGTGGTGTTTCACCTGAGGGAAAGCTTGACGTTATTGATCAACTCCAGTGTTTGGACTTGGAGTCTACCAGAGGATTCATCAATATTGGAGGTGGTGGTAACGAGATTGTCGCAATGGTTGGTGATGGTATTAACGATTCGCCGGCTCTAGCACGTGCTACGTTGGGTATTTCCATGGCTGGAGCTTCAGACGTGGCTATGGATGCTGCAGATATTGTTTTACTCAAGGAGAACTCATTGTTGGATGTTGCTGCTGCGTTTCAGCTCTGTTATGTTATTTTCAACCGCATTCGTCTCAACTTGCTGTGGGCTGTTATTTACAATGCCATTATGATTCCCATTGCCATGGGCTGTTTCTTGCCTTTAGGTATTGCCATGCACCCTGTTTTTGCTGGAGCTGCTATGGCCTTTAGCAGTGTCAGCGTTGTGTGCAGTAGTTTGCTGCTTCAGCGCTGGAAGAGACCCAAATGGATGCGTGAACTTTACGTGGCCACAAACACTGATATGCAATCCACTGATGCCCCACAGGATAGTTTAGATAATGAGCCTCTGGAGTCAGCACCTTCATCTCCAAGTGAGTCAAAGCCATCATTGTTTCAACGGATACGAGGACTTATTCGTTGGCCGTCCAAGACGACTGCTTCTCAGCACCAGTATACTCTTCTTCCCCGTTAGTTTTCCTTTTTTGTTAAATCCTTAATATTCCATTTCCCCCCCTCTATGTTACATGTTTTTAATAATCCTGTTTCTTCTGTTTTTATTTAATGAATAGAATCTCTAATTTGCATATATGATTTTGTATCTGTTGTTAGATATTACTCGTATTCGTATTTCAAAGCCAGTATTGGATCTAACAAAATTGTTAATTCCTTATATACACTGTGATTGAATCTTGTCTTGTTTATTCCTCCATATTCCAGCGCCGCAGTTACCATGACGGCGCCGCAGGGTTATGTTGCATAAATAATGTCCTAAATCGGTAAAAAGTCTAGTGCTATAAAAATTTTTTAACCCTAGCCCTATATAATAAAATTTTTTAGGTTGTGTAATGTGAACATTTTCTCAACACAGAAATTTTTTTTTTTTTTTTTTTTACCATCACACAAGAACTTTAAAAAAGCCCACCTTCAAACTTGTTTTTTTCCTCCCTTTTTTTCCCTCTCTAATTTTCCTTTTTAAAAATTTTTTTCCCCTTTAAAAACACATTTATCATTTCCAATCTGCTTTTTTTTTCACTTTTTTGATTTGTTTTCTTTTTTTTTACTAAAGGTTGTTATTCATTTTTTATATACACTATTCTCAAGTTTTGCTGGGCGGGTCCTACAATTATCACCTGTTCATTGTTTACATCTTTGTTTATTTTTTAATAAGCACATCTTTTTTGGTATAGACAAACTTGATCTTTGGGTCATCCAACAAGTCTTGTTGATATTTAGTTAGCCAATATAAAAAGAAGAAATATTTTACTATTTAATAGACAGAAGGATACGTCCTAGTTTTTCTTCTCGTTTCTGTAATATTTATTCTTGTTTGGGATACGCTTTAGGAAATAGCTAATAGCTTTCGTTGCAAGCTCTATCTCACTCAAGACATTTGAAGGTTTATACTATAGGCTCTGAAGTGTCTAGACGGTTTTTCTTGAAGAAAGAATTTAAGGAAAATCCTGCCAAAAGCTTTTAGTTCTTCAATTATCATTATTATTATTTTTTTTTTCAAACAGGAAGAGTAGCGTTGGTTCTGTTTGCCACTGTTTCAGGAAATCTCTTATAAAAAAAACTCACACATCCCTTGGCTCATATAAAAAAAATTATAACCAGCCTTTAAATTTTTACAATGCCAGCTGCAGCAGTTTCTTTTTCAACACCTCACTTGCCTACCAGCTCATCTCCACAAACTTCCTCTTCGTCAGATTTAAAACGAAAATGGGAATTGGTGGCTGAGCCTGGTTCTCATCCAAGCAAAAAATTAGCAGCCCCAAAAGTAATTGATACCTCGGTCATGTCCTCTACCTCCTTATCTACTCTCAGTACTGCTGATAGCAATAACAACACAACTACCACCACAAAAATTACAAATAGCAATAACAAAAATGCCAGTGATGCATCGCTATCCGCTTTTCATAGGTCGATGTTTCAATCTTATGTCAAGAATGCACTTGATGATCTTGAAAAGGTATGTTATATCGACTGTGGTAAAGTTAAAAATGGTTCAAGAAATCGAGGACGGCTTATCTACAAAAAATCAGAGTACTTGGGAAGGGAAAATCAAGGCATCCTCTAAAAAAGCAAATACCTTTAGATCAGTTTTTGTTAACTATTATTTTCATTTTTATTGTTTTTTTAGCAAAATACCGATTCTATAAACGCTCTCGCTTCTAGAATCCGCCTGAACAAGTTATCATCAGAAGCATTTACTGATGAGCAGCTGTATTACGTCATTTCCTCACTGACAAACGAAATTAGTCGACTTGACTCACCCAGTAGCAACGAGCTTATTTCTGCAGCTCTCAGTATTAAGTGGATATCTATGGGTCCTACCTTTATTCAATCTTATGTGCGCTTTCTTACCGTTCTGGTATCTGGTGTACCAAGGTGGTGGTCTAATGTCGTTGAACTTATGGTTAATGGCTTTATTGGTAACCATGACACTTCTTATCACCACCTTGTTATCCGTCATGCACTGAAGCTGATGCCCACTGCTGTGTCCTCCTTTCAGACTATTCTGTGCAAGGGATTCCCGCACAAAAATGAGAGTAAAGCGCCAACTCTGCAGTATTTGCGTAATCTTTTAAAAGTCATAGAGTACTGTCCTGAACTGCGAGGTTCTATATGGTCTCTTATTTTTGAAAGGACCATTCAGCTTGACGTTGAGCTGCAAGATATTTCATTAGATTCGGACGATGAGAATGAGGACGAAGATGACGATGAAGACTCAGACAATGAGGACGATGAGATGATGACTCCCCCACCTACTGAGCAAGAACCTCCAAATCTGCGCGTTAAGAGCCATGATGGTGATGACGACGATGCAGTTCTTGACATTTCAAAAATAGTTCAAGTAAATACTCAAGCTGCTTCTGAGGTCGGCAGTGCTGAAGACAGTGTTGAAAGACCCACTAGTAAACAGGAACAAGGGGGAAGTAACGCCGATGATGATGATGAAGATGATGAAGAAGAAGGTCAGATTCATGGCGCTGCTTCTTTACTTGATGATGACGATGATTACGAGTACGATGTGGAAGGTGGCGTTGACGTACTTACGGTTAGAAATAAGTTGGATTCCATGATCACTTTACTATTTGAATATATCGATCAAAAGATCACCCCTCAATCCGTGGAAGAAGAAAACGGTGAAGCCCAAGTTTTATTTACCACTCTTCTTGCACATTTTAAGTCTTTTATTCTTAGCACACATAGAACACGCAGTGTTCAGTTTCTTCTTTTTCGCTCAGCTCACGTTCACCCAGCCCTTTTGGATGCATTTTTAGTGTCCCTTATTGAGATTGCGCTTTCTCCATCTGAAAATATGGATAAGCGCCTTAAAGCAATGCAATACATTTCTTCTTTTATTGCAAGAGCAAAAGGTCTTAGTCGAACCCAAATTCTGTTTGTGGTTTCTATTCTTTCAGGCTGGCTACAACGCTATGTCGAGGAACGTGAGGTGGAAATCGAACAAAATTCTACTAGCATGGGCAAGTTCAAAATGTTTTATGCTGTGACTCAAGCTCTTATGTATATTTTTTGCTTTCGCCATACTATTCTTCGCGTCGACGGCGCTAAATCACGTTCATCAAACAAAACTGGTTCAGTGGAATCTATCATTTCAAACAAATCCTCTTCAAACTCTGAATGGGAGTATGATCTCGACAATGTGTTTCAGCGTGTTGTTATTTCTAAGTTTAACCCTCTCCGGTACTGCCGTGATACCGTTGTTTCCAAGTTTGCTCAAATTGCGCTGCGAGAGAACCTTGTTTACTGCTTTACAATTATGGAGCAAAACCGCTTAGGACCGAAACAGCAACACCAAGTCAATGGCGTTTCTGGCACCTCTCTTTCAACTGCATCCTCCTCTGCCTCTCTTTCTTCTCTTGGTAACGGATTGACCACTTCTTTAGCAAAGTATATGTTCCATTCTTCGAGGAACCAAGACTTTGTCATGCTTGATGCATACTTCCCTTTTGACCCTCTGCATCTTCCTCACGCTCGCACCATGATTGAGGATATTTACGTTGAATGGGTAGATGAAGAAGAAGATAGTGAAAGCGATGATGAAAATTCAGACTCTGATGACGAGTAAACCTTTGCATTTTTTTTTTGTAACTGTTTTTTGTGATATATTTTGTAACTTTTTAATGTCCCCTTTTTTGTTTTTATGTCAATGTTTAAAAAAATAAATATCTTGTTTTAGTACTTTTTCCCTTTCCTACAACTGTTCCGCATTATGACAGAATTGATATTCCATTAAATGCAAACTAACCAGAACTTCTTTTCGCAAGGAAGTTGATATTTTTGAAAAGAAAAAAGAAGAGTATTTAGTTAGAGTTTGTTAGTATATAAATAAAAAAAAAACAGATTTGGTTTTTTCAGTTTTTTTTTAACTCTACTCAGAAACAAGCAACTTTGGTTTTTTTTTTTTAAAAAAAAAATTAGGGTTATTTAGTGCCAGTCCATATACCTGTATGAATGAACTTCTAGTTCCATTCAAAATGGTGCTTAAAAAAAACAAAATAACAATTTTTGTTTAAGAAGTTTTTTTTAAACAATAAATAATAAAAAGAAAATAAATTCTTTCTTTTTTTAATTTTGATAATAATGCTTGTAAAGTTTTTTTTTTTATTTATAACTAGATATGCAATAAAAGAAATGAACAGTTTTGTTTCTTTAGAGCCATTAAGTTGCCTGATATATATATCGTTAAATAGATGATATTAAAAAATGATGAATAATTTTAGATACCCACATATTTATAGATGTTAAATATTGTTTATTAAGTGTTATCTACAATGGTAATAAGCATAAAAGTGACAAGTACTTAAAATTGATATAAACACTGACCTTAGAATCAAAAAGCATGATTCTTCTTTTAATAAACATACGAAATTTTTAATTAAAAATTTTGTATTAAAATATAGACACAAGTTTTTAAAATCGAAGTGCAAAGTTTTGATATCATCAGCATCTTTTATTAAAAAATAAGTAAAAACCTCCTGGGTCTTATTGGACTTGAAATACACCTCAAAGGACTACATCCTAGTATGTGCATGACACTGTAATTAATAATGCTAGAGTCAATATTAATTATGTTGAACAAAGAATGAGAAATGCCTTTTTGAGGATTTTAAAACAAGAAACCATCCATCACTTTTTTTTGATGAGCATAGAAGGCAACCTTGGGAAAAGGCATAACCGACATATTCAAAAACTGATCAAATATGAGAAATTTTCTAATTAATCTGAGAGAAATCCATTACTTTAAAAAAAATTAATAAGGAATTTTAACCCTTAGAATTGTTAAACCATTTCATTCAGTAATTACTGACAAACAATATTATAATATATTGTCTAAACAATGTGTGTGATAGAGTTTATTTTCTTTTTACAGCAATGCTGTCAAATGCCACCTCCTATTTTAGAAAACCAAAAGCCGAATAGTCACTACCTAATATTTTAGTATAATTTTCAGATTATTGTTGTATCGAATAAATGAAATTAATATATACGTTAAAATAATTGATTAGATATGTTGTTTTACAGTTCAAAGTGGAAAATATTTAAAACAAATACTTCATTCTTTTTGTTTTATACATTTCTTAAGTTCTAGTTCTTTTGAAATAACAATAAGATACCATGATATAGAATTTTTGAGTAAGAGAAAAAGGTTGGTATCTTTGTTCGAATATTTCTTTAAAGGTATTGTTAAATTTTTTTATCAAAAACTTGTTTCAATTATGGAATAAGAAAAAATGGCAAATTTTTATAATTAATACAACTGTTTTTTTTACAAAAAAAGAACACATTTACAATTTTTGTATCAATAACCGTAGCACTTTTTTATAAATGATTATCTTATTATACTGCTCAAAACTAACACATCATTTAAGATAATTTCACTATCTATTAATAGTATTTCAAAACTTTGAGCATTTGCAAAATATCTTCTGACTTTTTCTTCTTGAAAATATTATTTCAAAACAATTTTTTATTCCTAATTCCTGCAAACTGGAGCCTGGATCTGGAAGTTTTCAAAGATTCTGTGGGGGTTCCAAAAAAGGAAAATTAGAGTTTTGTAAAGAAAGCTCAGAGAAAAGTCTGACCCATGAGACTCTGTACGGAATCATGTTGTTTTTATATGTGTTTTTCAAAAGTATAAATTGTACCCTTTAATAGGACAACAGGCTAAATTCCAAATGACACTGGGGTTTCCAAAAATATTATATACGAAGAAATAGTCCCTCGGCTCAAAGTTATATAGTAGTTCAAAGCTTCTTTTTTCCGAAGAAAATCTTGATAAAGATGTAGTGAAAATGTACTATGTAGATAATAGTAAATTTAATTGAAAAACGATTGAAGACTACACTATTACCAAGCATTCAATAACTAAAGATTTAAATTAAATCTAATTTTTGAACAAAAATTAATGAAAAAATGGAGTTGAACATGAGATAGTGATTAATGACTAGTCCTGAATCTTTAAAAGATAAATGGTAATAAAAAAATTCAAACAATTGTTCCTTTATTCTTATTATTTTAAATTCAAACCGTCTATGACATCATGAATTGAACTGTTTTATCCTAAATGACATTTCAACTTTCAATAATCTAATAAACAATTTCAGTTTAGAAGTTTTTATTTTGTTTTTTCTAGCATTGGTCGATTTTCTAGAGTTCAAGTTTCAAAATAAACTTTTTTTAATATATAAAGCAGTGATTTTTTTTTCAGCTACAAATCTTTTGCTTAAGAACCTCATGTGACTCCTAATCATAAAGACTTAGAAAAGATTATGAAAAAAATATGGGCAAAAAGTTCAACTTACAATTAAAAAATATGGGCAAAAAGTTCAACTTACAATTAAAAAATATGGTTATTTGTTTAAATTTTACCGATTACTCATTGAAATAGATCTACACGTAGGTAAGATTGAAACTTTTTTAGAAGAATTTAAAAGCAAACCAAATCGCTTATAATACCAATAATAGAAGTACTTTGTTGTTTTTATTGTCTAAAATGTACCCAATGAAAATCTTTTTAAAGCTAGATGTCTATGTTCACTCACTAAATGTAACTTATCAGATTTTTTAATGGAATTAAAGGTTATTGAAGGCCAAGCAAGTCTTAATTCCAGAATGTTAGAGTTTGCAAACGTATGAGTTTTTTTTTTTTCTTCATAGCTTTATGACAAAAAAAGAGATAAAATAAAGTCATTTGAGAATATCAAAAATTTGAAGTTGGCAATTAGTCCCATATTTTTTGACTTTTTGTTTTAAAGCTTTAATTCAAAATTTAAGTTGTCATATGGTATGTCAACTTTTAATCTATTCATTATAGTAGATCTACCATCTAGATGGAATAATTTCATATTTAACGCCAATATCAATTAATTGATTGTTCAATCGACTGAAAGATATCTTTTATGTTGTAAATTTACTCAAAGAGAATTTTTTTATATTAATTGTCAATTAAATTCATTGAAATTATAAACGTTTTTTTTTGGATATTCAATATTAATATTTGGATCTTAACTTAACTGAAAGGTATGAGAAAAGGCATTCTAAGTTTTAATGATAGAAATGTATCTAATATGGAGCCCCCTATGTCTTTCAGCAATTAGGGTTATTTGTTATTTAAAAAAAAGGAATAATAAAGAAAGCAATTTTTTTGTGAAATAACAAAAGTGCGAAAAAGTTTATCCTCTCAATATGTTATTTAAAAGTCTATTTATAACGTTTTAGACCGTTAAGGTAATAAATTGAAATCATTTTTTTTTCCTTTCAATTAACATCCTATTTTTGCATTTAACAAAAAAAAATTGTAAGAAAAAGCAATATTGCAATCAATTGAAATGCCTGGAGTCTCATGAATATAGTTTCTTTTTTTTTTGGTCCAATGAAAAATTAAAATTTAAACTTTTTAAGCATGAGAAAATAACAAAACAAAACAAAAAAAGTGATGCTTTTAAAAAAAAAATAGTAAGTTATTCTGCTGAATATTACTAATTTATTGTATATCGAATTGTTTTTTTTATATTAAAAGTTGTTTAGAATCTAAAAATTGGACTAGATATCCTCCAGCGATAAATAAATAAATACTAGAGTAAAATACTTGATGGTATCTAGATACTATATCAAAAAAATAATGTTCTGGAATATGGAATAGACATCTATATTTCAAGGTAAAGTTGTTGGGACGAATATCCAAATTTACTTTATTTTGGTGTTTCTTAGTCGAGAATCACTTTTATTTTTGACTTTTCCGAGTAAAGTTGACTTAATAGGAAGTTGAAAGAGGAGTTGAAATGATTATTAATGTCCACATGAATAAAGTTTTTGTGAATTTAAAGTCATATTAACAGATGACTGTTACTTAAAATTTCGTGAGTCTCTCAAAAAAATAAAGTTTCTTATTGGCCTTTGGGTACTGAAACAATCACAATCACGACTTCATTTTTTTGGAGCGTAGGTAAAGTGACGATGTCGGTAAAATCTTAAAGGATTTTTCAGAAAACTTAAGAAAAATAATTTCGAACTATTTCTTTGATGAATAATGAAATAGTTTTCATGTAATGAACAACACCAGTTCAATTGATGACGGTAAACTCTCTTTTAAAAAACAAAAAAAGAGGGGGGAGCCAATAGAACGAATTCGACAAGATTTTGTATTTAAGCTTTTTTTAAAAGTGCTACTAAAATAAAAGGGGATTCAAATTATGGACCGATTAAAGAAGCGGGTATTAATTCAAAAGGCTCACGGTCATCAAGTGTTCAACGGGTGTAAATGTTTTTATTTTTTTAATCATTTAAAAAGTCCTTAAGATAAAGTATTAACTTTATGAAACATCTTTTTAATAAATAGAATATTAATTCGTTTGATTCATTCAGTAAAAGGCATCGGTCCAAAAAAAGCATGCCTCCAGACTTGGATATGTGATATTGCGGTATGCTAAGAATTAGTTTTGCCACCGAATTTAAAAAGAAAAAACACCTGCAAAATTAAAGAAACAAAACATAAAATGAAATTATTGAAAATAAAAGTAACCTGCAATGTTTTCTTATTATTTTCAATTATAATTGTTAGATATTAAACATTAAATATATTGATGACATTTCTGTGTTTCGGGTGCACGTATAGGAGGGAATGGGGAAATGGGCGAAACATTGAGTGGCTAGAAATTTAATAGGTTAAAATCATACACGCACACTTAACTTGTCATAAAGCCCCCACTAAATTTAAATTCATATAAAATGAACATCATCTCCCCCTATTATTATTTTTTTTCTCATTGGGTTTGGTTTTCATACTGAAAAAATCGTGATTTATCCGACTGGTGTTTGAACGCTGGATTTATTCCAATTTCGAAACAACCAGACTTACGCACGTCATCTACCTGCATACAAGTATCTCATTTTTTTCTTTAAATATTATTAACGGCACAACTCAGTCATAATGTCGGCATTCTCTGACAGTTCCTTCACAGCCGATGACTACCATCGGTCTCGACCTCAATATCCATTGTCCTTGTTTGAATATATTTACCGCTATCATCAAAGCCAGCAACAAATTAAGGCTTCTCAGCAGACTCAGCAACAACAGCAACAGACTCTTGGTGTGGCGACAGACACTGGATACTCCTCCAGTGCTTTTGGTGGCCCCGCAGAAATTTTCAGTAGTATCCGACAAACTACTCGCGCTTTAGATATTGCATGTGGCCCTGGTGAAGCAACAGTGCCAATGTCTCGGTATTTTGATGAAGTTGTTGGTCTTGATCCCAGTGAAGTCATGATTCAAGCAGCTAAGCGTGCATATACAGTCGAGTATCCCAAAGTGACATTTGTCACGGGCAGCGCTGAAGAGTTTGTGAATGATAACACTGATAGTTCTGACATATCTCTTGAATTTAATTTGCCTGATACACAAAGACATCGTGCAGAGTTTAAAGTTGTACCTAACTCTGTGGATTTGATTTCAGCTGCAGAGGGTGCACATTGGTTCGATCTTAATCAGTTTTATCACAATGCATCGCTGGCTTTGAAGCCTGGAGGAACACTTGCTATTTGGGGTTATGGAAATCACATCTATACTGAACCCGGAAATCCATACCAGCTTGAAAAAGCTGCTGAAATTCAAAATTATTATCTTTACGACAATGACCAACTTGGTCCCTACTGGCAACAACCAGGAAGAGAAATTTTGCTTGATCGAATGGTTGGATATGAACCCCAATCACTTTTGCAAAACCCAGACAACTTACTAACTCGGTTTTCGCATGTTGAGCGTCACGACAACGTTGTAACAGCACGATATGCCAAAACGAGAAGACCAAAAAGCATGATTTCTGTTCCAAGTGATGCATTTATTATGCGACGAGTACTACATTTGTTGGACATTATGTATTATTTAAAAACATCTAGTGCATATCATAAGTGGAAAGTTGCCAATCCTAATGCACCTTATGACGTTATTGATAAAATGATGACAGAAGTGAAAGAGGTCACTGGATGGAATAACTCAACAGTTGTAACTATTGAGTACGATACCTTTCTAATTTTGGCAACAAAGGAATTTTGACGAATTTAATAAGTACACAAATTATAATTTTCTCCAAAATATTTTAAACTGTCTATATCATTCGTTTTCTTTGAAAAATCAGTTTGATTTGTCTTAGGTTTTATGTAAATACCTTTTAACATCGCTTGTAGTTGTTAGTATTTAAAAAAATGCGAATAAGCATAATCAATAAACTAAGTTTTTTACGGTTTATTTTGCATTCTTTAAATGTTTTCACATTCCTGCTGCTATTATTTTCTTATCTATTAGAGATGTGTACCCCTGTGAATTTTATTTTGTGATCAAGCTTTTTTTCTCATTTATTTTTTTCCTCTTTTCATCAACACGTAAGACAAGTTTATTTTACTCATCAAAATGAGCTAAATTTTGCTTTTGTTTCTAATACTATAGATTCTCGATTTTCTTTGTGAGACTCTCAATTTCCGACTTGTCCTCTTCCTCTGGTCGTTCTTTTTCAAACTCCTTTTCTTCTGGCGCCAAGATGCTTTCAACTTTTTCGCTAATTTCCTTGGACAATGCCTCAGCAGTTTCTTCATTCTTTTCGGGTTCAGCATTATCTTCGCTCGTTTCTGAATATTTTGAGTCAAGTTCCTTATGAATAGAATTTATTAGATCCTCAAGCTCAGTTTCCCAACCACACATGGAGCAAAAATCATCAACCTTTTCATCACAACTTCCAAGAGAAAGAACATCATTGTCTCTAGAACCAAGAGATCCTACTTCTTCCATGTTAAAAAGTAGCCGGGGTATTTTATGTTTCACCATATCAGGTAATGAAGAAAAGGGAGAAACAGCCAAAGATGTTCCTGCAACAATTACCAGGTCAGCTTTGGGAAGATCATTTTCCCATGCCTCAAAAAACTCTTCGGGAAGACCTTCACCAAAAAATACAATGTCCGGCTTAACTAAACCTCCTCCAGAAACTTTGCATTTGGGATTTTGACATTTAGGGATACCAACAGTCTCACCTTCTTGGATTTTTGGTGGAGAAGTCAAAACGATATCTTTATCAAGCTTGTACATTTGCCGTTTAAGTTCATCAGTTGACATTTCATGGCCACAATCAATACAATGGTTCTTGGCAAAAGATCCATGAGCTTCTATAACCTTGTCCCCACTTACGCCTGCTAGCCGTTCAAGGGTATCAATGTTTTGAGTAAATACTTTGCCCAAATATCCTTTGTCTTCTAGAAGTTTTATAAAAGCATGAAAGCGGGTGGGCTTAAACTTTGTAGGGTAGAGTTCATCAGCAAGCGTATAAAAGGCTTCTGGTCGGCGTTTAAAGTAAGAAATGTCAAAAACCGCTTCTGGGTAAGGTAGTTTAAGACGAGCTAAGTTTGAGTACAAGCCGGTTCCGGGAGTTCTAAAGTCGGGAATTCCTGCACTGGTTGAAATACCAGCTCCCACCTAGCAATAAGTAGCAATATGATTAGATCAAAGAATGAACAAATTAATTATACCGCTACACTTCGGAGGATTGCGATAAAGAGAAAACTTTGTTCAAGCTTACCATAAAGACAACATTGGAGAACTTTCCATTCTTAAGCTTGGTGGCCAAGTCTTGAAGATCGGTTGACATGGTTAATTTATTGAATGATTGAATAACAAATTAGTTTGGGATATGAGATTTATTTACAATTAAAGATTACACAGTGTTTTAATAGTTCCTAAGCGACTAGTGATCAAAAAGTATTTGATGGGGAAATGATTTTAAATAACAAGATAGCCGTAAAAAGAAAGAAAAAAAAGGTAAACGCGGGGGCGGTAAGCAGATTTTTGGTTTGCTTAATCTTTGTTACAATGAGTGGTAGTTGTAACAACTATGTTGGAAATACCCGAGGACTTTGGTTGAAAAAAGCCCTCAATTCAGAATTTCAGCGACATTTTGAATAGTATATGCCTGAAAAAATTTAATGTTTATTGCTTATCATTAGGATTATTCTGAGTTTGTTTTCCTTGAAGTTCCTGGTGTTTCAAGCGGCGCTCTGCTTCATCTTCAACAAGCCTGTTTTCATACATGCGATCCACGAGTTCTCCGCCAAAGTAGGCCACAAGCAAGGTGGAAACGCCAATCCAAAGACGGCCTGTACGAGGAATACTATTGTATTTCTGCCAAAAAGACATGATTGAAGATTCTGGTTTAAAATACAGTTAGACCAGTTCTTAGAAATTCATTTCGGGCTAAATACTAATGCCTGCTGATACTTACGGGTGTCTATGGTGATGTTTATAGAGATTGCCCTCAAGCAGTATCAATTTCGTTGGACAACGGTAGTTTGTAAAAGTGTGAGAGACCTATGACTGGCATTTATTATTTTAAGTTAATGATTTGTTACATTACATCTTGTAACATAAATATATATATGACAAACATTCCTGTAACAACAAAATGAGCCAGTATGACACAGCCGTTTGACGCCATCACTGACACTTTTTTCTATTCTTTGGCAACTCAGTCTTCAGTAAAAAAAAAGTTTCCACTGTTCACAACTCTTTTAGGGGGACGTTTAATAGACATTTTTCATCAATCAAATTAAAGGAATGAAGGTAATTTTGTTTGATTATTTGATAATATGTAAAAGGTTGATTCTAATTGGGTATCTAGCAACGTTTAAGTCATTTTGATTTACAAATCATTACCAATGAGCTCCAGTCTCAAATCCTAGATTTTCGCCTGCAGAAAATTTACGACATAACTGCAAATAGCCATACTTTTTTGTTTCGTTTTCAAAAGCCAGGGATCCCTGCTCGTATACTGCTGATCAATCCAGGATTCCAGATTCACTTGACAGATTTCACATGGCCTACACCGGACTCCCCATCAGGTTTTGTTGCGAAACTTCGTAAGCATCTTTTGAACCGCCGCCTGCTCAAGATTTCGCTTGCAAGAAACGACCGTATTTTGGTTTTCACTTTCCCAGAGTACTATGTTGTTTTTGAATTTTTTTCCGGTGGTAACTTGTTGCTTTTGGACGAGAACTTTAAGATAATTGCTCTTCAAAAACGACTAAATATTTCAGCACAAGGTAGTAGCAGTAATGCCTCGAAAAAAGATGAACCGCAATTCCCGACCTCTAGTTATGCGGTTGGAAATACATACAATGTTGAAGAAATTATTAGCCAGGAGCCTGCTTCCACTGATGATAAACCAGATGTTATTTCTAAAGAAGAAATAATTAAATGGATAGAAGAAAAAAAGAACGATGCCATCCAGCCACCACAGGGGCTTCCTTCTCAAGAAAGCGGCAAGAAGAAGAAAAACAAATCAGTTCCACTTAAGTCAGCTCTTTATGTTAAGTTCCCTCAGTTGTCGTCTAGCTTGTTTGAGAATATCCTTTTAAATATGGATATCGATCCAAACATAACCGTTGAAAAAATAGACATGGAAGACAACGAGTTTATTGGAAAGCTGACTGAAGCAGTAAACGCAGCATTTGAAGAGGCTCACCGTATTATTCATTCAGATAAGGTTGCTGGTTTTATTATTGCTAAGAAAAACCCAGATTTTGTGGGTGAATCTACATTACCTACAGATCTCATTGTTAATCCTACACCTCTTACTTCTGAAGGCGGTCTTGTTGACCCCCACAAAATTGAGTTGCTGTACAATGATTTTCAACCGTTTCAACCTTCTATTAACAATAAAGGAAATTTATCCGATATTAAGCTAATAAAGCTCGATAATTACAACAGTACGGTCGATATTTTTTACTCTACTCTTGAGGCTTCCAAAATTTCTCTCAAAGTTCTACAACAAGAAAAGGTTGCTGAAAAAAGACTGGCACATGCTCGGGAAGAAAAAGAAAAGCGCCTTAGAGGGCTTACTGAAATTCAGGATAAAAACAACTTGATGGGTCGTGCTATTGAATCTCATGTGGATCTTGTGGACCGGGCGGTTGAGGTTATCAAGGGTTTTTTGGAAAAGAAAATGGACTGGCAAGATATGGAGCAGCTGATTAAAGTGGAGAAATCAAGAAATGATCCTATTGCAAAAGTCATTGGACTTCCACTTAAGCTTAAGGAAAATAAGATCACGTTGATTCTACCTCATCCAGATGAGGCCAGAGATGAGGATGAAAGCAGTAGCAGCAGTTCTGACAGTGACAGCAGTGACTCTGACAGTGACTCTGACAGTGACTCTGAGTCAGATGGTGAGGGACGAAGCACTAAGCGTCAAAAGCCGAAAAAGCCGGTACACCGCCCAGTTAAAGCTGATATTGACTTGTCACTTACTGCCTGGGCAAATGCACGCTCTTACTATGACATTAAGCGGGATGCTGCAGCCAAAGGTGAGCGCACTCTGATGCATGCCGACAAGGCTTACAAGAGTGCTGAAAAGAAGATTTTACGTGACTTGCAACAAAACCGGGCAAAGGATCTCAATACGCAGCAAGGAGGCGGTCTGCGTAGCATTCGTCAAGCATTTTGGTTTGAAAAATTTTTTTGGTTTGTGAGCTCAGATGGGTATCTTGTTCTTGGAGGGCGTGATGATGCTCAAAACAATCTTTTGTTTCGTCGATACTTTAAAAAGGACGATATTTTTGTACACTGCGATCAGCCTGGTGCAAGTATTTTGATCATTAAAAACCATTACGGAGCATCTGATATTCCTCCTGCAACTTTGAGTCAATCAGGCGCATTTTCAGTCGCATCATCTACCAAAGCGTGGGAAAGTAAGATTATGAATGCGCCTGCATGGTGGGCTCGATTCGAGCAAATTGATAAGATTTCAGCCCAAGGTGAGCCGATTGATGTGGGTTCTATCACAGTTAAAGGCGAAAAGAATGTGATTCGGACCTCTTCTATGGATATGGGTCTTGGGTTCATGTGGGTTTTGGATGAAGAAAGTGTCAAAAATCGTCAATCTGAGTCGCAAAATGACAGAAATGGGGCTGTACAAATACCAGTCACTGCAGATGATATTGTTTCTAAAAATAGCAGCATAACCGGCATCGCATCTGATGTATTGAAAGAAACTTCTGATAATGCAGATATTAAGGGTTCCGATGAAAGTGATTCCGACAGTGATTCCGACAGTGATTCCGATGATGATCTGTTTGCTAACGTTAAGGTAAATGAGGCTGTACTTAGGGGCAAAGTTAAGCTTGCAACTGAAAAAGATAAAAATATTAATACCCAGTTGGAAATCAGCTCAGCTTCTAAAATTAGCAAAAATAAAGATAATTCTGATTTAGATGATGATGGCTATGGTGAAGAAAAAGATTACGATGATAATGGAAGTGAAAATAACGATGATACCAAGAAGGGTAGTAATGGTGGTCGGCTTTCAGCTAAAGAACGCCGAGATTTGAAAAAGCTTAAACTTGAAAAAGTTTCTGGAAATCAAGATATGTCGCTAAAGGCCGAGAATGACGACGAAACTACAGACGCTGGCTTGTTACGTGATTTACAGGGATTAGGACTTGGATCAAACAAAAACACAAGTAAGAAAATCTCTAGTGCTTTGTCATCGGTTTCAACGTCAGGTGTTTCAACACCTCGCAGTGGGGAGCTTGCATCTTTGCAGAGACCTGTGTTGACACGTGGTAAAAAGAATAAACTGAAGAAGGCAGCCAGTAAGTATGGTGATCAAGACGAGGAGGACCGGGAACGGATGATGGCGAAACTTGGAACCCTGCGCGGTTTGGAAAAAACTCGTGAAGCTGAACAAGAAGCACTTGCGAAGCAGAAGCAACAGGAGCAGCTGAAACGGGAGAGAGCACGACGACAAAAGGAAGCTGAGCTGCGTAAGATTTTATCCCAAGACGAAAGTGAAGTTGGTGGTGAAACTTCAGGAGTTACTGGTGAGCCTCAGGTATTTCCATTTACACAGATTGTTCCAGCACTAAAACGCGGGGAAACACCAATTGCTGCAGTGGCGGTATTTGGGCCATGGCAAGCGATGCAGAAAATCAAGTTCAAGGTTAAGATTCAGCAGGGAAGCATCAAAAAGGGGAAAGCAGTCAAAGACATTTTGCATCATATTGCAGGTATCACACGGATGGATCCAACGAGTCAAGATGTTGATTTGCCATGGCCACTTGAAATTAATCTCATTAAGGGTATTAAGGAGACAGAAGTTGTGTTGCCGATTGCGGTGTCAAAAGTTAAATTCACATTGCCACGAGATGGGTCGTCGTCTTCATCTGGATCTGGAGGATCTAAGGGCGGGTCTAAGAACGGGGCTAAAGGTGGGGCTAAAAAGAATGGCTCTGGAGGGAAGAAGAAGCATTAAGATTGGTTAGGTATTGGCTACATTACATGCCATTACACATTTTTAGGGTAGGAAGAAATAAAATCGATTTTATATCTTAGATCTTAGAAAAAAACTTTTTTTTCTGGTGATAAAAAGAAGCAATGCATTCAACAGACAAGTAACAGAGAAAGCACTGCACGGTCCCAAAAGGCGAAAACAAAAATTCTTACAAAAATTCTAAATATTATGATTTTCTGATAGTTTGAATGATTTCAAAAAAAATTTTACTAATAAACTATATCACGGTAAACCCAATTTTGCGATTTTCGTGTTGTTTTGTTGATGTTATGTTGTCCATCAGAGAGATGAGAGCCGAAAGTACGTGTTGTTGACGTTAACAAAACAAATTTGGGCGCCACCTCTTCTTTACGTAAAGATGTAGTCGAAATCTCCTAAGAGATTTATTAAAGCTTTAATCTTATTGTTGAGATTAAAGAGAAAACTTGGGAAAAAATTTAAAGTCACAAAACGTCGAAATCTCTTTCTTAACATTTTTCATAACAACAACAAATTTCCGTTATGTTAAAAATTTAGGAAAAACAACAACAACAACAACAACAACTTCACCGCCCTTTTCTGAGTGATGTCAAGGTTATCAGTGATGCCACACAAATATATGGTTTCTCAACTTAAAAAATCTACTTCCATTTTAAGCTTTGCCAGTGTTTAGAAAAACCATTTACAACTCCAAATGAATTTCCCATGTATCTAAAAGGACTTTTATTATCTGATAAAAATTATTATTAAATTAAAAAAATTTTTTCATTACATTTTTGGTTGTGACGCCGATACTGCCAGAAGATCCACCAGATATTAATTTAAAGCTCTTCTTTTCAATGATAAGCTTTAAGATTTTTTTTTTTTTTGCTGACTTTAGTACGCCTGCTTTTCGAAAAATATTCTCATAAATAATAATATATTATTATTCATTATTTTTATTATTTTCAATTGAAATTATCATATATGTATATATTATACAGAAAAAAAAAAGTCGGGAGGAATTATAGTGATGGGTATTTTTTCCTAACAAAATTATTATGTAGCTACTTCAATGGTGTAGTTGTTTTTAAAAACATTGTAAGGTATAATAATTAATTATTATATCGATTTATAAATCGATAATCACACTTGAAAATAAATGGGTGGGAAAATGGTAATTTTTTATGATCGAATTAGGACGAGGAGGAGATAAAAATCAAAATTTCTTGCAGATTTATAAGAAATCGACCATTTTGTTAGGGGCATTTCCCATTTCCCTCCCACGTATTTTCAACAGTGTTAACTTAATACACTGATAAAAATAAAAATAAAAAAATTAACGATATTTTAAAATGTATATTTAATAAATTATAATTATAAATATAAATATTGTCAACTTTATAAAACAGATTGTTTTCCCACATTTAAAACCCAGTTTTTTTGCTATGCAACTGCACTTGCTTGTTCAACCTTCTAACTGTCACTATATCAGATCATTATCGTTCAATTTATAAATGTTTTGTATTAGAATTCGTTTACATTAACATATCAAATAATTTTTTTTTTTTTTTTTTTTTTAATATCTACAAAGAAATTTACAAAAATAAAATGGTTAAACACTCGTTATCTTTCAACCACACAATGTCTTTAGAATCACTTCCAGTAGAAATTCAATTTTGTCTTTCTTCTTACCTTTCAGTCAAAGATAGGATCTCATTGAGTCAGGTTTCTACTGAACTTCGAATAATTCACAAAGAATCTACGTTCCAGAAATGTATTATTATTCCTGGTATCAGTCCCTACGATTCATTTTTCAACTCTATTTATTTGGCCACCGACCCAAGATGCCGTATCATTAATTTTTCTATGATCCAGAACCCGGAAAAATACTCAACTTGGTTTTCTCCTGCTAGTGTAAAGAACCTGCTAATGCCTATTGAGCTCAGGGGGGATGCCGCTCAAAAGGCTACTAATAGTCTTTTTTCCAACTTTCCAGGAGTTCACCAAGTTCTTTACTACCCTTCCAAAAAACCAGATAATAGTGTTACATTGATAAACAACGCATCTATACATTATAATAATAACGATTTTGACGATTCTTTGTTTTACGGGTTTGGTGTTGTTGATAAAGAAGGGAATATGGTATTTTGCGACGACTCGCTTGGTGTTACCAGCGGCACCGATACCCGCTCCATATTTCTTGATAATGTACCCGAATCACTAAATCTGAATCTCATGATTGACAACACTTTGGAACTTTTCGCTTTCTCCAGTTTAACTTTTGTCTCCTCCCTTAACATTCATCTCCGTAAACCTTCAACTTCTAGAAACAATAGAAGCTCAGAAATCAGCTCCGAAATAGAATTACTCAGTTCTTGCAACTTTTCCCATTGTGTTAATCTTCGCAAGTTTGCTCTCAACGGACTTACGGAGGATCCAGGATATCAATTTTATGAAAATCTTTACAGCCAGCTTAGCACTCTTTCAAAGCTTGAGCACATTGCAATCACTCATTTTATGTCACGTACTGGAACTTTTGTTTTAACAGAAAAACTTGGTCACGGAACTCAGACCATTAAAACCTCTTCTATTATACTTCAACCGCCAGCAAATACAAGAATCCTTTTAGAAAAAATGACACAGACCCCTGATTTTTCAAATCATGCTAAACCACTCCACAACATTACACACATGGCTATCAAAGTTCCTTCTCAATATGGGGTGCTAGGCGTCCGCTGGATTTTTGATACTTATACTTTTCCTCGATTAAGTAGCATGGAAATTAATGTCTCTCAGTCTCAACAAATTGTTCAGTACCTTGAAGAAACAGAAGCCTTGGTCAACAGATATTACCATACTTGTCCCTCCAGTTCAGATTTTACATTACTCGATGATAATTTTAATAATTCCATGTCTTCACAACACTCGAAATCAAATTATTTTTACAATGATACAAAATATCTTTCTTTTATTTATGAGAGCTCACATAATTTTTCTTTAAACTCTAATCATATACCCTCTTCTCCTACATCTACACTTGTGAAATCTTTTGTTTCTTTTGGAAATAATCTTTCTAAAATTCAAGAAGATAATTTTTCCCTACCGTCCACAGTGGCCTTGGGATCATTTTCACAAGATTGCAACCATATACCTAAATTGAATATCAGAGAGCGCTGTTTTAAAACATTGGAACAGTTTGGTGTTCAGCCTTCTTTTTCTAATGTTATCGCTGCTTCTGGAAAGATTTTGCAGGATATCAGGAATATAGAGAGTCTTTCTTGTTTACCTTCCTTCTTTTCCTCAGCCTATAGTTTTGGGGCTCAACCTATGTTCACAAACATTAAAACCCTTGGTCTTGATTCTTTTGAGTTGTTGGTTACAGAAAATAAACCAGCTTTTGCTCTTCCATATTTTTCTGAAAGCAAGGTTTATGATAGCACTATTGCTCGTTTTTTTAAGTCTATTTTTGAAGTTGAATCGTTGTTGGATATTGTATATGGTTTTATTTGTGCAGCTACCAGCACGTATGATTTGAGTGAGATTATGCTTAGTTCAATGTTGAATAATATTAAAGTTAAATTGGTGTCTCTATTTCCTGATGCTGAGAATTGGAATATTCCATTGGATCGCTTGATAGGTCTTTTAGTTCCTTCTTGTTTCTCAGCTCCATCTGATCACGACTTATTGAAAAATTGGGACTTTTCAAAAAAAGTTCAAAATTACAATGATTCAGGGAATGGTTACTTTGCTTACTACGCTCCATACTCTCCAAAGAAATCTCAGCCACCTTACACTGGTATTCTTTACGCTTACAAATACATGGCTAACGCTTATGAGGCTATTATTCGCCTTCTTCCAAATCTAGAGCACCTGGAAGTTCGGAACGCTTACAATGCTACACCATTGCCTCAGTTGGGTTACTTGGTCCATACACATTCCAAACTTAAAAGCATTCTTGTCACTCAATATACAAAATGCTTTTTATCTGAATGGATGACACCATTTCAGTCATATATGTATCCAGTAATTTTGCCAGGAAGTCCCAGAACAAGTGTGTTTATTGATGTTGAGGGCTCAAGAAATAAGTATTCAGTTAAGCTTGTGAATGATGAAAAACTCCGCTATGATGGACTTAAGAAGCATGATAAAGCTGTTGAAAACGAAATTATGGAACGCAGAACTCATGGTGATTTTTGGCATAAACCAAAGCAAGAAATTTTCTATGCTGAAAAATTTTCTTATGGTGTAAGTAGTTGCTAGTTTTTTAATCAATTTAATTTGTAAAACATGAATAATTAATTGCTTTATTGTGATCACAAATTTTAAGTACTTAAAACACTAGTGTTTTTTATAGTAATTGGCCTAGTATTCCCGTTTAAGAATAATTTAATATCTGTAAATTTATCGATAAATCTAAAATTATTCTAAGTTACAAAAGTTAAAAAAAAAAAATAAATTAAAAAAAAAAGACCAGAATTGATTACAAATTTGAAATTCTTATGATTTTTTAATTTTTTTTTTTTTTTTTTTTTTTTTCAAATATTTATTAATAAATAATTATTTGTTAAAGTTTATAAATTTTAACGATAAAGATAACGATGGTTGAAATTTTTTAGCAGCAAAGTTTAGTGCACGGCCTTATCCCTTTGTTTATACAAAAAAAAAAAAAAAAACGCTTAATATGCTAATTAGCATATTATTATATTAAATAATAGAGTGTTTGAAAATAATTTTAATTAATAGGGCGGGTAGTTCTAACCATCATCATCAATTGCCCTTTCAATATATATATATATATCCACCACTCAAATGTCTTCAACATCCATTAATTAATGGATAAACACCTTATATAAGGTGTTTAATTTGGTACAGCACACTGGTACCCCTTAACCCGACAACCCTTTTTGTCATACACCGATGGGATTTGGGTAATCGTTCCCAAAAAGAAACTTCCTCATGACATATCGTTGTCAACGCCAGTAGCTGGATTCTCAAGACATTAAAGCTTCGTGAAAAAAAAACTACACTACTTAAAGCTGATCTGATCTTTGAATTTGTTGCTCTAAATTCCGAACTAAATAACAGAGCCTTCAATTGGATAGAGTGTAAAAAGCAATGCGGATACATAACACAAAGCCTTTCTAACTGTGTCATATTCCCAACAAGAGAAAAAATTGCCTCAATTGAACAAACATTCAAAAGAAATTGCCCAAGAATACTTCCCGGTGAAAAAACCTCCGATATCGCTTCAAAACTTTCTTTCGGAGCTTCCGAAATCAAATCCAACATGTGCATCACCTCTTCACCAATAAGTTTGGACCCGAAAATTTGAGCAGCAGCACAAGTCAGGTGCTCCGTAGCGCTAGAACCCTTTTCAAAATAATGGCTAACAAACATACGCTCTTGCCAAAGCGGGTCTCGGGCTGCTGCTTCATTCAAGGCAACCGCAGGGTCTTTTAAATTCCGTAAATGGAATTCCTCCGCTCCGGGATGCTTTTTAAAAAGCTGCAATCGCTTTAAACTCGTCATGGAAACTAGGCCTTGTACCATCAATGTGCTGCAAATCATTTCCAGTGCAACATCCAGCTCTACTAGATTAGGAGCCATTTGTCCCCAACCTAACCTTACGTTATTTTGAGCTAATCCCTCAACGTTTTTAACTGAGAAAACATTTGGAAACTCAAGTATCTGGTCCAACGGTATTATTGATATGCAGTCCTGGTGTAATTCCAGGTGGGTCACCAATCCAACTTTTATCGTTCCTTCAATGGCACTTATCGTAGACTTATTTTGACTCAGAGAATTCCACTCCATCAATTTTATAGTTAGTTTGCACTGCTTCATTGTGGGCTGATAACTCTTTCCACCCCTAAAAATTTGGTATGAATCATTCCATCTAAAATTACTTTTACACTGTTGAGTAGTATTAGTAGTAGTAATATTGCAGCTGCCTTGAGCCTTGGCTAAAAGCTTTAAAGCACTGTCTACCATAATGTTTTCAGAAGGAGCACTGTCGTAACCAACATCTTTCCACAATTGAAAATAAACACATAATGTGCCAAAATCCAAACTCTCAAGGCAAGGCCACTGTAAAACTTGTGTAAAAAGGTACTCAATCCAACTGAATGGAACTATATTCAATAAATTTGATTCAATCTTAACATTCCGAAGCTTGTCTAGTACTATTTTCACGTTTCGGAAATCGTTCAAGATTGCTGACGACACTCCATGAGACACATCTTTAATAGATTTATTGCCATCTATTTCGGTATGATTGCTAATGCTGCTATACAGTGTCGAAATACTATTGTTTTTACTATGATTGCCTTTTGTAAACTTGTTAGGTCTTCCTGCGTCTTTGTGATTTTCTTTTTCCAAAACTCTTGCCATCACCTTATACGTAACTCTGATATTATTTCTCTTATTTTCAATTCTTTTCAAAAGACCTTCCTGTTTGTACTTGAACTGCTGCGCCACCTTTTGAATTAAATGTCCATTTAATGTAAATTTCGTAATCTTGATATCTCCGCTCTTTGGCCCCAACCATTCATCTGATCCTCCATTCTTAATATATATTCCTTTAAGTGCACTATACTTACCTACACAAAACCGTAACCCCCCACTCTTTTCATCCACAATACAATCTATAAACCCCTCAAGGTATAGATGTTCAACACTATGACATGCAAACCAGCTGTAACGTTCTGGGTACTTCACTGCTTCAACAGGAATCATGCGCTGGGTGCAAAAAGCAACCCAAGACGCATTCAACTCTGATTCTGATAAACCCCTTTTGCCAATCTCAGGCGCCTTTTTGGTTACAACGATACACTTAGCAAATGATAAGTCGTGATACGCATGATGTAAGTAAACACACGTCTGACTGAGACATTGGAGGTCGTGAGGACCCAGAAACAAAGCAACATGGGCATGGATTTCTCGCGGAAGCGCAGAAAAGTGTGGTGAGATTGTCAGCAAGCCTTTTTGTGGAATCACAGGGGCCGGTAACATGCAATTAACGTGGTAAGTTGACAAGTTTTGAGAACAAGAGAATGTGACAGGCACATTCGTATCTTTGTGCAAGTATTTCCAAATAATTTTTATAAGTCAAAAAAAAGGAAAATGAATTTAAAAATAAAAAATAAAAAAAAAGAAATAGAAGTAAATGTAAATGTAAATGTAAATGTAAAAAAAATTTTTGATTGCGTTAAAAATGAAGAGAGAAATGCCTGAATCAGATTTGGTTACAAGCAAATGGAATTTATGATCAAATATTTGGTAACGGAATGCGTTATCAATATACTTTCAAGTTGTTTTTTTTTTTTTTAAAAAAAAAAGGGTAACTTCAAGACCGAGTTGTTTTATATATAATCCTTCAAAAAGTCTTTTTACATGAATTCCAAGATTAAGTATTTAATAAAGATCGTGATGAATGATTTGGATAAGGGGTTCTGATCTCTGTTTTTATTTTTATTTTTGAAAGATAACTATAGTTCATCTTTCAAATCGATTGCTTTTTTTAAAAAACACAAGACCCTTAAATCTCAACTCTTTACTTTTACTCAAACGTGTATTAATTCTCAAGAGCTATATATCACATCCTTTTGCATGAAATTTTCAAAAAAAAAAAAAAAAAATTTCAATAATTTGCGTTACCCGTTTTGTGGGGTCATGATCCTGCATATATCAAAATCGAGAAAAAGATGTCATTCAATTTGAGGACACTAAAAGTTCAAATACATTTATGCAAGTCAACCAACCATCTTTCTTTTTTTTTTTTTTTTTTTGAAAAATCATTTTTATTAGTCCATTAAATTTACATAGGTTTATTAGCTTGTTCCAAATATCCCCCGTTCTCCTAATTTTACTGGTGTTGCGGTTGTTGCGGTTGTAGTGGAAGCATTGATGAAGACCCAGCATAAGGGTATCCATTTGACTGTCCACCCAACAACGAAGTCGAGGCCATAGCGTTGGGCTGCATGTGACCATACTGTGGCATACCTCCAGGAGAGATCGCAGCAGACGAAAGACCGTGCTGCTGGGTAAAGTATCCACTCTCGTTGTTTTGCATGTAGTGCACATTACCTGCACCGGGTGACACCACGGTCGAGTCAATCAGACTGCCCGTGTAGTCTTGCTGAAACATAGGCATAATTGCCGCATTCCCCATTGGAACTGGAGCGTGTTCTGAAGTCGGTGTGTCAATCAACAGAGACCCCAAATGTTCGCTGTTGTTATGCAAGTCGGTGTAGGATTGCTGTTGATGCTGTTGCTGGTATAGAATACCCGAAGGAAGAGAAGGTTGTGGTGGAATACTTCCCAGTGGGGCCTGTTGAGGGACTGACGGCAGCCCAGGAACAAACCTTGTGGATCCAGTCGCATTCTTGAGCGAAGTGCCTGCAAAGGTGTTGGATCGACCAAGAGACATGTTTTGCATGCCTTGCGAAAGAGACTGAGACCGTGACAGGGTAGAGTTGGATTGGGTGCGCATGGGCGATCCCGAAGATGAAGATGACGACGGTAACGATGGTCTGGTTTTTAAATTAGGCGTTGACTGACGGGTCTTGAGTGCAGGACGCTGGACACGTGGAGCCAAGGCCGGGCTTTCAGGAAGTTGTCTAACTTTTGCGAGACGGAAAACTTGTTTAATAGGCTTGAGATAAATGGTGGCAAGAGTGCCAATGGCCAGTTCTAATTCTTCCAAACGCTCGTTACTCATGCGATCAGAGTCGCTGTTGATAATGGGCATGTCTTCGCCAGCAACGATGGACTTGGCGGCTTTAGGATCAGCAGAAAGCAACCGCCAGTACATGTAACCGCGATCACGAACATCTGGATTGTCAGATTCTTCAGTGGCCCAGCCAAGAACCCTAGGTACCAGGTGTTGAGCTTTGGAAGGTCTGTAGATGAAAAACTTGACAATAGCCGTGAGGAGGGTAAGCTGTACCTCGACTGTGTCTTCCTTGAAGGTAGACAAGAAGCTTTCGAGGAGTTCGTCAGCATTCTCGATACGAGAAGAGTAGTTTCCAATTATCCAAATCATGGCAGCCTTTGCCTCTGGCTCATCAAGTGATTCAAGGTTGTCACAGAGAATTGGAATAACTCGTTCATAACGGTTGGGGTATCTTCTAAAAATATTTTTGAGAACGACAGTTGCCTCTTGAATAATGTAAGAAATTTTTGTAGAAACCAAATCCATGAGCTCATCAACACACGCATCTGCAGCAGATTCGATCTTGATGGCAAGTTTGCCAATAGCGCGAACTGACTTGTGAGCTATTTGGACGTCGATTTCTGTGGCACATTCGCGGAGCTCGCGAAGGACAACCTTGATGTTTTTTTCATTTGCCAGTAAAAAAATAATTTCGAGCTTTGTGGCCTTGACGTATATTTGGTCATTGTAGTTTGTGAGGAAGTCCTTAACGTCGAGCTTGAGCAAGTCTGGCCGACTTTGAAGAAGAATGATGCAGTTTCGGAGTGCCAGGTATTGAATCTCTGGGGGTTTTGCTAGTAAAATAACAAAAGCCGGGGTAATGCGTTTCTCAAGATTGGGGAGCGACCGGTCAAGATCAGAGACATAATTAATGAGATAAACAATAAGTCTGACGGTACCCAAAACAACTGAAGAATTTGCATGCTGCAAGCGGGGCAAAACGCGTTCAATGACAAAAACGGCATCATTTTGAGTCTGTGGGACAAAGTTCATGAGAGCGGAAAGGATATAATTTTGGGACCACTCGTCGCAGTCGGAAAGCATGTTTGCGAGATTGAATGCATGTGTGCGATCGATAGCCAGCTCAAGGTCTGCAGTTTTTTCTGTAATGTCGGAAAGTGCTGCAAGAGAGGCTGCCACTACAATGGGGTTTTTATGGGACAAGAGTTGGTTAAGCTCATCAATGAGCCCACGATCTTCTACAGCTTTGTGATCATGGTTCCAAAGTTTAGCGACGCCGTAAGCCGCAGTTTTGCAAACATAAGGGTCCTTGTCGTGCAAAAGATCGGATATCCGGATGAGAATAGCGTCAAAAAATTCGCGGACCGGAATGGCAGACATAGTACGCAATGAAAGCGCACGGATCAAAGGAGAAGGATCGGAAAGGTCCTTGACAAGGATGGGTATGGCCCGAATGGCAAGATCAGGCTTGGCTTTGGAGTATGTCAGGAGAAATAGAAAGCATCTGTGGTCTTCATGTTAGTATGAGACATTTAGGTGAAATTTAGTAGCCAAAAAAAAACATAAAAAAAAAAAAAGAAAACAAAGAAAGTGAAAAAAAAATAATTAAGTGATGAAACAGGTAGAGAAGTAAAAAAAGATTTATACTAACAATTTCTTAATGTCAATGTCATTAATGCTCATGATACTAACAACATCGGGAAGAAGTGTGATCATTTCATTGTTGCTCATGGTCATATTGGCCACAATCTTCTTCAAGGCGGCTTTTTTGTTTTTGTAATTTTTGTCCTTCTTTTCAGACAGGAGCTCCTGCCGAAGATCGGCAGCTTTACTCTAAAAAAGAATGTCAGTGAATGCTGGGAAGAAAAAATTCGTATTGGACGCGTCGTTGTAAAGTTTGAGGTTTTTATAACTGGTTGTGCTGGGACCTACCCTTGTGAATAGCTTTGAATCACTCATGATTTGTATAGGATGTTATAAAGGTCTATACTATTTATTCCATGGACAATTCTTAAAAAAAGTTTTCCTAGTTTATTGGAATATAAGCAAACACGATTGGAGAGTTATCGTGTTGATAAAAGATTTAAAAGAACAGTGGTAGTTTTGGTTTTAGTTTTAATTTTTTTGTCAAAGACGACTGAGTTTTTTTTTTTTTTTTGGTTGTAAAGAAGCCAACAACACGATTTCTAAATAGCGGCATTTCCACAATACATGCCCCCTCTATTTACCCGTTACAAGATTGCGTGACAAAAAAAAATGGGTGATTGTAATGTCATAGAAATCTCAAAATCCCAACATGACGATTTCTTCTTTCCATTTTCAAAGACCTTAATTCCTTCTAAATTAAATCATGAATATATTGAACCCTAAAAAATACATAAGCATATAACAAATAAAAAAAAAAACCCCATATCTAAATGACAGCATATCCGCTGGTATAACTAACGCTGTAGTCCTTGAGACTGTGTACCTTTCCGCTTTGTGCGTACCCAATCCATTGTAACTTGCCCCAGGTATCGCGCTCATGTTCAGATGCAAACCCATTCATGGGTAACCTTTTCTTTGAAGCCGAGTTGAGGCAATGGAGGAGCGAGGAGAACGGCCGGCGCCCACAAATTGTGTTTTCGGTAAGATCCATATACTCGTTCCACTGGTCAATAGATCCTGTCGATAAAACTTCCATGGCTTTACGGTCGAGGTATTCAATGGACTTATAAATGGGTGTTTTATCAGAAACTTCGCCATGGGGAAGGTCGGGGTGGCTGGAGCGGGATCGCGAGCGGGTTTTGCCTAGTGCCACCACCTCTTCAACATCTGGAGAAGGTGTGTATGCCGTGTATCCGTAGTTGAGGCCCCAGTGGCAAAAGTCGGAGGAAATAACAAAGGCATTTTCTTCGTTGCTAACATATTTAGAAAGGAACTTCCCCAGTTCTTCTTCATAAGAGGGAGTAGTGCTGGAAATAACAATGGGGACTATAGATGGAACACCGTTTGGAGATTTTTCAGAGGCTTTGAACAAAAAAGGCAAGTGGAGCTCTATACTGTGCTCACGCTCATCATCTTCTTCATCAAATATTGTAAAAAGACGGCTTTTGAGAAGCTCGTTGACGCCTAAATAAAGGCGTGGTTAGTATTAAAAATCCTGGGGTAATAAAAAAAATGGAGGTAGAGAACGACATACATTCAGTATCAACGGGCACCTTCCCGAGAGGAGTATCAAAAGCAGCAAATTCTGTAAGTCCTGCGCCTCTAAAAAGGACGTGGTGCGAAGGACCTAAAATAAAGACTCGTTTACTTTTGATGTTGTTAGTAATAGCTTCAGTTAAACTTTACAATTTCATTGACTTACACTTTGGAGGTGTCCCAAGCACTATAAGTTTCGGCAAGCGTTTTACCAGAGTAAGTATATCCAGCATGGGGCCCAACAAGAACTCGAGCTCCAGGGATCGGGAACTCGGGATGCTTATCTTTAACTGCGGCAACCAGTTGGTCTATTTGTTTGCTTAAGGTGGTCTTGTTTCCAGAGAACCAAGACCCAGCATGTGTGGCTGCTCTAACAGACATATTTTGTGAATCTAAGAATGTGTATGTGATTTTGGTTTTGATGAAAATATGAAAATCTTTTTAAAGAAAAAAGAGAGAAATAATCAGGGACGAAGGATGGTTTAAATAGTTTTAAAAAAAAAAAAGTTAATAAGGAAAATTGGCTTGGTGTGAGCTCAGAACATATGCATGTGGATAAAGAAATAAATAGGTCTTGCCAAAGTTACTAAGTAAATCCACCCTGGGATATCCGAGAACCGACTAGCAATTTTATACCAAACCTACTAGTACATCTACAAATTCAAAAGTAACGAGACTTTTATAATCATTGCCTTTAGTGGAAATATTTTGGGAATTTTTTTTAAAAAAAAATGAAGTTTTTTTTTTAAAAAAAAAAAAAAAAAGAAAATTAAACAAAAATCATTTTTCTTTCTCTTTTTTTTTTTTGTTTTACACTTAATCCTCCTCTTCATCAGAATCCTCATCATCGTCACCAGCAACTTGTCGGGTTTCAGCCTCAGACTTCTCCATAAGCTTGGCAAGTTCAGCATCATCAGTCTCAGAAACTGTCTTGGGAGCCATCTTGACGTTAAGGTTACCACCAGCAGCCTCAATCTTGGTCTTGATTACTTCAATAGCCTCAGTAAGTCTATCAATAGCTTTTTGCTTATCCAAAGAAACCGAGGTGAGGACAAAGAGGGGGGCGGCGACAAGCTTGACTTTGACAGGGATATCTTCGGTATTAAGCGCTTCACCGGCGGAAAGAGCAGCCTTGACGGCATCGACACCTTCGTAGCTGAAGCAGGTGACCTCAATGTCAGCACGAACCTTTACTGGGTTGGGAGTGAGCTTTCTGGAGATTTGAAGCAGGAGGTCGTCCATGATTTCTTTTGATGGAGCTTCGATGCCCTCAAAAACTTGCTCAGGGTTGGTGATGGCAATCTTGAAAGCCTCGTAAGCATGGCCGTATTTTCTGCTCAATGGCCAGCCAATCTTTTCGTAGAGCTTTTCTAAGGGGTACTTGTGCTTCTCAGCAACATGGCGAAGAATTGAGTGAACTGCTTTGGATTTGTTGTACTTTTCTTCGGCCTTTGCGGCGTCTTCAGGAGAGACTCTTCGTTTCGACAGATCAATGTAACCTAAGAAGATAAGAAGAGGTTAATATATAAAGATCTAGATCAAATGTAAATAAATATAGTTTACTTACCCTTATCCGTATCGACTCTGAGAACAACGACGACCTCATTGCGGCCAACCTTGACGTGTTTTTGGATACTTCTAATTCTTCTTCTAGAAAGTTCAGAAAGCAAGATCATGCCTTCGATGTTGTCATATTCTAGCAGTTTGACTGTATTTTTAAAAAAAAAGTTAGAAAACAAGTACGTGAAATCGTGTCATTAAAAGAGTAAATCATACCATAAGCGCCCATATCAGCAATCTAAAAATAAATAAATAAAAAATAAAAACATTGATAATAAGTGGTTAGCAATGATGACTCTAAAAGAATAGATGGTAAAAAAAACATCATGGATTCATGGATCAAGGGTATATAAATCTTCGTCATAAGGAGGATTTATTTTTTTATTTATAACTGGGCCTAAGATGGGAAAAATAAGGCAACCCAAAGTGACATACCTCTCTAACATTGACGACGACGAAGTCATCAACTTCGGGGTATTTGTTCTCGTAGAATCTGCACGAGGTGGTGTTCACTTCTTCAGCCATGGTTGTGGATGTGGTGGTAGTGTCTTGAAATTTTGGAATTTTCCTTTAGGCAGGAGAAAAAAAAAGAAGGGAAAAAAAAAAAAAAAAAAAAAAAAAAAAAAAAAAAAAAGGCGGCAGTGAGTGAAGAAGAATTTTGCCTATTTTTCACCAACTATGCGTACAGATTTGTGTGTAATAGTTTTGCCCACATAGGGAGGAACGATTTAGTGTATGTGTGTGTGTTACTCATTGCGTTAGGCACTGTAGGAGCAGATTCTAAGTGAAAAATTTTTTCCCATTCCCTCTAACAGTAGTTGGTTAAAGTGTAACAAACTGTGTAACAGAGATAAATTGTATACAGAAACAACTTAGCACACATAAGAATAATAAATATTTCATGACTAATGATGACTAATTAATTTTAAAATTTTAATATATTTACAGTGTAAATAAAAAATTTTTTTTTTTTTTTTTGCTTATCAATATATACTTTACTATAAGTAACATATATATATATAATTTTAAGTTACCAAGGAGTTTCAAACTAAGTTTATTTGTTTTATGCTTATGGCTTTGTTCTGTCATCTCAACCCAAAAATAGGACAATACTCAAACTGTTAACAATGTTAAAAGAATCATCAGACAGACAAATAAATGGTTTACAAAGTAGCACCCATTATTCACTTTCAACATATTTGCTGTGACTTTTCTATTCTTAAACCTGAGTATTCCTTTTTTATTAACAAAATTATAATCATTAAGAAAAAAAAAAAAATAATGCTTTTTTTCAAAAAAGGGAAATTAAAATATCAATATCCATAGTTGACTGAGACTAGAGGTTACCACGGTACCCTTGACGTTTATGGTAGGAAACTATGACTGTCAATATTATTATTAGAGTATGCTAATTAGACTTGAAAATAAATGGGTGGGAAAATGAAAAAGTTTCACGTGACAAATTAGTCAGGATTGTGTTAAATTTTAGTAAGAATTTAATCAATCTTAGTAATGTTTGTGTGGATGATTATCAAAGAATTCCCAAGATGGTAATTTTTTATGATCGAATTAGGATGAGGAGGAGATAAAAATCAAATTTTCTGGCAGATTTATAAGAAATCGGCCATTTTGTTAGGGGCATTTCCCATTTCCCTCCCACGTATTTTTAACAGTGCAGCCCCCCAACCCAGCCCCATAATTAATTGTATTTGCTAACATGTAAGCACTCAAACTAGAAAACCATAATAGTGCAAAAATATTTGGTAACTAGGTCAAAGCAGTTTCATATTTTTAAACCTCCATTTTTTACTTATTCTTTTTTTTTTTTTTTTTTTTTTTTTTTGGGTTACTTCAAAGATATCCAACTCTATCAATCTAAACCTTCCTTTTTTGGCCCTTCTCTGTCTCAGATACTGCGTCTCAGAATGGTCTATTCTCAAGAATACGACACTATTGTTGATGGGCCTCCGTGCCTAATATTTCCTAGTGATAATGAATCAAACACTTCGTCAGCTAAACTCGCGAAACCGAAAATGAACGTCGCAAAGTCCAGCTCACTGGCTCCACCTTCATCTAGCGCAAAGCAGCGCAAACCAGAAAAGACAGCAATGGGAACACCAGCAGTCACTTTTGCTGGTATTCACAAAAAAAATGTAAAATCTTCTGCAACTCCAGTAGCAACTACAAACGCCAAAACGAACTCACAGATGAAAAAGTTTGGTTTACAACCTCCTACTCATGAAAAACACTCTCGAACTCCAAAACTTGAAAAACAAAGCCATAATACTGTTCATTATCATAATAATAATAATAATAATACCTTGGCTGTCCCCCGTTCTCCTTATATAAACGAGAAACAACAGTTACATGCTGTCAACTTACAGCAACAACAACCTCAGTTACCCAGATATACTACCCCTAATGTTGCAGTACCAGTATCACAACTACAACCACAACCACCACAACAATCAGAAGCAATTCAAGCTGAAGTCCCCATGGCATTTAAAGTTGCTGGTGGTGCATGGGATTATCTTAAACAAATCTTCAAACCTCCACTAGTAACCACAGTCAGACCAGATATTGGTACTATTCAAAACACTGCTATTCCTGGCCAGTTCTCTCCTACTGGCCAGCAGTTTCAACAAAATAGGCCCCCTCCTTACTTTCAGCAAGCACCTCAACGTTCACCAGCTCCTGCTCATTTAAACGTTATTCATAATCAACAGGCTACTGGTGTTCCTTTAGGAGCCCCCCTAATAGCACCACAAGCTGGGTTCTCCCAGATTCCTCCACAGCAAACTTTAGGACAATTCCAACAATGGATACCTTCTAATCCAAACAACGCTGGCCCTCGTCCGTTAGGCCTTGTACCGGGAGCAGCTTTTGGTACTCCTTTAATGTCGCCAATTACCGGGGTTGGTGTAAATAATCATGTGCCTCCATCATCCGGTCCTCCACATGCAAGTTTAAAATACCCCGATTTTTTCCCAAAAGAAGATTCAGTTAACTACGATCAAATGTATCTCAAAATTATTGAGGAAGACAACAAAGTTAAATCTGGAAAGTCAAATCATTCTCTTTCGCATAGACAAACTCCTATTGATTTGATCAGATCTGCCTCGACACCATTGTTTGTGCTCATTGCTTCGGTTATTGCTCTTGCTATGACCAGCTCCACAGTTCCTAGCACAAATTTCTTTCAGCAAATTGCAGGCTATATCAACTCGTTGGTCCGAACATGTGCCGCGGTTGGTGGTTTGATCAGTGCCATCTTTTTAGGCATCAAATTTATGACTGCTTCTCCAGCGACTAATCGTGGAAAAGCTAGCAATTTCGAAATGAAGTTTGTCGCTGGCCAGTCTCTTGGAGATGAATATGGCCAAAACCACTATAACAATGAAAGAATCTCGCCATTTGTGTCTCCACACTTTTTTCCAGCCTATGTACCTCCTCAGCAAAATCAAATCTTTTACCCAAACCCCCCTCCGTTGAGTTTCATACCCCCCTCATATATTTCTCCGATGATATCTCCTAATATGATTTCAGTAACACCTCAGGTTATGCCCACCCAAATTCCAATGTCTTCAAGTATAGTTACACCTCAACTCCATGTTCAACCGCCCACCATTCCTAATTCTCAAAATACGAAACTGTCAGGATCAACGCTCCAAGTTCCACTTCAAACGCCGTCAACAATACTTCCAGGGACACCCATTTCTCGGACTGCATCAGGCCAACTTTCCCCTGGAATGTTGAAGCCGGAACTACTTTCTTCAGCTAAAAGTAATAAGGAGAATCCTCCTCCATTGAATAAGTACTTGTCGAATATTGGCGTTTCTTCAGCAACAGAAACACCGTTAAATGAAGGTGCAACAAAAACTTCATTAAACACACCAGCACAAAATATTTCTGAGCGAGTGGCTACCCCGGCTCTACCCCAATTGGCACAAACGCCGTCCCCAATTTTCCCATTTGCTCAGACACCAACTTCTGTGCTTACCAATGCTTCTATTGCTATGCCAAATAATGTTTTGAAAACCCCGCTTCAGATCCCAGATCCACATAAAATGGGCACTCCTTTACCAGCCACTGTGCCAGCTCCTGTGCCAGCTCCTGTCCCTATAATGTTGCCGGCCTCTCAACCAGCACTTGACCCAGAAGCAAATGTACAGGCCAGCAACAAGGGATTTGTCAAGCACATTTCCTTTGTCCCTGCAGGCACGATTCTAGACGATATGAAATATTTACCAGATGAAAAGATTGATCCTGCAAAGTTACGATATTTTGATCTTGCAGATGATAAACTACGCAACGATTTGAAGGAGGAGTTGTTGCTGCGCAGCAACCATGGCCACATTTTGATGCCACCATTGCCTAATGTTGATGATCCTGGTTTAGAACATTTGGAGTTGCTTAAAGGTTCATATGCAACTTTCCCGTTAAATATGGAGACTTTAAAAGAAAATCTTTCTGATCGTGGGCTAATGGGTGAGAAGCTGCCGCCGATTAATTACAAGCAGATGTATGAGGTCTTTGAAAAGAGGCTGGATGCGGTATCTATGAGGCCTGCGAACGCCAGCAAAGACAAGGATGGGACCAAGACCTTTGCGGAAAAAAAGGAGGAGCAGATTAAGAGCATTTTGAAAACTCCTAGTAAGATCAAGTCTGCAACATTACCTGGTGATGCTATTTTGGACGATTATTATGTGGACGATTACGCTTGCAAGCCGTACGGACCACCTCCTAAGCGATATCGCGCTCTTCGGGTATAGTGAGAGCGAGCAAATTAAAAGACTAACAAATCTTGAAAAAGTTGGTTTTTCTTTTTTTTTTTTTGAAATGAGTATTTTAAAATTTTATTTTGTTGTTGTATTTCTTTTTTAACATTAGAGGGCCCAATTTTTTTTTAAAAATAAAAAATTCTATTTAGTAATATAAATATATATATATAATTTCCAAAGAATCAACGGAATTCAGATTCTGGGACATTTTTCTTAAGAAGATCCATTGCAGTTGTAAGTTCCTTCATTGCAGTTTTCATATCTTCATAGGTCAAGGCCGAAATTGCAAACTTGCAGTGTTTTTGGACTACAGTTATCAGTTCACTTTGGTCAAGAATAGACTGCACTTCACGTTTGGTAAGATGATGGTGATAACCGGTAGGTTCCTGAGCAGGAACAGGAGCAGGAGCAGGTGGTGAATATGTAGGGAGTGAAGTATGAGCAGGAGCAGGAGCAGGAGCAGGAGACGGTGATGTGGGAGCATAGGCATGGATGGGGCCTGCAGCTGGAGGAAACTGTGGAGCCACAGGTGATGGCGAACGCGGGGCCTGGCTTGGAGCAGGAACAAAAAAGTTATCGAGAGAGGGAGAAGTTGGTGCTTGTGGAGCAGAAATGTCATCATCTATAAAGTCAGGAAGACCATTTGGAGCTGAGGGTGTTAAAGAAGAAGTAGTAGCAGCAGAACCATTCTGTTCGTCTAGATTAGCACTAGCCACTGCATCAGCAAGAAGCTCGTCGACTTGCTCTTCTTCCGACTTTGAAGGTTGGGGAGGGGTATAGTCATTTGGATTTTCTCCAGACTTGCAAGCCTTTGCAATGCGCGCTGCTTGGAACTTTGCGTACTTGATTTTTTCTGCCACGTCCTTATCGACAGCGTTTTCTTCTCCGGAAAAGAGCTTGAGCAATTCAAGGAAAGTGGCAGCTGCAATAAACCGTTGGGTAGTAGCAAGCGAACTTGTTTTATCATAAACTTCTTTGTCAGCTTTGGCAAACACATTGAGTGCAAAAGCTTCGACATATGAGCGCGCCACGTCATCGTCGGCTAAAATTCCCTGCCCGTCCTCTGAAGCAAGCTTGGGGTTCGAGCTCCGCATAGCCTCAATGTTGTCCATAAGATCACCGGCAAACGAGGTTACGCTTGGATCTCCACTGCGATGTAAGTTGCGAGCAAGAATCTCTTGGGCCGCGTAGACTTTACAATAGTAAGAAATCACGGGCTCAACTTGTTCGAGCTCATGTGCACGTAACAGGAATGGGTTAATGATTTTGAGGGAGGGAGGCACAGGCGGCAGTGCTTTTTCAGGAGCAGCAGAAGACATGGTATATTGTATATATATGGAATCTTTACTTGTTGTTTATGGATATAAATTGAAAAGCTTTGTGGATTTAAAACTGTGGTCGCAATGATGTGTGACGCGATATGGGGATACGGAGTCTTAAAGCTCTCCATAATAAACGGATCACGTGCAAAAGTCAGCACTGAGATAAGCAAGCCGCACTTACCCGACTAATAAATACTGAGGTATTGAGTAAACCTCAGACCTGACACGCAGTAGACGCGTCCCGCCACTTGCCTGGCGCCAAAAATTTTTTTTTTCTTTCCCACCCACAAGAATATCCTCCTCCTATCCCCTTCTTTTTTCTACTACTCAAAAAACTAATCATCACCATTATTACGCACATCCACAACAGCAGCCTCTGAGTGACGCGCCATTTTTTATTTATTTATTAATTTATTTTTGTGCTCCTCCATTCCCAGCCAGCAAGTATCACCAACTAGGACTCTGGCCATTTGCATTCAACATACACTCTCTTTTGATACCTACCATCCACTGCAGTACTATGGACTCTTGAAAAAAAAATTATTAAGAAAAAAAGAAAAAATAACGCGACTCTATTGATTTACACAGTAATTTTTTCTTTCTTTTTTACCTGGTGAATTTTTTTAGGAGGATATAAATCAAGCTATTTAAAAAAAAAAATTCCATTCATTTTTATTCAATTTGCACTGAAATCTCTACCCTGCCTTACAATCTTTCTTTTTTTTTTTTTTTTCTTTCCGGCCCTGCTTCTCGTGGTTCTCCACTGTTGCATCTGCGCGTCTTCCCCTCCAATCAATTAGGGCATTGTCACCTATTCTCTAAAATTTTCCGCACGCTGTCGCTGCCGCTGCTGTTCAATCAGCCAGTTTCCGTGCAAGGGAAGCTCTAAAAATTTTTTTTCAACCCTCAATATAAGCCCCTTAATTCGCATTATAAAAGGATTGGAATCCGCACTTTTTCTACCTTTTTTTTTTTTTTTTTTTTTTCAAATGTCCCTGCAAAATCCTCCACCGGATTCTTCAGTTACACAAGTCTCGGACTTTATTCCAGATGCATCCTCTTCCGTGAAGACAGATTCCCAGCAGCCATTATCGCTGCTGCCACAACCTGAGGAACAAGACCAGCAACAACAACAACGACAACAGCTGTCGTCATCTTCATCATCTTCTCAGGAACCTCCTTCAACGATTGAATCGGTTCCTCAACAAGGCCTTCCACCGGTTGGCGGGCCTCTAGAAGAAGAAAAACAGGGGCTTGTTTCCGAACAAACTAGCGTGTTACCAATCGAAACTGAAGAAGAAGTACAAGCGGTTGAAGAATTAGCCCAACCACACGAAGAGGTTACAACAACTGCTGCATCTACAATGACTCCTTCTCAGGATTCAATTCTTGTAGAAACTCCACAATTATCTGAATCAATAGCTGCTGCAGCTGCCGCCGCTGCAGCCGCAGCCGCAGCTGCTGGTTCGGACCTATTACTTCAACAACAGCCCACCAATGGTCAAGCTACCCCATCCGAGTCATTTGGGGCCCCGCCGGCTCCCACCCAAGAAGATGGTGAGCCTTTCTCGGCCACACAAACCTCTACACACAGCTCGGACAGCAGTAGGCATAACAGTGCTGCTTCTCCTGCTTTGCAACAGACATTTGCTCCGCTACAACCACAACCTGTGTCGACCGAAGCATCGTCACATCATAATCTTCCTACTTCTGCTAAAACTCCGCGGAGACTTACTACTCATGCGTCATCCGCCTCCACTGGTACATCCCCCGCAGACCCACTGGACCAGAATTCTTCTTCTTCCCATATGATGGCATCATCTAAACCACAAGCAGCAACACCTTCGTCTTCTATTGTGACGCGCGATCAGTCCTTCACAAAGACTCCAATTGCTCCTAAATTAACTCACACTCCTGGTAGTGTATTAATTGCCCCCAAGTCTGTTTCCAATGGTGACTCTATAGTCACACCTGTCTCTCACTCTCACTCCATGTCCCACCCAACCCCTTCCCACACTAGTCCCTCCTCTACAAGGAAACGCCCACAGACAGCTATGGGAACCCCGTCAGCAGGACTGGCATCAAAGTCTGTTTCGCTTGGCCCACAATCTCGGCCTCCTGCTATCCTTCCTCATTATAATCCTCGCTATATGTCTACTTATAAAAAGAAGACTTCAACTGCCAGCCCACGCCGCAACTCGAATGAAATGACTACAGGGTTATACACAGTATGTTAAATGTGCTTTTTTTTTTTTTTTTTTGAGAGCAAACTTTATTAACTTTTTAGGCTACTTACTCTGATATCCCTGTCTTTGAAATGATGGTTAAAGGTGTTGCAGTTATGCGCCGTCGCCAGGACTCGTCTCTGAATGCCACCCAAATTTTAAAGGTTGCTGGCGTCGACAAGTCCAAACGCACTAAGATTCTCGAGCGCGAGATTCTTACCGGGGTTCACGAAAAGGTACAAGGAGGGTACGGCAAATACCAAGGCACTTGGATCCCATATGATCGTGGTGTCAACCTATGTAAGCAGTACTCCGTCTATGATGCATTGCTTCCATTACTTGAGTTTGATGCATCAAATCCGGCTATGGAGAACACTCCAACCAAGGAACAAGCCATGGCTGCGCAGCGTAAAAAGAACTCGACCCAGCTGGCGCCTCCTCAAAGTTCCTTTAATGGGTTCCCATCTGCTCCTTATGATCAACATTTTATGGACCCCAAGGCTGTTCGAATGGAGTCGATGCCGTTACCTCAAACTGGCATGTTTTATCATCCCAGTGCTAGCCATCCTTCTCCTTATCATGGAGGCCAGCTTGCTCATCCAAGCTACTCTATGCCACCACAGCACCCAGACCACACTGCTTATATAACTGGAACCCCCATTCGTGGCCCTGTTTTAGAGGATGGTCCTTCCATTTCGAAGCGACAGCGCATGGATGATTACGATCATGGTACAATGACGCCTAGTCGAAACATTCAACGTGAGACTCAAACACCTCCTGGAAGTAACAACACGATTGATCAAATTGATGATGATGATGATGATGACGACGATGACGATGATGATTTTATTTTTGACGAGAGGTTGATTCCTGAAAACAACTCGCCTATGGAACCTCTTGAGACAAATTCAACTCCGTTTTTTGAGTCTTCCAAAGAGGTCATTAATCACATTTTCTTAGAAAATGTGACGGATCTGGTCCAACTGTTTGGGAGTGAGGAGAAGCTGCGCTGCTTCGCACTCGACATTCCATTTGATGACCAGGGCAATACAGCACTGCACTGGGCAGCTGCCTTGGGTCGCATTGAACTTGTCAAGGAGCTTATTAGACACGGGGCTAAACGGCTTCGGGCAAATTATCATGGTGAATCTGCGCTTATTCGTGCTGTCAATGTGACCAATAACTTTGAAAATCACACCTTCCCACGACTCATTGACTTGCTCTATCCAGCAATCCCTCTGGTAGACAAGCAAGGCCGTTCAGTATTGCATCACATTGCAGCCACTGAACCGTTGAAGCGACGCGGTGAGGCAGCCAAGTATTATCTTTCGTGCTTGCTTGAGTGGATTGTACGTAAGGGCACCCGAGGTAGTGTCTCATGCCGACTAAGCTTGGGGTCTTTTATCAAAACAGTTTTAAATATTCAGGATAAAAATGGTGACACTGCACTGAACATTGCAGCTAGAGTGGGCAACCGCAGCATTGCACAGCAGCTGCTGAAGGTTGGTGCGGACTCGAACATTGCGAACCGTGCTGGGTTGAGGCCTGTTGATTTTGGTGTCAAGAGCTTGGACGTTAAGTCTGATGCTTCTGCAAGCCAGACAAATGGGGATGGGTTATCGAATGGGCTTGATGTTTTGGCGACATCTTCAGGAGGATCTACGAATTCTTCTTATTCTTCTGCAGTGCAGGACTCGATTCTCAAAGCCAAGAGCACACAACAAGAGGTTGCCAATAATATTCGGATAATTCTTGGAGAGTTGCAAACGTCGTTTGAGGAAGAGCTTGTTGCCAAAGATGAGAGCATTCAGCAGTTGCATGTGAAGCTGCGGGATTCGAACAAGCGCCTGGACGATGTGCGGGCGCGGCTGGCGAAACTGCGGACCATGTCGCAGGATGTTTCTAATTACCAGCGGCGGGCGCAAAACCTTGAGAGCGCTGTTGTTGAAGAAGACCAGCGATTCAAGGCTGAAGAGCAACGTCAAAACCGGCCGATTGTTGGTGGCATTGATTACGAGGGTAAATTTGATGCTGACCAGCCGTTTAAGGTCAGTGGGGTTGTTGCATTGTACGAAGCTGCTGTTAAGGAAGAAAAGGAAGAGGGAGAAGAAGAGTTAGTTTCAGGTGAAGGTGTTGATGAAGATAAGGTGCGTGCTCGTGTTAAACAAGAGGTGATTAAGAAACTTCAGGAGAATTCGACACAATCGAATGGCGATACAGAGAAATCTTTATCATCTTCCAACAACACTCCTCCACCTTCATTGACGACGTTACCACCTAAGGCGCAGCTTCGGGCGCGGATTCGGGCTTACCGGGCGAACGAGCGGCGTCTGGAAGACTTTGCGCAAGAGCTCAAGAGTCGGTCAGTAGGGCTAGAGGAGAAGTGTAGGCGGGTGATTTCGCTTTGCACAGATGTTGAGGAGCCTCGAGTAGACAGTTTGCTTGAGCAATTGTTACAAGCGGTTGAGAGTGATCCTGGTGAGGTGGATATGGCGCGGGTTGCTGGGTTTTTGCGCAAGGTTGATGATGAAGCTTAGAATATACCCTGTTGATGAATGTTACGATTTTTATTTTTTTTCCAAAAAAAAAAAAAGATACCATGATATACAAAAAAGCAAAAAAAAGCATTATACAGAGAGATGATTTATTATATTTTTTTTCATTTTGAAACAATACCTTTTTTTTTTTTTTTTTTCTCTCAATTAGTTTTTATATTAATTTTTTTGCCTTGTGCCTCGCTCAGCCTTGGGATTTTTTCATACCTTGGCTTTGAGCTGGATCTGATGAAAAAAAAAACAAATTTTTTTATTTTTTTTTTATTTTCAGAATGGGCTAGATCAAATTTGTCATTTATTGAGTACGAAGTCACTTAGATTTTTAGTGAGGGCTTTGTAATTATAAACAGGCACATTTCTTTTAAAAAAAATTTTTTTTTTTAACTATTTGGAAAAAGAAGGTATTTTGTAGATTTTCGTAGATTTAAAAATTTAATTATAATTATCATTAAAGTTATCCCATATATAGTTCGTTTACAATAAAAAAAAAAAGGTCATGAAAAAGCGCATATTATACAAAAAAAAAAAGAAAGACAAAAAAAACAATAAAACCACAATTACTCAAAGATGTTTAAAAGTCCTCATCAAGAGCAAAGCCATCTTCCTTACCACCCATCATCTTGTTAGTACCAGCCATGACGCCAGCCTTTTGGTAATCCGAGACGCGCTTTTCGAAAAAGTTTGTTTTACCAGAAAGAGAAATGTTTTCCATAAAGTCAAAGGGGTTTGAAGAATTGTAAACTTTTTGATTTCCCAGAGCCACAAGCAGTCTGTCGGCAACAAACTCGATATACTGGCACATAAGTTTTGCATTCATACCAAGCAAAGCAACGGGTAAGGCGTCAGTCAAAAACTCCTTTTCAATGGAAACAGCCTCAGTAATGATAGCCTCGACAACGTCAGGCGAAGGTCTGTTGACAAGATGAGAGAAAAGCAGACAAGCAAAGTCAGTGTGCATGCCTTCATCGCGAGAAATGAGTTCATTGGAAAAGGTAAGGCCAGGCATTAGGCCACGCTTCTTAAGCCAAAAGATGGAGGCAAAGGAGCCACTAAAGAAAATGCCCTCAACGGCAGCAAAGGCTACCAGACGCTCAGAAAAGGCGCATTCTTGGTCTGAGATCCATCGTAGAGCCCAGTCAGCCTTCTTCTTAATGCAGGGGATTGTTTCAATAGCGTTGAAGAGGTAGTCAGCTTCCTTAGGATCCTTGACATAAGTATCAATGAGAAGAGAGTAAGTTTCAGCATGAATGTTTTCCATCATAATTTGAAAGCCATAAAAGCATTTTGCTTCAGGGATTTGAACTTCACCGGAAAAGCGCTCAACCAAATTTTCATTAACAATGCCATCTGAGGCTGCAAAAAAGGCCAAAACACGGGAAATGAAAAACTTTTCATCATCATTCAAACGGTGTTCCCAATCATGCAGGTCCTTACCGAGATCAATTTCCTCAGCGGTCCAGAAGGAAGCTTCAGCCTTCTTGTACATTTGCCAAATCTCATGGTACTTGATGGGGAAAAGCACAAAGCGTTGGGCGTTTTCCTTAAGAATAGGTTCCTTAGCCTCACCTTCTTTTAAAAGTTTACGAGCGCGTTGAAACTCAGGAGTCATTGTGTTGATTGCACTAGGGACAGTAACGACGGCTCCACCATTGGCGGCAGCAAGCTCTTTAGCCTTTGTTTGCTCAAGCAGTGACATTTTGACAATGGGTTGGGAAGATTCCTCAAGTGACAGAGAAGAAGATTTGATACCTGCTGTAGGGGTAAATTTTGTAGATGCAGAAGAGCCTGTGAGGTTAAGAGAAGAAAGGTCAGCAGCTGCCTTCTTAGAGGGTGTTTGATCAAAGAGAGAAGGAGACATTGAAAAGATGGAGAGAAGAAGAAGATGTTATGATTGAATGAGAATAGAAATTATTATAATGAAAAAAAAAAAAAAAGAAGAAAGAAAGAAAGAAAGAAAGAGAATGAAAAAAAAAAATTAGATAAATAAAGAGGGAAAAGAACGTGTTTATATATATAATTTTTTAGATTTTTTAGAAATTATAAATAAGACGCGTCTATTTTATTTTTGGTGGTAGTGGTGGTGGTGGTGGTGGTGGTGGTAAAATAATATAATAGTAGTTAAGAAGAAAAAAAAAATTTTTTTTATTTATTTATTTATTTATTTTTATTTACATCACAAAAACACAAACACAGTGGCTGTTTTGTTTTGTTTTGGTTTGTTATGCGTTTGGTTTTTTCTATTTGGTGTACCGGACGTTAGGTTATATTAAGTTTGCTAAGTAGGGTAACTAATGAAAAAAATAGCCAATCGGAATAGTTTATCACGAAAAACATGCGATTTACGCGCGTAATCAGCCGTATTAGTTTGGTTGTTGCAGCAATAAAAATAAAAATAAAAAAAGGCTAAACGCGACAGTTTGCGACGACCTTTAAAAAAAATTTCAATATATTTATAATAAAAATATATTGCCATTTTAGGAAATTTTATTAAAAATTAAAAATTAAAAAATATATATATATATATATAATCCCCCACCACATACATATACTTTCTAGTCTATTGACATTTAACTCAATCGGGATATATATTTACAATTGATATTTGTTTTCGTTTGCCAATTTTTTTTTAAAATTATTAAATGATTCTCGGACGTGTCGCAGCCGTCGCGATTGCCGTTTGTTTGTTTGTTCTTTTATCTCGGCACTCTGGACATTCAAAAAGTAAACATTAGATCTTTCAATTTTTTTTTTTTTTTTTTTTTAGTTTCTTAATCATCTTTACTCATCTCTCTCTCTCTCTTTATTTTTTTTTTTTTTGATAATAATAATAATAATAATAATAAAGAATAACCTTCACTCGTTTTCATCGCCAAGTTAAAACCTTTTTTTTTTTTTTCTCGTTTAAATTTTTAAATACAAAGTAAATAAACATTCATCATCATCGTCATAATCAATAATAATCAATAATGCCAATCCTCTGACTTGGCATCCTCTCGAATCTTATACACTCGTTCCGCATGTTCAAGTTTCTCTGCCACCTTGGAAATCTCCACTACCGCAATTCGGTCCTTGGCCTCTTCACTTACATCCAAAATACTTGATCCACTACTACTTACACTCTTCACATAAGCTCCAGGCTCTAATCCTGCAACTTCTTCAGTCGTCAGCCCATCAAGCCCAACCACATTGTATACACGTGACGCTGGAATAGCCCCCCACATGGGTAAGCACACCTGCGATTGCCCGATAAATGTCTTGGACGGAACCCCACCCACATTGGTATAAATCACCAGGGAGTTGGACTCAAACGCACGGGTAGTCATTGCAGATTTGAGAAACACACTCTCAGAATCTTCAGGAACACTTGCATTGATTCCATGGATATCTTCGTTTTCCGGAAGAAGGTTGTCTGCACCGGTCCAGAAACTGGGAATCACAATCAATTCAACATCTTGTGCCGCAAGTTGTTTAAATGCCTCGGGCCCTAAACTGGTTAGTCAAAACGGGGAAAAAAAAAATTTCCTCTTTTTCTTGTTAATCAAACACTTACAAATGACATCCCAACAGATTAACATGCCAGTTTTCCCAAACTCTGTATCAAAGACTGTGTGTGGTTCCTTGCCCTTTGTGTATTTGGGTCTTTCTGAATGCCACAAGTTTTTCTTATGGTACTCGCCAACCACATTTCCTGTTCTGTCTATAAAGTATGCGGTGTTAAGCAGAATGGTTTTGTCGCTTGTGGGTTCCTCTACATCTGGCTCATAATGACTGATAGTTCCTGGAACTATGCATACTTTAAGCTCTCGAGCCAAATCACAAAATCTTGCAAGAACCACTTGTTCTGTATCAACAAAATGTGGTGGGTGGGGTTGATTAGGGTTGCCTTGAAGAAATTCAGGCAAAACCACGAGATCTACGGGGGAATATGAGTCCTTGGAAAGTTCAAAGGAAACAACCGTGCGGATTAGATGGAGTGCCTTTTCAACGTTTTTCTGGGGGCTGGCGTCCTAAAAAAAAAAAGAAAATAAAAAAAATCTGAGTTAGAGATAGGTTAAAAAAAAAAAAAAACAAGTGGGTTTATCTTTGTAGATAATAATAATAATAATATAAGGCTGTGTTTGGCTTACCTCAATATCTTGTTGGATTAATGCGATTTTCATTTTAGAATATATTTGATTTTATATATATATTTTTAAAGAATAATAATAATGTTGAAAAAAAAAAAAGAGAAAAAAGAGAAAAAATAAAAAATAAAAAATTAGATTTAACTTTACACTTTATATATTTATATATATATATATATATATATTTATATGATTAGAAAAGAATATCCTAAATTTTGATTTGGCAAAAAAAAAAAAAAAAATTGTCATTTTGCTACTGCTGGCGGCGGCGGCGGCAATCACACACACACACACTCACACACTCACAACCTTTATAAAAAATAAAAAATAAGAGTGCCCGTAGGGTTTTTTGTTTTTTTAAAAAAAAAAAAGTATTAATGACTAATCTTTATGTAATAAATGAAATGGGTAAGGAATTTCTATGCGAGAGCGCTTGCTGGAACGCTCGCGCGCGGCTTTTTTATTTTTTATTTTTAATGAAATTTTCCACAGCATTAACTGACAGACCAAATTCAAACATTCAACTTGAATATTGTCAACTTTTGTTGTTTTAATAATAATAAAAAAATTAAATAAAATGAAATGAAATGAAATGAGATGAAAATAAATCATAAACAATAGTAATCATATTAGTAAAACAATAAAAAAAAACATATATATATATATATATAAAGAATATATACATCGTTCCATCTGATGATCCATATACTTCACACCTATTTGTTATATTTCCTTCTTTCTTTCTTTCTTTCTTTCCTTCAATCTTTTTTCATATTAAATAAACCTTTTCATAAATAAACATTTTCAGCATTTTTTTTTTTTGTTCTCGCTCCCCCCTAAATAAAAACTCCAAACTTTCCTAAAAATAAGAAAAAAATAATAAAATAATAAAATAAAAAAATAAAAAAAAATAAAAACTCATACTCCTCTCTTTTCAATAACTTCTCTTTTATTTTCTAAAGTAATGAAGAGTACTGGCTCTGTCCCTGACCCTGCGTAGGCTGACCCTGAGGACGAGCATGAGCATATCCTCCCATAGATTGATGCATAGTCACCATCGGATCAAAGTAGTTGGGTCCCTGAGACGCTTGTGGCCGTGGACCCTGCACACCGCTACCATTACCTGCAGAAGATGTAGGCATCCCCTTATTACCAGGTAATGGCACCCTCAGAGCATTAGGAACAGACGCATTACCCTTATTAAGTGCTTGTAATTGAGGCTGCTGCTGCTGCTGCTGCTGCTGCAGCTGGAAAGGAGGAAGATTGGTTTGCGGGAACTGTTGTCGTGGTTGTGGAGCTGCTTGACGGTATTGTTGCTGTGGCTGTGGCTGTGGCTGTTGCTGGTAAGGATTAGTCTGTGGGGCAATAGGAGCAACTGGACCCTGGGAGTGTCCCTGAGGTCTGGGGTATTGTTGTTGTGGGGGAGGCCCTTGGCGGTACTGCTGTTGTTGTTGTTGTTGTTGTTGTTGTTGAGGAGGAGGAGGGCCCTGGCGGTACTGTTGCTGTTGCTGTTGCTGTTGCTGTTGGGGAGGTCCCTGACGGTACTGTTGAGAGATAGGTCCCTGGTGGTATTGTTGTTGCTGTTGCTGCTGCTGTTGTTGCTGCTGCTGTTGTTGCTGCTGCTGTTGTTGTTGTTGTTGTTGTTTTTGTTGAGGAGGAGGGGGCCCTTGACGATATTGTTGCTTTAAAGAACCCTGAGATCCTTGCTGTCTGAGGTATGGCTGTTGAGGAGGCTGTTGCAATGCCGCAGCTTGCTTCAAAGAACCTTGAGATCCTTGCTGTCTAAGATAAGGCTGTTGAGGAGGTTGGTTAAACTGCTGCTGATGATGATCATGAGCAGATTGGGCATGTTGTGGCTTAGGCTGTTGAACCACCATTCCCGAGCTTGCAGCAACAACAGTGGGTCCACCGCGAGTCACCAAATCACTTTCAGCATTAACGGCTGCATAAAGGTTCTGTCTAGAAGTTTCCAAAGCAGCATTAGAGCTTGCAGGGCTACCTGAGCCAGGCGTAGAGTATGGCAAGTAGGTAGCACTATGGGAAGAATAATTGGACACATTATCAACCAGTCTTGTAGCACTGCCATTAGCACCACTCGCTGGGCTGCCGTTACCCTGCATATAAGGTGGGCGTGAAAAGTTGGGACTGCGTGGGGTCATATTATTTGTAATTAACGAGCCAGTTGACGACTTTGTCGAGCCGTTTGAAGTTGTAGGCGTCAGTCTGTAACTAGCAGGAGGAATTAGGTCACCGTTTCCAATAGAAGCATTGTTGGCGGGTAAGGTCGACGTCATCGAGGTTGGAGGTGCTGACGTGGCCGCAGCAGCAGAAGCAGAAGCAGAAGCAAAAGAATTGACGGCAGCAGCAGAAGGTCCTGTAGGCTTGGGAGAAGCCGTGGCTTCAAAATCTGGGGGAGCACCTGGATAACCTTGAGGTTGTTGACGTGGTTGGCCATAGTTGTTTGTAGAAGGTGAGTTAGAGGAGGAGGAGGCACCCAATGGTTGAGGAGTAGAAGGTTTTTGTTGTTCAATATCAGATGCGTTAGTGGAATTGCTAAGGGGAGTGGGACCAGGTGCTGCAACAGAACGAGAACGACTTGAACCAGAGTTAAGTGAACTGTTTGATCGGGCGACTTGGCCACAGCCTTTATATCCGTCAGCTAGGCGCTGAGCCAAAAGTTCCTTAATGTGGAGGGTCCAGTCAAAAGCGGTCCAAGAAACAGAGTTTTGGGCGGTAGCAACCAGGGTTTGAACATCTTTAAGCTCAAGGTACTGTGTGTAAGGCAGTGTTGGCATACCAAAGAGTAAAGAGCGCATATCAGCCTTGTCAGCATTAAGGCGCTTGGGTCTGCCATAAAGACGGAAAACGTCGAGAACAGGAATAAGGAAACGAATAAGAGTTTCAAAGCCTGGAACACCGGGATGCTGCTCGGGCATTAAGAAAACAGCGGCATCTTTTTCACCATCAACATCATGGAAAGCGACCTTGCCTTCAACTTTAATAAGGGTGGAACCATCAACCAAAACAGAGTTTTGTGGGTAAACAGCATATGTGGCATAAGCTCCGGAAATAACAGCCACGGGGGGTTTTTTCATCTTCTTCTTGTCATCATAAAAGGAAATAGTACCTGGTGGAGGCATTCCTTTCTTTTTCTTAATGGTGGGAGGGGTGACAACAGTCCAAAACTTTTTCCACGGCATGCCGGCGCCGAAGCGAACGGAGACCCAATCCTCGTGGTGGAACTTGGTTTCTTGAAGAAGAGTGCGGATACCATTGAGTTTGGAGCCCTTTGCAGAAAGCAAGGCACCAGTATATGCTTCTTGGAGGCTAGTGTATTCAAAGAGAGCCAAGCGGAAAGCCGCGGTCCAGTCTTGGAGAAGTGACGAATTGGCGAATTGGAGAAGATAACGGTTTTTAAGAGTTGTTGATAAGACAATAACGTCCGAGAGATTGCCGCTAGGAGAAGGAAGAGACTCGATTGACTTGAAGGTAGAGTCAGTAATGTTGATATATGTTGGTTCGGGTTCGGCAACTATTTGAGTCCCGGAAGAAACCCGTTCGAGGCTATCAGCGTCCCAAATTGCCAAAACAGTGCCGGTAAGTTTTCCAAAGACCTCGACCCATTTGCGTTCCGCTGCGGGTTTTCCATCTAAAAATAAAAAAATAAAAATAAAAATAAAGTCAGTATTAGGTCATGATTATGATATCATGAAAACGTTTCATTATAATTTTTATAATAATCATGGAGATAAAAATAAAAAAAAATAAATAAAATAAAAAAAAAAATAAATAAAAATTTTTTTTTCTTTATTTCCATGTATTAACACGATTCAAGAAGGTGGGAACGCGCATCAAAAAGCGGCTATTATTATGCTCTGCTGACATCATTAATCACCACAATGATGTGTGTGAGAAACAATCATCACATTACACTCCAATAGGCCTAAACACAACCCAAATTTAGGGTTAAAATATTTTTTTTAATAGCAAACCAACATACCTGAGTTTAAGTCGTTGAGAATCATAAAATAACCTTCATAATAAGTCCGTTGTTTTTGAGTGTGTAACAGTGTGAGAATGGGCATCATTTCTGCGGGGACACTTTTAGCAAAGTTAAAAAGTTTGGAGAGAGACGCCTGAGAAGCCGTGGGGGAAATGGCTTTTGGATCCGGAACAGAGTCGACGGTTGCTTGAACTATTGAGCTCATTCTATTGTTATAGTTGTTGTTATTGATTGTACTAGTTATGGGGGTGTTATCTTCCAGAGAAGAAAAAGAAGAAGAAGAAGAAGAAATGGGAGATGCTGTAACTTCTTTGTTTGATGCGAGGAGAGATGTACGACGTGAAATAGAAATAGAAAAGCGATTTTTCTTGTTATTAGGTTTAGATGAATTAGAAGAAGAGCGGGACTGAAGAGAAGAGTTGATTTGTGTTTCAGGTAAAGTAGAAGCTCTTGCACTAACTGAGTTTATTCTGTCTATAGGGCCTCTATTGGAAGAGTGAGGGGTTCGGTCAGGTGCAATAGAAAGAGAACCGTAAGAATCTTTGTAAGGTGAGTTTGAATTAAATTCTGAGTTTGTTGGAATATGTGAGAGAGATGATGGTGATGAGTTTGAATTCGGGGCAGGGTTTGTATCTGAGGCAGAGGAGACAGAAGAAGTAGTTGAAACCGAATTTGTAGAGCGAGTGCTACTAACGCGTCTGTGAAATAGAAATGAGCGGCGGTTACTGTTTTTACGAGATTTCTGTGTATCCGAATCGTCAGCACGAGGGTTTGATGATGAGAAAGAGATTTCAGCTACTGAGTTTCTATTTGAATTTGAATTTGAATTTGAATTTGAAAGATTTTCGTTATTAGATTCTTGGGAGATGAAAGAATCTTGGCGAGAGGAAGAAACTTGGGAGTGAAAATCTCTATTGGTATTTTGAGAATTCAACCAATCTTCTTGAGAGTGAGAACCGACTTCTATAGGAAGAGTATTTGATTTTTTAGAGAAGAAGTGTTTTGGTTGAGAATAATGAATGGAGTTGGTTGTGGTGGGAAAGGAAGTAGAAGTAGAAGAAGAAGAGTTGTAGGGAGGGGCAGTGCTGGAGGAAAGTTTTGGGGGGAATGAAGAATCCATGGTATGTAAATATGTCAGCAATTAGGTAAGATATTTATATCGAGTGCGAGGTAGACGATCGAAAAGACGAGCGGATCGAACGGTTTTAAAATGATTTTTTTATGGTAATTGTATTTATATATATATAGATATATATATAAAAGAAAAATGAAAAATGAAAAATGAAAAAAAAATGCAAATATTAAAAAAAATAAATAAATAACTGAAGAAAACTGTTGTGGGGAAGAGGGAATAAAAGTTTTATATAAATAAAAAGGTTATAAATATATAAATTTATATACTGAAATTCTGAAATTCTGAATTTAATGGGAATTCTAAAATCCTTGATTTCCCTTTTTTTTTTTATCAGATAAAAAGAAGGAATAATAGTAATAAAAAGTAAAAAAAAAATTTTTTTCAAAAATTCAAAAAAGATTTTTTAAAAAAAAAAAATTAAAAAAAAAAAAGAGCGAAAATCCCAGGATTTATATATAAAATTTTCCGCAGGCGGGACTAAAAAAAAAAAAAAAAAACCCTCTTGTATATATATATATATATATATATATAAAAAAATTTCCTTTATTATTTATATTATATTATTATATTATTATATACATATATACACACATTAAAAACACCTTGTGTTTTAACCAGGAAATCCTCCACGTAGGTTTTTTTTTTTTTCACAAGGTTATTGTGAATTTACAATTAAAAGCAACTTTCATTATTAAAATAGAAAAAAAAAAAAAAAAACATTTGATATTATTTTTATGATAGTATTTAATAATAATTATCAAATTAAATAAATTCTCTATTGTTTTTGTTTTTAATTTATATATATATATATATATAACATCTATTTTTTGTTTTTATTTTAATTCTTTTGCTAGTTGATCTGATGTTTCTTTCTTTATTTCTTATGCCCACCCCCTATTAATTAAATATAGCTTTAAAATGTTAAATAAATAAAAAAACATTTAAAGTATTTTTCCCTCATTGTCTAATAAAAAATAATTAAATTAAATAAAATAAAATAGAATTAAATAAATAAATAAATATTTATTTTATATATAAATAAAAATAATTAAATAAATAAAAAAAATTGTCTTGATAAATCCCGGAAGGACGGACTGTCCCGACCGGAAATACCCCGTTGGTTGTTACCGCTAATTTAAAGCATCTTGCAAACAAACAAACAAACAAACAAACAAACATCAAAGGGAAAAAAAAAAAAAAAAAAAAAAATTAAATATTGTTAAATGAAAAAAAAAAAAAAAAAAAAATAACTTAACAACAACTATTATTAAAATAAAATGAAAAAAAAAAGAACACAAACAGCAACAGCAACAGCAATAACTTTTAAATAACAACAACTACAACAACAATTAGAGTCTCCTGAGTCTCCTTTTTATTTTTTTATTTTTTTATTTTTTTTATTTTTATCTTTATTATTGTTTTTATTTTGTTTTATTTTTAGGAACTTTTCTCCCTATCCCCTTTACTTTACTCGAGTGATGATTCTCTAATGTTTGTGTAAGTCTCTAAATGTGTTTATATATATATATAGTCTAAAAAAAAAAATAAAATGTCGCAATGGAACCGAGCCGTTGGTGGACGTTTTTGGTGCTTAGCCTCAACCTTTTTTTTTTTTTTTTTTTTGTCATTTGTCATTTGTCAATACGTACAACTATTTATTTATATATATATATATATCAAAAAAAAAAAAGACGTAATACTAAATTAATCAATTATAAATAATTTATTTTTAATTTTTTTTTTTAAATACAACAATTGATTGAAAAAGTGTATTTTGTGTTTTATTTTTTTTTTTTTTTTTTAATTTAAAACCATCTCCCAAAACTCAACTCCACACCCAAGACCTAAATAGCAATCCAAGTTTAAAACCAAAAATAAAAAAAAAAACTCTTTCTTTTTTTCTCGGCTTCTAAAGTCTCAAATCTCTTTATCTCTTAAATTAATAAAAAAAAATATAAACAAGCCAAGACCTTTAAAAAAAAAAAAAAAAAAATTCTCTCTGACAGTGCACAAAAACTGCCAAACTCCGTCTTAAAAGCTCAGATACGTCCACTCAAGTATCTACTACAGTATCACCATAAACAACGGTCACATGACTACATACCTTAAAATAACCAACTTTAATGACATCACTTTATTTTTATTTTTATTTTTATTTTTATTTTTTTTGGAATATAATAATAATAATAATAATAATCTTTGTTTTTATTATCTCTTTACAGATTTCGTTTCCAACCTCAGCGTCACCATCCCTATCAATTCCATCTTGGATTAAATAACTTACGTGTTCCCTTATCATCATCACCTTTGTACATTTAATCATTGTAGTTACCACCCAAAGACCCATCTGTGTCACGAACAACTCTCAAAAGTTCATCAATATCCGCCTGCTGAGAATGTCCAGCAGCATCATAACTAGGCTTCTCTCCATGTGCAGTCACACGCACACCATGACGGCGCTCAGGATAAAATCCATAAGTTGCTGAGTGAACTGCAATTCGGTTATCCCAGTAAGCAACATCATCCTTCTCCCACTTAAATCGCACAGTGGCCGCTTGAGAAGTTGCAACAAGCTCAAATAAATACTTGAGAATTGCATCACTCTCACCTTTAGGAACACCAACAATTGATCGTGTAAACCCAGGATTAACATACAATGCCTTCCATCCAGTCACAGGGTGCACACGAACAAGAGGATGCTCAGTCACAATCGGCTCACGACGAACAGTTGTGCCTGCTCGCTTGGCATCGTTGGCCTGTTCAACAGCACTATGAAGAGCACTATGAGATTCAACATAGACCTTGAGAGCAGGCGACAATTGGTCATACAAATCGTATCCAGAAATCCACAAAGTATCTCCTCCAGTAGTTGGAGCAGTTAACAACTTGAGTGACGTATAAGAAGGAGGCTGCACTTCGTAGGATACATCACTGTGCCACAAAAACGTCGACGGGAATGCACTGTACGAGCGAGGAAGACGTTTACTATCAGCCCAAATCACGTGCACCTGGTCCAAATACTTTGTGTCCTTGTTGTTGACGTCAAAGCCTTTAGGCAACCCAGTGGTGGCATGACGGTGTAAAGGACCATAAAACTCTCCAAGTTCTAGTTGCTTCTCAATGGTAAGATCGGTTTGCTTTTTGAAGAAAACAACAACGCGTCGAGCAATCAAAAGAGCCAGCTCTCGCTTCTCAACATCTGTTAAATCAGCAAGGTTAACTCCATGTAACTCAGTGCCAACTTTATGAGTCAAATGAACAATCTTGGTAGCCTTGCTGAACAAGTTGGAATAATCATCATTACTAAAGACTCCAGATAAGTTATCCTCGCGTTTGGCCTGTGGAGCATCCAGACCAACGTCATGGAATTCAAGTTCTCCAATAGGTTCCCACTTGATTTCAGGATGCGAAGGACGCAAAAACTCATAAGGGTATGCGTCATCGTTTTCCTGTTCAGCCTTTTGAATATTAGCAGCTTTAGCCTTAAGATCACCGTAGTTAATAACTCCCTCAATCTTGTTGGAAAGCTTGGTTTGCTTCAATGTATTGCCAAGGTCTTCAATTTTTTGTGAAACTGCTGTTGGTGCCATTGTAAATTTGTTTGAAAGAGTAAAAAAAAAAAAAAAAAAATTTAATGTGTTGTAAGTGTTTATTAGTATTTGATATTGATAATTGATATGAAATTAAAAATGATTAAAAGATATCTACACTCCAGATTTCATGGCCTTTATATATCTGTGATTAGAGGACTTGATAATTGAGTCAGATTAAAGCACGTCATTTCCAATTTCATTCTAAACTACAATTTCATTTTATTACATTCTATTCTATTCAAATTTTCAGGCCTAAAATATGTTCTGCTTAGTTGATTTTGTTACTGTTATTTGTCGTCGTCAATCGAAATGCGGTTCGTGTGATTCAAGGTGATATTGCACCATTATTTTGTTTCATAAAAGAATTTCGCTCATTCTTTCTTTCTTTTTTTCTTTCTTTTTTTTTTATCTAATACATATAGATATTTCTATGACAAAACTATCTTTGACTTAATTTCGGATATGCGATAAAAAGATGGCGTAATTTCTCCAGACTTATGCGTGTGTTAGAAAAAAGCCGTTTTGTGAAAAATGGAAAAAAAAAAAAGAAAAAAGAAAAGATTAAACTTAAATTTTTACGTTAAAAAAAATAAATTTAAATAAATTTAAATAAATTTAAAAAAAAATTTAAAAAAAATTTAAACGGCTGTTCACGTGGTCACGCTTTATCATGATAAATAAATAAATTAAAAAAAAAATTATTCTATGCGCACTTCTGTTTAAATTAAAACAAACAAAACATTAACATCCCACTAACAACTAACTATTCAGCCGTTTGGTTAGTTCGGATAGCCGAAAACAATTGCCCTTTTTTTTTTTTTTTTTTCTAGCGTTTCTAGTGTTTCTAGCATATAAGCATATAAGCATAAGATAAAAAAAAAAAAAAAAAAAAAAGGTAACTTACGTGATATAATTCAAAATGATATCTGGAAAAAAGATATTATTCACTGTTGTCTCCAGTGATTTTTTTTTTCTCTTTTTTTTTTTTTTTTTTTGTTCTTTATTCAATTACAAAGTCCTAAGTCTTAAATATTATCTTACATCCTTAAGAAATCAATTGAAACTCTTCCATTATTACAATGAAAAAAAAGCGTTTTTTTTTTACAGATTTTAGTTTGAAAAAATCCATTTTCATTTTAAAGTTTATCAAATCTTTTCAAAAAATAATTGCTGAAAAAAAATTAAAATAAAAAATAAAATAAAATAAAATAAATAAAAAAAAAAATCAACCCATACATAACTTTTCACTTTTGTCAAAAAAAAAAATTAAAAATTTCAAAAATAAAAAAGATGTTTTTTTCAGATTCTTCATTTCCTTTCAATCGCATCATATATTATATCTCAGTGCTCATAACATATACCAAAAAAAAATCAGACGATTTTGTTATTCCTTTTTCTTCTTAAAGATTTTAAATAACTCCGAAGAAATCCTCACAATTCAAATTTCTTTATATATCCCCCCCCCCTTTTTTTTTTTTATTAAAAATAATAAAAATTAAAATCTACTCAAACATTATCATCATAATATATATACCTTTAAAAAAAAAAAAAAAAAATGACGCCCCCTAGATCAAAAAGCACACAAAGTTTATCTGAAAAGCCGTTCGTTTTTTTTTTTTTTTTTTTTTTTTTTTGCTGTGAAAAATCTTGCTTCACTAAAATCATCATCTTTGATATATATATATATATATATATTTTTGCTCTTGGAGTTATGCTTAATAATATATGTTTTTTAGTTATTGATTTTCGGAATCTCCGTTTTATTTATTTAAATTTAAACCAAGTTTAACGAGAAACACCAATTAAACTTTTTCTTCTTTATTTTTTTTTTTTTTTTTTACTTTTCTTTCTTGTCTTAAAAATTAATGAAACTGAACTGCTGATCTTTACAAGCAAAAAAAAAAAAAAAAAAAAAAAAGAAACTCCTATACTTTTTGACTTTTAAAACTAAAAAAAAATTAAACAATCATATTTTGCGGGGAAAATACCGTTTAAGTTAAGTTAAAAGGTATTTGTTTTTTTTGTTATATACTTGCCTTCCATTTTTACAAAGTTGAACTTTTTTTTTATCAATTAATAGATGAGCTTCTCATCGTTAAAACTTTACCTTTTTTTTTCTTTTTTTCTTTGCATCAGATCTTCTAAACCCATTGATTTTTTATTTAATTGATTGATTGATTAATTAATTTTATTTTATTTTAAATTTCTTTTCTTTCTCCCTCATCTTTTTTTTTTTTTTTTTTTTTTTCCCTCATAAACTTCATTTTCATTCTAATAAGATATTCAATGTATTAACTACGCGTAAATCTCAGAACTCCTTTTCTCTACCAAATCTAACAAAATTTTTTTTATGAGAGCTATTTATTTATTCTATCATTATTATCATTATTATTAGTATAAATTTAAATTTTTTTTTTTTTCTACACCGCCCAATAACTTTTGGACCCACCCCAACAGCAGCAATCAATCAAAATTATTTGCCCTTAAAAAATGGCCGCTACTATGGAAAAAAAAAAAAAAAAAAATTACAAAAACTCTTCTTCTCTTTCCCTTTCTTTCCTCCTCCCCGCCCCCCTCCTTTTTCTAAACACCTCACCAACATCACCACCACCACTCCAATTCCTTAAATTAAACAATGGATAGTCTTGAGGATTACATTGAAAACGTCATCAAGTCAAACTATGAGGCCCATCGTGGGCCCACGATTTTATTTGGCATCCTGACATTCATTGGGTTTGTCCACTTTACACTCAACTTTCTTAGTTATTTCAACATGATTGGCGATCTCTTTTTCCGCCGTCCCACAGATGTAAGTATACCAACCAACCAACCAACCAAACAAACAATATCAATGCTCCTCCTCTAACCTTTTTCAACAGTTTAGCAAATACGGCGCCGGGAAAAAATGCTGGGCTGTAGTCACTGGCGCTTCTGACGGCATTGGCAAAGAATACGTCTACCAATTGGCCAAAAAAGGCCTCAATGTCATTCTTGTATCTCGTACTGAAGCAAAACTCAAGGCCCTTTCCGAGGAAGTCTCCTCCAAGTACAAGGTCGGCACCAAGTACCTTGCCTTTGACGCTTCTACCGATAAGCCCGAGAACTACGAGGCACTCAAAAAACTTGTGCGATCGACAGAAAACGTTACTATTCTTATCAACAATGTGGGCCAGTCACACTCCATCCCTGTACCCTTTTTGGAAACTTCCCAGGAGGAATTGCAAAACATTATCACCGTCAATAACCTTGCTACTCTTAAAATTACCCAAGCTGTGACTCCTAAAATCATTGAGTCCACTGCCAGTGTCGGTTGCAAGGGCCTCATTCTTACTATGGGATCCTTCTCCGGTCTTACCCCGACCCCACTACTTGCTACCTACTCAGGATCCAAGGCTTTTCTCCAGGCTTGGAGCAATGCCCTTGCCCGCGAGCTTTCTCCTGAAAACATTGATGTCCAGATTGTTCTCTCCTACCTTGTTACCTCTGCCATGTCTAAGGTTCGTCGTTCCTCTGCCCTTATCCCCACTCCTAAGCAGTTTGTCCACTATGCTCTTAAGCTTGCTGGTACTCAGCACGGTGGTGCCCAAGAACGTTACGCCACCTCGACGCCATACTGGTCCCACGCCTTGTTTCACTGGTGGATCAATGCTGTTCCTGGAGTCTGGAGTAAGTTTGTAATCAACATCAATTACAGAATGCACGTTGGCATTCGCGAGCGTGCTCTTAAAAAGGCTGCTCGTTTGGCTGGCAAGTCCGAGGAGGAATCGGCTTCTGCAGAGACCAAGGCCATTAAGGAGGAATAAATTGAACTGGAAGGAGGTTATCCAGAGTGTATATAACTATATATATATATTTATATATATATATATTTTAAAAAAAAAATAAGAACATTTAACTATCTTGAATCTCTTTGTCAAACCTTTGGAATGGACTGAAATATGGTGGGGAGGGGATCGGCTAAGGCGGACAGCCTAAAAAAAGAAACGATCTCGCTAAGTGTCAGTGCAAGATTGTGTTACAAGGACCTTGTCTGCAACAAATATATATATATCTATATAAAAAAAAAAAAAAAAAACAACAACTCCTTTCTTGGAAAGTCTTTCTGTGATCTTCTTCTTTTTTTTTTTTTTTTTTTTTTTTTACTAGTTACCATATTTCAAAATCAAACTATTTAGAAAACCTTTTGCATTAGATACTAAAGTATCAGACCTAGAGCTAGAATCATCAAATTGAAGAAGACTCTCTAGAAACAAAACCTGTCAAAAAGAAATCTTCAAACCATTGTTTTTTCATTATACTTTATCAACTACTATCCAGCTCTTGAACAGACTCTACATACCAACACAAACATGGGCGACATTGAAGATTACGTTAGACTAGAAAAGGTCGGCGAAGGTATGTTTCTTTCTTTCTTCCTTTTTTTTTTTTTTTTTTTTTTTTTTCTCTCTATAAGGTGGTTTGCTTTCTCTTTGTTCAGAATCATTTGGAATCATTTGGAATCAAAAGACTAGAAATGACCCTCCCCCCCTCTTCCCCCTTCTCCTTCATCCATCCCCTTTGTTTACTTTTTCTAACCTGCTCCGGCGGGTTTTCTTTGCAACAGGTACCTATGGCGTTGTTTACAAGGCCCATGATCTTAAAAACGGCAACCGTCTTGTTGCCTTAAAGAAAATCCGTCTCGAAGAAGAAGATGAGGGCGTGCCATCAACTGCGATTCGTGAGATTTCACTGCTCAAGGAGATGCGCAACAAAAATATTGTCGCTCTCTATAATATCGTCCACACAGACTCTCAAAAGCTCTACCTTGTGTTTGAGTTCCTCGATATGGACTTTAAAAAGTACATTGAGAAAATCCGTAATGGTGAGGGCCTCGACGCTAATGTCATCAAGCGATTCATGTCCCAACTCGTCAATGGCATTTGCTACTGCCACTCTCACCGCATTCTCCACAGAGACTTGAAACCCCAAAACCTTCTCATTGATAAGGAAGGAAACCTGAAAATTGCAGACTTTGGTCTTGCCCGCGCCTTTGGTGTCCCCCTGCGGCCATACACCCACGAAGTCGTCACCCTATGGTACCGTGCTCCAGAAATTTTGCTTGGCGGCAAGCAGTACTCGGTGGGCATTGACATGTGGTCAGTGGGCTGCATTTTTGCCGAAATGATTACCCGCAAGCCTCTCTTCCCTGGTGACTCTGAAATTGATGAGATTTTCCGCATTTTCCGTATTCTAGGCACCCCCAATGAGGAGATTTGGCCTGGTGTTACTACCCTCCCTAACTTTAAGACTACCTTTCCTCAATGGAAGCGCCGTGAACTCGAGCGCCATGTTCCAGGTCTTGATGATTATTCGGGCGATCTGCTCCACAGCTTTTTACAGTATGATCCGGCTATGCGAATGAGTGCCAAGCGGGCGCTGCAACACCCATACTTTACAGATTACCAAACTACAAATAGTAGTAGCAGTGGGGCCAGTAGTAGTGGCAGCAACAACAGTGGTAGCAATAGCATACCATCGCAGCAATATGGAGTGTCTTCTGCGGCTGCTGGCGCCGGCGCTGGTGGAAATGGTCAAGCAGCAGCCAGTTTGCCTGCATGAAGAAGAAGAACAAAAAAAAAATGAAGGGACATTTGCTGAAATAAATGCAAAAAAAAAAAAAAAAAAAAAAAACTGGGGAAATAGTGAAGGATAAAAAATGGAAATAAATTAAAGGAAAGATTAATGTAATGGTATAATGGACTTTTAATGAATAAAAATAAAAACAACCCAATTGACTATTTATTGGAAAAAAAGGTAATTATAGCCAGTTGGACTTTTCCTTTTTCATGATGATGTGAAAAATATGTAAAGCTTGATGGTGGTGGTGGTGGTATGTTTTACAACCCATGACAAATTTCACAAAGGAATAATTAGTTTGAAAAATTTTTTAATACAAGAAATTTCAACAAGAATCAAAAGAGTGCATGATCTAGAGGATATAATCAAGAGCAAAAAGAAGGATACTTGTTTCAAAACAAAGTGTATATATATACTTGACGGGGTATGATGATGATGATGATGAAGTAATGATCAGAGTTACAAGAAACAAAAAAAAAAAACATGGGAGGGAATTTTTTTAAAAGGAATTATGATAAGAAAGAAAGAAAAAAAAAAGATAGACTTTTTAAATATACCAATAGACAAAGAGGATTAGAAAGAAGCAACAAACTGGGGGGACGGTTCATGAAACAAACAAACAAACAAACAAACAAAACAAAACAAACGGGTTCGGGAATAAAACTAATAGCCGTGATAATAGTGTTTATTTGAAGAAAAAGTATTAAAATGAAACGAAATGAAATGAAACGAAACGCAATGGAAAGATTAACTAATTGAAATAATAGAAAAAAAAAGAACTTGCTTGTATCAACATGTGTCTTTGTTATTCATCAGTTCGTGTAAGCCTTGCTTATTTGAACCGGGGATCGTCACCATTTATTCTTCAAATCCCCAGATTTTCAAATATATATATATAATTCTTTCTCCATAATATTTTTGCACTTTAGAATTCCAGCACTTTATTTTTTATTTTTTCTTCTTTTTTTAGAAACATTAAAAAAAATTATCTAATTTTATTGGAAAAAATCAGGACTGAAGCCAAGATCTTTAAATATTTGAAAGCTTTCAGACTTTATATAAGTGTAAAAAAAATAAAATAAAATATATATTTTTTTTAAAAGTATTCAAAATTTTACAACAAAATCAAAAGAATATTTTTTTTTTTTTTTTTTTTTTTTTTTTTTTTTTTCTTTCTTTCTTTAATGTTTATAACATTCAAAATCGCAATATTATTGATATATATGCAGGCCATGTTACATCAAAGGGGAAACAAATGTCCTCCTGCCTCGATAACTCTCTCTCTCTTGATTGAATTGCTGTCACAATATGCATTATGCATTGCTAACTAGTTAGTGTACATTATCCACATTCGGAAATTACTTGATGTGAGAAAAAAAAAAGATTGTACAAGAAGAGACTTGAGTGGGTATAAGGGTATTAAAAAAGAAGAAATGTAATTGAGGAAAAAAAAGAAAAAAAAATCAAGAGAGTATTTGGGAAATGAGAAAAAAGGGATCCTTTAGATGTAGAGTTGGGTTTATATAAAGTAAGCTAATAGTGGAAAGACAAAATACGTGAAGAAAAAAAAACAGAGTTTTTTAAATGTGCACAGACACAAATCACAGTCAAAAGTTTGAAGAAAAATTCTAAAAAAAGAACACAATCGTTTGATGGATATGGTTATTATATTTTGTGAGTTTTTTTTTTTTTTTTAAAAAAAGCAAAAGAATAAAACAGGAAGAAAAAATATCAATGGAATTTTTTTTAAAAAAAAAATGACCCCATATCAGACTTGATGCGTAGATTTCTGTCAATCATGTAGGATCAATTGTGTAACATTAAAACGAAAGATGTTTATCTTGTCATCTCCGATCATTATATATATATTAAAAGAAAGATCGACCAAATAGAAAGTGAGATCAAAAAAAAAAAAAAAAAATAAAAAAAAAAAAACAAGATTTAAGGACGGCTTGCGTGGAGAGTGGAGTGGGAAGATTATCAAGACTTTAATTGAATGAGAGTTTTTGTACATATGTTTCAACAACAAGAAATAATAAGTTGAAGATGAAGATGAAGATGAAGAAGATGAAGAAGGAGAAGAAAATAAGATTGGCCAATTGAAGGGTAGTTTACGGAAAATGAAAGGAAAAAGAATCTGAAATTATAAAAAAAAAAAAAAAACAAGAATCAAATAACCTATTTTGGATTGACGTATTTTTTTTTTTTTTTTTTTTTTTTTTTCAAAGAATGGAAAGGAGAAGACATTAAGATGAGTTTTGAAATCAGGGCAAAACTTTTTTCTGTTTTTTTGTACCTGAAATTAACAAAGTAGAAAACGATATCAATCAATGGATACTTTTAGAACGAAGAAAAAAAAATAAAAAAAGCATACGTTTGTTTGTATTAATGAATGATCATTAAAGAGACGATGAAGTTAAGTTGATATTTGAAAGATGATTGATATTTTCAAAATAAAATTTGTTAGAAAAAAAAAAACTTAAGGTAGTCAAACTTTGTCAACTATGCTGTTCCTTACTTTAGGTTGAGATTGAGTTTTTGGGGAGTTTTTTTTTTATGGAATTTACCAAAGGCTTTTTTTTTTTTTTTTTTTTCAGATTAAATTAAATAAATAAAATAAAAAAATAAATATGGAGAAGAAAAGGAAAAAAAAGAAATTATTAATTAATTATAATTTATTTAAAAATCTCTTTTTTTTTTTTTGAGTAAGATGATGATACTTTTTTGTTTTATATAGAATATTTTTAAAAAAAAAGAAAAAAAAACGAATTAATATGAGCATTAAAATTGATAGGACTTAGAACTTGGTACCATGTTTTTTTTTTTTAACATTGTCACTGACGTCATTAGGAAACAATGCATATATTGTGGAGAATAAAACAAAAAAAAAAAAAAACAAAAAGAAAAAACTAGCAAACAGAAAGGACAAAAAGACTTTGAGAAACAAAAAAAAAATTGAATAAAATTTGAGCAAGCAGAGTTGTTTAAAAAAAATTTTTTTTTTTTTGATCAAAAGTCATTAATGTTATTAAAATTTATATATATAAATATATATAAATAAAAAACCGTTGTCTTTATATGCTTTAAACAAGGAGCAAAGGAGTATTTATATATTTATATATTTATATATTTATATATTTATATATATATATGGGTTAGTCTATATGCGGGTCATTCTGAATAGTGTTGATGGTGGAGACTAAAAGGAATGTAGGAGTTGTTCAACCACCGAGCATAAAAAAAAAACACGAGAGAGAAAGAGAGTCTTTTTTTTTTTTTTGAACAACCAAACAAACAAAAACACAAACAAACAAACAAGATCTTGATTTAATTTAAAGTAGATTTAGTATGTTTGATTTGAATCACATGAATAGAAACATACAAACTTAAATGATGATAGGAATGGGGAAATAACAAAAAAAAAAACGAGGAAAAAGTAGTTTAAAGGGTAAAACGGGAGTGAGCCTTTTTTATTTTTTTATTTTTTATTTTTTAACTTGAGATGGTTATATACAAAAGACAGATTTCAATGGGGATTTTTTTTTTATTAAAGAGCCATAGTTTGATCAAGATGAAATCTTTCATTTATTTTGAATTGAATAAATAAATAGATTCAACCCTTTTTTTATTTTTTTTATTTTATTATTATTATTATTATTATTATTATTATTATTATTATCATTTATCTATCTATCTATCTATCTATCTAACTATCTATCTATCTATTGAATAAGCTCTTTTAACATTAAAAATGATCTTTGATTCAGCCCATTTTCTTAACAACCCTCACAATCCATCATTACCTTAAAAAGGATTTTAAAGTTTTAAAGTTCATAAAAGTTTCTTTAAAACATTTTTGTACAAAAAAAAAAAATTCGATCCTTAGCAATAATCATTTTTGCTTATAAAGGTCTAAAGGACAATATACAATTAAGTCTTAAGGGGATTTAAAAATAAAAGAAAAAAAAAACATCTATTGCAATGTGTTGTTAGATGTAGATTTTATTTTATTTTATTTTTTTTCAATCTCATTTAAATCATCATCAAGAAAATAAACAACAATAAAATAAAAAAAAAAGGTTTCCTTCATTATGAATGATGGATTGTCGATCATTTGAACATTTTCCGTGAAAAAGGAGAGAATCAAAAAAAAAAAAAAATAAAGAATAGAGCGCGACAGTTATAATAAACACGTAAAAAACAAAAAATAAAAGGTTCAAATTTATATAAAAAGCTTTTAAAGATCAATCCATTTGGGTTGGTGAAACAGGGCGTGTTCAAGACATTTTCCAAAAATGCAAAAAGTATAACATAAAGAGAGAGAGAAAAAAAAAAAAAAAAAAAAAAAAAAAAAAAAAACTTTCTTTAATTTTTGGCTTTAGGACGTTGGAATTTATTTATTTTATTTCATTTGATTTGCACAATAAATATATAAATCATCAACAGAATAGATTCATCAATCAATTATCCACTACTTTCCATAGAAACTTTTGAATATATATCTAATAGAGGAAAAAAAAAAAGAGTTTGACAAATGGTGAAAATAAACAGAAACAGAAGAGAATTGAATTCAACATTGTTTATATATATATATATATATATATAGAATGAAATAATCAACTAAGAATCAGTCTTAGAGAAAAAAAAAAAGAGTATTTTCCACAAAATGGCCGTTTTATTTTTAGGACCTATATATATATATATCGATATTAATGAACATTTTATTGCAGATGTAGTGCCTTAAATGTATCTGTTTGTACTTTGTAGAGTAAAAAAATTTTTTTTTTTTTGTAAGTTGATTGAAGATTTGTTTAAAAAAAAAAACGCAGTAAAAAATAATAATAATAATAATTATGTCCGTCCAGTCTATAGATGAAATCTATTTTTGTCCACACATATATATATAAACCTGTTTCGCTCATTTTTTTTTTTTTTTAATTTATATAATAAAAATAATTTTTATCCTCACCCCCCCCTTTCTTCATTCCTTTTGTCTTTCAAAAACTTACGTTTTTTTTTTTTTTTTTATAAATACAAGAATTTTAAATTCAAAAACAAAAAAATACAAACCCTCTTTTCATTCTTTGTGCTGCTGACAACCTCTTAACGATGATTGTCCAGCGGCTCGACTGTGTAGGCGCTGCAATCCGCCTAGTCATGAATGAAGATGAAGATGAAGACAAATGGTGCTACAACACAACAACCATCAACAAGACAGCAGCAGATCCTTCAGTATCATCACCTTCTCCAACCATTTCTCTTGCATCTTCATCTCAACTTTCTTCACCCATTCTTTCAGAAAGTTCTTTCCATACATCCTTTGAAGTTTCTACTATCCCTTCACATCAATCACATCCAGACGAATTCCTCGATATTTTCAGTGGAGACAGTGACAGCGACAATGACAGTCACATCCATGCAAGTAGCAGCTACCGTTCCATCAGTCGTAGTAGGACTTTTGACAGTCGCAACTTTGCAGACTTAAAAAACGACAGCAGAACAATCAATAATGATGATGACAATGACAATAACATCGAACAAGAAGAAGATGATGATGATGACGACGATGTGGATTTTTACAGCATTCAGCTTAGCTCCAGCAGTTGGAGCAATAGCAGACGAAGTAGCATGTCCGGATCTGGAATCTTCCCTAGACACTATGGAAGTACCACAGGAAGCACTTGTACTTTGGCAACCGGCATCATCTCTACAACAAACATTTCCACTTCAAGTTCCAATGTTCTCGCCAGTAATAGTACCAGTGCGTTGAACTTCATTTCTACCTCTGTGACCCCATTGCCAGCCGTTGTCGCACGTACAGGATCTCTCCCCCGCCGTATTGGAAACTCGCTGACTTTTGCACGTAGTCTGTTTCGCCCAGCCTCCGCCGTTGTAGTTTCCGAAGAGGACGAAGAGCTTTTTTCTCTTAAATCTACACTTCCACGGTCTAACAGCGACACTTTGACGGTTCCAGAAACCAGCCAGCCAGGCTCAAAATCTCCCGAGTCACACCCACACCCACACCCACACTCCTCAGCATCATCCGCTTCTTCAACTACTCGAAGATCGTCTGTAAGCTCCTCCAATAATACGTCTCCGCTTTCGTCGTCCATATCGACTTTTAGCTCGGTGGACGCGCCGTTGACTGTCACTAAATACCATAATCACGCGGCCACCACTACTACCACCAACACACATGGGGGGGCTGTGTCTTCACTAGCCCTGCAAAAGAAGCCGCAGCGGCAAAAATCTTCGTCATCATTCACGTCTTCTATTTTTACAGGCGTAACATCTTTACAGCAGATCTCCGCGGATGGAACCCCGGACACCGATGCCAGCTCTTTCCACACTGCAAATGGGTCTTTGTCTGATGTTGCAAATGTGCACGAAATTCCAGGCTCATCAGGTGGTGGTGGTGGTGGTGGTAATGGTCTGCGAGCGGGGATTTCAGTGGTGATGGGAACAATGGCGGTGACAGGAGGGGTGGTGGGTCTTGTGCCCACAGCAACACAGCAGCCCCTGGATAAAAACACCGCTATTGCAACAAAAACAAAAACATCACCATCAGAATCTCCACTGGCGCAGGCGCCTACAAAATGCAACAACAACAAACCATCATCATCATCATCATCATCCTCTTCCAACCCTACTCCAAATTCAACCTCTACCAGTTCCACTCGTGTGTACCGAGCACCGCCATCGCCCTCTCCCTCTCCGGAACCTTCGATATTACACTCAAATGAATCTGAATCATCGTCTCCAATATTGGAGTCACTAGGATCTGACCTTTTGAGCGACGACTTTGCCGCTACCTCACTTATTCTTCCACCATCACCACCAATCTCAAAGGGTAAGGCCGATCTATCCAAAACTCCACAGGTCACTGTCACTGCTACATCACCGCCGCAGTCATTTACACTGATAACTGGAAGTACTCAAACAGAGAATGTTTCTTTATCTGAGGACCCTAAACTGCCAGCTGTTTCTGTTTCTGTTGCTGACACACTGGCCGTCGCAGACTCTATTCAAACATCAAATGTCGTCAAGCGTCGACATAATGCCAACACACGTTCCATATCTAGTCTAGGGTCTTTTGAAATCGCCGACTTTGGGGACTATAAAACCAACAAGAAATCCTCCTCTGGATCCGATGGCATCACTTTATCTCCACTAACCGCAACTTCGCCTACTCCTCTTCGCCGAAGACAAGATCGGCCTTCCCACAGACTCTCATTCTCAGGAATCTCGTTACTTTCACCAGCTGAATCCCCTCTCCTGGCTTTTGACCAAACTTCCCAAGCATCTTCTCGTAACTCGGTTCACACTAAGCGTTCCAACATGAATAAGGTTGAACACCGCCTAATGGCTTCCCGTAGCATGTACAACCTTGCTACACCAAATGTCGCAGACATTACCCCAGTCACTGATCTTTCTGGCTATTACGCAACTGCAAATGCACCAGCAACATCCTCTTCAACTTCTTCAACCTCTTCAAATTCTAACAACACAGCTTCTTCTGCCGTCCGTCACATCAGAGCATTTTCCAAGTCATTTTTGCACAAGTACTCAAGCTCTGATTCAAAAGTGCGTGCTCTTGAAGAACATAGCATTCCATACTCCACCATCCCTGAGGGCTCTGTTCCTCCTTCTACACAACCACCTTCTTCAACCATTACAGAAACAAATCATATGGTTGGTCTTGGTCTTGATCTGAGTTCAAAACTAGGTCAGCCACTGCGACAAACATATGCACATTCGCGGGATGTCTCGGCACCACTCCCTGGACGCATGTCTCTGGACGGGTCTCACCACCACAGCCACACTGCTTCTGCCTCTTCTCACATTATATATTCCTCATCAATGTCCATTCTGCCAGTAACCTCTCCTTCAACTTCTCTCGTGGCTTCAGAAATGACACAACAATCTCAGCAACTACAACAACAGCATCTATTGAGTGACACTCGTGAAGATTCTTTTAAAAAGACACTCAAGTCGCCCATCTCTCGTTTATTTAAACGTCGCGCCGCATCCACGCCCGAGTCCAAAACACTTAACAAACAAATAAGCATGTCGGGGCTTCTACAGCAACAGCCGCGCCCGGCTACTTCTTCCTTTTCTTCTTGTGGGAATGACCCCTCGCGGAACGGAAGTTTAATGCGCAAACCTGTACACAAAAACAGTTTGCCCACCATTCCCCTATCCAGTGTGCGTGGCGACATTTCCGTCAATTGGGAACAGGACCCCTTGCTGGAGCAATATTTCGACTCAGAGTCTTTAGCAGACAACGCCAAAGCGCCATTCATCCCACCCAAACGTGGGAACAGGCAGCGAGATATTGACGAGCATCGACGGCGAATCCAACAGGAGGCTGAACGGGAAAAGGAGGAGCGGGAAAAAAACCGCAAAGCTTGGTTCCAACAAAAAACAGAACAGACTACAAGCAACGAGGAGCTGGAGAAAGACAGAGCAGAAAAGCTTCTTTCAGAAAAAAGAAAGCTAGAAGATGATGTCCGTGGATTAAGAAAGGAAATTGAAGGTCTGAAAAGGGCTATCCAAAAGGAAATCCAACAGGAAGAAGAAGCTGAACGCAAGCGCAAGCAAAATGGGTTTAAGCGGTTTGCTGAAACCCTCATCATTCCTGAGCCCTTTGATTCTAGACCTTCCACAGCTTCTTCTGGTTCAGTATATTCTTCTTCTGTCAAATCTCTTTCCAGCAAATCTAATGCAAAAACTACCAATGACCCAGAGCCGCGGCCAGAGTCCTCATCGTTGTCTGTGATTAGACGAGAGGCTCTCGAACGCACTCTAACAGAAAAGTTATCAGTGTTTGAAATTACTCAGAAAAAATCGCACGAGGTGGGTATTCTCTTGAGTAGGGCATACAAAAAACGTCGTGATGTTGGGTCCAGCGGTGCTGAGTTTTGGATTCACAGTGTGAGTGCATGAAACAAAAAAAAAAAAACACAAAGAACTATATATAATCGTACAAACATCATTTATTTGTATTTTAAAGAAGAAAAAAAAAATATAAATTTATTTTTTTGGGGTTTAATCAATTTCATTCAATTTTTTTTAAAAGTCTCAGAAATAACCAGTTCAGATAATTTCAAGACTTTATTTTACTTTGTGAAATTGCTTTTTTTTTCTCACTGTTACATTAATTTACAAACACATTCATAATCAAATGTAGAACAAAACATTTCCCGAATCTACCCAAAATCATCAAGTTTTACAAACTTCTAAAGGGGGCTTTTAGTGATCAATTAGAGGCTTCCCCCCCTATTATTCTAAAATATGTCAATACAAACAACATTTCATGAAAAGAGTTTATCACATTTAACTACATGAATTTCGTTCCTATTACAAACAAAAAAAAAAGAAGAAGAAATCTAATGAAAACCTCGAGATCGCCCTTCTTGCATTAAATTCTATATAAAAGACAGACAACAAAAAAAAAATCACAAAAATTTAGTATTTATTTTTAGTCTTTTGTACCTGCACACATTGGCTTAGCCAAGGATTAAGCTTTAAGAAATAAGCTCAGTTTCAATATTATCAACAAAGAATTGGTTTTAATGAAATGGGTTTAAAAAGAAAAAAAATTAGGTCGTACCCGGGATCGAACCGGGGTTACCGGAATCAAAATCCGATGTGCTCACCACTACACTATACAACCCTTGACATTCAAGTCAAAAAGATCAATAAATAGGCTGTGAACTAAAAAACATAAAAACTCAATAGTTTTGGGCTGAAATTGAAATGTTGAAGGCAAAATTAAAAATTTATTATGAAAATGAAAAGATATATAGTATGGACAAGAAGGATAGCGCAGATGCTGATGTTATATAATTCTATAACCCTTGAATAAAAACAAACAAACAAACAAACAAGGGCTTAAATTGAGTTTTCTTTTTTGTCATATTTATAAAAATCAATTAAATAATTTATTAAAAAATTAATCTTAATCTTAATTTTAATTTTTAAAAATATAAAAAAATGTTGTTTTTATTCTTATTATTCTAAAAAATAACAATAATAATTCATATTTTTTTTTTTTTTTTGACAACTAACCTTAGAGTACAAAATTCATTAAAGATTAAAAAAAAAATCAGATTCATAAAGAAAAAAAAAACTAATAATTATTCCAAAAACTTTCATTTTTTTTTATTTTTTTTAATTTATGTGTTATGATTTTTAATTAAACATTTCATTTTGATTAAATTGCTATCCTTTATATACTCCTCTTGATACTGGCTATATTTATATTTTTTTTTCATTTATATTTTTCTCTCTTTTTCTCTCTTTTTTTTTTTTTTTTTTTTCACAAGATTAGTTTATACCAATAACCAATGAGCTCATTTTCTTCATTATCTCCAGAAATACACTGGTGCATAGCAGAATTTTTAACTCCTGGAGAATGTCAAAATGTTAGTCAACTCTGCACTCGGACCCAAGAAGTATATAGGCGAAATTCTTTCAAACGTCTTTCTGTTTCTATCAACAACTTACCAAATACAAACCTTGATTCGAAAAAACAATATAGAGAAATTCCATTGGAAATATTGCTTAATCCTCAAAATTACGAGTGGTTCCGGCCTTCTTTTGTTAAAGAAGTTATGATTGGACTTTACAATTTTATTGAAAAAAGACACACACAATTCCGAACATTACAAAATAAAGAAGCTGCTATCTACTGTTGTTTAAAAAAAATATCTATTGAGCCATACCGGTTTTCATGTGCGCATATATTGAGGATAATCGATTCAAAACTTTATGATAGGCTTTTGTTTTTAATTTCCCCCAACACTCGATTTTATATCAACTCTTTAGTTGAAATGTCCTTTTACGATACCTCCATCAGCAACTGGGAAGTTCAAAGATTTAGTATACAAAGACTTAAAATCATTGATATTTCTCCCCATTCTAGAATTAACCATCAACTTTTCCAAAACACAAAACATTTGTCTCTTGGAAACATTTTTTCAGCTCCATTTTATAAAATCCTTTTCAATTCTTGGACACAGAAACATTGGAAAAACCTTAAAATAATAGAGATCAAGCACCATTTTTCTTACAATCCTGTTTCTCCCAATCAATGGAACATTGAAAACTCGTTTTTCTCTTTAACCGAGGCCCATTTCCCTCCTGTCGAGTCCCTTTCACTCCACTTGTTTATTCGTCATGTCGATAACGTTTTTAGCCAGTTACCAAACATGCGACGCACAACAGGTTTTACCATCCCCAATGTTACAGAAATGTTTATTTCCAACACTGATCTTGATGAGTTCCAAGATCTAATGAGTTCATTTAACTTCCCAGACTTGCAATATACCCACTTAGGCATGGAAAAGCTGTCTCATACACGGACGGCACAAAATAATTTCTTGAATAATGTTAAGTCTTTAGAAATTAACTTTAGAGCAATCAATCAAGTTTTACAAGGTACTTCTCCTAAGGCTTTTACAAACCTACCAAACGTTATCCGTTTATCTATCAATATGCCTGAAATCCAAGTTCCAGAAAAAAATTCCTATTATGAGTACATGAGAAAACTTTCAGCTTTTTATTATATTAAGCAAGAAAAAATCTTCAATCATGAGTTCCTTGGGGAAGTAGCAAACACAGTTTTTAGCAACAGCGATGAAGCAGGTATCAATAAGTTAATTGAAAGCATAATTAATCCATTCCAAGATTCGTTTATTGATTCGTCAAGCAAATCCTTAAATCAACTTTGTTTCTTGGAATCTTTTTTTTATTTGATTGGAGAAAACTTGACCCATGTTGAGCATATTTTCATAATATGCCATTCTTACCGATTCTTCCCCTCTGTTCATTTTGAACACTCTATAAACCGCTTGAAATTTTTGAAGCAAGTTCTTGTATACATGGAAGATAATCAGATATCGCTGCAGAATAATGGAATTATTTCAAACGCCATTTCGTTTTATCCGTATCAACAGGAGTCCTTTTTCAACGCCGCAATAGACGGGGGTGCTAAAACAAGATATATTTCTTTGATTGATGTTGGTAGTAAGCAAAAATATGTCTTTGACTCAAGCGATTATCTTCTATTGCTGTACCAAAACAATGACATTAGTAAAGCTAGTTTCAATGGTTGGTATTAAAAAAGAAAAAAAAAAAAAGAGCGAATCTTTCTTAAAACAGCAGTCAATCACATAATTGAACAATTTTTTTTGATAAGTCACATGACATCTGATTATCTCCAATCGTGAAGTTTACACGAAATATATCATTAAGGGGCATTGATGTAAGCATTATGGTCATTGATCTGTGCTATCGATAGTGACTTTGGTGGCCAGTAAATTATTTTGGCCCAAGCCAGACCACAGCAAGTTCTGGTTGGTAACAGCGGGATATGCCGAGTATGTGCACTACTCCACACATCTCAACACTACTACACTATTAGGTTCTTGTGTGCGAGACCAAAAGAAATTACAAGATACACATAGTTTTCCTACGGGGAGAAGTCACAAGAAGCAACATAGATGTCTATTCAGCCGGCTTATTTACTATCACTTTGGAGTTAAACTGAGTGGGGAAAATATATTTGTAATGTAACAAATATATAATAAAAAAAAAAAAAGAAATCTGTCATTTTTCTTTCTTACACTTTACCCTTTACCCTTTATCTTATATATATACCTATTTAAAACGTTGTATAAATTTAATAGTAATTCAGCAATATTTCTTCTTTTTTTACTTGTAAGGGGGTTAATTTAAAAGATGGTTTTATCATTTATCGACCTTCCGAATGACATTCATTTTTCAATTGGAGAGTACTTAACACAAAAAGAACAACTTGATATCAGTCAAACATGCCAAACGGTTCAACCTGTTTATCGGCGCCTTTCGCAAAAACATGCACAAACCTATTTTGATTCAAATCATTATCCAACCAATGTCAGAATTTCAATGAATGTTTTAACCAACCCTGAAAAATATAGTTGGTTTATACCTACCTATGTCCGGCAGTTATCTCTTCAAGCACGTGATTTTTGGGAGGGCCAAAGGAATCAACCTTTACTTGATATCACAAAATACCCCTGTTTAAATCGGATAACAATTGTTAGAGGTCACTTTGATATAACGATTGATGATATTCCTGTAATAATCCATTCAAATTTATACAAGTCGTTTTTTACCTTGCCTAATGTAAAACTTAAAATTAACCTGAAGACACGATTTAACAATCTTTTAGACTTGGAACGTTTGTGTGGTGATGAAGTTAAAAACTTTCTATTTCAATATGTTCGCACAAATCCCATTGGGCTTCTTGCAGTTAAAAAACACGACATTTTTAATAGTATAAAGACATTATCTTTAATATCAAGGCTTTACGAGCCTCCGTTTAATTTTAAAACAGTTTTCAATAAGGATACCTTAAAACAATGGTCGAATCTTAAATCAATCAATGTGGAAGGGATTCTTTGGTTTCGTGACACTCAGATGAATACTTTTTATGTCGAAAAGTCGTTTCTTTCGATTTCAGAGGCTGTTTTCCCCAAGAATGTGAAAATTACAGTTAGCTTACGAGTAGAGAATATCAGGAACCGAAACAATAATTCAGACAATGGACTTTCAGCTGCAAACTTTATACGGAAAGTGTACAACATTCATAAAATTGAATTTGCTGTTGTATCATGGAGTTTGTTTTGTGATTTATTTTCAGTTTTTAATTTCCCGGATTTGACAAACTATAATTTGTCTATCACAAATACACTTGAAAGCAAATTATTTTCGTCAGAAGAAACATTAAAATCTGTAACATATTTGAATCTTTTGTTTAAAAATAATACAAACCATTATTTTATGACTCAATTCAGAACGTTTTTTTCATCTTTTAAATACTTGAGCAATTTAAAGCGCATGCAAATTTTACTACCAGAATCTTTTAATGACACCATCGAGATTTGTCGCCCCTTTACGGTTGAAACATGTCGTACTTATCTTAGTTCTCCAGAATCAATTGATAATCCAAGTGTGCTACTTGAGTTAGCTAAGGAGGTTATTTCCCGAAACCGGCTCAAGCCAAGATATGGTTCATATGCTGTTAATAAGAGGGACCATTTTAACATGTTTGAGAACGACGTTTTGTTTCTAAAGTTTTACCGTACAATGAATATGATTTACTCTTCTTGGGACAGTATATCGTGCGACACCTTGGTGATTAAAGAGCTTATAGGGTCTATAATTGATCCAAATAAAACGATAGAAAACCTGTCAACAGAAGATATGATTGAGAACTTTATTGAGTACTGTTTTAGCGAAGCCTTGTTTTTCAACATTAAAAAAGAGCTCACAAAATTGGAATATTTGAAGGTGAAAGTTTCTATGAGTGGTATATTTTCTTTTCAGTTGTTCCGTATGTTGTGTGAGGAATCCTCTTTGAAGCAAGTTTTCTTGAATCTTACAGAACGTGAAAATCCCTTAACCGATTTTTTTATGCAACTTCCTCACTGTCTTAAGCTTAGGGATACTAGTGATTATTTTCTATTTGACCTAGCATTACGACGACAATTTCATAGATTGCCTCCTTATGAATCAAATAGATATGCTCGGGATGTATATATGTACTATTCAACGGATGGTTTTTCCGATTTCGAGTTTAATGGTTGGATTTAATGAATGTTGTTGTATATTAGTTTATATTTATTTTTATATTTATATTTAAATCAAACGATAGAGTTGATGATTGTTTATATTTCAACCCAAAATTGTATGATTATTTGTATAGCCGTGCATTGTCGTATAGCTCGTGTTAAGAATGCTTAGCAGCCGTGTATACACAGCCGTGTTGATCGTATATATCGTATTGGGTTCACGAACCAAGTTTTTTTATAGTACCAGCCGTGCATTGTTTTGGGCCTTTTTTAGGTACACCCCCCCCTTTTTTTGTGTGTAAATGTGAAAGACGAAGGCCTCCTTTGTGGGTAATTTTTTTTTTTTTATTTTACCTTTTTTGGAAATGGTGGAACGGCTTTAGTTGAGATTTGCTGGCCACAGCGTCACATCAAATTTCAAATCAAGCCATTAGCCCAACAACAATAACAAAATTCACCTACACGCCACTTTTCAATTTTATAATAATAAAAATAATAATAAAAATAATAATAAAAATAATAATAAAAATAATAATAAAAATAATAATAATAATAAGGGGGAGGAATATGATGATTCGATTTTTTTTTTTTTTTTTTGACTAATTGAATAATTGATTGATTGAAAAAAAAAAAAAAAAAAATATTTATATAAATATCTGAGAAAATCTTCATTTTAGATCTTGAAAAAAAAAAAAAAAATTGTTTTTAAAAAAATTATTCTATTTTTATTTTTATTTTTTAATTTTGGGCTATTAAATTTTTCATCTTTTAAAAAATATAACTTTATTTTTATTTTATTTTATTTTAATTTTTTTTTTAATAATAATTGTTGTTGTTTTGGTTGGTGTATTTTTATTTTTATTTTTTATTTTTACTTCACATAATATAAATTCCTCTACATCTGTCCCAAACTTTTTCTTTTTTTTTTTTTTTTTTTTTTTTTAAATTTAGTTATTGACTATATCTATATATCTTTTTTTTTTTTTTTGTCTTATCAGAAATCTCATATACCCCAAATCCATCTAAATCAAACCATTAAACCATCATGGGCTTACTTCGCTCTATAGATTTCTCAGTCATCACAGATGCTCTGGCACCAACTTTTGCCTTTCTGGTGGCCCTGCCACTGATAGCCCTCATCCCTCTCATTTTCTTTACTTTCCTGACACTCGCGGTCGTCATCAATGTCCTTTCACAGGTCCTTTTCCGCAACCCCCATAGAGCCCCCGTTGTCTTCCATTTCTTCCCATGGATCGGCTCTGCTGTTGTCTACGGCATGCAACCTTACGACTTCTTTGAAGCCAACCGCAAAAAGTATGGCGATGTTTTCGCATTTGTCATGTGTGGCCGTGTCATGACTGTTTACCTTGGACCTAAGGGCCATGAATTTGTCTTCAACTCTAAGCTTCAAGATGTTTCTGCTGAAGAAGCATACTCCCACTTGACTACCCCAGTCTTTGGAAAGGGCGTTGTCTATGACTGTCCTAACCATAGACTCATGGAACAAAAGAAATTTGCCAAATCTGCTCTCACAAAGGAAGCTTTCCGCTCTTATGTCCCCATCATTGTTGAAGAGGTTCAAAATTATCTCAAAACTTCACCTTATTACTACGATAATGATCCTAAAAAGGAAACCGGTGTTGCCGATGTTCTTAAAGGCCAATCTCAAATCACCATCTTTACTGCTTCTCGCACTCTTTTGGGCCAAGAAGTCCGAAACAAGCTGAATACTGACTTTGCTGATCTCTATGCTGACCTTGACAAGGGGTTCACTCCTATCAATTTTGTTTTCCCCAATCTGCCCCTTCCTCACTACAAGCGTCGTGATAATGCCCAACGAATCATTTCTAGAACTTATATGGATGTCATTGAAAAGCGTCGCAAAGAAGACCATGTTGATTCTTCCGAGGATCTTGTCGGAGCTCTCATGGCTAATGCCGTTTACAGAGATGGCGTTCGCATGACTGACCAGGAAATTGCAAACTTGCTTATTGGTATTTTGATGGGCGGCCAGCACACTTCGGCTGCCACATCTTCTTGGTACCTTTTGCACCTTGGCCAACGCCCTGATCTTGTTGAAGAACTTTACCAGGAACAGGTCCGTGTTTGTGGTATTGATCCCATCACCAAAGAACTTAACCCACTTACTTATGATCATCTTCAAGAAATGCCTCTTCTTAACAATACCATCAAGGAAACCCTTCGTCTGCACTCCCCCCTGCATTCTATTTTCCGCAAGGTCATGAACCCTCTCCCTGTCCCTGAAACAAAGTATGTTGTCCCCCGTGGCCATTACGTCCTCGTTGCTCCTGGTTATACCATGATGAATGAAAAGTACTTTAAACACTCAGATCACTTTGAGCCCAAGAGATGGGAAGACTCAACCATTGAAAAGGAAGCTGCTGCTGCTGCTGCAACTGCTGACAGTGTCGACTACGGGTTTGGAGCTGTTTCCAAAGGTGTATCATCCCCATACCTCCCCTTTGGTGGTGGCCGCCACCGTTGCATTGGCGAGCAATTCGCATATGTCCAGCTCGGAACCATTTTGGCTTGCTTCGTTCGTGAGTTTAAGTGGGCTCTTATTGACAAGCTCCCCGAGGTTGACTATGAGAGTATGATTACCGTCCCCAAGGGTCCCTCAGATAAAATAAAGTGGATCAAGCGTAATTACTAAGTATATATATATCCAGGGAAAAAAAAAAAAAAAAAAATTATATAGCTACAGGCCCTATTTAAGCAATACCATAGACTCTTCTTGCAATAAAAAATGAAATGCAACCAAACAAAAATAAAGTGCCAGTGATTGACCAGAACCACGTCAAACTCTCAACATTTTGACCAGGCACAATAACGTTCATACCCCAAAGACCAGTCACAATATTCATTGGAAGCACAATGGTACCAAGAACTGTAATCTTTGAAAGAACATCGTTCATATCATTGTTGACCCGAGTCATATCAATGTTAATCTGTGCAAGATAATTGGAATGCGAACGTGCAAGCAGTTTTTCATAATGGTTAAGTGACTGCACCATGGTCACAATATGATCTTGAATATCGCCCAAATACAATCCAATCTCGTACCGTGGCGCTACTTCCCACTGTTCATTACACCGCTTGCTAAAGCCCTTGATAACATCGGCTTTAGATCCAAGAAGTCTTAAAACTGACATGATACGCTTACGACACTCACCAATGCGTCTCAACATGTCTCCCTTCTCTTTCCACCGACCTGAAGCAGTCGAAGACCAACTGCTTGATGACATGAACGAGGACCCTGATGATGAAGTCCCAGCCCGGCTCGACTTGCGAGAAACACGAGAAGATTTGCGCGACTTGCGTGAACGGTAAGATTGAGCACCAGTTGACTGTGAGGAACTCACAGAGTCTGCATAATATGACTTGTTGCGCCCAAGAAGTGCACGCCGCGAACCAGCGTCATCATCATAATCATCATCCTCGTCATCAACCATAATATGTTGTTGCGGTGGATGGCTCCGTAGAGCTCCAGGGATGCTTTCGTATGCCTCCTCGTGGGGGGCCTTTGTTGAAGGATTTCCAGTACTAGTACTAGCACTGGCACCAATGCCGTGACGGGAAACTCCTTGAAGGTATCCTGGAACTGACCCCGGCGTTTGACCAGTGTAGTCATTAACTGGGTCTTCAGGATCGTAAGCAGATCGGTGAAACACAAATTCCCGGGAACCTTCCTGCGTACCTAAAATACCACCATTGGGACCTTCTACTGTAGAACCACGATAATTCCGCTCATTAAGCTTTGCACGCAAGATTCTTTGGAATGAAGACTGTGAATCCTTGTCTCTGGAATGATGGTGGCTTGATGGTGCCTGTGACCTGGAGCTGGGTTCGCCGTGAAGCCTATGGCTAGGTTCTTCACCTCCACTAAAATGGCCTTCCAAGTCACCACCCTCTTCATCTGACAAAATACTAGCGCGCTCTTCAGCAATCATCTCAGCTGTAAAACGTTCAACTGCACGTTTACGCCGCTGCTTTTCGCTCCGACGTGCCGCCCGCTCAGCCTCAGAATCAGAAGTGTCCTGATAGTTACTTTTTTCCGAGCAGCTGCTATCATAGCCACGGCCATGTCCATCATCGCTATCGCTTCCACTACTACTATCATCACTCCATTCTGTATGCATTGACAAAATCTCATCTTCAATGTGATTGACTTCATCTTCAATAGCCTCAATCATTGGTGCAAACCCATCAGTAATGTCATCGATAAGTGCATAGGAAATCCAATCGGATGACAGCGTAATATAGTCACGCAACAAACGGATACGACGGCGCACATTCATAGGGTGAGGGGTAGGTGCAAAGTGGAATGTCAAAACACCCTCATGGAAAACAATAATGTACATATTGAGAGGTGTAAGTTCCGATTCTTTGCTGCGCGACTTGTGGCGACTGGCACCATGATGTTTAAGATGCTTTTGCTGGCGATGATGGTGTGTGCGATGACGTCGAGATCCATTAATCATATCTTTATTGGTGGCTAAAGAAGAAACTGACCGCTTGCGACCAACAGTGGGACCACTATTGTCAATACCAGCCATACCTGTGGTAGAGCGCTCTTCAGAGCTGCGCGAAGCTTTGGTGCGCTTGCTACGTTCATCATTGATGTCAAAAGAACGGAAACACACAAGGTAATAATTGCGGAAAAGTTCAACTTTTTCGCGTGGTTCATTAAGAAAAATATCTTCAGTAGTCAGTGGGTGTATACCAAACGCCTTGGAAAGCACCTTCATTTCATCTTCTGTGGGGTTCATCACATCGAGCCAAAAGGGTGACGGATCGAATTGTTGTTGGATGAGTTGCTGCTGAGCTTGCTGTACATTATTATGAGACATGGAGTTTGCCATTGCTGCAGCGGCAGCAGCGGCTGCAACAGAAACAGTAGAGCTCACCTGGTGATGAAAGGAGGGATCAACATTTGCAGGAACGTTTTGCGGGATTCTAGGAGAAGGAACGCCGTCAGTTCCAGGACTCATACTTGAAGTTCCGCCAAGAGAAGCAGAATAATAGTGACCAGGAGTCGTTGTAGTTGCCAAAAATGAAGAATTCAAAGGCGATGGTTGAATTGGATGGGTAGCCAGGCCTGCAGGAACCGATGGGGAAGAAACGCGTGAATGGTTACGTTCCATTGCTGCGACATGTCTTGTTGCTGCGTTGGCAGCAGCAGATATCGCAGCATCAACAGCAGCAGGTCCAACTGTACCAACCGGAGTCGAAGCTCCAGCAGCATAAGTTGAAGAATGCTGCGGAGTCATGTGGGCTGCGTCTGGTGTTTGAGGACCTCCAGAAGGAGCTGCCGAGTTTGCATTAGTAGGAACTGGAGAGGGGCTTGAGGAGGTCAAATTAAAAAGATCATCAAACGTTTGGCCATCTTGCAAAAGTCCAGAGATACTAGGAGAATGAATGGTTGCATCCATGTCCTCACGGAAGTATGTGAAACGAAGAGGTGGGCCTTTGTGGTTGTGATGTGGATTGTCAGTAAAATATGGGTCCATGTATTTATTTTTGCCTCGGCGAACTTTATTGGTACCAGCATTTACATCCGAGCGACGGCGGATTCCAGAACTATTAAGCCCCCCAGTGTCTCCTGGCATGGACGAAAAAGTTGCTCCACTATTAAGACTAGCATTGTTGTTTGCATTGGCCCAAGGAACCACACGATAAGGTCTGAATCGAGCTGAAGAAATGTTATCAGTTGGGGCGCCTGAGGTGCTGGCACGCAAAGCAGTGGCATAAGCAGGGTGATTTGTTATCACGGATGGTTCTAAGGGCATCGAGGCTTGCAGAAGCTCAAGTTCTCGGCGTTCATTATTGGCGAAATCCTCCAAATATGACACATCGAAAACCGGACGACCATCAGTCGACGATATTCCACCATTTTGAGCATCGATAGGCAAACAAACATCTTGAAGAGATGAAACCTGAGAGGTACGGCGAGAGATGGGTTCTGATCCAAGGAGATGTTCGTCGTTTACCGAAGAGGTAAAGGATTTGCGACGAAGAATATGAGCCAATGGGTCGTCATTAAAACTACTAGAAACAACAGGCGCTATACTTGGTCCAGCATCACCATCAGCCCTGGACGTAGCAGATAGATCCTCAGTGTTTGGACTGATAGATCGATATGTATTAAACTGCGCGTCTGTCAAAAGTGGGCTGGTGGGACCGGAATAAGGTAGGTCGCTAATGCTGTTTTGCTTGCCTTTGTTGTTATTACGCATAGACAAGAAACTCTCAAAGCCGGCAGAAGAAGGTGGAGAAGAAGTTGAATGATGAACGGCAGGAGAGGTAAACGACTGTCTGCGACGAGATGCACTGGGTCTATTTGCTGTCACTGGATCAGGGGAAGAAATAGAAGTTCGACGAGTCATAAATGGGTGGTTTGGCTTGGTGATGGATTGTTGGGAAGTGGAAGAGTTAAGGGGAAAAGAAGAAATGGCGCCAGCAGAGGAAGTCGACTGGGTAACAGCCGCAGGCGGGGCTGATGTTCCATATTGCATGCCCGATGAAGAATTATTAGTCACTGACGGGAAAGTGGAGACCCGGCCAACCGTCGGGTGGCCTTCGGAGTCATGAATAGCAGATGTATCACTAACTGCACTACCTTTCGGGTCACCAACAGTGCCGATGCTGCCGGAATTAAAGACTGACTTTCCACGCGGCCGGGTACGGGTGGTAGAAGATCCGTTGGAACCCAACAATCTGGCATTGGAACTGGGAAACGTCTCAGTGGAACGGATTCCAGGTCGAGGACGAGCAGTAAAAGTGCTTGCACGTTGGTGTTTACGGTGATCCATTAGGTCCGTTGTTTCGACAGATGAGATAGATGGCGCGCGATGAGTGCGCTGGTTCAAGCCTTCGGGGAAATCCGAATCTGGCTGGATATTATTTCCAGGGCCTGATGTTGAACCAGAGCCAGAGGGTGCAGCAAGCTCAGGATCTGTACCAGCAGAAGAGACATTTGTATTTGGAAGTGAGCTTCTTGGATTAACTCGAATCTTGTTATTAAGGCCGAGGTCATCTTCCTCATCGTCGGCAGCTGCAGAAGAAGATGAGTTGCGAGTTGCAGTACGGAAGAGGTTTGGATCCATAGATAAATGCTTAATAAATGAATATACCTCTCACCAAGTTATCTGAATATCGAATTGTTTTTTTTTTATTGTATTAAAAAATGAGACTGTGATAATGATGGTTAGAAAAAAAGAGGAGAAAGAAAAGAAAGTCGGGCGAAATGAAAAGTTTATTGTTTGTTAAGCAATCAAAGTACGCAGCTGATTCTAGAATTAAAACTTAAATACAATAATATAGGACTTAACATATAAGACATATACTATAGTACATATTTTTATAATTTTTTTTTTTTGTAGCTTAATCTCATGAGATAATTTGCAAACCCCATTGAGTAAAGTAAGTATCCCGAAGATTTAATTTCTTACTTCTTCTTCTTCTTCTTCATCTCTTCCGCAATGAACAACGATACAAAAAATATACAAGGTTCTTCTCGTGTTGAGGATGAAGATGAGCCCGATGAATGGTGAGGATACCTTTTTTTTTTCATAATAAAACAATTGTTTTTGATTTTAACATGGATCTTTAGGGACAAGAGGATCAACAAGACTGGTTGTGCAGGTAAGCTTTAACAATAAGACAATACACTATTCTAATGCAAAATTTAGAGGAAAACCTGGCTTTAACATTATGTCATGCGGACAAAAAAGATTGGCGTCTATGTCTTCCAGAGGTAAGATCTATTTTATTTAATTATTTTTAAAAAAAATTTGCCTAACAAATCTTAAAGATGGAAGCTTTTAAAAAATGCTGGGCAGAACATAACAACAATCAAAGAACATCCACTTTGGATGCTAAAAATTAAATGTACATAATATATTCGTTATAAAAGCAAATAAAAATAAAAATAAAATTAAATAACACCATCGTCGTCGTCTATAATCTTAACGCTTGGAGCCTCTATAACTACATGATTACCATTACCATTTGGATTTTCCGTGTCATCTTCTTCACTAGGTTTGCTCTTTAAATCATTGTCTTTTTTATCAGCCTCGGAATTTGCAGGTTCAACATTTTTTGATTCCTTATCTTTAGTCACTGCTCCGTTTTTCTTTCGTCGCTGCCGCTTCGCACGATTTTTATTTGTTTTAGATTCGTCGCGTTTTTGCATTTCAGCCTTTTTTTGCTCAAAGTCGCGTTGTGATTTTTCTTCTCTCGTTTCTTCTTCAAAAATCTTTAATCGCATATATTCCTTCCGTCGAGCTTGTTTATATACATGAAATTCACCAGACCCAGCACCTGCACTCGAGCTTGGGACATTTGCAACAATCTCAGGCGGTGGTGATACCCCACGTTTACGCGATGGCCGTGAAAGTTCTACTTCGCGCTCAGGATGCTTCAATAGCTCTTGTAACTGCTTTCTCTGTATATCTGAAGCATCAGGGTTGAATCGTTGTTTAATCCATATTTCTTTGTCTAGCTGTGGTTTTTGTTGCTGATCAGGTTTGTCAGTGGCCATGTTGACTTCAGTTGATTATGACAAAAAAAAAAAAATCAAAAACTCTCTCGTTGATTCAGACGGCTTGAGCAAACTTGTATGTTTCAGCGAATATATAAGCATTGCGGACTTCTAGGGCTTTAGAAATGTCACGTGTTGTCACGGGAAATCGACACACGTAGCCTGAAAAAAAACGCGCCAGACGAGTGCCGACAATCAAAAAAAAAAAAAAGAAACAAACAAACAAAAAAATAGAACCTGAGATCCAAATGAAAATTATATTAGAAATAGGAATAAATTATAAAGAATTGAATGTTGTATGTTATCAATCATTATTATTATTATTTTTTTTTTTTTGGTATTTGGGCTAACTGGCTTAAAGTTTTTGGGGGTAATATGTGTAGAAGTTGTGTTAAAAAAAAAAAAAGGCCAGCAGAGTCACCGGCGGTTTCCTCCACCTCCTGGATTTCTGCCACCTCACAGATTTTTTTTCTTTCTGTTTTTTTCTTCATAGAATCACCACCACCATTTTCCATCCCTCCCCACAACCAACCATATTACCATCCCACCCCTTTTTTTTTCTTCATCTTTTTCTTTCTTTCTTCACCTGATTCTACCTGCTCTTAGTTTGCCATGGTTAAGTTGAAAGAAATCCCTAGAACTGCCACGTTTGCGTGGTCTCCACACAGCGCAGACCCACTACTGGCTTCGGGTACGGTGGCCGGTGCTGTCGACGCGGACTTTTCTTCTACAACAAAACTTGAGCTCTGGGACCTGGATCTTCTTGACAGATCCCCAGAGTCTTTTTATCTTAAGCCTAAGGTTTCAATTGACACTGATGCAAGGTAAGTTGCCATTTATTTTTAATCATTATTTTTAAAATATAGAATGACTAACTGTTTAGATTTTTCGACATTGCCTGGGGTGCTGTGTCTTCTGACAAACCAAATGGTATCATTGCTGGTGCGTTGGAAAGCGGCGTTTTGGAGCTATGGGATGCCGATTCTTTAATTCGTGGATCTCAGTAAGTATAAAATGACTTAATTTTTTTTCATAATTGTACTCTCTCTAACTTTTTAAACAGGAGCTCTTTTGCTCGAGAAACTAAACACACTGGTTCCATCAAGTGCCTCCAATTCAATCCTATTCAAAAGCACCTTATTGCTTCTGGTGGTATTGGTGGCGAAATTTTTATTTGGGATATCAACTCCCTTCAGAATGCATTTGCTCCCGGCAAGACTCCTACTCGCAACAGCGATGTCGACACTATTGCTTGGAACAATGGCGTTGCTCACATTTTGGCTTCAGGCTCTTCTGAAGGAACTTCCATTTGGGATTTGAGAAACAGAAGAGAAATCCTCCACCTTAACTACCAGCCCCCCGGCACTTCTTCGCGCAATCTTGTCAGCTCCGTTGCATGGCACCCAGACAATTCCACTTCTCTCATCACAGCTTCTTCAGACGAGCAGTCTCCGGTTATTCTGCTATGGGATCTGCGAAATGCTAATGCTCCCCTCAAAACAATTTCTGGTCATGACAAGGGCGTGCTATCTATTGACTGGTGCAAGCACGATAGCAGCTTGCTCCTGTCCAGTGGCAAAGACAGCAAGACAATTCTTTGGGATACAGAGTCTGGAAACAAGATTGGCGAGTATCCTACTACTTCCAACTGGAACTTTCACGCTAGTTTCAGCCCTACTGATCCCGACATGTTTGCTTCTGCTTCTTTTGACGGCAAGATTAATATTCAGACCATTCAAGATGTCAACTCGGAAAAGCCTACCCAAAAGAAGGCTGAAGGCGACGATTTCTGGAACTCAAACAATTACATTGATGCTCAGCACCCTACTGTTTCTCTTGAGAAGGCCCCCAAGTGGCTTAAGCGTCCTGTTTCTGCCACATTTGGATTTGGAGGAAAGATTGTGTCTGTTAAGCAAATTGATGGCCAGTCTATTGTCACCATTTCTAAATTTTCTGGTGATGAGTCTTTGACTTCTGAGTCTTCCAAGCTTGCTGCTGCTTTGACTTCTAATAATATTCCTGAAATTATTAATGAAAATCTGGAAAACACAAAAGATGGCAACCATTTCGATTGGACCATTCTTGATCTTCTTTCTAAAAAGGATAAGGAACTAATCAAGAAGTATATTAAGAGTGGGGAAGAAGAGGAAGAAGAGCTGGAGGAATCCTCTGAGTCTAAGGAAGCTTCTACCGAAGAGTCTAATGATGATGGTCTTTTTGGAAAGGGCACTACTACAGAGGCTGAATTTTTGAGCACTCTTTCTCTTAATCAGTACACACCTTCTGGTAGCTTTGATATTTTCCGCAGCGATTATTCCAAAACTGACAAGTCAATTACCAAAGCAATTCTTGAGGGTGACTTGGAGAAGGCAGTTGATATTGCTCTTAAGGAGGATCGTCTTGCTGATGCTTTTGCAATTGCTGCTCGTGCACCTGAGACAACTCGTGTTAAAGTCCAAACTGCTTACATTTCTAAGAATGCTGAGAATAAGTCGTATCTTCGTCTTTTGAATGCTATTTCTTCTAAAGATCTTATCGATATTGCACAAAATGCCAATGTTTCTGAGTGGAAGGAGACATTAAATGCTCTTTATTCCAACACAACTGATTCTGAGACTTTTAAGAAGCTTGCTTCGATTCTTGGTGACAGACTTTTAAGTGCTCATGATGCTGGCCGCGATAGTAGTTCTGAGAGTGCTGAGTTTAGAAATAGCGCTGTTTTGTGCTACTTGCTTGCAGAGAATCTTGCTCAAGTTTCCAAGGTTTGGATCAAGGAAATTTTCGACACTGAGCATGCTCTTTTGCACAGCGAAAGCAGCAGTTTGACTCCTTATGCTGCCCATGTTAAAGCTCTGCATTCTTTTATTGAGAAGGTTACTATTTTCCGCAAGACATGCCCTGCTGCTGACAATGTTGGCAATAAGGGTGGTGAAGGCCTTGACAGTCTTTACGACACATACAGAGATTATGCCAACATTGTTGCTACTCAAGGTCAGCTGGGATTGGCTGAGACCTATCTCAATCTTTTGCCTGCACAATATCCTGGTGCTTCTCTTGAGAGAGAGCGTGTTTCCAAGGCCAACAAGCCTTTATCAGGTGGGTCTACTAACTATGGTGCTAAGGTTGGAGGCAATGTACGTGGTAGCATTTCTTCATCCTATGGTTATGGTCTGGTCAAGCCTGCAGTTGCTTCTAATCCCTTTGGTGTTAGTGACTCTACTGCTGGTAGTATTGGTACTGCGGCGGCACCCTTTGCATCTTCGCGTGCTGTGTCTCCATATCAACCTGCAGCTTTGCTGTCTAGTGCTACTGCAACAGCCAGTGCTGGAGCACCGGTTGGATTACAGTTTGCTCCTGGTCAAACCCACACCCAAACAGGTATTTACACACCTACTAATCCCATTATTTCGCCTTACCAGCCACAACAGGCTTCGCAACCATTCCAGCAACAGCAACAACAACAGCAGCAGCAATCTTTGTATGGAGCTCCTCCCACCTCTGTGTCGTCGTTACCTCCTCCTCCTGTGAGCACTCAAGTGAAGAAGACAGCTGAAGGATGGAATGACTTGCCATCTTCGGCTATTCCTCCTCCTCGCAAGATTACAACTCCTGCCATGCCTGCTATTACACCTCCTACTTTTGGTACTCAGGGCCCACCTAATGCTTATGGACCTCCTTCGACTCCTAAGCCTGTTCCTGCGCCATCACTTGGGCCTCCTCCCACTGGTGGTTCAATTAAACCTCCCACTAACAATGCAATTCCATTGACATCTCGTAACTCGTCATCTACTCCACCGGCTATTAATGACAAGTATGCACCAGTCAAATCGTCATTGCCTAACAATGGTTCTTCTCAGTATGGGTTTAATGAGCCTCCTGTTTCTTCACCTCCTCCCGTTAGCAACCCTTATAGTTCCCCCCCCGTGAACCCATATGCTACACTTTCACTGTCTCAGAACAATAATCAGCCACAGAACCGATCTGTGGCTGCACCATTGCCTCCCCCACCTTCTATTATTGGAGGGTCTAGTGGTTTTGGAGTGAGCCAGGGAGGACCATTGGGCTCTCCGCAGTCATATGCTCCTATTCCTAGCATTGTTTCTGGGCCTCCAACTGGACCTGGTTATGGACCTCCTTCAAATGGGTTTGGCCAACATTCTCAACAGGCCCCTGCTAATCCTTATGCTCCCGTAGCCGCTCCCCAACAACAACAGCAACAGCAACTACTACAACAACAACAACAACAACAACAACAACAACAACAACAGCTGCAACAGCCATATGCTCCTCAGCAACCTTCTCTAGGAGCTTATGGGGTTTCATCTCCTCAATATGGTCAGTTGCCTTATCAGCAACAACAACCACCACAGCAAGTACAACAACAACAACCACCTGAGCCTGAGCCTGAACCGGAACCAGTTGAGCCTCCAAAACCCAGCTATCCTCCTGGAGATCGATCTCACATTCCTGAGAGCTCAATTCCCATTTACAATTTACTGAGTGAGGAGCTTGAGGTGATTAAGCCGCATGTTCCTGCCAACTATTCTCGTCAGTTGCAGGATGCGGAGAAGCGAATTAATATTTTGTTTGATCACCTGAACAATGAGGATTTGCTTTCAGATGCGACTAAGACGGATCTTGTTGCACTTGCTCAGGCTCTTCATGCCAAGGACTACAACACAGCTAGTGAGATTCACTTGTCGATTTTGACTACGCGATCTGAGGAGTGTGGTCATTGGATGGTTGGTATTAAGCGTCTTATTGATATTGTGCGGGTTCTTGTGATGAATGGAATTTTGAATTAAACTGGATTTAGTTGAATTATGGGGATGAGGTTTGTGTATAAAAAATAAAATGCCTTTAATTGAATATGTGTTGTGGAAAAAGAAGAAAAAAGTATGGAAATTAGGGAAAAAAAAAAAAAAAAAAAAGGAAAGAAGAACTAAATTGAATGTGTGAAGTAGTTTTATGTAAAGAATATTTAAATATATATATATATATATTCAAAAAAAAAATAAATCTTATTATGGAGTTGTATAGTTCTTCTTATTATTATTATTATTATTATTATTATTATTATTATTATTATTATTATTATTATTATTATTATTATTATTATTATTATTATTATTATTATTATTATTATTATTATTATTATTATTATTATTATTATTATTATTATTATTATTATTATTATTATTATTATTATTTTAAAATTGATGGTGGGGAAATAGAAGAAGAGATTTGCTTATCAAAAAAAAAAAAAAAAAAAAAAAAAAAAAAAAAAAAAAAAAAAGGCGGGTTTAGCTTAGTAAGCATTTGTTAACCGTTGAGGTTCTTCAACGTGGCTAGTGTGTATATATAAATATATAATAGAATATATAATAAATATAATATAAAACAATTTTTTTTTTTTTTTTTTTTTTAATTAATCAATCAATCAATCAATCAATATTAAAACGAAAAGAGGGGTTTATTTGATATTTTGATTGATTGATTAATTAATTAATTGATTAATTAATATTTTATATTTGTTGTATTTGTTGATCCATTATTTTATATTTTTATATTTTTATATTTTTGTTGAACCATCATTGAGAAGTGTTTACGGATATCGACGGGGTAGAGTACTTCAGTGCAGCAGCCGTTAGGCGGACAGCATTAATATTTATTTAAGGTAGTGGTTGGTGGTTGGTGGTGATCAGCAGTGGTTGATGGGAAGTTTTTTTTGTTTTTTTTTTTTTTTTTTTTTTTTTTTTTCGTGGTGAATTTCCCTTAGATGACGAGTTTTTTTTATTTATTTATTTATTATTTTTATTATTATTATTATTACTACTACTACTACTACTACTACTACATGAAGATAACAGTTTGATAAATAAAAAAAATAAAAAAAAATAAACCACTTTTAGATTGTAAAAAATCCTAAAACATTTATTTATTTTAAAAAAAGCTTTTCTAAGATAAAAAAAGAATTGTTTTTGGATTGTGTAGATAAAAAAAAAAGAAAAAAAAAAAAAAAAAGTGGCTGGTGGAAATTTTTTATTTTTTTTTTTTTTGTCAAAATCAAAAAATTTAAAAAATTTAAAAAAATAATAAAAAAATTAAAAATTTAATGAAAAATTTCAGTGGCACTTCAAAAAAAAAATTATTCAAAGATCCGATAGAACGTTGTTACCCGGTAAAAGCAACAGCAACAGCAATAACAAATAACAAATAATAAATAACAAATAACAAATAACAGCATAAGAAACATCAATCGGCACCTAAAAAAACAAAAAAGAAAAAACCCGGTCAACTAGCCAGTCGGGTCTTTTTGTTATTTGTTATAAAAAGCAAACAGATCGGGAATGTCTTAATTTGAACACACCATCATCACAGCAAATTCTATTAATTAAATTATAATAATTTATTTATTTAATTTATTTATTTAATTTATTTATTTAATTTATTTATTTATTTATTTAATTTATTTCATCACTTAAATAGCCGCTACCAAATTGAAAAAAAAAAAAAAAAAAAAAAAAAAACTCACACAACACAGGCTGCCGTGTCAAAAATCCTATCTGCGCATATTTTAATTTTTAATTTTTAATTTTTTTAACACACACACACACAAAAGAGTCATCATCACCGTTGTGTATAAATACCCCATCGGATCCTGCATTTTTTTTTTTTTTTTTAAATTTTATATATAAATTTTATTTTAAGAATTTTTTTTTTTTTTTATATAAATACCATATCAAAATTCCCCAAAATAGATTTATTTTTTTATAATATTTATTTTAAAAATAAAAAAAAAATACCATATATCTATCTATCTATCCTATACCATTTCTTAATAATCTTTTCATTTCATTTCATTTCATTTCACTTTTCATAATACCAATCATTAAATATATATTATATACAAAACAATGACCGGACCTATTCTCGCCAAAGATCTCTCCCACCACCTCTCGGAAGAAGCAAAATCTAGACAAGCTTCAACCCTCAAACTCGCCTTTAAACACTTTAGCGACCCCCGTATCGTCTCTCTAGGCGGTGGTCTCCCCCTACCTGACCTTTTCCCCTTCAACTCTCTTAAAGTTGAAACCCTTAACCCCCCCTTTTCCCGTGGCATTGATGTCTTCCCAGAATCATCAGACGAAGCCCTCGAAGTGGTTGTCGCAAAGTCACGCGCTCAAATTGAACACGACCACGATATCCCCCTCGAAACCGCTCTCCAGTATGGCTCCTCTGCCGGTAACACTCAAATTGTTGAATTTTTACGCGAACACACTCGTATCATTCACTCCCCCAAGTACCAGGATTGGGACATTGTCATGTCGGTAGGAAACACCCAGGCTTGGGATTCAACCCTTCGTACTTTTACCACCCGTGGCGATGTCATTTTTGCTGAACAGTTTACCTTCTCTTCTGCCGCTGAAACTGTCCATGCTAACGGTGTCAAAATCTTCCCCGTCCCAACTGATCTTGAGGGTATCGATGCAGAGGCTTTTGCTGAAATTCTTGCCAACTGGGAGGGCCCCATCCCTAAACTGTTATACACCATTCCTACTGGTCAAAACCCCACTGGTGGTACCATGCCTGCCGAACGCCGCAAAAAGGTTTATGACCTTGCTTGCAAGTACGATTTCATTATTGTCGAAGACGAGCCCTACTACTTTTTGCAAATGCACGAGTATAAATTTGGCGCTACTGCCGCTGATCTCCCCCCCGTTCCATCTCATGATGAATTTTTGAAGAGCTTGGTTCCTTCATACCTTTCCCTCGACACTGAGGGCCGTGTTCTCCGTCTTGATTCCTTCTCCAAGGTCCTTGCCCCAGGCTCCCGTCTTGGTTGGATTGTGGGCCAGGAGCGTCTAATTGAACGCTTTTTGCGTCAACATGAAGTTACAATTCAAGTTGCATCTGGTTTCTCTCAAGCTATTCTCAACGGTATGCTTCACCGCTGGGGACAAGAAGGTTACCTTGACTGGCTCATTCAACTCCGTCGTAACTATACTCTCAAGCGTAACGTTGCTCTTGATGCTGTCAAAAAGTACGTTCCAAGCGAAGTTGCTGATTGGATTGCCCCCTCAGCTGGTATGTTCTTTTGGATTCAGCTTGATGCTTCCAAGCATCCTGATTATGAAAAGCTTGGCCGTGATCCTGCTGCTGTTGAAATGCAAATTTACGAACGTGGAATTGAAGATGGCGTTTTGATGATTCCAGGACACTGGTTTGTCATTGAGGATGAACGTGCTGCTAAACCACCTTCCAGAGAAGGTAGACAGTTTATGTACTTCCGTGGCACTTTTGCTTCGGTTAAGCCTGAGGCTCTTGATAAGGGTCTTAACATTTTCGGTGACCTTATTAAAAAGGAGTACCAGCTTTAGATTTGATTGTTTTTGTTTTCCTGTTACGTTTTCTTTTTTCTATACATGAGTCTTTTTTTTTTCTATTTGTATATTATATCAAAAAAAAAAATATATATATCAAAATTGAAAATTATTATTATTATAGTTTTACTTCTTTTTTTTATTTTTAATGGGTTTATTGCTTTTTTTTTTTTTTTTTTTTTTTTTTTTTTTTATTTTTACATGTTTACATTTTTTTGGTAAAATTTAATTTGAATTTTTCTTTCTTTCCTTCTTCCCCAACTTAACAAAACAACCTATTCCTTTTTATTTCTTCTTTTTAATATCTTCATCCTCTTCCTCCTCATCACTACTAAATTCAGCTTCAGTATCTGTATCAATATCCGACAAGTCCTCTTCTTCTTCTTCTTCCTCATCATCATCATCATCATCATCATTACCCTCTTTATTATCAGCTTTATTCACATTACGACTCTCTCCACGCATCTGTGATACTGCACCTGCAATAGAATCCTCATCAGGCTCAGGAATATCATAAACTTCATTGCTCACGGCCTCTGGCGGTGAGTTTTGAATCTTGACTTCCACCCGTTCCAGTAAATCTGCACCAAAGTAATCCTTGGACAAAAACTGTAACATAAACTTATAATCACCTTCATTCTCAGGTGTCATAGAAGAAAGAGGAATCTTCACAGTATTAATCTTAATGGTTTGGTCCTCAGGTTTAATAGGTAGAGTGTTCTTGATTATTAAATCATCTTCCTCATCTTTTTCTTCTTTCTTCGTTTTCTGCTCATCCACAGCATTGGATGCATTCTTGGCATTAGCTGCCTTCTCGTCAAGGTATTTCTGAATATCTTCCGCAGTCGTCACATAACCACGACTCAATTCAATAGGTCCTTCCAAAATAATTTGGGGGCCTGCAAACAAAAACATCTCCCAAGTAGGGTGCTCTTCACCACCAAAATATGGTGCAAGAGTGCGTGGGAACTCAGGACCTTGATTACTTGTCAGCATCGGGTTGCGAACCAATGCCATGGTCTCGTCTTCTCGAATCTCATCACGACTCAACTCAGGCAGTTTCCCAACATCTTCCGTTGTCACAACATATCGCACAACAATATGTGCTTGTGACTTGGACGGAACAATATCTTCACCAGGTGTTTTAAAGTAGGTACTCAACACGTGAAGTTTCAAAATGTTTTTCGCTGTCTTGAGCGCAACTTCCGCAGTCTTCTTGTCCTTAATTCCCAAAACGGTCCCAACTTCAGTTGCATTTTTGGTAACAAGCTGAGGCAACTTGCGCACAACAGATCCACCAACAACTGATGCGTCAGCTCCAGGAAGTTGCGCCAGCTCAGCACCAATCAAACGAGCCTCCAAGGGAATAGCCTGAACAATGCAGCGACGAACATCAAGAATACGGTTACACAATGGAAGAGATTTAGAAGCAGATGCAATATCCAAAAATCCGTCCAAAATAAGAGGTGCGCGAGCAGCAATTGCAATCTTTTTAGCCTCATCTTCAGCATTCTCGCTCTTCTTGCGTGAAAGGTGCTGATGAAGAAGCTCTAAAACCTTGGCAGAACTGATCCCGGGATAAAGTAGTTTGTACTCCTCGGCTTCACTCACAAGCTCCAAAATCTTTTCATGAGAAACAAATTGAGGCTGGTCCTTAACAAGAGTCTCGAAAAACAGCCCAGCAGACTCAACATGCACACCACTCTTTGTATACACCTGTGTAGAGTACCACCAACGACCCACTGCGTAGGGAAGCAAGATGGCGAAAAAAACAACGTAAAATCCAACAACAAGAGTCGATCCCTTGCCATCAACCAAAAACTTGGGCAGAGCAATTCCATGGAAAGTCTCTTGGGGTCCATCAGGATGCCCATACTTCTTGTAGTTTTCACGGACCTCAGGGTCTGTCAAAGTCTTATAAGCCTTGGTGATGGACACAAACCGTGCCTCAACATCTTCCATAGTCATGTTGCCTTCAAGAGTGCGAACTTTATCTGGATGGAACTTAAGCGTATACTGGCGGTACTGAGCCTTAATTTCCTTTTCAGACGCGTCAATTGGAAGATCAAGAATATCATAGGGATTGAAAACATTGGTGCTGGAAGATTCCACGGGCGAGCTGGTGGCGACCAACAGTACCATGGCGCCAATCAAAAGCCATCCAAGCGACACAAACAAATTGAGCTTTGTGAAAAGCTTTGATCGCTTCGACCGCACACGGTAAGTTTTAATTGCGTCTCCATTTTCTGGCTCGAACCCGCTCTGGTCGTAGGTCGCTTTGGCGTGTGGGTCTTCTTTAGCTGAAATTCGGCTATAAGCAACTAGCGAAAGCGGGATTGTGACAACGGCTGTCAGTGTGATGACAAAGTAAGGCCACACCTCCGAGTTTTCATCGTAAGAGTAGCGAGAGTCGCTCATTTTAAAAGTCTGTTGAGCTCAGAAATGAGTATATTTTTATTTAAAAAAAAAAAAAAAAAAAAGGAAATTTGAGAGATGTTCCCAAGGGGTGGGGGAAAGAGGGAAATGATGAATGTTTTGGGTGGTTATATGAGAAGATTTAATGGTTGTGGTGGTGGTGGTGGTGGTGGGAGCCGTTTAATGGTTGGAAGCTAACCACCCTGAAATTAAATTTCAGTTTTGATACGTGTTGGATCTGACAGAATTTGATCTACGCAAGTACAGGGTAACATTCAGAACGATGGAAAAAAAAATTTTATTGTTATTTTATTTTAATTTTTTTTTTTTCCAATGTGACGAAAAACTGGCAAAACCTCCTAATCGAAAATCACCAACACAGCTTTTTTTTTTTTTTAAGTATGTTGAACCCTCCATCAACACTCAAATAATTTAAAAAAAAAAAAAAATATCGCAATGTCTTATTACAACGGAAATAACAACAGAGGCCATCGCCGCAATGGATACAATAATAACGATGGATTTAACAATAACAGAAACCCTCTAAGTGATCGTATAGATTCAAACTCAAACAACTATCGTGTGGAAATCCGGCAATGGCAAGGTGGTTCTCGTGATAACCTCGTAGACTTTATCTTCAAAAAATCTCGCATCAATTTGCAAAACGTTCGTGTCAGCGGCCCTGTTCTTCATGCAACTATTCGTCGTGATGAATCTACCATCCTTGCAAAGTATTCCGGCATCCGCTTTGCTGGTAGTGCTCTCGACATTAAAGTTTTTGACTCCAATGGAAACTCAATCGACGGCCAAGGAAATAACGACAATAATAACAACACTAACAAAAACAACAACAACAATAATAATAATAATAATAGAAACAGCAAAGGATTTTCATCTGGAGCACGTAATGCTATTGAACTTCTTAAGGAGTACCTCATTAGCCACTACAATTCCGATATCAAGTTCTTGAACCTCGAAAACATGCCTGCCGATAACTTCCTTGTTACTCATGGCCTATTTTCTTCATCTTCCACTACATCAAAGTTTTTCCCAGCTCTCATGAAAGTCGCAGATACTGCTCTACCCCAAATTGAAAGTGTGAGTCTTGCATCCAACGGGCTTGTGGATGTCGCTGCTGTCACTACTTTAGCAGCCACTTTCCCTCGTCTTAAAAATTTATCATTAGCAAATAACAACATTGCAAATGCATCTAGTCTCGACAATTGGCAACACAAGTTCCCTCATCTCCGTGAACTTATTCTTTCCGGTAATCCCATCTCGGCTTTGCCCACTTACAAGGACGATATGATCAAGATTTTCCCCAAACTCATTGTTCTCGACGGTCAAGTTATCCAAGATGAAAACACTGTTGGTCGTCTTAAACTGCCTGTCCCCATTCGACACAACTTTTTCGAAAATGAACAACTCCAAAACATTGCTGGATCTTTCCTGACCACCTTTTTTGATTTCTATGACCGCGACAGATCCCAGCTTTTGCCTTTATACAGCGACCAGTCCACTTTTTCAATCAGTGTCAACTCTAATGCTCCAAAACAAATTGGGGGAGCTCATGGCTCTAATCCGACTCAACAAATCTGGAACTCTTACATGCCATTTTCTAGAAACTTGATGAAGGTTACTGCTCCCAATAATCGCATAAACAGAATTCACTTTGGTACACAGTCCATTGCCACAGCTTTCCAAAAACTTCCACCTACCAGACACGATTTGACGCCTGAAAAGTTCTCTGTTGATGTATGGAGCGTTTCTTCGGTGCATGCTCCTGGAGACCAAGGTATGATGGTTGCTATTCATGGCGAATACTACGAACAAAACAACAAGTTGCACAGCTTTGATCGCAGCTTGGTTGTTCTCCCAGGACCTTCGGGGAACATGATTGTTGTCTCGGATATGCTGACTGTGCGCCCTTACTCTGGCTACGATGGCTGGAAAGAAACAAACACACAGCCAGCTTCTGGAGCTGGCCCACAAGCTGGCCCACAAGCTGGCCCACAAGCTGGCCCATCAACCCGCATTACTGTCGACAATGAAGTTCTTAAGGATCTTGCTCCCTCACAGCAGCTAGTGATCCGAACACTACAAGAAAAGACACGCTTAACAACAGCATATGCTCGCATGTGTGCCGAGCAAGCTCAGTTTGACTTGCAAAAATCACTGGAACTTTTCCAGCAATCTCAAAGTGCTATTCCTCCAGAAGGATTCATTCATTAATATATAGATAAGAGTTTCTTGATTTTTATTTTTTTTTATTTTTTTGGTTTTTTTAGTTTTTTTTTTTTTTTTTTTTTTGTAAAGATCAAATAATATCTTCGTTTCTTTTCATTTATTGGTAATATTCCAACTGATCTGCTTCTTGCATGTATTGCTGCTGTTGCTGTTGTTGAAGCTGCTGTAGCTCTAATTGTTGCTGCTCTCTCTTCTTTTGTTCTTCCAGCTCCGGTCTATGGAACAAAGTCTGTGGGTTCTTCAAATCATCAGCGCCATCCTTCAAAGAATTCAAAATGCCCATCACGTAGTCTGCAGTTTTGGTATAGTCGCCATCATGTTCCAGCCACGATGCTCGTCCATTAGCAGTCTCTTCCACTGTTTTTCGCCCTGTTTTGGTGACTGAAGCAGTTTCTAGTGAATGCTTTCCAGCGGGGACCGAAGATATCCGGAGGGTATCACGTAGAGAATTTGACATTGCAAGACATCGAGTTTCAAGCTCTGCATTTTGGAGTTCCATCTCTATAGAAACGCCCTGTTCAGCGTGGATAGCAGCAACATAACGCTTATGAATCTCAAGCGATTCCTCGGTGTGTGAATGCACAAGAGTGCGCAACCCTGTGACCGCCTGTTCAATCATGTGCTGCGAAACTTCGAGAAGGCGAGCCAGCGCCCTATTGCGGTCGCGCTGCGCGGAAACTTGTGATATGAGTGACGCGTTTTCGCGGGCCAAAAGTGAAGAAACCTGGTTTATAGAAGAGCCTGTCAGTGGGTCATTCAACTCAGTGTCTGTTGTAGAAAATGAAGCTGCAGAATTGGGTCTTTTGTTTAAAGATTCGTTTTCTGAGCTATTGGGATGGGTCTTTTTGGAAGGTGTATTGGCTAGTGGCGCACCAGAAGTGCTTTCGCTATCTGTTTCGTCATCATCATCTGTGTCTAGTGAATCAGCACAGACCAAAAGTTCGTTTGCAGCAACATGATTCTCATTAAGAATGGAAGAGAGCTCTTCAACAAGGCTCATGACAACCTTCAGGTCATCAGGTTTGGTGTAGTTTAGCGCTGGGAATCGGGACATGTTTATTACTGTGTGATTTTAAGGTAGTGGGGGAGGGAAAGAAGAAGAAAATTAAATTTTGGGAATAAAATGGTATTTTCACACAACACAAACAAAATCTATTATATACAAAAGAAAACAACAAGCGGTTACTATATACAGGTCGTTCTAAGGGATCTTGACATCAACAGATCTCTCACTAAGTATTTGAATCACAAGGTCGAGCACTTGTGGGTAAGCATCACGATAAAGCACAGTCTTTTCTGAATTGTTAAAGTTGGATAAGACGTATTTTGCAACATCCTCTTTATGTAGCGGACGGCCAATACCAATAGAGACGTCCGACCAGTGAAATCGAAGATCATTAGCCATGGAACGCAAACCATTGTGTCCATTAGTACGTCTAGTTGATGGTCGATACTTTACATCTCCGATCGGCAAATCCAGTTCATCATGAAGAACTACCAAATGAGTATCCCAGGAGCTTTCTGGTCGGTATTTTGGGATCCAAGTAGACCAAAATCTTTTAAAGGCATCACCAGACAAGTTCATAAAATTCAAGTTCTGATATAGCATAAATGATTGTGGGTTCGGAGATTCAGGAACGTTAGCAAAGCTGTTGCGAGCTATTGTTACCAGTCCGCCTGTAACATTTTGTTTTTTGGTTGGAGCAGGCAAATGGAGATCTTTGGCCAGTTTCGAAACAAACTGATGGCCAACCGAGTGTCTGGTAAAGGCATACCTGAGACCAGGGTTTCCTATAGAGGCTATCTAATACGAGTCAGAATGGATCTCGCAGAAAATGCCAAAAACTTACAATGAAAAAGGGTGTTTTTTCCATGTTGCTGATGGTGATTTCGTTTTGAAAAAGATTTAATTTGGGTGGTACTAAAAATTCAAATTTTTTTCTTCTGGTCGGATGTTGTATTTAAGGGGGTTGATGCATCATCTGGGATTTCGAATTTATTAAACAACACATCACACCTCTCATTTTTTTTTCTTCTTGACTGACTAAAAACTGCAATAAAATTCAAAATCTTTGAACCAAAAAGATAAAAAAAAAAAAACCAACACTCTCTTGTCAAGGTTTCTTTTTTTTTTTTTTTCTTAAAAGAATATGGTAAATCCTGAGCTTCCGTCGCCAGCAGCTTCTCTGGCGAGGCTTGCAAAGTCCCGGTCCACTATGTTACTTGCTCGACGTGCGCTGGTGGTTTTGATTCCAGCACTGGCATTCTTCTTCATGCTTCAGGCCCTGTGGTCTTTCACTATGCCACCTGATTCCAGCTCGAGCAGTTCCGATTCCAGTTATCATATAGCTATTCATGGTAATTCTGCTTATGAATCCAAATATCCAGCAATTAAGCATCTACTGCAATCACTCAATCCTAGTCAAGGTCCAGAAGGGACATCCATTGTTGATTCAATTAAACAAGGTTTAGTATACAGAGTCAGCTCTCCTTTGACAGTTTGGAGAAACCGTCGGTATACATTTAACCCAGAAACTCCACTTTCACGGTACGTTCCAGATGTCGCGATTCCTCTTGTGCCGGAAAGACCAGCGGTGTATGCGTATTTTGATTTAGCAGACCCATCACTTTCAAAAAGGGACGAACCCTCGTCTGAAACAAATCATAAAGGCAATCAAAACCACCACGTCGAATCACAAATCCTTGAAACTTGGAAGCGTGCTTGGTATGCTATTGGGTTCAAGCCAGTTGTGCTGACCCAAAAAGATGCCAAAGAACATTACATGTACCAGAGCATTGAAAAAGCACTTGAGGGACGAGACGATTTGAAAAAAATTTTGCTAAAGAATTATGGGAAATGGTTTGCCTATGCTTCTAAGGAAAAGGGCATTTTGGCTGATCACCGTGTGTTCCCCTTAAGCAGAAACTACGACCACCCCACTTTTGTAAAACTGAGAGAGAATGACTTTGACGAGTCATTAGCGCTTTTCAAAACCGACTTGTCTCTGGTTATTTCTAACCCAACTGGTTTTCGAACTTTGTTGGATTTGGTTAACAGATCGTTTACTCGTCAAGTGGATGGGCCAGATGTTGAAAAGAAGAAAGAAGAGAAAAAGTCTAGTGAAAATAAAAACACAAAGAGAGATTTTAAAGAAAGTGGTTCTAAAGAAAGCCTCTTTTCAGATCTCAACGCAGAAATCGATAGACTTTTTGAGGTCTACGTTCATCCAAGTAATGAAAATCCGTTTGGATTATATTCTGATGCTCATATCGACTTGATTACTTCTGGCCACTACCCTAAAGATTCTTCCGATCCGACAAAGGTTGATCCATCTTACGTATTAACTTTGATTAATATCCATTTGCACCAGATTTTCTTAGGTGCTTACCCTAATGGTATTTCTTACGTGGATCCCATCAACGGTATTCCACTACGCAAAATCAACCGGAAATCACTTAGTTCACTTGCTGAAGTTTATCCACCTATCCTTGAGTCTGGTAAACCTAGTCCCGAGAAAACTTGGGCCTTGGCTTCGCCTGCACGCTCTATTGCTGAAGATCTTGCTCAGTGCCCTTCATTAGAAAAGTATGATCCATACCTGAATGTTTGTCCTCCAACATCTGAAACTTTGAGCAAGATTGATCAACTCAACAAAGACTTTGGTAGCAAATCTGCTGGACGTCTTAAAATCAGTATTGAGCAAGCCTGTACGCCACTCCCATGTTCTGAGGTGTACGAGCGCAAACACAATAAGAAGACTTCGACATCTTCTACTGCAGCCATTCTTGCTGACCATTTACCAGACCCCCTCCAATCCAAGGTTTATTCGGTTGCTTCTTTTGTACATCCGGTGTTTTTACTGTATGCGGCCATGCAAGACCCTGAAGCCCTCCCAACTTTAGACTTTGTGCGCTATCACATGACACGTGATGGACTGGTGCAAGGATTAACTTCTGGTGGGATTTTCGCTCATGTACCACACATTAACCCGGAGTACAGAACCATTTATCTCAAGGATTCTATTTTTGAGCCTTCGGCAAAGACAAATGTTTCGTGGATTCCTTACGAGGGAACACCAGAGAAGATTGGCCAATTATTAGAATGGGAGCTTGGGTTTAGACCTTTAGGAAGTGTTGGAGAAGAAGGAAACCATCTGACTTCTTTTGAAGAGATCATTGCAAAAACTCAAAAGGAGTCGCTTGGTCAGGAGCAGTTTGAATACCTCGTCAATCTGCTAAAGATTTCTGCTACAGACTTTGAAACGTACCACAGAACAGGTAGACGGCCCCTGAGGAGTATTGAACATGCTCTTGTGAAGCAAACAGAAAAGGGAGAAAAGGCCAATGAAGAAGAACGACTGGCTCTTCTTGACTCCATTAATCTGTGGAGTCCTAACGATTATGAGATTTGGAGTTTTCTTAGAGTCTGGACTTTGAAAAAATATAAAGATCTGGTCAGTTTACAGAAACAATAGATTGATAAGATCAATGTGAAAATGAAGGGAGGGGGAAAGAAACAATTTAAGCTTATTCTTGTTGGTTTAATATTTTTTTGCATGTTTAATTCCATCGGATCATTAAGCTCTATTAAATAATAAATATATATATATATATATATATATATATATATATATATGGTCTTGCTACTGAATGAAATACAGTATTTATCTTTGGTTTGTTTGAATTTTTTACATTCCCATGGCGCTTAAGAGACTGCGAATCATAGCGAGACAACTTTCAATCTCAGACCGAATAGATGATACGGCTTCTGAGCGTGCCTGAACCCACTCGACCTTATCGCGGAGCCGGTTACGATGCCTCAGACTATCGATTGTATCTGCCACGGATGCCCATGCAGCACAGGCCTAAATCGTTAAAGTTAGCAAAAAAAAAAAAAAAAGACCGTTTTTGAAGTTCTGGTTTTGATTGTTTATGGGATCCGTGATAGTTTTGGCATGATATTCCACATGTAGCTACGAGTAAATGATCAATATGAAGAGGTTACCGTAAACGTAGCATCCATTTCTTCTACAATAGCAGAATGTTCACGCATAAGCTCTGCTGTGAGTAGACAATAATCCTCAGAAAGTTGTTCAGTGTTAATATCCACCGACATGATAATGAAAAGTATTCTTTTTTTTTTTGGCTGGATAGAGAGGGATGTGTGTGTATGATAGTGGTATTGGTGGTATGTTGAGAGGGTTGCTTAAAAGGAGAGGTTACACAAATGGTGGGTTTTCTGCTGCATATATGGCTGTTTCTTTTTTTTTTTTTTTTGCTTGAAATTTTCACAACTCCTTCCAACATCATCACCCAGAGAACCTCCCTCCCCCTCAAAGGCCACGCACCACATATAAACATCATACCCCATACACACCCAACACAATGGCCCGCGCCTTCTAAATAAGACTTCCCTTTTTCTTCTCTCTCTGCAAAAGCTTAAATGTCTCTCCAGTCAGTTAACCCGAACGACGTGTTTTCGCGTCTCACTCCTGAACAGCGCCAGCGCATGACCAAGGATCATCGTCTCAAGGTCAAGACCTTGGCCTACCGGCTGCGTGGTGCCTTGGTTCAAACGGGCATCTTGATTGCCTGGATTATTGTCATCCAAGCCATCGCTCTCTTCTTCTTTACTCGCGGCTTTTTGCTCTCCCGACCAGTTCTTGAGAGTCACTCGGAATGCACAGTCCTCCCACCTTTTCTCCAAGATTCGGCCCAAAATAGCCTGCAGCAACTGCAACATGTTTATCAGTTTAATAAAAATGATTCTGCTCCCAAAACACTGTTTCAAGAACGAGGGTGCTGGGGACAAAAATCTTTTGAAAAAGCCGTCATTCTTGTTATTGATGCCCTGCGCTTTGACTTTACTGTTCCAGGCCCAGAAACTCCAGCACAGTACCTAAATGCTCTACCATTTATGTACGACACGGCTGTCTCGTCACCAGAAAACGCTCTGCTACTCAAGTTTATTGCTGACCCGCCAACTACAACTTTGCAGCGTCTTAAAGGCCTGACGACTGGCTCTCTGCCAACCTTTATTGATGCAGGATCTAACTTTGCCGGTACAGAGATTCTTGAAGACTCGTGGGTTGCCCAACTGGCAAATCTTACCGATAATGCAATTGCGTTTACTGGTGATGATACATGGATGTCACTATTTGCTCCTCTTTTTAACCAAGACCTTGCAAGTCCTTACGAGTCACTTAATGTTCTTGATCTTCACACAGTTGATAATGGTGTTATTCAGCATATTTTCCCATTTATCCAATCTCCTGCGCTAAGTGAAAAATGGAAAGTTGCTATTGGACACACCTTGGGCGTGGATCATGCCGGACATCGTTACGGGCCTGCACACCCAGCAATGCGTGAAAAGCTTCAGCAAATGAATGATGTTATCAAGCGTTTAACAGAGGCCATCGACGACGATACTCTCTTGATTGTTTTTGGTGATCATGGAATGGATCCCCGTGGTGATCATGGCGGAGAGTCACTGCCGGAGCTTGAGGCTGCCTTATGGATGTACTCTAAAAAGCCTGCTTTTGGTCGTCTTCCAGACCCAAACGGCACCGTCTACAATGACGATAACTATGGCAAAAATTACCGGTCGGTTCAACAAATTGATCTCGTTCCGACCTTGTCTCTTTTGCTAGGTCTCCCAATACCTTTCAACAACCTCGGCTTCCCAATTGCCGAACCGTTTTTGTCGCCAACCAGCAATACCTCTGCTTTAGCACGAGCTCAACTTTTGACCGCCGCACAGATTCACCGTTATGCCCGTGCCGATGGGTCTCTTTCTAAAATTGCGGAAGTCTCTGATCTTTGGGAATATGTCGTTTCCAGCATTTCGGAGTCTTCTGGGAAAAGTCCCCAAGACGTGATTGATGCTACCCGTGCATATCATGATTTTGTTCTTAATGAGTATCATACTCTCTGGGTCCAGTTTGACTTAACTTCAATGGCTATTGGAATTGGGTTTATGGTTGTGTCAATCATTATTGCTTACACTTATGCCCGTGCTCTTCCAACCGAAATGGAACAAATGATTGGACCTCTGCTTAAGGTCATCAACACTTCTGCAGGTGTAGTTGGTATGGTCTTCTCTCTCAGTTCACGTTTGGCTACCCGTATTGGCATTGCACCCAAATTTTTCCAATCATCTACAAATGGTGTTTTGTTTGGTGTGGCCTTTGGTGCTAGTTTAGGTTTCCTAAGTGGGTTTTCTGTTGCCTTTTACTCTCTTGGAAACCTCAAAACCATCTTCAGCTTGTTCATTTTACCCAAGAGCTCATCGGCTATTTTTGCGCTGGTGTTGACAATTTCTCATGCCATTTTATTTGCATCCAACTCATACACAGTCTGGGAGGATCGTGTTCTCTTGTTTTTGCTTGCTTCTTTAGGCTTTTACTTTTTAGTATTAACTCTTCGTGGCAAGAAGAAATCAAAAACTGGTATTCTGGAGCAAGCTGCTTCCATTGCTGCTTCAGGAAACTCATCAGATAATTCAGATTCGGAATCCCCAAAAATCAACTCTAACAATGCTAGTCGTACTAGCAGTCGGAGCCGGAGCATCAGCCCAGTTAAGACACCATTGTCAGTTGGTGCTGATCAGGAGAAGGAAAAGCGCAAGGTTATGGCTCTTTACTTTTCCGTGACCTTTTTAATTGTCCTACGCATGGCTGCTTACTCTGGAGTCTGTCGCGAAGAGCAGGGACCTGAATGCAAAACTACATTTTATCTCAACAATAACTCGACGGTTTCTTCATTTTTGTCTGTTGGTCTTCTAGGGTTTGCCTCGTTATACCTTCCTACAGTAATTGCATCTTTTTACGAAACCTCAGCAAGCTTGAATAATACAGCCACTGTATGGATTGCTTATGGTCTCCGTGTTATTATGATCTTTATTACAATTTACTGGGGTCTTGACACACTGGAGGCCCGCAACTTTTTTGAAGACCCAAGTGTCCTTGATGCTGTTAAAGCAGTCAAGGTAACAACAGCGCGTATTATTCTTGGTATTGTGCTTTTGGCCGCAAACTACGCTTGGTGGCAAAACTCGCTGTGCATCAAGCTGGAAGTATCGCGTGAGTCTGTTGCTGAAAAATCTAAAAAGCAACAAGCTTCAGAATATACCCCAACACAAGCCCGCATTTTGGGTTACAGTAATGTGTACGGCTCCATGATTATGCTGGCAGTACTTAATATATTTGCTGCCACTTTAGTGGTTTCAAAGCCCATGGCTGGCGTTACCCTATCAATTTTGATTTTCCAGCTCTTTACTCTATTGGAGCTGTTTGACATCCACATTGACCGACTATACTTTTCAGCTCTGGGGCCTGTGGCTTTGGGTCTTTTAGGATCGTTTCACTTTTTCACTACTGGACACCAGGCTACAATTCCCTCCGTTCAATGGGACGTGGCATATATTCCGTCGTCTACAATTATTTTCCCATTTACACATTTGGCGTTAATTCTCAATACATTTGCACCTCAAATTATTGTTTCGCTGGCAGTACCATTACTGCTGCTGTGGAAGATTCCACCATCGAAAACTCCTACAACGCTGCTCCAGCTTGTATCCAAGTCGGGAATCACACTGATACTTTATCAAGCTACTATCACATTATCAACCATGGTGTTTGCATTGCATTTTAGACGACACTTGATGGTTTGGAAGATTTTTGCGCCGCGTTTCATGTTGGCTGGAATGGCGCTTGGTGTGGTAGATGTTTGTGTGTTTCTTGGTGTTGTTGTCTTTGGAGGCCGTGCCATTACATTTATAAATAAAATTTTCAATACCTGAAAATAAAATAATAGAAAGAGGAGGGATTTTATGATAAATACTTAATAAAAAAAAAAAGTTTGAAAGTCTGTCTACTAGGTATGATTTTCCAAAATTAATCTATGTTCAAAAGTTTGTAAATTGACGATCAGTTATTTATAATTTCTTAAAAGCTATGTTTCTCTATTTTTTTTTTTTTTGTTATTTCATTATAATGAAATAACAATTAGTCTAGAATAACATTGGCTCGATTATTTTGAATAACATTGGCTCGATTATTTTGAATAACATTGGCTCGATTATTTTGAATATTTGCTCGATTATCCCTAACAAAATTATCATCGTTATCTTCAATAACAATGACTCGATTATCTTGAACAGTAGAACCTGGATTCTTTGGATTATTCGGAGTTCTCCTAACAGGATTTACTCTATCGTTATTTAACCCATGAACTCTATTGTTGGTATTTTCCAATAAACTGTTATTTAGATTGAATGGTCTGTTATCAATAAAATCTTCATTTTTTTCTAATGTGAAAATATATGGTTGATAAAGAGAAATTGAAACTGGAAGACTCTTGAAATACTCGTTTCTAAAACGTTGAAATGTTTTTGATGATTGTTGTAATTCTGGGTGATCAAAAGAATATTTCTCAGAAAAGAAAGCATTAACACCAGTAGCGGTGTAAAAACTAGTATTTGTTACTTTTGAAATTTTTTTTCCATCAAAAATCTTGGAAACTCTTGTATAAATTTCCCTATATATACCATCATTATTGTGAACTGAATTTCCCGAAATAATAACTTTAGAAATACTGGCAACTTCGTAAATATGTAGTGTCGTTTCAATTATATTTATTAAATAGTCTAATAAAGATTTCATATAAATTTTATAAGTGGTTGGCGAAATAGTCACTGTATTGTTTTCATCTGGACAAACGATTTTTGGTGATAATTCCACAGTTTTTCCATTACAAAGGTCATATTTTTTCTGATCAAATTCATTATAAATTTTTTCTGCAAGGTGGACGTTTAAATTGATTTTTCTTTTAGGATCAATGGAAAAAAGTCTTGAAAAAGTTTCATATAATAATATGTCAGTAAAAGAATTACCACAAAAAAAATCGTCATTCAAAACAAAAAGAGGTACAAAGTTCGTGTGATCGTCTTTTAGATTGTTTTCCAATAATGTAATATTTGTATTAAAACGACTAATGTCAACAAATAGCACTCGATTATTCACAACGTTTTGTAAATTATTCTTAGAAAAGTATCCAAACATAAATGCTGTGGCATCAGAAATCATTAGATTATTGGGTATTTGAAAAGAAAGTTTAGTAAGGCCAATTGCATTTTTTAAAGCAGCTAGTTGATTAGGGCCAAAATTTATGGGATAAATTATGGAAACTCTTTTGAGCCTAGCTTTCAAACTATGTTCGGTAAATTCAGTTATATGTTTAAGAAATTCTGCAACGAGTTGTTCAGTAGAATATTTTCTAATGAAATTACCATTAGAATCAAAAAAATTTATTAAATTATTATTATTATTATTCTCGCGTTGTAGGTCGTATTCATTAAAATACTCTTCAGTTTCACTATATGATTTTCCAAATATTCGTTGTATTTCCATTACCGTGTTTTTATGATTAGTTTGATATTTGGCTTTTGCGTCATGGCCAAAAAGAAATTTATCATTATGAAAAGCAATGACGTTTGGAATTTCTGTTGATCCATCATTGTTTGCAATAAATATTACTTTATTAGAACTATTAATGTACCCGACACGCCAGTACCCAACACCAAAACTGATGAAAACATCTCTTTCAAAGATTTCATTATATTTTGGATAATTATTTAAGGGGGATTGACTAGCCTTATTATTTTTTTGGTTGTTGTTAGTACTCAAACGTTCGGTGTTAGCTCTATGTGAATTTATAGGTGTAGGGTTCTCTTTATTAATAATCTTTAAAAAAAGTTTACTGAACATTTTGTCTAATTATTTTTTTTTTTTTTTTTTTTTTTTGAAATTAACAAAATGATTTTCGAGAAGATAAAACGATGATTATATATAATCTTTTATCGTTAATTTTCTCAGGTTTTGTATTTGCTATTAATTGATATCGGATATCATCCACCTCCAATAAGCTTAGCTAGGTCTTGGCACACAAAGCACTGTAATTAATAATGATTATGTAAGAACATGTTATTTTAATGGGTTAGGGTTATCCAAAAACGGTAATTTATTTTTAAAAAAAAAACTTTGCATTTAAGAGCATTCATTTCAAAGTTAAAGGTACAGAAGAAAGGGTTCTGACGAGTTATTTGATTGATATTAATTATAAACTTGATTGGGTATTATTATTTTAATAATTTCCTGTCATTTTTAAAGTTATATATTGTGCTTTTGAAAGTATATTTTTTTATGGATTCAAGTCAAAATTAAAAGCAAAAAAAGGTATCTTTATATATATTGATTGCATTTTTTCATTAAAAACTTTAATTATGATTGAAATGCAAAAAATGAAATATATATATAATCCATCATGTTATATATTAAAGTGTATGGAGAAAATAAAGTAGTCTAGATTAGGGACATGCATATTCTGGCTGAAGTCAAACTGCAGTTTTTTTTTTTTTTTTTCTCTGATATTTTTTAACTAGATCAATTAGAATTTTTTTATATTCAATTAAGAATCTTTGTTGAAATGTAATTTAAATAGTTTTGGTATATACTCAATATGAATTACTGATTCAACTTAGGTATCATGGTTATTTATTTGCATACACCTTAAAATAAATCAAAACTCTCTTCCCACCGGATCTGAATGATATCAACAAGTCTTCTTTGAAATTCAGCATTTAGTAAAACATTAAGCTTAATATTTATATGCCTGGTTATTAAATATATATGCAATAAAATTTAGCCGAACTTATTTTCAAAGTTTATTTCATGTGCAAGGCGTAACAAAAAGCTCCATTTTGTCATAGTTTTGAAAAAAAAATTTAAAAGGGGAAAATTTTGAAAAAAATTTTGAAGAAAAAAATTTTTTTTTTTTTTTTTTTTTTCAAAATGGGAAAATTAAAAAAAAAAAAAAACTTATCTATAAGACCCCCACGTTTTTTTATCCAAGTATCCAAGTATCAAGATACTCATTTATAAAAATTAAAAAAACAAATTAATTATATATAGATATGACCATATAAAAAAAAAGCAAATATGCAGCCATATTATATGAGATTATCCATTATCAAATTTGTGTATTATAAAAGATGTTCTTTTTTTGTTTGTATTATTTATTCTTCTAAAATTGCAGAGTCATTTGGAGCTGCTACATAGGCACCATAGACAAAAAATTGAATGATGATGATGATATCCTCGGAAACAGTTCCCAAGGACCCCAGCAGCCAAGGAAGGTAAACCTTAACATATTCCCAATCATTACAATAAAATAAGATTCCACCAGCGTAGCTGATGTTTCCCATGATGGAAAAAAGGAAAAACAAGAGAGAAAGACCGTAAACGGACTTTTTCTGGTAGTTTTGAATGATTTGGGGGATGCGAGCACCCAGGTATAAAACAGCAGAAAGATAGCCCAAGATTTCAGGACCAACTGCTTTGGGAGAATCACTGCCATCGTCATTGCCAGGGTTCTGGCCCTCAGTTTCTTGGTCAGAAAAGAGGTATCCTACGACACCAGCAGCAATGACAAATAAAATGGGGAGCAAGTACTGCTGAAATACATTGGAAGAAGTTGATGGAGCGTCAATAATAGAAGCAAGAGAGTCACGTCGTTGTTTCTTTGATGATTTCCGACGAGTGCTTGCAGGCTGTGATGATTGAGCAGTAGGCTCGGTATAAGTTGAAGGGCCTTGGGAGCTGACAGAGTCCCGTCTACCAAGGAGAGGTTGTGAAGGGTCAGCAACTTGTTGTTGGTTGCTGCTGCTACTGCTATTGTTGTTGTTGTTGTTATTATTATTGTTGTATTCAATGGGGCCGGCCTCCTCGGCCTGGTGACCAAAAGTCGAACGGCGGCGAATAACATGGTGGTGGTTTTGGAACTTAGATTGCTTGTAATAAAAGTAAGAGAAAAACATGAGGGCATCAGTAAAGCAGAACCAAAAGGCAAGAAGAATGACACCTGGAAGCAGACCAGCCCATATCGATCCTGAGAGGTTGCACAAATCACCAATAAACCAAATGCCGATAAAGATAGGCGAGATACCTTCGGAAGACTTTAGTCTCCACTGCTCGATAAGCTGGGGCAAAAGAAGAACAATCCAGCAAGCCAGTGATATCGAAGAGGAGATGCCTGAGAGAGCAACGCGAGTGTGTGTTGATTTGTTTGCTGCAATGTGGATAAGGGCGCCGGAAATCGCGTGCGCCGAAGCAGCCCAATATGGAGTGATAGGGCCTGCCATGAGTGTTGAAGAGAGAGAAAAAAAAAAAGATTAAAGTTTAAATAGATGTTTTTTTAAATATTATATATATATATATATATAAAGCAAAATAGGAGAAAAGTAGAGGATATAGATGAATATAAAGCCCACCTCCTATGGTTGAATAATATATATAGCAATACCAAAAACCTGATAAAGGATGTGTAGAAAGAAAGGAAAGAGAAGGAGAAGGAGACCTTTGAAAAAAAAAAAAAAAAAAAAAAAAATTAAAGTTGTAAGGTAAGCGATAGATTACTATCTCAGTACTGAAAACAATCATCCGCGCATTCTACATTTTGGGAAATTTCCAGAGTCACGTGATGGAGCAGCACTGAAAAAAAAGCAGCACTTTTGATTTTTGACTTTCTCTCCATCACCAATAAAAAAAAAAAGTAAAGATCACACACTTGAAAATAAATTGGTGGGAAAATAAAAAAGTTTCACGTGATAAATTAGTCAGGATTGTGCTAAATTTTAGTAAGAATTAAATCAATCTTAGTAATGTTTGTGTTGATGATTATCAAAGAATTCCCAAGATGGTAATTTTTTATGATCGAATTAGGACGAGGAGGAGATAAAAATCAAATTTTCTGGCAGATTTATAAGAAATCGACCATTTTGTTAGGGGCATTTCCCATTTCCCTCCCACGTATTTTCAACAGTGTCAGGTTCATTCAGGAATCATAGTAATAAATAAATATACTAGACTAGGCATACTAAATTTGGAATGAATCAAGTTTTAGTTTTCATTTTGTTTTTCTCTTTTAAACCCAAATGATCCCTTAATTATTGAGCCTATCAACTTGTTCTGAAAATATATATATTTATATATATATTCAAACCGCTTGAAGGTAACACAATGTCTATCGCACTACGCCGCGGAAGGCTGCAGCTTTCTGCTCATCTAAAAAAAAATTTTTTTTTTTTTAAACTGGACATAGAAGGTCTTCTTAGTAAAGTGGATCCCTGACAGGTCGGTCACCAACATATGACGTTGACGCATTTAATGGAGTAGTTTCCGAACAATACATATTATATCAACAACTTCTTAAAGAATATATATATATATATATTTAAAACGGATCAACTATATGATTGATAATCACATCCTACATGATTATCTGCACGATAGGTACATTTATTTGAAATTAAAAGTTTCTTTTTTTTTTTTTCTATTTTGAAATATTTCGGTAATTACCGGTGTGAATCAACAATAAAAAGGTAATAAATACTCGTTCGAATGGTTTTCCGTTTTTTTTTTTTTTTTTTTTTTTTTTTTGTATGGCGGCTCTTTTATTCTTTATGGTTATTATTTTTCAAAATACAATGTTTTCAAGACATTTATTAATCTCAAGAACATTATGTCCCATGTAAGGTCGGAGAATTTAAAGTTGGCACGGTTCACATGGTTTTTTTTTTTTTTTTTTTTTTGAAATATTTGAAATAAAAATGTTCTTTTGAACAAAAAAAATAGAAATGAAAACCACCCATTACCACCCCTAATTATTAAAGAGAAATTAAGAATACCAAAAAAAAAAAGATGCATTCTCTCAAGCTTAATTTATTAGGGTCTTTCTGAGTTGACTGTTTATAAACTGTCAATTACGCATAAAGGTTTATTTATTTCTCCGGAAATTTCTTACTGTTTTTTTTTTTAACTTAAAGAAACCTTCAACGTTTTTGCCTTCCCTTTGTACTCTCTTTTTCTTCAATTTTTTTTTTTTTCTCTCAGAAACTTGTATAAAAGGGTTCAAAATAATAAGTCTATTTTAGAATTATGGAAGAATTCTGTCTGTTTTGCCTTAGGCTAAGCTTTGCATTAAACATGAAATCAATAAAATCACTATACTATATTACTCAATAACTTCTCCACATAGTTTTATTGAAGACACGCGCCACAACCTTTAAACAAGATTTTTTTTAAAAAAAAAGTAAAAAAAAAAAAAAAAAGGAAACTTAGTAGCTAAAAACCTGCAGTTTGTAGATATTCTAACATTAGATAAAGGAAAGTTTACTCACTAGCAATGCCTCTATGAAAGAAGTGGCTGTACTCTATTGCTAATAATGTACTATGTGATATGATATCTTTTTTTTTCCTATAATATTTAAAACGAGGCATTTTTTTTAGTATTTTTATTGTATTTTTTTTCTTTTTTTTAAAAATAAGATTTACATATATATATATATATATATATATATATATTGAATTAGATATGAGGTTCTAAAAAGTTACATGAAACCTTTGATTGCCCATGATATGTCTCTTTTTTGTAATGACAATGATGAGAAAGGAAACAGGAGACGAAAATGCAAGCTCCTGGGGCAATCACAGTACCTTTACACCAGCTACTCGGCCATCAGGACCCTTCATGATGACAGCCTTGCCTCGTTGAACTAAAATGTCAATGGCAGCCCTTAAAATTGCAGGATGGAGACCTTTGAAAGGTTGGCTTCCGGAGGTTTCGCCTTCAACCAGTTCATAAAGTGTCAAAACACTTCCATTTTGACCTGTATTATCAACCTGTTGCAAAAAAAAAAAAAAAAAAAAGAAAGAAGAAGAAGAAATTTTATTAGTCAAAAACTGCATGCTTCGTAGAAAGAAAAAAAAAAACATGTCATGTCATGTCATGTCATGTCATGTCATGTAGCAATCATGTAGCAACTTACCCAGTCACTAATTAGAGATGCCCACTCTTGGGGTTGCATCCAGTACACAAGGATACATGTTTTGTTATTGTTGTTAGTGTTGTTGTTGTTATTGCTATTGCTATTCCCTAGTAGCGAAAAGTTGTTAAATATCTGCTCAAATCGGTCAAATTGTTGCTCGTATTCGAGATTGTCAAAATCGTCGTAAGATTGGGTTGATTTAGAATTGTTGCTTGGCGCTGGCTGATCTAACCAAGCAGCATTCCCATGTAAAACCATGTATTGGAAAATGGCTTGTATGGTTTCTGTTTGAAGGGACCTATTGATTTTGCGGTTCCAAAAGAGCTCGCCGTCTATTTCGCCGCGAGGCTTATTTTTACTGTTGCTGTTGCTATTATTTGTAGAGCTACTGTTTGTAGTTGAAGTGTTTGGTGGCGCTGAAAGGTTGGACGCGGCTTGAAGAGTATCTGAAGTTCGGCTAAGGTCGAGAGTAAAGATTCTATAATACCGGCAATATGCCAGAATCAGAGAATTCCAATTGACTAGCTGAGAGTGCCATGTTCGTTCGTTTACCTGTCGTGTGAAGAAGGGAGGGAATTGGTAAATCTTGGGGAACGGGAAGCTGTGGGTAAGTGATGGGTCATCATACTCCATCTGTAATAAACTTCTATTGACGGTACTGCCTTGTTCGCTTGATGTTTTTTTTTATTTTTTTTTCGTTTTTCCGATCTTTAATTACAAGGCGTTCAAAAAATTCACTGATCCTTGATTAATTCTCTTAAGATAAATTGAAATAAATTGAAATAAACAAGAGAATTCGGGTCAAAATCAAGATTTGATTGCAGAAATTGATTTATAGACCTAAAGGTGTTGTTTTGGTGACAAGTATAGGAGGAGTTTTTGTTTTAAGAAAACTTTTATGAAACTAAAATGTGCAAGAGAAAGAGAGGGAAAAAAAAAATTTGTAAAAAACGCTATTAAGATCTAAAAGATTTATATTTATATCAAAAATTCTCCTTCTTTTTAAATCTAAATCTAATAACTTTGTTAAAAAATTTAAACTTCAGGCGCTCCTTTCTAGACTGGACAAAATTCAAAGTCCAACATGTTTAACTCTCTCGTCTCCCCTCCTTAGGGTTTGTAACAAGTTCGCGTTGTAACTCCTGACATTGTAACAACTATACTAGTTTAAGCTTACGCGCCTCCCCTACCCAAAAATAAAAATATGGCCATATACATAACCATGGCTTAACTCTCACAACCAGTTGAAAATCAAAACAATCATTTTCAACCATCATCGATCTTAGGAACATCGATCTGAATAGGAAGGGTGTGATCCTTTCCCTCTCCAGAACATTATCTCTTTTTCTTACAAATACTCTTTTCCAATGTCCTCCTCTACCAAAGGATCAACCTCCAGTGATATGGAAACACTTCGAAAAGCATCGGCACAAGTGTCAAATCTCGATTCATTTGAATTTGGAGTCCCCAGTGTCAAAGCCGCAACTTCTGTGCTCACGCCTGAAGAACAAGAGCTTGTGGAGCTCCAAGACAAAATAGAAAACTTGAGTTTACCAATCTTAGCTCTTGATGAAATACGCAAGCTGAAACAGGGTGTTAATGTTTTGAACCGTGACGTTCAGTTCTCGACAGATGATTCTCTCGTTAATGCAGAAGAAGAAGAGAAGTTTCTTCTAGAGCTTGACCAGGAAATTGAAGCTCTGATCCATAAAAACAAACTACGGTATTTGACTTTGGAAAAGTAAGTATACACAATTATAACTTTATGTCAACTATTGCTAACCAAACTTAAGCCTCCTTGCTACAATCCCAGTAAAGGATGCAATTTATTCAACATCAACTGTTCGCCAAAGGTAAGCTTTTTTTTTTTTTAATCATATTTTTTTTTTTTTTTTTTTTTTAATCCTACCTATTTTTTTTTTAATACCATCCTTTTGTCTCACATCTATTTTTTATTTTAATTTTAATTTTTTTATTTTTATTTTTGGCATATGTTTTAGCACCCACTTTTTCTAACAATCATACAGCTCCTTACTTCCACTTCTTGAAAAACGTGATGAGCTGGAACAAGAGACGTTAAAACTTTCAGACGAAATCGCATCATTAGATGAAAAATACGAACATTTGTTGACAAAGGTCCATGCAAAACATGACGCGACAAAAGAGTTTCTGTCAAAACTTTGCAAAGCAAAAGAGGCTCAAAAACGATCTTTTAGAAAAATCCCCCAACGCGACCGTGAAAAGTACAATTTAATCTTACAAGAAATAACCCTTCATCGGAAAAAAGTGGCAATTCTTTCAGAAGTTATATCCGTAAGTAACCTATTCTGAAACCTTGGAAAGCGACGCGTAAACTTTATGATTGTAGAGGGGTATATTAACCTTTTTTTATTTTTATTTTTTAAATCATATAGCTGTTGATTTCGGAAAGTGGAATCGACTGGGCCTCCAGCGAAGAGCTTACGGAAATCTTACTTTCTTGTGGAACCAACAATCTCGACACTCTGGAACAAGAGGACATGGAAACTCTACTAACAACAAATTAAATGAAATAAAACAACAGCTTGGCTTAATAAGATTGGGAAACAAAAACAAGAAATTACTTAGAACTTGCATGGAAGTAATAAGATTGAGCATAAGATTTCTTTCTCTGCCAATGTTTATTATTACAAAATACAAAAATAAAGAAAATAATAAGAATAAATAATGAATTAGAGGTTCAGATTTTATATACACACTTGCAAAAAAAAAAAAAAAACAGATCTGTTCTAGAACAAATAAGGAAAAAATTTACCCATAACTCCATAAACAAGATATTGGAGTGACTGAGTTTGTCTTACATAGAGGGGAGAAAAAAACTATAAAATTGATACCATAATTAAATACAACCAATGGATAAAGATACATTCGTCTAATAAAATACCCTTATTATCAGTACCTTTGAAATAAAATATCCTTGTGATGCACATAAAATTTATTAATTTATACACACCTACCTATTTCATGCACAGAAATCTATGTAGGTATACTTTGGTCTCATTCAAGCTGAATATTGGAACCTACATTATGTGCGTTTCTCTGTTATGGAAATTACCATTAACAATTATTTGAATTCAATGAATCTCATTTATACATTATTGGAAACCTCAGATTGTTGAATCTGTATTATCGTTGCAGATTCTGAAACTTTAGTCTCCACCACCACCTCCACCTCCGTCTCCACCACCACCACCACCGTCTCCACAACTACCGCCATCACCGCAACTGCCACCATAGCCGTCACCATAACCATTTCCTCCACTGCCTCCGTAATATTTGCCATAGTAATAGTTATGTCTATTATAATTTGAGCGTTTCTTAGTATTGGCACATTTTTGGTAATGATCTAAGGTCATTTGCCATTCCCTTTGTTCTCTGACTTTCTGCTCTTTGTGTTGGCGGTTCTTCTCTCTGAGTTTGTCGAAAAAGTTCTTTATTGAACTCATCTTGAAAAACAGTTATTTTAGGTGAGTAAGGGAATTTTGTTATGATTTTGTTTTTATAAATTTGATTTGTTGAATTTTTGAAAGTTAACTGGCATGGTTAATATTAAAAAGTAACATGAGCATAAATTTAAGCATATATTTATACATTTTTATCGATAAAACTCATAACGGTCATCACAGAAAAAAAAAAAATTGGCTCGTATCGTGAGACTATGCTTGAACACAGTAGTTTTGTCACTTTTTGCAACTTGTAGTGTGCATTTTCTTTAAAATCTTTAGTAGGCACATGATTCAGTGGTTTGGGTGTATGAGCATGTAAAGGTGGCTTAGATTTAAAGTAAGAAATATAATGTTGTTAAATGTGGGGGACATTTTTGATCAAGTGGTCTATTAATAAACACCAACCAATCATAAAATGCATGCGTTGATGTTTAGATACCATGACGTTAGGTAATTACAATTAAAGTAACAATTGTTACAACAGAACAAGCCCAGGTAATTAAAATATGGTTTTTGATGTCATCACAAGAGCACAATGAAAATCATTTGTATGACCACTGGTTTTTTTTTTTTTTAGACAGTGTATAAAACTTCTGTAGAATATAACAGTGCAAATATTTTCCAAATCTGCACTCTGACAATTATTATTATTATTTTTTTTTCATAAGAAAACTAATTAGTTTGTTAAAAACCAATTCTTTGAAACATCATACCATAAACTTCTTTAAATAACGCTAATTCAATTCTCTTTTTTTTTTTTTTTTAGCTTCTGATAAAATGAAACTTCTGAACTGTATGTTATTTATTTGTTTGTTTGGCTTTTACGCAGAAAACTGGTGGAAATACGTATTGTCATAGTTTGATTTGATACTTTGTTTGTAATTCAATGAAATTAAATCATAAGTGCACTTGTAAGCAAATTGTATTTAAAAAGTTTTTTTTTAATTCATCACACCATTTTTTTTTTGTTTAATTGATAAAATAGTTTTAACAAACGTTTATCAGTCTTTCGAACTGTTTAAGTCTGAACTCAAAATATTAATATCAAAGACAGATATATTTGGAAACTTTTTTTATACTCAACTTCATATTTATTGATGTTTCTATCATAAATTGAGTAACTGAAACCGTCATAAATTTGGATTTTTGGAACTTTTAGCTCATCTAGATTCACAAGAGGCTTTTGATAGAATTTCTGTGCAAGTTAATGGTTAATGAAGGATGAATATATTAAGAATGTAGTTTTAATTTAGTAATTTGTTAACCCCTAACCCATATTTCGGGTATCCCTAATAAGGCAAATTAAACGCAAGTTTAACATCTAAATATAATAAATAATCCAAAGTAAACAATACAAGTCAGGAACATTATTAAAAAAAAAGATTTGGATAGTTGTTAGTCAAATTCAAATTTTGAAGGTAAGTGATATTACTAAAATTTATATAAAAACTGAAGCGTGCCACCTATTTTTTTTAGGAAAAGAAAATCAAAGTGTAAAGGTATTGTTTAAAAAGCAGCTTGAAAGTTGGTGAAAAACAAAATCCCATCATAAAAAACCAATAAGGGGTTCTTGAGACAATAGGTTTTTGCTTAATATTAAGAGTACATTTAGATATCAACGTACTTCATTTGGAAATCATCTATTGGTTTTGTAGTCAATACTCTTTCAATTAATTGGATGCTTCACATAAACAATTTTATCTATATTTGACAAAATAATAAAGATTCTCAACTGAAAACTTAGTATAATTGTAGTACAGTTTTCATTGCAACCATTGTCAAAATTCCCTTGAATAAAAACAAACAAAAGATTTCATTCATAATTATCAAAATGCTGACTTCATTATAAATGAAAAATTAAGTATTAAGATATTAAAATGAAAAATCAAGTATTAAGATATTAAAATATTAAAATATTAAAATAAACAGTCTCATTATTTTCTTTTAATCAACAGAAAGCTGGGAAATATGCAATATTGCAATGTAATTACACGAAAAAGAGAATAGAAATGTAGGTAATAATCTTGAAGGACAAGTCAGCACCAATTTCTATAATGAAAGAAACAATAATAATAGTTCTAGACTTTAACTAAATAAAAAATAAAGTTTTTCAATAACAAACCAGTTTAAATATCAGCTATTTCAGATGATAAAACGATATTAAAAAAAAAAAGCTCAACAAAAAATTTTAAAAGGGAGTAATAACTAACCTAATTTTTTTTTTTTTAAAAAAAAAACAAAAAGAAAAATGTACCGGAATCCTACTCAACTGCTTCTTCAGAAATTTTTAATATCAATCAAAACACAACCAATCATTAAAAATAATAATAAATCTGTATTTGAATGTTGAGTTTTGATTTGACAACTATACGAACGGAACCCAAAAAAAAAGTCATTAAAAAGATTAAGTGAAACAGTTTCTAAGAAAATTTCTGCTCAACATATTTATTGGATCTAAAAAATATTGAAAATAAGAATTTTAAAAGGCTTTTTTAACTCTTAGTTTGAATTTCTGTTTTCATCTGTTAATGTGAGCAACCTATTTCAAGTCAAAATAATTTTAAAATATACACAAATGCAAAAAAAAAAAAAGAATAAATTTAAGCAGAAGAGAAAAATTTTGAAAAATTTTAAAAAATTGATAGATAATATTGAAAAAAAAAAGTACCTGAACACCTCCATGATTTATACCACAAGAAAATAATCTCTCACAATACCGATGACGTTATCAAAATTCCCATAATTATAATTTTTAATGTGATGCAAGCATATGAACACCCGTCTTTTAGTTAAACTATGATTGGGTGCTTGTTTCTTTAGAATCCACATACAGAAAGACACTTGAAAGAAAATATGATTATTCTCTCAGATAATTCATGGTTTAATATAAACCTGAAATCTGGAAAAAAAAAAAAACATTTCAAGAAAATTTAAAAATTCCGTTTCACTATTTCGGTTTTTGATGGATGGTTTTAAGTCAACAGAAACTTGCAATTTTGAAGTTGGAGACGGCAGAAAAAAAAAATAGGGAAGAAATTTTAATTATAGCTGAAATAGATTTTTACTATGGCTGATCCACCTATTATCGCAGAAGTTGTTGGAGGGAGAATTCAATGGAATAAGAGATTTTAGATTAGGAGCGATGCTTTTTATTTTTTTTACATTGAGAACCTTTTGAGAACAGAGGCCAATTTCTTTTAGGTCTAACATCGACCAATCTATTTATGGAAAGATTTTTATTGAGATCAAGACTGATATTGTAGATAGTGATTACCAAGTAATATATAAACCTTGCAATAACGAATGGTATGAAAGTTTTTTATAGCTATACACGTTGAAAGAGAAAGTTAATATGTGTTTCTACAATAAATTTCTGAAAATCGGTTAAATATTTTAGGATTATTCAATGGATTTTAAACAGAAAAAATAACAATAAACATCTATTTTATGATTAACAAATTGTTCCCTATTCTTATTTTAAAGTTAATTAACCAATTCTGATCTTTTTTTTTGATTTGATTATTTAAATGTAAAAGTAGAAATTTAAATAAAAATGAAAATAATGTTTCAGTTGTTGTTTTCATTAAACAAAAGTGATGAAAGATTTACGCTTCATGATAATCGGCTTCAGTCAAATTCTAAAGCCAATCAATTACTTAATGAAGTGATTTTAATTAACTAAAAAGAAATTTTAATATTCAAGAGTTCCAAGACTTCAAGAGAAATGACATTAAGTGTCAACATTTCCAATATTCAAAGAATAAGTCTACCTTACATTACGGAAATACAATGCAAAGTGCTACACTTTATTATTTTTTTATATACTTAGAAGCTTAGTTTACAGAATGTCAAAAGTATCTTGCTGGATTGCTTGATTGCTTGATATTTTTTTTTTTCAATGGGGTTTACTAATTAGTATTTTTGATGAGATGCTGCAATACATACCATAATGTTAACTTTTAGTTTATTAATTGGTTGAAAATATCTTGGGAGAGTGTTGATTATTGGTTACAAAAGAAAAAAAAAATGGATCAGGAACAAAGAGACATTTATTTTATCTT